GGTTTGCTTTCCAGGAGATGATGCACGCCGAGTAACGTGGAGTAGGCCTTTTGTCCCATGGGTCTTACGATCGCACGGAATATGTGGGTTGCACGGTCCAGCCAGAGGATGCACGGATGAAAAGTAGGCATCGTAATGCAGCAGTGCAGGAGGCAGACTGCTTGCAATTCATCTGAGGAGCAGAAAGGCAAAGAGTCGAAAAGACTGAGTTAATACTCCGTACTCCATAGACCGTACTCGTACTCCATCAGTCTGGGATCCGCCGAGATCTACTTCACCCGGACCCGAGACCACAGGTTGGGAAACACACTATCCTCTGGGTTGCAAGATTGCCCCGGGAAATCCAAATCCAAAATCAAATCCAAATCATATCATCATCCTATTTAATTACGGCGTGTATCCGTGAATACAAACTGATACAGAGGACAGAGTCCTCTGTGGAAACCGAAAAGCGCGAAGGATCCCTAGCACGCAGGCTAGTCACGATCAAGGAAACTTCCAGGCGGAGACGCAGATCGATGTATTGCCAGTGTACTCCGTACTCCGTACTCCCGTATTCAAGCTAGTAATTGTGTATGCATATCGAGTGTAGTCCTAGTGCATTACGGGGTACAGAGGACAGAGTGCAGTGCATGCAGCGCGGTGTCGGTGTTGACCCTTGGTAGAGTAGGAGAGCGATAAGAGGAGGATAGGATAGGAAGTTGTACTATCGGCCATTCCACAATCGAGGATCACATCGAAATCACATCGAAATCTCGGGGGGGGGGGGGAAGTACGAGTACGGAGTCAAGGCATTCCGGATCTTGGGTCGGGGAAAGTCAACCATGGAGTTGCATACCTTAGTCCATACAGTATTGTGTATCCTGTACCATGTATCATGTATCAGGCAATACCGGCTGGCTATACACAGTACCCTGCCAACACTACTGAGTCAGTACCCTTTTGGTACTTGGCCATACAGTGCCAGTGCAATAGCAGCCCCCAGTTACTCCGTAGTCACCCTCACCCTCTCTCGCCCAGCCCAGATTCCCCTCTCCTGCTTTCTTGCTTTCTTCCCACCATTACACACGCCTCCCACATCCTCTCCCTCCACCCCTGGTCCATTCTCACCACCGGTCCTGGTCCTGGTCCTCAATAAGGCCTTTCCATCTGATTCCCCCCTCATTTCCTCTTCGACTTCGTCTACTCGCCCCTGTTCGACTCTCGATTGACCGCCTGCGATCGCCTCCTTCACTTTCAGCAAGGGTCGGACCACCTTTCCCCCTCCCAGAAGAACGCAAATCTCGGGGTCACCAACGTTTTATCTGGAGGAGGAAGGACAAACGACCCGATTGACGACCTCGAGGAATCCATCATTATCGCCAGGAAAGGGAAAGAAGCTTCGACAACGTACGTCGCGACACCATCTCTCATCCGTCCTTCCGTCCCGGTCAACACCCGCCAACACCAAACCTGGATGCCGCATTTTTGCTGATGTAGCTGTCGCCCATATAGTATAATTTTCTTCGATTCTTCTCGCCCACCATGGCGACTAGACCACCCATCATGCCGCCCCATAATGAGACGGAGCACACCATCAGTCGCATCACACGCGAAGGAAAACAACTCACATATAAATTGAGTGTGATGCAACAACCCGAACGTGCCAGAGCCTGTGGTGCTGGAGCCAAGTGTAGGTCATCCCAACAATCTCCTCCCTCTCGCTGCCCCATCACCATCACCATCACCAATGGTAGATCTCGTCGCCACTTCAGTGTTTGTTGACTCGACAAAATAGCATCCGCCGACCGTCGTCCGGTAGACCCGCCGCCCGTGGTCGAACTGCGAATCTTTGAATCCGAACCTGGCAATGAGGCCCATAAAACCGATATCACCTTTGCCTACAATGCCAATTTCTTTCTATATGCGACCCTGGAGGCTGCGCGTTCCATCGCTCACGGTCGAGTGGCTGGCCCGCCGTCGTGCCCCGTATTAACTGGTGTGCCGGTCGCCGGTGTTGCTTACCTCGATCGCCCCTCGCAGGCTGGTTATTTCATCTTCCCGGACTTGTCAGTTCGCCATGAAGGCCGGTACCGCCTGGCCTTCCACCTATACGAAGAGATCAAGGATGCGAAAGATGCCGACAAGGACTCGGATCTTCCCCTTCCCAATCAAGTCGGCGGCCGCGGTAATGCCGGCGCCCCTCAAGCGTTCTTGAATTTCAGACTCGACGTCAAGTCAGTGCCTTTCACTGTCTATAGTGCGAAGAAGTTTCCTGGTCTGGCTACCAGCACATCTCTCAGTCGTATTATCGCCGAGCAAGGATGTCGTGTACGCATTCGTCGTGATGTTCGCATGAGACGACGAGGTGATAAACGCGAGGAGGAGTACGACTTTGACGAGGAGAGGGCGGCGGCGGCTGTATATGCACGATCGTCCGACCGATATTCAACACCAGATCGCTACGTCACAAATTCGGTGGAGCGCCCCCGATCAAATAGCAATGGGAGCGCGATGGCCTCGCCATACGGATATGGTCCCGACCTTCAACGGCGGCCGTCAGCACCCGACTATGGTTTCCAGTGCCCCCAACCGCCCTTCCAGCGACCGATGCCGCCCGCCCCTATGCCTCACGATGGAACCCCCAGCTATCAATCACACCTCTCCTTCGGTTCGACACCAACTCAATATCCTGCTCCTCATATGCCTCCTACCCCGCCACCTATCGCCGGTCCCGGAATGTACTCACCTCATACATCTTATGCCAATATTCGTGATCCTTCCATGACGTCTGAATATGAAGTAACGCCCGCTGGATATCCCATGGCACCACCCATGGTGGAACGGAACGGAGGCTATCCAAAGAATAATATGACATCGTATCGCATGGAGACACCGAAAGCACCGCCATATGTGGATATGAACATGGCAGATCCGATGAACCCATACTCGATTCCCGCAAACTTGATGCCAAGGGCTCAAACGCCTGTCTCAACCACCCCGTCTGTTACCCCCCCAACCTATGAAGACTGTACCCAGTGATTTTGCGAACCTGCAAGGCATGCACGGTCATGGTATCCAGCCGTCTATCGAGTATTCCACACCCGCCCCGAGCTACGACTCCGTCTCAGGGAAGCGAATGCTCTATCACACCGGACACCCCGGACACCCCGGACACGGTGGAGTCACTGGCAGCAAACGCAGCCATGAAGATTCTTTTGGCCTAGACGAACGTTCGATGCAAAATGGCATGCGGCCTGATAATGAATCCTATAGCATCAATGCCACCCGTGATTACTCTGCGGAAAGCCGAGCAGCTTTAATGGCCGAATATGGCATCGATATGGCATACAAACGTGCCAATGGGCGAGTGGTGATGAAGGCACCACATGTGACTTCATAAAAAAAAACATTTGATTCGACCTCTGATCAAATCTCGTTCGGTTGGGCTATGGACCATCCGTCGGACAATACCTCCCAGAGCTTGCTCTGATCCTTTGACGCAAGAGCGCATCCCGCAGTTCCATGCGCCGAACTCTTTGCAGTTTTTTGTACATGAATTCTTTCCCTCTTTTGACCTTCCCTTGCCTCGTGCCTAGATATCTCGATGCATTATTTTGTCACGCTCTTGTTCAGGAAGCCTCTGTTTTTGATCGTTTCATTCCTGCGTGGAGAACCGGCTGGTCACTGGGCTCCTTGGATTGTTCTCTTATTCCCCGATCCGATCAATCACCTTCCACCCTTCTACGTATTCATCCTTCAGCCTCCGCAGCGCTCTCTTCCTTTCTTGACTCTCGAGGGGTCTGTGACCCGATCATCCACCAAAAAGCCTACCCGGGGATGCAATCCCTGCCGGCAGCACGTGCGAAGGGTGGAATTCCCATCCCTCCAATCTCCGCCCGAACGGCAACCGGGAAGACTACGCAGTCTGGCAGGGGGACGAACCATAAAGTTGACTCTCGCCTGGCATCACCTTCTCTTGTTGCGGCTTGGGTTAATGGGAATTGGTTTTGGTTTTCTCTCTCTTTCTTTCATCTCAATCATTTAGTGTTGTTTTTCGCGATCGTGACCCTACAACCCCTACCATTTGGGCGTGGCGGATTGGTATATTATGAAAGTGCATTGGAGAGACGTTTCGATGTTGGATTCGCTTGCTTGATCTCCACCGGGGCGCTATATCCTGTTTTTTTTGCCCCCGAGGGCCAGTTGCTTAATCTCTTACTCTTACGGCGTTGTGGCATCTCCTTGATACCTAGCATTGTTGTCCGAATCGATAACTTGAACTGTTCCCTCCTTTTCGCGTAATCATTGTATGTATATTAAAGTGGATGAACCGATTTCATTGTATCTCATTCCATCATTCCTCGGGACACACGTCCGCCTGAGACAGGTGGAATCCTGAATCTATGTCGATCGATCTGCCTCCCCGCAAGGATTCCGGGTATATGGAAACCCTGCTTCCATGTGCCTACAGCCTGTCTCCCTCTTGGAAGAACGGAAGGTAGCCTAGTCAATAGTGTATGCAGTGGATATTAACCAACTGCAAATTGTCAAACTTGCATGAATGAGTAAATAATTGAGTCTGATACTTAGTAGTAGCCCTGGAGTATAAGTGGAGAGAGGTATACCCTAGGGTAGTCCCCACACCACAACAAACTTCCCCCCCTGGGCAAGTGCGGAGTATGTTGTAAACAAAAACGGACTTGGCCCCATCTCTTTGTTGTCTTCTTACTACGAGTACCTTGAATCCCTCTCTCCTCTCTCCTCTTTTCTTCTCCTGTTCTCTACTCCCTTGACTCATGTCATCCCCTCTCACCAGCCCATATTTACTCTGTACCCTTTCCGTTTAAAGGGCGCGGGGAACGTTACCAGGGAGAATGAAGGACGCCCCGGGCGCCAAGGTGAGCTCCCTTGCACTTTGGATCTAGGAGAAGGCCCTACGTGGCAAGGAAAGCGATAAAAGAAGGAAATGTCTCTAACTCGTTTGTCTTGAACAGGTTGCCCCCAACGAGACCGTCAGTATGGACCTCGACACCAGTCCCGCGGATCAGCGCACCTCGCGCAAGCACCTGCGCAGCAGCTCCGACGATTATAACTACGAAACCAGCTCCGATGAATCCGGTCGCTTCGACGACGCCGATGAACCGGAGATTGAAGATTATAAATCGCCCTCGGCCAAGTCCGTGAAACGCCGCCGCTCCAATGACTGGCCGCTGCCCGACGAAGCTGCAGACTATGGGCATGACAACCGTCGTCACGCACGCGGTGGGAATGGTGGGATAGGTGCTAGCCTCGGCGCTCAGTTCAAGTCTTCCCCACGAGCGTCCCCTCGTGCCTCGGCGACTTCGCTTCGTGGCAGACACAGTGCTGCGGCCGCACACAGCCCACGTCACTTGCTGGGACGCCGGTCGCGTTTTGTGGAAGCGACGATGAGTGATAGTGTCAGCGAGAAGCCACCGAGTATTTTTATGCACGAGAGTAAGCGGATTGCGCCTCAGCAGCAGCATCAGCAGCATCGTTCGTCCGGAATCTTTCGCTTTGGGAAGGCCATTGCTTCGGCCTTCAATCCTTTCGGAGGTTGGAATAGGAACTCGCCTGAACATGAGGTTTCTCACAAGCCAAAGCCTCAAACGGATGCTCTTACCCAGGCAGAACTGGCTTATGCGGAGTTGAAGAAGGCCGGCTATAAGGGTACCAACAAAGGTTCCTACACGCAGAGCCAGAATACCGACCAGGCGAACGCCGACCAGACATTCCAGGCTATCCTGGAGAAAATGGGCCACGGAGGTACCATTGGAGATGCAGCCCACCCGCTAGCGGATCAATTTGATGGACCTGGTGGTACACCTTCGCGCTCATCATCGAAGGCCTCGAAGCGCTCATCTTTCCAAGACCTTCGCAAGGTCGGACTCCCATTTGGCAGGCCCCAAGAAACGACCACCGTCGCACCGCCAACATACATCGAGCGATCATCTGAAGAATCCGTTGAAAATACTGGGCTTCGCAAACAAAAATCACGCAGGGAGCTTTCACGACAAGCCAAGCTCCTCAAGAAAGTCAGCAACCTTGAAGACAAGCTCGACCGTGCTCGTCGCGAGCTTCACCAGATCAGTGGAAATGAGGAGCGGGTGCCAGAGCCAACACCAGAGCGCAGATCCATGAGCATTGATATGGACCCTGGCAGTTATCCACGCAAATTCGTCCCCGGTGCACTCCCAACACTACCATCAGAACGACTTCTCGACCAACAAGCGACAATCGCCGAAACGCCCGAGCCCGAGATGGGCGTCTTGACCGCTTTACCGTCCGTGGAGGGCCGAAGAAGCGTCTCGATCGAAGAACAGGGACCATGCCCAAGCCCAATTGTGGGCAAGTCCCCGAAGAGGCGGTCGAGAGATTCGCGGCCGTCTTCCATGGGTAAGGAAAGCTCCTCCCGCAAAAGGAAGTCCCCCGTTCCTGAACCAGTCGATAGTCGGAAACCTCCTCAGTCCAACCCAACGCGCCCCGATATCAACGACGTCGCCCTTTCGATCGAATATGACCACCTGATCGACTCGGGCCTCCTTAGCCCCCTTCGGCAAACTAAATGGCCGAAATTCGAAGCTGGCGATAGCCCCGGCTCGGTAGAACGTACGCGATCCAATATCAGCCACGGAGCCGCCGCACAAGAAGAAGATTCATACAACAAAAGGTCCACATCAGCTCAGTCCCGAAAATCTTCTGCCAGCCTGAACCGCTCACCAAAATCCAAGGCCGTAAAATCCTCGCCCCATATCCGTACGCAACCAGGCCGTTCGAATTTGCGCTCTGTCTCGCCTTGCGCCATGAGCGATTCGGCACACAGATCCCCCGGCAACTGGATCTCTCCCTCGCCACCTCCTTCAAAAAGTAAAGCACATCAGGCGTTCTATCTTCAGCCGCATCTCCACCTCGATCCGGATCGGACGCCACGCTCTTCACCTGGCAAATCTAGCCCAAGGAAACGAAGATGGCAGGATGCGGATATTCCACCCGTCCCTCCGCTTCCTGAGGAGCTTCTTCCAAATGCAGCAAAGGTAAATAAGTCGCCATCGAAGATGAAAAGTCCGAGAAACGAGCCTGCGATGGCTTTAGAGCCGCAGTCTTTTTCTGTTCAGAATCAGCAGTCGACCGCGACCGGGCTTGAGGACTTCCCCTGGCCTTCGGATATTTTTTAAATGAACATTTCTCTCTTGACTATCTTTGATGATAGTGTCGGGTGGGTTGCTTCGGTGTCATTTCCTGGCATGGGTTGGTGTGTTTTGTTTGATCGTCCTGACGGCTTCTCACGATTTTATGAGTTTATACCCTGGAGTTCGGGTGCTGATTGTTTTGAGGTAGTCGTTCAATTTAAATATTTTTCTCCCTGGTCCTCTTCAACCCTCTTCCAATGATAGACGTTAGCATTGTGGATGCGTGATTCCTTAGTAGATACTAGTAGGTAGAATCTGCAAAAGTGCCCCCAATCTTGACCCATTCATTCTGAATCTCCTCACTCGCGATGAACCTCCGCGTTCTTGGGTAATAACAGCCAGCTCGCACCAGCAGCACCGAGTAAGCCGACCAGCATAGGTTGTAATACCTTAACACCCACCCGAGCCGCGATAATACCAGTGATGGCGGGGAAGATCGAGCCACCAATCTGACCGAGGACAAAGACGAAGGCTTCGCGAATTAGCAATGATTTTATTGGAGGAGGCATGAAGTCTCTCACCTATTGCCGAGGAGCGTATCTCTGGCCTGAATATTTTGGATCCGACGGAGATACCCTTGAATCAAATCATTGGTTAACTACTTGCAGGTAGGTGTACTCGTGAAAGAGTTGGGCGATAACTAGAGGAGAGGATTACCGTTGCGAAGAATGGGCCAGAGAAAAAACCTAACAGACTAACAGCCACAGCTTCAGTGATGATATTCGGAACCCTAGCTCGAAGTTAGCAGCCATACCCGACAGGTGATGAGATAGCACGTACAGCCAGAATACCAATTGCAAGCCAACGCAAAGAACCGCATAAATGAAGATCATTCTCCTCTCGCCTAGTCGATGAGTGGGTTCAGCGAGAACCAGTCGGCCTAGAAACGCTCCGCCATAAAAGCCCGCGGGCACATATCCCATATTCTTGACGTCTCCGTTTCGCACCTTGATCAGGTACTCGACCATCCACCCACCAGCCGTGATGGCGGCACCAAGGAAGAAAAAGAAGAATAGACTCAACAGCCAGACTCCAGGCGTAGATAGTGTCTCCTTGATTTCCTTGGCAGCTGCTTTTCCCGTTGACTCTCGCTCTGGCTGGTACGTTTCGGAAGAGAGGGCGTCGTCACTGGTCGCACCCTGGGTGACCTTCTTCCTAGACAAGACAGCAACACGATCATGAAACGACAATCCCACTAAAGCGAAATTAACAACCCCCAGTCCCAAAGGAAAAATATAAAACAAATTCCACCTAGACTGAGCATTCGCCGAAGCCACCCCCCGTCGCAACAAATGGCCCAACAAGACAACCAGCCATATACATAGCATGAATAAACCCCAACCATCGATGCGCAGCACCCCGCAATTCCGAAACAAATGTATTTGCATGGGTATCATTATACGCCTGGCCAAGCGACGCAAGGAAAAACGTCACCGCGTAAAGCGGGAAAGGCGCGAACCAGGATCGCAAGACGTGAGCGAGGACTTGCAAGGCTGCGCCGATACACAGGATTGAGCCGAGATCTAGATGTTGGCAGATCGTGCTGTTGGTCAATGCGGCGATGAACCACCCGCCGAATGTCGTGCCGTAGAGTATGGCGATTGTGTTGGTGTTGATGTTGTAGCTGCGGATTATGTAGGGGATTAGGGAGCCGAGACTACCGTCGTTGACGCCGGCGACGAAGAAGGAGAGGCCTGCGCTGAGGATTTTGGGGTATAGCCATTTTGGGGGTTGGTCTTGGGATGGGGTTTGAGCTGAGGTGTGGCTCTGTGAGGTCCGAGTTTGTAGGATGATTGTTTCTGTTTCTGTTTCTGTTTCTGTTTCTGTTTGGGTCTGGGTCTGGGTCTGGGTTTGAGTGCTCATCGTGCTGATGGTCGAGTGTGAGGTGGAATGAGAAGCAAGGATGTTGTGGGATTTGGTGAGGGGACGAGGACGAGGATGAGGATGAGGGTGTTGTTCTGCTGATCCCAGGCTGGACCTGCGGGAACACGGGCCGATCTTGCCTAGGGCATACAACAGTAGACCGTATATGCGGTTTTAGTTGGATATCGGCGTGGGACTTGAATCCGGGGCCGGCTGAACTCCGGCGAATCTCGCGCGGAGAAAAGTGAAAAGTGGGGGACATCAAGTGGAGTAGAAGTTGGCTCTTTTGCCGAATGTAGTTGATAAGCCAGCCGCTAAAAAGGCGCTAGAAGGAAATACGAATGGTTATCGTGAATTATTCCGAGAGAAAAAGTGTTGTCATTGTGCTGACTCTATAGTCAGTGCGTTAAGTCAGATATTTAGGTAAGTACACCATTTTTATTAAAAATGTCTGCCTTTTGGAATGGGGAATTCTCGTATCTGGTTTGAAACCACCGAGATCATGGGAAGGCTTCGTTCAAATCCTGTAATTCTAAAATAATTGGTTTTTTTCATTAGAAACTTCGAACTTCATTGCATCAGTTCCTCAACATTGCGCACTATCTACAAGAAAAAAAACCATTTTTTGTCCCATAAAGCTCAAGAGATATCCAACATGCCGTGCAACTGGATATCAAGAACGCTTTTCCCCACATAGATGGGATACTTCCCAGCCTGAAGCCCCCAGGCCTGCTCCTCTACATCCCACCGACTGAGATCACGACGCGTCAAGTCGAATTGAATATGCTCCTTCTTGCCGGAACAAATGGTCCTCTTCTCAAACCCACGCAGCACCTTTGGAGGCCCTCCCGGGATACCAACGTAGAGTTGAGCTACCTCTGCGGCGCGAACCTTTCCAGTGTTTTGAATAGTGCAATTTACGCTGGCGACAATGTCCCATAGCGCCTCAGACCCCCCTTCCGCAATTTTCGCACCACTTCCGGCAGCGGTATACTGCAAGTTGGCGTTGGAATGAACACTGGCATCGAGGTCCGAGTATGAGAAATTCGAGTATGTTAATCCATATCCAAACTCAAAACGTGGTTGAATTTTGTTTTGAATGAAGGCCTTGTAATCAATGTAGACTCCCTCGGTGAAATTGTCTTGAGGATAGTATTCATTTTGCGTGCCTGAAGGAATAACCGGCTCAAGAAGATCCTGGTAATCAGACTCTTTGCGGGCGACAGTGTACGGCAAGCGACCCGAAGGAGACTGTTTGCCATACATGACCTCGACTAGGGCTCGGCCGCTATCCTGGCCTGGAACATGAGCGTAAAGCACAGCAGTAATATTGGGGTTCTCAATCCACTCGTCGACAAGGCGCAGTCCCGCATTGTGAATGACAACCATAGTGTTTGGGCACTTGGCTGCGACATTCTTAACAAGCTTATCAGAAGATGGATCTGCGAGATATGGTCGATCCCAGCCTTCGGAGGAAGCCTCATTGATAAAGACGAGACAGGCATCACTGGCAGGATTCACGTGAGGCTCAAGGGATATTAAGTCCCAGGCCATGTAGGTATCGTCATCGTATGCCTGGCGTTGGAACGCGTGGAGTGGGGCATCGATGTAGGCAGGTGTACTGGCGCCAGAACCACCCCCAGCAAAGAGGGTGCCATTGAATGCGACACCTGGGCCACGGAAGCTGGGGTCTGTGCTCGATAGAAACATGTATTTCTCGGTCTCGTTATTCACCGCGCTGCCATTGGGATATGTAAGGGCATTTTGAAGGCCCATGGACCAGCCACCCAGCGAGCTGTCGTCAGCAGTATTCAAGGCAGAAGGAATAGCGTCGTATCCAAAGAGTGAGAGAAATTTCGGCTTCCGCAAAGGAAGTGCTGCTGCTGTATTCTTGACAAGAACATGACCTTCAATCGCTGATTGGAGAATGACATTCTTTGACTTTGGATCCCGGGCATCGACAAGATCATGAGGCTCGAGCAGGCTAACAGGAATACCATGACCGGGGTTTGGTATCTCGGCATACTTGTACCAAGAGGCGATAATTCGTGTTGCCATATCATCAAGTCGGAAGTCAGGCATCGAACCATTCTTGGTAGCTATGGCTAGGGTGTTATTCTCCCAATACTGGGAGTCCGGCATGGCGATGTCCATGCCTGCATTTGCACTGGCAATACCGGTGTGCTGACCAGTCCAGTCAGACACCACGAATCCTTGAAAGCCGAGTTCCCCCTTCAGCAGACCATTCATGACCTTGCTATTCTGGCATCCGTAGCTATTGTTGATGCGGTTATAGCTGCACATAACAGATCCAGCGCCTGCCTTGACGACATCCTGGAACCCCCAGAGATAAAGCTCATGAATAGTCTTGTCATCAATATTTGATGAAATAGACTGGTTATGGGAGCCCTCTAATAGCTGTGGAGAATTCCGGCTGGTCTCCTGTTCATTTCCGATGAGATGTTTGACGCATGCAATGACGTTCTGCTGCAAACCACGGACAGACTCTGCTGCGAGAGCTCCTGAAAGATAAGGATCACTTCCAAAGCCTTCCCAGTTGCGGCCTCCCGAGGCCATTCTGCCTGCTGGTCCAACAACAGGACCTAGTGCCACATTGGCACCCTTTCGCCTGAACTCAGCGCCCATGTGCTCTGCCCGAGAATGGGCAAGATCCCGGTTCCAAGACGCACCGGTGTGGATACCAGCGGGATAAGAGTTAACCATATCAACTCCACGAACACCATTACCGGCATCTTGAAAGCAAATCCCCGGAAAGTCTAGTCTCGGGACGCTGCCAGTCACTCCTGAGCATCCAGTTGTTGTTGATTCGTGTCCGTAGGTAATGTTATTTTTCTCTTCATCGGTCATCTGGGAAACGAGCTTCCGGGCTTTGGTATAGGCATCGGCCCAATCCCCCAATCCCTTTGCAACAGCTTTTTGAAATGAGGGTCAATATCACAATCAATAAGGCACGCAGAGTAGAAACCGAAACTTACGTGTATCTGGTACCGACTCTGAGCGGCCATAAGACCAGTAATTCTCGAGGTCGGAGGGACTGGATTGACCATCCTGTGCAGAAGCATGCACTGCTAGTTGCAGCACCGCAGCAAGCCCTACAATAGAAGATTTCATATTGCCAGGCACCCTGAGTTGTGAAGCAAATGATGAAGGGAATTATAACGAAAGAAACCTGGATGGTTATATAGGCTTGGGGCAAGAGTTATTTCCGAAGGCCCTTGGCCTAGGAACATGACTTTGATTGCATTGTCTTTTGAAGAATTAGTCTCCATGGTGGGGCCTGTAGTACAGCCATGGTAGTTGAGAGCAAGCCAACTACCACGGCCAAGAGATGTTGTATACTCGTACACGACGCAGAGGCTCGTGTGTTCGGAATGAAAATGACATGGTTCGGCGTCACTCGGTATAGACTTCGACGTTCCCTGAAAGGGAATAGCTAGACCTAAGCAAGTCCCAAGCGCAGATAAAATAGCGGCCAAATGCGACATCAGGATCAAAAAGGGTATCACTTACTGCGTATCAGTGGGGGGGGAATCAGATCCGGGGTTTAGCCGGGGTATGGCTGGGGCGGGTCGGATCACTATGGAAGCCGTTCAGTTCTCCCTCTCAAGGTTGTACTCAGGGAAATATGGCGCAGAGACTATCCGGTCGCTCTCCACAAACTTTTCCGATGATTGGATATCCAAGGATACGAAGGATGGAATTGGAATGCCCTTCCGAGACTGGGGTTGTTGACAGTGCGTCTTGCTGCACTCCAGGTTTTGTCCCACACAAGTTTGCGGGACACGCATGGTTTCCCCACAACCCCAGGAACGCGGAATCTGTCCGTAATTTGCCACTTTTGTTCACCGAGAGGCGTTTGTCATGATTATGCATCTACAAGTAACATAGGGAGTGTCATCTCGACGGCCCGAAGAAGAATCCGCTTTCATTCCAGTCAATTCTCGGGTTCAAGAACAGAGACCTCCGTTCCAAGGTCAATATCAGTGAACATCCACCAGCCGTTGGAGAATGGAAATGATTGAACAGCAATCTAGTGGATGTTTACAATCCCTCCTAGTCATTTAAGTCATGATATAGTTGTTATTATTCTCGATGCCTCCGTAGACAACTTGTCCTGCGCACTAGGGAAGCCGAAGCTCACCTGGGCACCCGTGACGGCGGCGCTTCCCGAGTATCTCCTATTCTCAAATTTGGATTCATACATTTGAGATCTCAATCCGTAATTAATGCGCTAGCAGGTCAGGCAAATCTCCGAGGAGGGTGTATTCTCGTCCCCGGGCCTCTTCAATGCCGAGATTCCGAGGATTAAGTTTCAATTTCTGGGTTCGGTGGAGAACGGATCAAAACCGAAATTAAAAATCGCTAATGAAGGAAGATTGAGTTCAAGGAACATAATTAAAATGAAAGAGAGAACTCAGAAACACAACTTATATATAGGCACGGAGTGTAGGATGAGATATCCACAGCCCCAGCCTAACTACTATCTAAGTTGATCCAAAAGGTGGGTTTTCCATAGGTGGAGCTATTGTTCTATTGGCTACACTCTTGTGGGATACTCTAGAGTACTGTGCTGGCTGTCAGGTCCCGATAATTGATAGGCTGCAATTATTGTCAGACGACAATTGATACTGAGATAGTAAGCTACTAAGGGGTCAACTTAATATAGTAGATGTCCGAAAGCCGAATTCAGAATATCTTAGCGTTGTCATTCTCTATTATAGATCTTCTATATGATACGGGATCAACCCCAAGAGCTGAGCTCTATTAGTTAATTATGAGTCTAGATCCATGCACCTTCCCCTGAGTTTGCCCTATCTTGCTGCAAGGAATTACTCCGCAATTCGCCAATTCGAGAATCCTCCCCAGCCTTCTCTGTCTTCTCTGTCTTGTCTGTCTTCATGTATATCGTAAAATAGAGACCTTCTTTCGATTCGTCCGGGTCCGACGAGCCTTCTGACGAAGATTCGTCACCCAACCAACCAAGATGCACTCGGCAGCCACGAAGCAGTCTATAGTTTGGATTTTGTTCTGTAAAGCGATAAAGATGCAGAAAGTTCGAGTCCGCCAACAAGCTCCCAACCGCCGCAATACTCATTGGATTCTTCGGCAAGACATGATCTGTATTCATGAGCACCGATCCTAGAATACCAAAGATAAGGACCAGCCCTAGCATTACTTCAAGTACTCTGGTCGAGATTTCATCTTGCTGAACGCGGAGATTTTTCGGCACGGTCAAGTTGCCAGAAATAGGTTTGTTGTCCAGTGTCCCATTTGCAGCCAAACGAGCGTATGCTTTAAGCGGCTGTGCCCTCACAATCCTCTCCTGGCGCTTGATTGCCTCCCGGACCTTCGCATCGTATTGAGGTTCGCGGAGAAACTCCTTCGGGACTTTGTAGCGTCCATTCAGCAATGAGCTAAAGACATTGTCGATTCTAATATCTTCCTTTGTGAGATCTTTATCTATATAGTAACTAGTCAGAGTATCCAAATTGTAGATATCCCAGACTCCATTGAAATGCGGAAGAGGGTTGACAGAAGACTCGTCGGGTATCGGTGGGTGGTCCGAGGGTATATCAAAGCCGGGGAGTTTGAAACGAGTAATGGTATCGACAGATTCGATCTTGCCAGCACAAGTCATTGAACTTATATGATGCATAGTCAAATTCTCAAAGTACCCCCACACATACATCGTAAGGCGAGATTGGGTAGCCTCGCCGGTCCCAAAACAAAATATTGGAAACGTCTGTCCGAAATAACCGTCCTCGGGAAAATCAATGTTGTAATACGCATCGTCGTTAGTGAGAAATGTAGAATTCGCGCCGGGAACAGGGCAATCGTGGTTGGGCGGATAGAAGTGGATGTTAAACAGGCTCAGCCATGGCCCACCAGAGCCGTCTGCTAGGCCCTGGGAAGTATATGTAGAGAATCCCGGAAATTCTCCTTTGAGGCTTTTCAGCGTGTAGTTCAGCGCTTTTCCAGTTGCAAAAGTACAATCCGAAGATCCCCTGATAGCTGGGATGCGGACATCCGCATACAGATCTTCATTCGCGGTCCAATCTGAATATTCAGGAAAGGACAACTCGGGGAAAACTAGGTCTTCAAAGGTCCATTCGGGATAGCTGAGGTTGTCATTGAGAATATAGTCCGCAGTAATGAAGGCAGGTGTATCTGCCAGGAGAGCAGAAACATTAGGCGATTTGAAGAGGGTCTCCTGCGTGAAGTTTGAATTGAGGATCTGGGGCACTTCGACCGCTGAAAAGAGACCACTAGTCACGATCGTAAGAAACGAAGCAACTAATGTTGCCAATGTCGATGAAAAAACCGCGAAATTTCCGGTTCGGACCGCCCGGAAAAGATTTGTTATACGCAAGGCGTCGAGAAAGTTTGTTGCCAGAACATCAAAATCGATACCTTGAGCTTTCTGCAAGCCGACATAGGGTGCAAGAATCCTTGCATTAGATTCCAGGCTTCCGATTGACAGACCTATCACCATCATGACCAAGGAAGGAACAGTTGTCCAAAGGTAATGGATTGTGCCATTATCAGAAGCCTTGCCTAGTCCATGGTTCTTTTGAGAAATATGTAGAAGAGTCTCGAGGGCTATGATGACCCCTGTTATCACACAAAAGATAGGTATTCGAGACCAAATGTTCGGAAATGGCTTCCAAAACAAATTGGGCTGACGGGTGCAGCCTGAATTCTGAGTAGCATATTTACCGCGAGAATTGACGTATGACTCATCCCCATCAGCTTCAATCGAGGCCCCTTGTCGATGATTCCGCAAGAAGTACTTATTTTCACTGGTCCTCTCCTTCAAGACTTCGAGAGTCGAGGCGCCGGTCCCGCCGAGAGATCGTCGGAGTATCTGACTATTACTCATGATGTTGGCAATGGTTGATATGTTGCTCGGGTTTTGAGAAAGATTCCCATCATTCGGCCGCAGCAGAACCATGGCAACTGCTATCAGAGCCGATATCACCAAACAAACTTCAAGTACCCGCAGTGGCGACTGCATCACCAACACACGGTTATCCTCGACTATAATGGAGCCATTGGTCTGTGTGACCTTTTGTTTCCTAAGACCGCCATGTATGACCTGGGCAGCCATTGAACGATAAAAAGTCGAGGCCACTTCCTCAAGCACGCCATCTTGTAATAACACTTGTGCAGAACCAGTTTTTCCGGCAATCCATGTGCCAAGCTGGATTGTGTAATCAATAGGCACTTGTGGTTGTATCGAGGAATCAATATCTACCTCTGGGGGTTCGATGTCGTTATCCAAAAATGCAGGGTGCGCAGCAATGGGTCGATTAACTGCATTCCCCCAAGCAGACCCTTGCATCACTTGATCAGATATATCCCAGGCAGTGGGATTCGTAAAATCTGGCTTTTCTGTTCCAATTCTCTTGAGGACCGGTGCAGTTTCCAACTGACTCAAATTGGATGTGGCTTCCATGTTGACAAGGGAAAAGCGGGGCTTGCAGAACATTTGAACTGAGTTGTCGAGGACAATCTCGTACCTATGTGTCCAAAATGTGGAAGGGTGAGATGTATGGTTTTCAAGCATTCTTCCAAGATGGTAATGCGTCGCAAATACCAATATGCGGCTTCGATCCGTGTCGGTCGAGTTTTCACAGGTTACAGAATACATCATTGCTTTATAGGGGTTCCAACCCTTTGTTGAGAAGTTATCAAGACCTGTCAGATTGAAGATAGTGCAGGAAGGCGTCGTGATTCTGTTGTTTAAAAAGTCGAAAGTATTGCCGCCCCATGTATCGTTGGATCTTGCTACCTCCCACTGATCCACTACTAGCGTAGCATGTTCGCATTCTAGATCTGCTTCCATGGCTCGTATCGGGGCATGTATGGCCGAGACTCCCGAAGCACTCGGGTTACTGAAGCTCTGAAAGGCCAAATTTGCATTGGTGCCACTTGGGTATATCAGATTCTCGAACTGCACCTGATTGAGTGTGTCGAATGCTTTAACTTTAAGAGTGGTATCGTTGAACGCCGGGTTGTTTCCATCAAATATATCAGCTAGTTGAATAGGGACGTTCAACTTTTGCACATGAACTCTCTGCAGAGAGAGCAGACTTGTGGAGAACAGAATTGCAAGCTGTAATAGTAGAGAACAGGCGATCCCTGCGGCAACAATGAAGTGGCGATGTTTGAGCGATTTCCATAGTGCGACGGGCGGAATATTGTCGTAGTCTAGAAGCAAACTCTTGTCGACTTCTTCTGGTTGCTGCAGCGATCTCCATGGCGCATTTTGCTTGGCTTGAAACTCCGTACGCGCCCACAGTGCGCTGATGATAGTCAGGATCGCGGTTGGTGTATAGGTCCAGACATAGTGAAGACGTTCGACCGAAGATGCGAGCCCGTTCTGAGATTGTGAGATATGGTTCAATACCTCAAGGGCTGCAACTATTGCACAAGTGGCGAAGATGAAGCAGGTTATGACCAGCCTCCGTAAATAAAATGGTCGCCATGGCGTCGGTGGAGGTTGGCCATGGTCTTTGGAAGGCGGAGGAAGTGGATCTTTCCTTTTATTGAGAAATTCCCACCTAGGCATGACTAAGCTCTGATAAAGACCAGCCTTGAAATAACACAAATGAACACGAATAATCTCGGGGAAATAAATCTTTCTAATTAAATAGTTGTCGGTTACCCAACCCAACTGCATACTAATTATTGGACCCCACGTTGGAAAAGAAACTTTCAGAATAAGCGCTGTACTACTGTCGCCCGTGCTTGAGCTGAAACATGCCACCACAGCACAGGCTTGGCTGCATATCGGGTACGCGCCTGTTCTCACATATTTCCTAATCACGTAAAGCCTTGATGAGATACCTCGTATTTACAAACTGGCCCAGCGGCGCGCCCGGATTCTCAAACTATTTGGAAAGCACCATGATTCGTGATGGGATAAGCCGATAAATAAAAGGGCCACCTTAGGGCGAGCTTCCCAGCTAAAATTAGAGTATAATTTATTCAATCTACCGCTTGCGATGGTTCTGGCAGACGATAGCCCCTTATAAGTTTCTCTTGACCTCCCTAATAGCCTCAATCCCGTGATCGCCACTTCCTGTGGTTCTATCAATCATACGGTAATCCTACCTAGGTATTTGGTGCATTCGCATTCCCCAGAAGCGCTCTTGATATCATGGGCCCCGCTTTTAAGGGTTTTAAGGGTCCGGCGCTTTGATACTCTCAAGGAAGCGCCGGACAAGCCACCCTTTCTGAGAATTGTTTATCTCGATACCACTAAATCCCCAGAAAAAAGAATTTGCATGTTATGAGGAGCATTCTGTCATCCCGTAGGGTATCTAACGATGTGTCGTACAGCAGTGCCGAGCATCTATGTAGGAAAGAAAGGAGCATTTTATTAGGTCAAAGGTCAATGTGAGGGTCGCCGCGATCGAGGAGAGGAAAAGAAGGGCATGGTGAAGTAAACGGAGGAAGGCATAAATCTACCCAGGATAGTGAATACCAGAAGAGATAAAATAAAATATACTGCAACAGCGATATAAGAATGCCAATACAGCCGAAGCAAGACAAGGTATGCGAGGACGGAATCTACAATACTACCAAGAACTATCCTCGATTCAAAAAGACGGTGTTGATTAATTGTAATTAAGCACTACAGAATAGCAGTCGCATTTGCATGAGACCCAACACCACCTGGGTACTGTCAGCGGCTATTTCCAACACAACCACACAGAGCACATTTGAAAAACTTACCAGGCATATTCGCAGGGGCACTTGTCATAAAAAAGGTCCATTTACCAAGCGCCCTGCATTTAGCCGCCAGCTTCTCCAAATCCCACATCTCACCAATTGGGCAACCCCAAAGCGACAGCATACTCTGATGTAAGCTTATATGATCCGGTCCAAAATCCGGTGGAGGCCAGACCTCGAAAGTTGGCGAATCACCAACCCCCCCCCGGCAAAATAGCAGTCGTGTAACCAGTCCCGCAAGGGCTTTTCACGCGAGAGTCCTGCGAATTCCACTTTTTTGCGAGTAGCTGCGGCATGGCGTTCATCTGGGCTGAGTTTATAATACTCCTGTACGAAGCCGGAGCGTACGAATAGCACATCTCCTGGTCGGATATCGCCACCTTGCGATTCAGGTCGAATATCAAGACCTTGGGTGGCGGCGCAGGCTTGGATCTCAGCGAGAGAAATCGCGTGTGCTTTATATGGGTGGTATGGCTTATTGTGAGTATGCGCATAGTGATAATAGTCCAAGAGCACGCCTCGACCAGCAATACCGTGGTCTGCCCAGTGATGAATGCTACAGCGAAGGTTGGGATTTTCGCCCACGAAATCGGAGCTTTTCGCCTGCATCCATCTGTCAGTATCTAGCAGAGAGAGGGCTAAGTTTGACGCCATACCCCATTATAGAAGGTCTTAGTCGGGACATGGCAAAACTAATTGATGATAGTTAGCCGATCAGCTGTGGGATATTTGAAAACAGTTCCATTCTGGGAATTTACATGTCTGAAGCCATCCCACTGGGTACTGCTCTGTGTATTCATGGTATAGGTATCGTCATATCCCATATCTGCAATGTTCGTTTTGATTTTGTGCTGGAATACTTCACGACCGAACGCAGGCGTCGTGGGTACATTCAGGGGAAGGCTAATAGATTGCAAGGTTATTATAGGCCAGTTGGGTATTTGAGCAGTTGCAGCAAGACTCACTCCAGTCGAACCATATGCCCAGTCTTGATCTCCGCAGCAGCCGCCTTGACTCGTTCTGGCGTCAAAAGATTCAGTCTTCCAAGCTATATCAAACAATATTAGCAGCTGAACGATGCTATGACCAATGTACATATACCTGATCTTCCTTGCCCCAGACCCAAGCCGCACCTTGAGGGGCATCAGGCAATGTCGGAAGCTCGTCGTGAGAAGGGAACCTGAGGGAATTGGGGTCCCATGGCAACTGCTGCGGTGACTGAGCTTGCGACATCTTTGATTCTTTCGTTTCAAGATGATTCGAAATTGCGAAGAGTCGACCGGTCGAATTCGAGGGTGGCATATTCGCTTAATGGTAAGTGTTTGAGCTGAGACTACGTAGACTTGTTGAGTAGGCCAATAGAACTGGTGTCACATTAATATGAGTACAGTGGACCTAGGCGGAGGTGCGGGGATGCGAAATCCTTGCCGAAAAGAGTCCATAAGTACCGAGGATGTTGGAGCATGGCGTGTCGGAAACCGGAGAGGGCTTCTCCACTTGTGCTCCGAAATGCTTCCTCGAGTCCACTGGGTCATCGTGACGGGAATTGTAAACAGTGATCTGGACTGATTTGTCATGAAACTTCGAACTAGACGTGGTCGGCGAAGACCTGAAATTCGAATACTACATTGAGGAGAGAGAATTTACGAGTCAAAGCCAGACTTTTTTTAGAGGGCTTAAAAGCCCTCCATTTTCCTTTTTCATTGATGGGAGTTGTCTCCTCAAGTCATGGATATGATACATCCGCATGCAAAGGCCACCAAGCCCATAGATAAATTGGCCTTGAGATGATTACGACCATACCCTCAAGCGAGATGCATGTCGCAAGCCATCGGCGCATCTGTGATGTCGAAACAGAGCACACCAGGTAAAAAATTCCCACCCAAAAGACTTAGCAGGAACGACGCTGAAAAGGGGTATGCTTGACGTAAGACAGAATAAAGAGAAAAAGATTCAAACACCCTAACAGAAACAGAAAACACCCATAGTTGCCGGCCGCAAAAAAAAATCGTATTGCCGTCCCACAATGCCCAGTCCATGTTCATTCCCATTGCGCCGAAGAGAAGAGACGGATTCAAGCATAAGCATTCATGTCGTTCATAGGTCAGGACACCCCAAGGAATATGAAAAGAAAGAAAAACAAGCAATCATTGCGTAAGAAGCAGGTTGGTAGATGACTTCATTTAAACCTGGGAGGGGATACCAGTGGACTGCGAGGGGGGACGTCCGCCACGCATGCCACCGCGGCCACGACCACCATAGCCGCCTCGGTAGCCACGTCCACGTCCAAAGCCACGTCCACGGCCACGGCCGCGACCGCGGCCATAGCCATCAACGCTGCCCTGTCCGAAGGTCTCGATATTACGTTTCTCTTCTTCGCCGCGCCATTCGCGACCACCGAGACGGCCCGCAGAATTTTCCTCACGGTCACGAGCTTCGCTTGAGATGTTGTCGAAGAAGGAAGATGTGCGGTTGTATTGATTGTGCGTGTCATCGACCTCCTGTTCGTGGAATTCGTGGGATTCGGCTTCGGCGGCAGGAGATCCGGTAGCAATAGCCTCCTTTACCAGGTCCTGCTTGTTGAACTTGGCGTTGGCAGTTTCGAAATCGTAATCCGACTTAGGGATTTCAATCTTCTTGTGCTGGGTGCGAGCACCTCCGCGGCCGCCTCGTGGGTACTGATGACCACCCCGTGGGGCCTGTGTGCCATCATAAGGCCGCATCTCATTCATCTTACGAGTGACAGAATCAACGGAGGCGCCAGGCTGACCTGGCTTGTTTTGAGCACCAGGTTGGGGAAGCTTAGCCATGGCGGCAGCAACTGCATTGGCGGCAGCAGTAGTAGCATCGGTCGCTAGAGCACCTTGTGAGGCGGCAGCAGGAGCAGTAGGCATCGGGACAACAGACTTTGGTGCAGCAATAGGAATAGCTGGCATAGCTCGACCATTCCGTTGAGGGGCACCATATCCCGGAACAGCCTTAGGGCCAACTGAGCCCTGGACAGCTTCGGCGACGGAGGGCTTCGACTCGACCGGAGGAGGTGGGGCATTCTGAGCCGCCGGTGTTGCAGGCTTGCTAGGAATCTTTTCTCCCGAGGGCAATTCAGATGTAGCACTGGGGCCCGTGGGGGCTCCTGGGGGACCGGGCCTCTGCTGGGGAGGCGGCGGCTGCTGCTGTCCGGGGCCACCCATGGGCATCTGGGGAGGGAACTGACCCGGCCCCTGCGGGAAACCGGGGCCAGGTGGAGGATACCATCCTGGCGGCGCCCCATATGGCATGTTGGGAAAGCCACCCGGTCCTGGAGGGAAAGGAGGCGGGGGAAAGCGCTGTCCATAGGGCGGGTAGAAGCCTTGCTGGAACTGCGGCTGCTGAGGGTAGCCAGGAGGCGGCTGCTGAGCACCCTGAGGCTGCTGAGGGGGGGAGGCCAGGAGCACTAGATCCGGCTTCAGGACCTTGCCCAGGAGCAGGTCGTGACACATTCTGCTTGGACTCGAGTCAGCAAGATAGTTCAATTGACACACAATGAACGAAGGCAGTTGCAGGAATGAAGGGTTGGTTGATCAATCAGAAGGAAGGCAACGGAAAATTCCACATGGTTTTGCGCATTAAGAACAGGTCTGTGTTTACATCCGAAATGATTCATCATTTGATCAATTGCCCGACCGCGATGGGTGCAGGCGAGGAAGATTGGGGTTGGGTTGTGATGTTCATAGAATCGAGGTGTACTTACTCCCAGAATGGCGGGGTCATCCGGAACCCGAGGAGGTTCGGGCTGTGTGTTCTCCTGCTTTTCCTCGCCGGCGACACTAATGTCCTTCACATCACTTCCACGGAAAACGATGTATTCATAGACACTAGCCGAAGGAGCGACCTCCTCGGCGGGGTTTCCCCGACGACCCTCGGTGCCAAATGATTGAACATTCTCGAGGGCTATTGTGGAGGCTTCAGGGTTGATTTCGTGAAGTGTGCCAACATAGCTGAGAAGAATGAGTAATGAATCAAGGTGTGACGGGATCAAGTAGAGGGAAGCTTACCGAATATCGCTCTTTGAGATCAGGTTGAAACGCTGACTGCCAGGTGTTAACTCCAGCCCAGCCGCACAAACCCTGGTTCCGAGCAGCAGGTGCAGACTGACCCTATCAAATGGTTCATATCCATCCTTGCAGGGAGCGCGGAACCGCGCAAGTGAGAGTGAAAAGAAACAAAGGGAAAATAGTGATAACACGTGGAGGAAAAGGGTGATTGGGTAGAATGGGAAGAGGAGAGAAGGAGAAAGAAGAAAATCTGCGTTCAGGTTTTTGGTGAAGACGGGCTACGGTGGACTGCAGAAGCTCCGAGAGCAGTTTTGGACTGTGCGCGGGTGGGTCGAGGGGGCGCTTTTTGTGAGAGATCCAACGCTGGGGAACTCTCCTTTTGGAGAACTTTCAAGAACGGGCAGAAACCAGACATTCACCAGAGACGGAGGCAAAGACACCATGACGACCTCGTCCAATCGTGACCATTTTTTCCAAACTTCGTGAGCATCACCTACTATTTGCGGGACCGGGATATACCATGACAAAATATATCCATTCACGACGCACGGCTTGATGCTGATGGAATGCTGGCCACAGTGCTGCCCTCGACGAGCAGCAACGAAAAGACACCAAGTCAGAGAATGAAAATGGAAACCCCATCAAGCTACAGAGCAAGATTCTAGCGGTTCGAGCAGACCCGTCGCATCCGGGATCAATCTATGTTGCTCAAAGTAGTGGGACCGTGAGGAGAATTATTCTTGGAGTATGTGATGGTACCTCACCCGGCAGTACCTTGCTAACAATTCTCTACAGACAGGAGAATCTACCGCTCTATTCAAAGGCCCCACTGCCCCATTAACCAGTGTTTGTCTCAGTCCTGACGGGAAGCTGCTGTTTGCTGGCTGCTGGGACAAGACTGTCTGGAGTTGGGATGTAGCCTCAAGAGAGACCCGGCAAAGATACGAGGGGCACAGTGATTTCGTGAAATCTGTGATCTGTGCCAGACTTGGCGGGGAAGATCTACTCATTACCGGCGGCGCCGACGCTCAAGTCCTTGTTTTCAACATTGCGACTGGACAGCGAACCGAGACCTTCAAGGGCCATGCGCGAGGCATCCAGGATCTCAATATTGATCCGGAGGTGGATGAAGCTCAGGCTATTGTCTTCAGTGCAGGCAGTGATCGAGAGATTCGCCAATTCAAGATATTTGGAGGTGGCGATGATGGAGAACCCCTCCTTCCTCACGAAACCAGTGTATACAAGCTCTTTTTCGACCAGGACGGGGACCTCTGGACGGCATCTGCTGATAAGACAGCCAAGTGCCTCGTGCGCGCGGATGGATGGAAAGCGAATCTTAGCTTAGAGCACCCGGACTTTGTACGTGATGTGGTGGTGTACGAAGCCGGCGGCTGGGTTGTAACAGCCTGTCGAGACGAGGAGGTACGGGTATGGAATCGATCGGTAAGTCCCTCCCCCTTGCATCAACTGGAGCATCTAGAGACTGACCACTCTAGACCGGTGAGCTCCATCACATCTTCTCAGGTCACTTCGAAGAAGTCACTGGACTTGCTCTCGTTGGATCGACAGTTGTTAGCGTGGCTATCGATGGAACAGTTCGCCAGTGGTCCCTGCGACCTGACGACCTCCAACTGGCCATTGATACAGCGAAGAATGGACCGACCAAGGTAGAAGAGCCTAAGGCGGAATCAATGCTCACGGAAGAGGAAGAGCGCGAGTTGGCCGAATTGATGGGTGATGATTAATTAGACTTCTTTTGGTTGATACCCATCCCGGACGTGTACAGATCCAGCTGTGTATTCTGTAATACAAACTTATGAAAATATGTTCATGATGTTCAATTTCTCTCCTCCAAATAGTCGAGTTGACTATCAATGGTCTGCTCTTCAGTCCTGGCCATGCCACGTGACCTTCCTGATGCATCGATGACGCACCTGGCCGATCTCCCGTGCCCTGAGGTCAAGTTGCGTTCCCCCACTTCTGGTCCTCCCCTCTTCTGTGCGACATCGTCCTGAATCCTCCGCTGTATTGGCTCAGACCCTGGTTAGTCTATCTGGACGTGGGTAGTATCAGCTTGGTATATTCTATTCCGTTTTCCGTTAGCTCCAAACTTCTGGTCCGCGATACCTCCCAAGCCCGCGGGACTTCTCGATCCTCGACTCTCGATTCTCCTCACCCCTTCGAGTTATTGCAGAAAAGACTACAGTATGCAGACACAGCACGATGTATCAGATGCGGCCCCACAACTGGTCAACCGGCTTGGCGAAAGCAGATCACCCTATGTGAGACTGGTTGTATTGTCTTTGGAGAGCGACCAACGCTAACAGTCCGTAGGTGCGCGGGCATATGAATAACCCGGTAGCATGGCAGCTCTGGGATGCATCGGCAATCAATCTCGCGCAGAAACATAATCGTCTGATTTTCCTTAGCATTGGATATTCGGCCTGCCACTGTATGTAGCCCCGCCAAGCCTGAACAAACCCCTCCAGATCAATGGCTAACGGCTTGAAGGGTGCCATGTCATGGAAAAAGAATCATTTATGTCCCCAGAGGTTGCTGCCCTTCTCAATGAATCATTCATTCCTATCAAGGTCGACCGCGAAGAACGGCCAGATATTGACGATATCTATATGAATTATGTCCAAGCGACCACTGGCTCAGGGGGTTGGCCCTTAAACGTCTTCCTCACCCCCGCCCTCGAACCCGTGTTCGGAGGCACATACTGGCCCGGTCCCAACTCCTCCATGTTGCTGGGTCCTGAAACCACTGGTTTTGTGGAGATTCTTGAGAAGCTGAGTGATGTTTGGCAGACACAGCAGCAACGCTGCTTAGAGAGCGCGAAGGATATCACCAAGCAGCTGCGGGAGTTCGCCGAAGAGGGAACCCACTCGCAACATGGAGAGCGAGACGATGACGAAGATCTGGATATCGAGCTTTTAGAAGAGGCCTATCAACATTTTGCGTCTCGCTATGATAGCATCAATGGCGGATTCGGCCGCACACCTAAATTTCCCACTCCGTCTAATCTCACTTTCCTTCTTCGACTCGGTACATACCCTAGCCAAGTTACTGACATTGTTGGCAAAGAAGAATGCGAAAAGGCGACTGCTATGGCGGTCACAACTCTAGTGAACATGGCCCGTGGCGGAATTCGGGATCACATTGGTCACGGCTTCTCTCGGTATAGTGTGACGACTGATTGGAGTTTACCCCATTTCGAGAAGATGCTGCATGACCAGGCACAACTTTTGGATACCTATGTTGAAGGGTTCCGTCTGACCCATGATCCTGAATTGCTGGGTGCTGTTTACGACTTGGTAGCTTACTTGACCAGCCCTACTTTGCAATCACCAACCGGAGGGTTCTTTTCATCTGAGGATGCTGACAGTTTCCCAACCCCCAACGATACAGAAAAGCGGGAGGGTGCCTTCTATGTCTGGTCGTTGAAGGAACTCACCCAAGTGCTCGGTCCCCGAGACGCTCCCGTCTGCGCCCGTCATTGGGGCGTACTGCCTGATGGGAATGTTGCGGCTGAATACGATCCACATGATGAGTTCATGAATCAGAATGTGCTGTCAATCCGTGCAACACCAAGCAAGCTAGCCAAGGAATTTGGACTCGGTGAAGACGAAGTGGTGAAGATGATTAAAAGCGGGAAACAAAAGTTGCATGACCACCGAGAGAAAACTCGAGGGCGTCCAGATCTAGACGACAAGATCATTGTGGGTTGGAATGGATTGGCGATCGGGGCACTCGCCAAATGCAGTGTCTTATTTGAGGAAATTGAGAACTCCAAGGCCGTCCAATGCCGGGATGCCGCCGCCCGCACAATCGGCTTTATTAAAGACAATTTATTCGACAAGCCCACGGGTCAATTGTGGCGTATCTATCGCGATGGGAGTCGTGGTGAGACCCCTGGCTTTGCTGACGACTACGCCTACCTAACCAGCGGTCTGCTGGACATGTATGAGGCTACCTTTGACGACAGCTATCTCCAATTCGCCGAGCGGCTGCAAAGTAAGAACCTTATTTGGATTCCAGCTCCCTATACTGTACATTGGCTAACTGACCTGGATCGCAGAATACCTGAACGAATATTTCCTCGCCAAGACTGGCTCCACGCCTGCTGGCTACTATAATACACCTTCAAGTATGACTCCTGGCATGCCTGGCCCACTCTTCCGACTGAAGACCGGTACGGAGTCTGCCACGCCGTCTGTCAACGGCGTGATTGCCCGTAATCTACTACGTCTGGCCGCCCTGCTGGAGGATGAAAGCTACCGAACCCTTGCGCGACAGACCTGCAATTCGTTTGCGGTCGAGATCATGCAGCACCCTTTCCTTTTTGTTGGATTGTTGGATGTGATTGTAGGCCTCCAAATCGGGACTCGGACCATTACAGGTGTCTTTGGCACCGCAGACATTAGCAAAGAACCGGTTCCACGCGATAGCATTCTCAGCCGGCGAGATGAACCCGTCGCAGCGCGCGATCTGCTCTCACGACGAGTTCGATCCGAAGCCGGTACCGGGTTTGGTTCTTCATCCGTTGTTACCTCGTTAGTCGATGTGCGGCCCTCCCATACAAAAGATTTTGTGGGCAATCAGTCCTTCTGGTTGAAAGGGCGCAATCCACTATACAAAGATCTCGACAAAGCTGACCCGCCGAAGAATTATTTGTCGATATGTGAGACCGGGACATGTCGAATTGTGGATCTTTAGAGAATAATGTTTCCTTTTGTTTTTCTTGGGCCGTTGGGTTTGATTTGTGGCGTTCTGGTGTATGTGTGTGAATATTGGTGACCTTTGATTTGATTGGACGTGGCTGGTGGCAACTCGTGTCGGAGTTGACGCCAGATATCAGACGTCAGATCGGGGGACCGATCGGAGATTGGGGTTACAAAATCTACAAGGGTTCATCCATGGATATAGTTTAGATAATTTTTCTCTCTCATTGAATGGGTTGTCTATCGAGCACTGGCTAAAAACGGGGGTTGCAAGGGATCTGAGATGGCGTGTGGATTCATGAATCCGAGCAAAGGGTACCATGGCCCGCCCCGGGTTCCTGAGGGTTCCTAACTAGCGGTATAGCAAGGCGAAGCCGTGGTGGTCCTGCATCATTTTGTGCCCCTAGTGGGACATGAAGTGAAGATTATCCAGTGTGGTGGGTGCTGTCATGTCCACTCTCAATCGGGTTCCCGATGTTGTGTACCAAAGGACAAGACGAGCACCCAATCTGCCCAATTTCCAGACCTGAGTCAAAGTGGAACGATCGTCCGAGAAGGCTTGCGAACTTGGATTTTCTTAAGTACAAGCACGATTTCACCCCCCAAAACCCAGGCTCGACCCAGCGTGTCCAGCTGGATCCGAATCCTCGTGCCGGCTCGCCTCATTCTGGGGCTGAAAGGCTGAAACAGGCGGCCGTACTCAGTTAATCAATGTGAAGAGAGTAGGGCCGTGCAGACGGAAAGCATTGGACCAGCCCAACAGGCCCCGGTCAAAGCCAAGTTTCTTAGCGGCGCCGCCGTTGTGGGTAATCTCCCGGCTGGCCAGTCATTGGCCCAGGACGACTCTGAAACTGAGTGGGCAAGGGTAATTTGACCCCTTGGCACAACTATATGATGCACCGTGATGCGATGGAGTCTGGATTCATTCGATCCCATCTCTTCCGTCCGATCGTGGTTTCAGGCTCCTGACCCCCTTCTGGCAGACACTGTCATGGCCATTCGAACCGTGTTTGTGTTCATTCAGGGTCCATCCATGTACGCGCGGCAGCTAGTTTGGCCCCTAAATGGAGAGCAACGGCACTAGTGGAGTTAATGAATTGAAGATCCGCCCCGGGGGGGGGAGGGCTTTTTTTTTCTCATTCCCGTCGTCACATCCAGGTCTGCCCAGAGTCCCACCGCTCCGGAGGTCCAGATGCCATGCCCAGACGCCAACGACCCCCAGACCGGAGAATAATTTGCACTTCATTTTGCCCAGCCTCTAGCAGGCCCTGAGAGGGGAAGTAACCAATCGTAGAGTTGCACGAGTCGCATTGGAATGTAGAATGTCCCACGCCTGAAAGTGGCGGGAAGGGCAGGTCTGGTATGCGCGGAGGTTGGAGAATCAACCTGTACCTAATAAGTATGGAATTGAAGAACCGATTCTCTACAGAATCATCAGCAAAAAATCCTCTCGACTCAGGTTTAATCTCAAACATCAAATCAGAAACCAAACCCAAAAAACCAAGCCATTGAATCATTAAACTAATTAAACAATTCCTCCCCCAAATTGCCTTGGATCACACGGGCCCCACTCTCCTCCCCTTTCTCATTATCTCTCCCTTTCTACATTTACTACCTCCTCCCTCCTCCTCCCTCGCTTTTTCTCCATCAATCTTCCCGCCGTCCATCTTCTTCTTCCCTCATTGAGAGAAGAGGTGTTCCGGCCCGTCATTCCCTTTTTTTTTTTTGATCCAAAGCAACATCCACACTCTTTCCGTCCAGCCACAGTCGATCTGTGGTTTGTTGACTCCTCCCAACTCTCTATCAACACGAACTTCCTGGGGAAGTTCTTATTTGTCGCCCTCTATACCTGATTTGTTCGATCTGTGATCAGTGATCTGCCTCAATTTCCGCAATGCGCTCGAATCTGTTCCTCGCTGCTCTGGCAGCTGGGGCCGCCCACGCCTATGAGAAGCGTGTCTACGTAACCGACTGGACCACTGTCACTATTACCAAGACCGTCACTGCGTCCGCCGTCACCGAGACCGTCACCCCTGCTCAGCAAGTCCAGATTGCCAACACCATTTTCACCACCTCTACTGAGGCACCTGCTGTGGCGGAGACCAAGTTGACATCCGATCTTGCCAAGAAGTCCACTGAGGCTGTCCCTGTTAACGAGCCTGCCCCCACCGAGGCCGCTCAGGTTCAGCAGGAGCCCACCTCTTGGTTCTCTACCGCCTGGACCTCCACCTTCGAAGCTGCTTCATCGACTGAGCAGGCCCCGGCCCCGGCTTCGACCTCCTCGACCACCCAGGCCGCCGCCTCTACCTCGACCGCCTCTCTCTCTAACCTGCCCGGAAATCTGACCCCGGAGTACAAGGCGGACGTTCTTCACAACCACAATGTCCACCGCAGCAACCACTCGGCTGGTGCGCTCGACTGGCATGACAATCTGTATATCGCCGCCTGGAACCTGGCAGATCGATGCGTCTACGAGCATAACACGTAAGTATCTTTCGCAACGGTTGCGATATAATTGCATTCTATTGAGTACCCATATACTAACGCTCGATCTCTACTAGTAAACTGAATGAGACCACCGCCGGCAAGTACGGCCAAAACATCGGCTATGGTGTCGCATCCACGGTTGTTGGTGAGATGATTAGCAATCTGATGTACAACGACGAGATTGGTTATTACCCCGGCTACGGTGAAGCCGACCCCTCCATGGACCTCTTTGATAAGTGGGGACATTTCTCTCAGATCGTGTGGAAGGGCACTACTCACGTCGCCTGCGCCACAAAGGTTTGCGAGAACCTTGCAAACGCTGGTGGCACAAACGTTCCCTTCACTGTCTGCAACTACGGGCCCCCAGGTAACTACGAGAATGAATATGGTGCCAACGTCCTTGCGCCTAGCGGCGAGGCCACCTACACTGCCTAAGAATGCCTCGCGATGAACCACGGGAGCGAGATGACATGGAAAATCTTGGAGTTACCACGCTCCAACCACTCGTCCCTCGAGATGACCTCGCGCGCATCAATGCCTCGTGAAAACCTTCGACATAGTTGCATTCGCTGAATCTTGTCTTATCTTATTTTGTTTTTTTTTCTTCTCTTCTTCATACTTTCATGTTCAACCCGAATTGTCCGGGACTCTCCCAGGTGGCGAGCGGCATCGGGTCACCTGCCCTCGGAGTCGACTGTGGTCTCTCTGGACTTCTGTTGGTTCTTTTTTCTCTCCGGGGGCCCCTGTATCTACGCTGGAGGTGCCCTTTGTTTACTTCCCCTTCCTTGGGGAGAGGGACATGCGGGTACCCATTTTCAATTGTGAATATTGTTTTTTGACATGAAGTCCCCTAGCGTTCAACGGCCTCGTTACTGTGGATACAAAAACAAAATACGGATCAATGCGAATGTACTACTATGATATCAAAAAATGATCTACCTCCCTTGCTTGATAATGTTGATAAGTCACGTGCCCATAGCTCCCCCGCACCTTCGTAAGGTTCCTTTGGCCCGAGACGTCATTTCCCCCCACGACAAAGAAAAAGTGTGGGCTTCCAACCTGCTAAATTCGTTGCTTGTTTGCTTCCGAGTTTTTGCATGATGCATCTTATTATCTAAATATTCTTACCGATAGTCCCGAACCCGAGTTCACTGCTTAGAAGCTCTGTCTGAATTGGGTCCGGTGAGTTATTCCAAGCCTCCATGGCCATTCACCCCGGTGACTTTTCTGTCACGCACCACTACCTACCCCCATCACCACCCACCATCACAACCCTCGGCTTTTTTTTTCTCTTTCAAATATTCCTCTGAAGACTGTCCTTCGGTGACTCCCGATCAAAACCCGACTGATCGGCTCGGTTGGGCAGGAGTTCCCTATTTAGCTGAAATTATCTAACCTTAACGCTTCTAGGCCTCATCCGTTGCTCCGGCGCTACCCCCCGCGAGCTGCCAACCCACATTTCGTCCTTTTCTGTCACTTGTCGGTAGGTCCTTTGCCCCGTGAGCAGTTAGCTCCCTTCAATCCGAAAGGGCTCCACCAATCCGCAGCGCGGGGCCCCGTGTGGTGCCGATGAACTATACCCTATATATGGCTGTCCTACTCCCCCAAGTCGATCGCTCCCCTGATGTCCTTGCCTTGCTTTGTATCACATCTCAAACTTCTTTATCATCACGATCTTCTCAATGAATTAGCCCCAATGCCACCTTACTGCCTGCAAGATTGTCACTACTTCTACCGCACTGCCCTACGTCTCCTGTCCATTCCGACTTGCCTCGCTAGCCGTTACGCTTGATCGGAAACATCATCCACTAACACCATGTCTTACTCATCGACGGCAGTTCGTTTCTTCACTTCTCCCAAACCACTTGGGGCTGCGATGAACTCCGAAACCGCAAAGCAGCCTGGGTCCGAGCCCCAGGGTCACACGGTCGTTAGACCGACTGAACACGCTGGGGGCGAGCCGGTCGAACCACACACGCCAAAAACCCAAGGCTTGACCTTTGCGAACCAGGAGTCACTCCCAAAACTACCCATCCCGAGCTTGGAGGATACATGCCGCCGCCATCTTGAATCGCTTGCCGCGCTACAGACGCCCCGCGAACATGAGGACTCGAAGGCAGCCGTAAAGGACTTCCTGAAAACAGACGGACCACTGCTACAAGAACGACTGAAAAACTATGCTTCCTCCAAAACTAGCTTCATCGAACAGTTCTGGTACGACTCTTACTTGAATTTCGATAGCTCGGTTGTCTTGAATCTCAACCCTTTCTTCCTGTTGGAGGACGACCCCACTCCGGCTCGCAATCACCAAGTGACTCGAGCTGCGTCGCTGGTAATTTCAGCTCTTTCATTTGTACGCGCGGTGCGGAGGGAGGAGCTACCTCCGGACACAGTGCGCGGGACACCCCTCTGCATGTACCAATACTCCCGGCTTTTTGGAACGGCCCGTCTGCCAACCGACAATGGCTGCGTTATCAGTCAAGACCCTGCCGCCAAGCACGTCGTCGTAATGTGTCGGGGACAGTTCTACTGGTTTGATGTCCTCGATGATAACAGCGACTTGATCATGACTGAAAAGGATATTTCACTCAATTTGCATGTTATCATCGAGGATGCCGCGCAGACGCCCGTCCAGGAAGCTGCCAAAGGAGCCTTGGGTGTCCTCAGTACGGAGAACCGCAAGGTATGGTCGGGACTTCGTGATATCATGACTAAGGATTCGGAATCAAACAACGCCGAGTGTCTCAATATCGTTGACACCGCTTTGTTCATGTTGTGTCTCGATGACACGGAGCCTTCGACCACCGCAGAGCTCTGTGCTAATATGCTCTGTGGTACCAGTGAGGTGATCAAAGGCGTGCAGGTTGGCACTTGCACTAATCGATGGTATGACAAGCTGCAGATAATAGTTTGCAATAACGGCAGCGCTGGTATCAACTTCGAACATACTGGTGTCGATGGTCACACTGTCCTGCGCTTCGCTAGTGACTTGTACACCGATACCATTCTCCGTTTTGCCAAAACCATCAATGGTCAAGCACCGAGTCTATGGGCAACAACCAGCCCGGACCCAGCTAAGCGTGACCCCCGCAGCTTCGGAAATGTCAGCACTACGCCTCGCAAGTTAGAATGGGATATGACGCCGGAGCTCAACATCGCCCTTCGTTTTGCCGAATCACATCTCTCAGACCTTCTCCACCAACATGAGTTCCAAGTCCTCGACTTTGAAGGCTATGGAAAGAATTTCATCACTTCTATGGGCTTCTCTCCAGACGCCTTCGTTCAGATGGCATTCCAAGCCGCCTACTATGGTCTCTATGGCCGCGTCGAAAACACCTACGAGCCCGCAATGACCAAATTCTTCCTTCACGGTCGCACCGAAGCCGTCCGTACCGTCACCCCCGAGGCCTACGAATTCGTCAAGACCTTCTGGGGTGAGAATCCTGTCGAGACTAAAATTGATGCCCTGCGCACTGCCGCTCAGCGCCACACGGCGATCACAAAAGATTGCTCCAAGGGCCAAGGCCAGGACCGCCACCTCTATGCACTCTATTGCCTCTGGCAGCGCTCTTTCGATGAGGGTTTCTTCCAGGATTCCAGCTCGACGGGTGGATACTCCAGCCCCAGCGACGGGCTGGACTCCCCAACCTCCCAGCCGTCCGAAGATGGCTACTCTTCTCCAAATGGCAGTAGCATCCGCGCAATGCGCAGCGCAACACCGCCCACACCAGCGATCTTCAGCGACCCGGGCTGGGATAAGATCAACAACACCGTTCTCTCAACCTCGAACTGCGGCAACCCATGTTTGCGCCACTTTGGGTTCGGCCCTACCTCCGCGGACGGCTTTGGCATAGGCTACATTATCAAGGACGAGTCTATTTCCTTCTGTGCCTCGTCGAAACACAGACAAACCTCCCGCCTGATGCAAGCCCTTGAATCATACCTCTTCGAAATGCGGAAGCTTCTCCGCGCGTCGAATCGCAAGACGTCGAGTCCGAGAACAAGTCGGGCGCGTGAGACGGAGGCATTGGCTGAGCGGTTGCAGAGTGAATCGCAGCGTCGGGGACGCATTGTACGCCCTGGTGCGGGCGGAGCCGAGACGCCCACTACGACGACAGATAGCGCCGAGATTGAGGATGACGGCATGGGTGGATGTGAGTTTTTCCCCCTTCAATCCTTACAGTGTCTTATACGCTTTTTTGGTGCGGTTGTGCTAATTTGATATGTCCAGATGGTTTCTTCGATGCGGGTATGCTTCTTCACGCGCTGAAGGGCGTTAATGCGGAACGTGAGCAACGAGGCGAGAAGACGGAGAGAAAGAAGTTTGTCGGCAAGAAGCTCCATTTGAATGAATACTAAGTGTAAGATGATACGTGGATGATGCAAATCTTGAGTCATGATATGAATGAATACTTTCGATCTACTACGAATCTATGATGTCCTCGAGGGAGTCTTAGCTAGCACTGTGCGATGGCCGTAGAGCGCGATACGCGGGATGTTAACAGCTAATACCAGTTAAGACTTGAGCACACGGTCTCAGAATCGATGGTAGCTGGTGAGTTAGCTACTTTGTTAATGTACATCCGATTGCTTAGCTTAATTATATCCAGCCCAAGCCCCTCGAAGACCCCCTCAAGCACGACGATGCTTAGCAAAGTGTCTCTTCTTCACCATTGAGCTCTTCATCATGCGCACACTCTGTGCATAATCGCTCGTTCCGTGAGCAGGGTCGCTATCAGTTGCATTCTCCGCTCCGCACACGGATCCTGCATTATAGTCACCCAAAGGTCCATCAATAGCGAAGAACTCCGACTTGGACGGATCATTGAGCATATTCTCAGCAGCCTCCGGTAACCATCCATTGATGAAATCACCATGGGAGCAGTAAGAGGATCCACAGGCCAGCTCCAGAGGCGGCTGTCCCTCCCAACCATCGGGAAGAAGTTTGCGGAGATCATAGCGAATAGAGAACCGCAGCTGCGGAATCCGGTACATACCCTTGGGACAATAATTCTCTCCATATGTCGGGAAATAATTAGGATTCTCGGAGTACGCCGCCTCAAGGGTGTCCGGGTTGGCACAGTCGTGGAAAAGGAGGAGGGTTTGCAGGTGCGTCGAGCAGGTCTTTGTTGGGAATGCAGCGTCATCTACGTCTTCGTCCTCCGAATCCCCTTCACAGAACCATTTCATTCCTGCGTTGCTTTCTAGAACATCTTGTGATTGGGCCGAGGCGTTGCCGGCAACGTCCTTGTAGTTTTGTGGGATGGCGATCTCGGCTGAGTTCAGGTTCTCGTAATAGGCGCTGAAACGCATTGGGGTTATGGCGGTGTGTTTGCCATCCTGTACAAGGTAGAGGGTTGGGACCCCTATGTTGGAATTAGTGTCTATGATAGTACTATAGGCAAAAGGTTGATTAGAAGATACGAACAGTAGGTCGAGAAGTCGTTGGGGTTCTCGGTGGACGAGCAACCCTTTTGCAGTTCCGCAGATGTAGTCGTATTGACAGTCACGGCATCAGAGCCAAAGAAGCTATGCATGTGGCTAGTGTATTGTCCCGGTAGCATGATAGGGTCGATATTCTTGAACATGAATAGATCGGTGTTGGTGACGGTGTATGCTTGGGCTAGACCAGCTGCCCAGGTAGAGAAAAGAATGGAAGAACGCATCGTGACGGTAGACTCTCAGAGCCAATACCCAACTAGAAAACAGCAAAAGGGGGGGGGGAATGGAATGGAATGAACGAAAAAAAAAAGGAAGAGCGTGCATTGCAGAATGAGACGACGATAGAGACAGAATTTAAGGGTTCAGCATATGGAAAGATCACCAGATTTCAATAAACAAGTAGCCCCTGCCAACCGTCTGCGGTGGGCCTTTTAATAAACTACAATAAGCTACCGAACGGTGGCTGTTACAGAGGTCCTTCAAGAAGCAAAGATATTCAAGCGACTCCTATCTGGTGGACCGATATGAATCCGTGTTGTTTCACCATCGCTTGCGGGCGCTAGGTGAAGGAGTTTGAGACGACGCCCCTCTTTATTTGCCGAGAGGTTCGGCAACATTAATTTACCGGTCAAGGAGGTGGTGAGTTGGCATTGGAAATTGATGGCTCTACTAGTAACCTGCATGTCACTACAAATTTAGATATATAATGGATTCTTAGTACTAGTATTTTATAAAGTTGAACCTTAAAATAGCGGGTATGACCATCCTTGGTTCCACCCATGAACTGCAGGCTAAAACTGGGTTCCAGAAGATCGGCTGAAACGTGATGGTTAGATGCTACTAGTAACTACCCGCTAGACATTTCTAGAGCAAGTCTCGATTTTAGAATTATCTAAGCTATACTACTAATTAGTAAGGACTACGAAATAAACATCTATGAGTATAGACTGAGTGCTGCACATGTAAGCAATGACGCGGGAACCTCCATTCTGCGAGTGTGGGGAACTCCGAGACCGGATAGCCGACTTGGGGAAATAGCCTTGGGGAAATAGCCGTCTTCCAAACCACTTCACCAACTCTCCGCCCGGGCTCGAGGCGTGCCAATACAAGTATTCCCAGAAATTGACCACTACATAGAAAGAGTTCTCGCTTCTTTCGCCTCAGCTCTTCACACAAAACGGGCTCCCACTCCTTCAACAATCCCCATGGCCCTACGCTTATCCAGACACGCGCCCCAGCTGCGTTGCACCAGGTCATTCTCGACTTCTCCACGCTCCGCAAGATATTCCGATACACTGCCAAACTTGAAAATTGGAGCGCACACCCGGGTACTCTTCCAAGGGTTCACAGGTGAGTTGTCAGGCTCATTGTACGGCGCTGGTTCATGCCAATGCTAATCCCTGCCCAGGACGGCAAGCGACGGCCAATGTGAAAGAATCGCTAGAATGGGGCACGAAAATTGTCGGCGGTGTCAAGCCCGGTGTGGAGGGTGAACATTTGGGACTTCCTGTTTTTCCCCTCTGTGAAGGTGGTATGTGTACAACCCGTAATGGATTGGACGTACTAGACCCTGCGGTTGGAACGAACTAATGCCATTGGGTCCTGTTTAGGCGCAGGAGAAGTCCAAACCTGATGCCTCGGCAATCTATGTCCCAGGAAATCAGACTGCACAGGCCATTGAAGAGGCTATCGAGGCAGAGATCCCACTCGTCGTGGCTGTGGCTGAACACGTCCCTATCCATGATATCCTCCGAGTAGGTCTACTCAATAGCTTCCTCTTGGTTGTCTGCACTAACAGGGGATTATAGATTCATTCCATGCTGCAAACCCAATCAAAAACCCGTCTCGTCGGCGCAAATTGTCCCGGGATAATCTCTGCCATCGGCAAGTGCCGAATTGGCTTCCAGCCTCTTCCTTGCTTTGCCCCTGGAAATGTCGGCATCGTAGCCAAGTCAGGGACCCTGAGCTATGAAACTGTCGCATCGACAACCCGAGCTGGTCTCGGACAGAGTCTTTGCATCAGTATGGGCGGTGACGTCTTGGCTGGTACCAACTTCGTCGATGCGCTGAAGATTTTTGAGCACGATGATGACACACACGGAATCATTCTGGTTGGTGAGATTGGTGGTGTTGCCGAAATGGATGCCGCGGAGTGGATCAAGGATTATCGGAAGCGAACTGCCAGTCCCAAGTATGTCTGTCCCTGTGTGTTGTAGGAGTCTGCTGCTAACAAGAACAGACCTATCATGGCTCTCGTGGGAGGCCTGGAAGCACCTGCTGGTCGAATCATGGGGCACGCTGGGGCTTGGGCGGCTCCTGGAGAGCCCGATGCGCAGACAAAATATCAGGCGCTAGAGCGGGCGGGCGCTGTCATGGTGAACCATCCAGAGAAATTCGGCGAGGGTATGAGGACTTTGCTAGGGGGGCAGTGGCATTCGTCCCGGTGCTAGCGTGAGTTCAAAGCTGATTATTTGCGAATCGGGAATGCTGACCTTGCCTAGGATATCTCGGTCACTGGCTCTGGGAAGCGTGGATTCCACACTATGCGACGTGTCACTCCTGCTTCAAGGCCAGTGTTCCAGCAGAATCGGAGCTTGTATATCAAACAATTTCAAGCATTCGATCTCTTAAAAGAGAAGGGTGTTCTTGTTAACGGATCGCCTTATAAGTCCGACGCATCTATCTCGATCTCAGTTGACCGGACATCTCTTTCGCCGTGCATCGTCGCTTCTCCAACCGCGGATTTTGACCCTGCTCAATCTCGCCGATTCCCATTCACTTATTCCCAAGCCAACTTCGATGGAAATCACCTTATTACTCAGGTTACTTCACATCTGGGCCTTCCTGCGTCTGCGCAAGGCAGAGTGTCCAGCTTGGTTCAGGCACTGTGGGACATCTTTAGGGAGAAAGAGGCATTCGTTCTGGAGACACAGATCGGAACAGCAGCTAACGGAGGTCTCGAGGTCCACACCGCAAGGTTCGGATTCGATGATGCTGCATTTCGCAGCTCAGGTCGACAGGAGGGGATTCACCGCCTGCGCAACACTGCTGAGGAAGTTCCAGCAGAAATTGAGGCCGAAAAGGACGGGATCGTGTACATCAGGTAGGAGAAACCGCATCACGAATGCTGCAAACGTCTCAGTACTAACTTCAAACAGACTAGAGGGCGAAGGCAGCGTTGGCACGCTAGTCAATGGAGCCGGCCTCGCCATGAACACGGTCGACGCACTTACGATTCACGGCGGCCACTGTGCCAATTTCCTTGATACCGGCGGCAAGGCCACCTCAGAAACGGTGAAGTCTTCTTTCCGGGTGATCTGCGCCGACCCCCGCGTCAAGGCCATTTTCGTGAATATTTTCGGTGGATTGACGCGCTGCGATATGATCGCTGAGGGGATCATCCTTGCCTTCCGGGACCTGAATATGCAGGTACCCGTTGTGGTGCGGCTGCGTGGAACAAACGAAGAACTTGGCCAGAAGATGGTACGTTGACATAAAATGGTCTTAAAGCTATCTCCATTTCTTCACTAACATGATTATCTGTAGATTGCCGAAAGTGGTCTGCCTCTGCATGCTTTTGACGGGTTTGAGGAGGCGGCTAAGAAAGTGATCACGTTGGCGCGGTGAGACTGAGACTTTGCATCATTGTAGATAGGAAGAACTACATACTGCTAGAACCAAGATATATAGACATTCCAGAGAGTTCTTACTGATTGAAGGCAAGACAGTTTTATTGAGGTATTCAGCCCCTTGTGCCATGTTTCTCCCAGTCATTGAATACCTCCAGACAGCTCTGTTAATACCGCATCATATCTATTTGTTTTGGTCTGAATGTGGTTTTCGTGTTCCAGTATGCCTTTGTTATCGTCGTGAGCTGTCTCGCCGTGCTTTGTTCTTGTCTCTAAGATCAAAGGCCTCGGATCCGCCCTCGTGGCTTGTATTGTGCTCTGCTACTACCAGTACTGGTTGTAGCAAAATGGGCTCCAGGAAAGTCTTGTAGATGGATCTGGTATTTAAATAGACCAAACACACTCACATTGAAGAAAACATCTTCCACAATATACTATTCTTTTACACCGTGACATTTAGTACTATTCAGTATTATCCAATTGCACCATCTACTTTCAACATGCTTTCTAATCGAGAACACGCCATCTTTGAAAAGGAGGGAGCTCAACTACGACGATGGATGGAGAATCCCAGTGAACCAGGCTGTTATATCCCCAGAGCCAGGATGTTCCTTTCGGATTTAATGGATACCTACGAGATGGACGCCCCGGAAATCAAAGGAGATATTGGGCTGAAACCTCTTTCTGATCCTAGCGAGGGTCCCGAATTGCAGCAGTTTCAATCTTTCCACTGGTTTCACCAAGAAATGCAGTTTGACGGACATGCAACACCCAGTTCTCTGACCATAGAAATAATCCGTAAGCCTGCCGACCGCTACTTCGAGTTGCCGCCGATTTCCGAGGTCGCGAAAGCCCTCTATGAGGACTCCTTTGCTCTTGATGGACTTGAGCATATCTTCGTCAAAAATATCCAAAACTACGAGACCAAGCGCTGCCTTGAAAATTTTATACTGCCTAATCACCCACCGGTGCCAGATTTAGGTAGCCTGACCTTGAACAGGCTTGAGTCGGATGCCATCCTGGGTAGTCGTATCGGAAAAGTGGTTGCATACTTCGTATTGAGCGCATTGTCTTTTTTCGAAATAAGGACGGGCGACATCTGAGATTTGATCTTGTGGCAATCTGAGAAAAAAGGACGAGGAATACCTTGATTGGATAGAAGATAAGTGGTTTTATTAGGTGGATATAGCGATAGAAGGCTAAAGGCCATGCATGGTATACATCATTTTTCTACTGTATCTTAAGGCATACAGCGATTAGAAATGGAGAAAATCACCACGAAGCCAATGTATTTGCTTTCCTGACCTGTAGCAATGCATCTAAGTATTTGGCATATGGTAATCCTTCGTTCATTGCTCCAGTCTCTCAACAAAAGAAAGACATTTGTGGCACGAGTAGTAATCGAGAAGAAGAAATGTTCTTTAGGATCAAACTGGGCCATGCAGTGCCCACCGATGTACTGTAGATGGTACGGTTGACCAATCAGGATGGCCCGGTGATGACGAGCGACGGCCACTCACATAAGGAACCGCCCCATCGTGGAAGCTCCGAGCTTCCTTGCAAATTCCTACCCCCACGATCCCCACCAGCTCTTTGCTTTCGACGCATCACTAGTTACGACCGTCCCTTGATAACAACTCGCTCATAACTCACAATGCCTTCGCCGAGCCCCGACAACGCCGGGTCCACGCGCAATTTCCCGACCGACCCGTCCGAATTCGATCGCGACCTACGCATCTCCTTCTCCAAGCTCGATGATAAATACATACTCGAAACTGATGACGGGCAAGAATTTGTGTATGACTCCGCCATCAAGCGATGGGTTCAATCGGTATGTCTGGCACACCGCTGGCTGCGCGCTGCTCCGTTCCTATCGCGGAGCGCAAGTTGCGACAAAGGCAGAAATCAAGGTCTCTACAATTCTAGCGCTTAGATGCTAACCCCTTCTTATCATTAGGTCGATGAAGAACTACTGCGCCAGCAGCAAGAAGCATACAAAGTCGAAGGAGTTGAGGACGAGCAAATAAACCACCCCCGCGATAGAAAGAAGCGGAAGCCGCAAGACGATGTGAGTTGCCTTCCGCGCAGTTCCTCAAGGCCGACGCTAACCTCGGGCTCTTCTCATTCTAGCCCAATTCGCAGAAACCCAAGAAGCAGCGCGTCAACACGGCGGTATATGTCACCTCAATCCCACTTGAGGTCGAGCTGGACGAGATTCGGGATGTCTTCTCAAAATGCGGAGTCATCGCTGAGGAAATCGACAGTGGTCGCCCGCGGATCAAGATGTACAACGACGATGACGGAAAGTTCAAGGGCGAGGTACTGGTAGTTTACTTTCGGCCGGAATCGGTCAATTTGGCGATTCAGATGCTGGACGAGACAGACTTCCGACTCGGGCAGCAAGGGCCGCTCGGTCCTATGAGAGTACAGGCTGCCGACTTCTCATTTAAGAGCCAACAGGATGCTCCACCAAAGACGAATATGCGTGATAAGAAGAAGATTATTGAGCGTACCCAGAGGTTGAATAGGTATGCAGTCCCTCCTTTCGGCTTACTACAGGGGGTCTTTCTTCATCTGCTAACTTGACCACAGCAAACTTGCCGATTGGGACGACGATGAGCCTTCGGCATTACCCGAGACAAACTCGCGATTTGAGAAGATTGTTATCTTGAAGCACATGTTTACTTTGGAAGAATTGGAGGTTCGTACATGTCTTCATCTCTTGGCAGGACCGCCAAGTTCAAACCCACTTTTATACTAATCTTTTACTGTAGGAGGATACTGCTGCAATCTTGGATATTAAGCAAGACATTCGAGAGGAATGTTCTAAGATTGGTGAAGTGACTAATGTGGTACTCTACGACAAAGAGCCGGAAGGTGTGGTGAGCGTTCGATTCGCTGAGCCTGAATCTGCGCGGGAATGCGTCAAGACCATGGATGGTCGATGGTTTGGTGGAATCCAGGTGGTAGCCTACATTTCGGAAGGACGTGAGAAGTTTAAGAAGACCAATGAGCGACGGGCAGCTCTGGAAGATATGGCGGAGCGGGGCATTGATGCCGAGGATGAAGATGAGGCGCAACGATTGGACGAGTTTGGAGCCTGGTTGGAGAGTTCCAAGATGGAGGAGAACACTCCTAAGTAGGATAGGTGTATGATAGTATTTGTGTGATCCATTGAATCAATCTGTACAACAATGCGGTGGAAGTGGAAGTAGTAACTATACCAATTATATGCTTACTTAATTGTTTTGGGCAGTTTTTTTGGTTCGCACCTGCGGGCGAACGCGGCGTGGTCCCGTGATGGAGCTAGACCGGATCAGGCCAGCCCCCTCCCCCCCTGAAGCGCCAAAGTTGTTGTTGATCCCCACGCACACACACCGCTCCATCTCTTCTCCTTTCTCATCTCCTTGGACTTTAGGTCGTCCTCTTCAACTGTTTCTTCAGTCCTCTTTTCCGATACCAAACACCCCCCCCCCCCCCCAATACACAATGCGTGAGATTGTACGTCTTCTTCCCCCCCGAATTCAACGCGTCTTTGTTGTCCTACCCCTGAACGGACCCCCACTTGTTCATCCTGCTAACTTGAGCTTTTTCCCAACATATAGGTTCACCTCCAGACCGGCCAGTGTGTAAGTGCACCTTCGAAGATTCGAAGAACACAACTTTCCTTTCCCTCCTGAAAGGATACAATTATATATGATGGTTTGAGTTAAAAACTAAATGATATGTGGGGGTACAGGGTAACCAAATTGGTGCCGCTTTCTGGTACGTGCTGCAAAACCTGAATCGTCAATTGTTGAGTAATCGAAGCAATATACTAACCAATTTCACAGGCAAACCATTGCTGGCGAGCATGGCCTTGACGGCGATGGACAGTGAGTTCTTTCGACAACCTTTGGATTTTCGAGAATGGCGGTCTGATATTTTTGGGCAGGTACAACGGTACTTCCGACCTCCAGCTGGAGCGCATGAACGTCTACTTCACCCACGTAAGTGATCTCGACAACAATTATACCCACGATATTCATTCTGACTGCTTTTTTCTTTCCTTTTTGATAGGCTTCCGGTGACAAGTATGTTCCCCGTGCCGTTCTGGTCGATCTGGAGCCCGGTACCATGGACGCTGTCCGTGCCGGTCCCTTCGGCAAGCTCTTCCGTCCCGACAACTTCGTCTTCGGCCAGTCTGGTGCTGGTAACAACTGGGCTAAGGGTCACTACACCGAGGGTGCCGAGCTCGTCGACCAGGTCATCGATGTCGTCCGCCGTGAGGCCGAGGCTTGCGACTGCCTCCAGGGTTTCCAGATCACCCACTCCCTGGGTGGTGGTACCGGTGCCGGTATGGGTACGCTCCTGATCTCCAAGATCCGTGAGGAGTTCCCCGACCGTATGATGGCCACCTTCTCCGTTGTTCCCTCCCCCAAGGTCTCCGACACTGTTGTCGAGCCCTACAACGCCACCCTGTCCATCCACCAGCTGGTTGAGCACTCCGACGAGACCTTCTGTATCGATAACGAGGTATGCATATATTACGCCGAAATTGGTGGATGTCAACTGGAAACTCACAAACATTCTTCTAGGCTCTGTACGATATCTGCATGCGTACCCTTAAGCTGTCCCAGCCCTCCTACGGTGACCTGAACCACCTGGTCTCCGCCGTCATGTCTGGTGTCACCACTTCCCTCCGTTTCCCCGGTCAGCTCAACTCCGATCTCCGCAAGCTGGCTGTCAACATGGTTCCTTTCCCTCGTCTCCACTTCTTCATGGTCGGCTTCGCTCCCCTGACCAGCCGTAACGCCAACGCATACCGCCAGGTCAGCGTTCCCGAGCTGACCCAGCAGATGTTCGACCCCAAGAACATGATGGCCGCCTCTGACTTCCGTAACGGTCGTTACCTCACCTGCTCCGCCCTGTTCCGCGGTAAGGTCTCCATGAAGGAGGTCGAGGACCAGATGCGCAACATCCAGACCAAGAACCAGAGCTACTTCGTTGAGTGGATCCCCAACAACGTCCAGACCGCCCTGTGCTCCGTTCCTCCTCGTGGCCTGCGCATGTCCTCCACCTTCGTTGGTAACAGCACCTCCATCCAGGAGCTGTTCAAGCGTATCGGCGACCAGTTCACTGCCATGTTCCGCCGCAAGGCTTTCTTGCACTGGTACACTGGTGAGGGTATGGATGAGATGGAGTTCACTGAGGCTGAGAGCAACATGAACGACCTTGTCTCCGAGTACCAGCAGTACCAGGAAGCCTCCATCTCCGAGGGAGAGGAGGAGTACCTCGCTGAGGAGGCTGGTCTCGAGGATGAGATGTAAATTTAGTCTCACATTGACCTCCGGCTTTGAGATTTGCTCGCAGTAATACCCTTGTTAAGCCTACATTCTCTATCCTTCGGGCCGGCTTTCTCGGGCCTCGGCCGCGAACCCAAGATTTTTGTTTGAGCGCTCCTAATTTACCCTTTATTCTGTCTCTATTTTCCTGTCTGTCGGTTCTTGGTGGTTACAGACTACCGGGCCAGAATAGCAAGCACATACTGGAAAAGCAATTGACGAAATGATTTTACTTCGGTCCCAGTTGACCAGCAAGATAAGACTTTTCCATATTGAAAACTTTCCTTTTATTTGTATTGGCTCTACTCCCTCTTTCAACGTAGAAGTAGTACTTCAAAAATCGCCTAAAGCGCCAACACCCTCTCATATGAGAGACACCGAAACTCAGCATTCAAAGGTTGCCAGGCACTTATTAGCGATGTAATCAGTGGAAGGGACACTTGCCCGTTCTGAATTCTTGGAATTCGGCCATCGCTTCATCCAGTTGCTTTCTCCCCTTTCCTTCAAAGTACTTAGGCCCAACATCCTGAATGTCATAACCCGATGGGTAATATTTGTCGCCCTGATCTCCGGGAAGAGGATGGCCCAGTGCCCATGTCAGCCATGCCTCGGGCCCCCAGCGGTTCCAGAAAGTTGGCTTGACATAATAAGGGGCAGCCTCCCACTTTGTCAGGTAGAAACGGCCATTCTGATCCGGCTCTTCGGTGAAAGACGCATATCGTAAGAAGTACGGTCTTGGAGGAATCAGATAACGGAGCGTCAATTTTCGAATTGTCAGCGCGCTGGAAAAGAGAGCGGAGAAAAAAGGAGCAGGGGCATCGTATCTGGTTTTTTCAAGTCAGTCGAAAATGTTCAAATCTCACAGTCTTACTGATAACTGCTAAGCTCCGATCTTACAGCATGGCTTTCCGTAACCGATCATCCATCATAAAAGAGACGAACTGCAGTCCGACAGGGTGAAGAATCTTCGGAAGCATGTATACTATAACAGCCGTAGTCTGGTCCGCCGTCTCGCGGTTCTTCTGATCAGGAACCATACATCTCTCTTCGTAGGCGGCGCTCCATGCAGCAATCTCCTCGAGCCACTGGAGACCATCCTGGAATCCCGTTGCGCCGGATGGTAAAGCAGAATAGCTAATATCCAGTGCATCGCCGGCACTCTTCCAAAAGGTACCGATGGCACAGCGCTCGAGATCGCTCAGGGTGCGCCATTCGTAGGTGTTGATAAATCGAATAGGCTCTAGAGCGAAGAGCGCAAGCGTATAGAGCATGTCATCCTCGAGAATCTTGCCCGAGGCACGATACCCGCTGTGCAGAAAGCGCGTGCGGGCCAGGGAGATGTATGCGCGCTGCGAGGTTGGGTTGTTCCCTACCATTTCCTGCACCAGGGCGCTAGTGTCGGTGTAGCGCTTTAGCGAAGTCTCTGGGTCGGAGAACTGGCTAGTCTTGGTGAGGAGTCGAGAGATGGTCGGGATACCATAAGTCTGGGCACAGAGTCAGTATTGACGCTGAATCGAGGGGTGTGCAACGGAGACGTGATTTACTCTGAACAACGCGAACTGCAGCGATTTGATGAAGATGAATGGAAACTCGAGCTGTGCGACGGTCTTTTGAATCTGGAAGGCGTGATCATCGGTCATTTTGGCCATGTCCGCGCGGGTTTTATAAGGGTAGTCCCGGTGAAGCTGTCGCAGGCGGCGATATCGCAGCACACGGGCGATGAGAGGGTATCCCAACAAGAGGGGCAGAGCGTACGGGATCCATTGGCGCGGTGATGAATCTAGAATGGCACGAGCGATATCCGTCACCGGCTGAACAACGAGGAAGGTATCGTTGTCCATGGTGAACAGAATAGATCGGGGATCGAAAGGGACACAGGCTGGGGGGGTTGTATAGTCGTGAAGCTGTGAGCGCAGTGGTAACCTGGGAACTCCTTCCAAATCAGCCGCGGTCACTAGGGTACGCCACGCCGCCTTTTATATGCTACCATCATGCATAAACTCTTTACAGCTCGGCTCGGGACTTGACGCTAGAGTAATTACAGTGGGTCTAGGAGGGCATAGTATGTTATTTCACTGGACCATGAGGGATCTTGTCATACAATCACTAACCTATCATGGATAGCACCACTCGCATGACCCGTCAATTACAGTCTTACGTATGGATGCACAAAGGGGCTTTGGTCTCATGACAGCCCTGCATAATTAGAGTGACCTCCCATACTCTACCGTACAGCCTCCAAGATTCTTTTAATTTGCTTTGTATTGCGTATGCTAGGGAATCAGTAATATTTCAGGACCATGTGCAGCATCTCCATCATCCTATTTCTTATCTTCTCTTTCTTTTTACAGGATCATACCGCCCCTCTTTCTCTTTCTCTCCAATAACATGCGACAGAGATATTTACTCAAACTTAACCGGCCCATAAATCGCGGGGGATCAGCACTATGCCGCGGACCGGGGCTGTCGGTTTCAGATGCGATCGTAGCACATCCGGCCATCCGAAGACCAAATCGAAAATCCTTCTAGCGGCCATACAACGATAATTCGAGCATCCTCAATGGCGGATACGCCATCGCCGTAAATCCGGCCCCTATCCAGATTCCCAGATCCGACCCGTTCGTGAGCTGGGCGATGATACCGCTGTAATATGATTGATTCTTTAGAGCCGTTGATATTAGTTTTTGATCTATTAGGGCGAAAACTCGAGGAACTTACCATGCCGAGGATCGCTCCAGCCCATCCGATCAAGAAGCTGATACCAGCAGCAATACCCTTGGGCAGCTTCTGGGGGTTATTCCAGGCAGTCCAGTCATATCCACTTTTCCTGCGAAAGATCACGTCTTCTTCCAAAACAATCATGAACCAAATGATAACCCAATATCCGATCAATGGCAAGAAACCCTTGAAGATCTCATAGAGGGAGTTGCGGCCGCCCATGGCACAAGCGGTATAGATGATTGTGCTCAGCGTGGTGAAGATCGGTCGCGGGACCCTTTGAAAGAATCCGCCGAGCATTTGAAAGTTCATGCCCATGGAATATGAACCGGGAGTGTTGCTGGCGACCAGAGCGAGCACATTGATCACGGCGCAAAATTTGCCAAATCCTCCGAGGGAATCATACGCAGTCATCAGCAGGCCGCCAGGGTCGGTTCCATACTTCAGAGCATATGTCGGGGAGCTCGCCATGACTGTCCCCAAGCCAATGCCCAGGACCAAAGTGATTACCATCGCTTGTCCACATCCAAGGACAGTCACGGCAAAGGTTCTCCAGCGCTTGACATGAGACGGGTAATAAACATAATAATCAGCGGCCAGGGGTGCCCAAGAGAGACCAACGGAAAGGCACAGAGAGAAGAAGGAGATACGTTTAGCATTCAGAACTGCCGCAGAGCTCTCCGTGCGAGTGCTGAAATCAAAATGCGGACCAGCAGATCCTACCATTATACACAGGACCATCAATTGGGGGAGCCATGCAACTCTATACTTCGTCAGATCAATGAAAAAAAACAATTTTCTGTTGAATGCTTACCGCTCATAGATCTGGAAAATGCGCATTCCAAACATTGCCATTACCCAGCTTGAAAATGCCACAACAACAATTCCAACCAGAACTGAGAGGTGTCCGCCAGACACCTTGGACAAGATTTGGCCTCCGACAACACAATTCACCATACTATATCCGAGGTTGGTGAAAACATTGAGCATGCAGCAGGCTTTGCTAGGGTAGTATCCCATGAAATAGCGAGAAACGATCTATCAGGTGGATTAGCATATATGGCAGATGCACCGTGTTCCCGAGACTGACCAAGGTTCTGTTGCCACTCCGCGGTCCCCAGGTGCTCATATACCCGATTGTCGAAGCTCCCACCAAGTTTCCAAACACAGCGCACAGAGCTGCATCCTTGAAGCTGAGGCCCAATACCATTGTTCCCATGGACCCAACAATGATGTTATTTGTGGCCAGTGCCATGCTGAACCACATGAGCAACATGTGCAATGTTGAAGATGCTGTCATTTCCTCGCGCTCCTCGGGGAGTACGCGCTCGATACCTTGGGATTCGACATTCTTGAGGCTTTGGATCAATCTGCGATATCTTGATTGCGGCTTGGTATCGATTCCGGCATTGATTGCGCTTGAGGAGTCGTTATATATTTCGAATGGGCTCACACTGCGTAGGGAAGGTGATTCGTGCGCCTTTTCGATATCTTCGGGCTTCATCCTTGGATGATTCTTTGGCGAGCTGGATTTTAATATCGGTATAGTTTGATGGCAATGACGATGATAGTCGACGATTAAGTTGCCCCTTGCTCGCAAGATTTTGCACGATTCGGAGACAGAGGTAGATAACCTCAACACTTGCGTAGAAAAATGCCCTCCACGTTGATCAATAGCCGTACCTAGGCCAGGTCCAAAAAAGTTAGCGAGAATGGTGAATATTCGAACTCAAGAAAGATGGTTAGGGTAGCTCTGGCATGATAGATATAGGAGACTAAGCTCAGTACCTAGTGCACGCCCCTGTTGCACTGTAGGACCTGACATCACCCTGTGTCGGGGCTGGGTGTAACACCCGCACCTCACCACTTTGCTAGACATTCCTGGGCAAACAAGGACTCTGACTCCTCTGGGTAGCTCATCCGCAACCCGAACCAATAAACACGTCGACTTCCTCCCCGCTCAACCAAAACACGCACCCAGGAACTTTTCTGTGGATCCATGATGTGGAGCGAAGAAGCTGTTGAGATCATAGTCGATCTATCTGCGCGGGGTAGAACCTCCAAATCCCGTCGAAAGTTAATCGCAACATTGCATCAGTCTTTGAAGCCCGCCTCATGATACTATCATGATGATACTATGTAGCGAGGGGTTGACCCTTCTGACGGACGCCAGCGAGGAAGAAAGCGTTTCACAGCTAACGCGACCCTGCTTTGCATGATCACCGCTTCGTTACCCATAGTGGGTGGGTCAGCATACTCTAAACCTCCGAAAATGCCCACACTGGAATGTGGCCCACGCAAGGAGAGGAGCTCTTCTCAGCTTTAATACGGCGATCAGATGTGGGGGAGACAGGAGCAACAACTGATCTGCTGGAGCTCTTTCTTTCCAACCAACGAGACGGCTCAGATATGTTGTGTTCTGCTCATAGTATCTGCTCCTTTTTCCCGCTGATGATTCGTTCCAAATGACCTGTGCAAAGATACGTATGAAGGGATGAAGATAAATCTCGGAGAAAACCAGCCTTGTGCTTGGAATTATACGCATGGCATCAGGCAGCTAGCTGGAAAAGGTTAAGCTCATTCGGCTCTTCATCATTCGGTCCCGCAGACTCGGTCACGCTGATATTTACACTTTAGTGATCGAATCCAAACTCATTTGATAAGAAGGATGGTGTATTTTCATTCGTATTTTTAGCTTTATTGTCTGAGTCTAGTTTCCTCCGTGACCTCTTGGACATGCCATCTACAATAACTGGAACTGGCAAGAGGCCATCAATCCTGCCCCAGCATTGACAGTGTGAATCCTGAATCCTGAATTTATTACGTCGTACGGACACTACATTCAAAGGGCCCTTAAAGAGAAAAAACCGGAGATAAGCTTTCCGAAACTCCTTCCCCGCCCCACATGTTCACCTGTTATGCATAGGGTCGGACGAAACAAGTTTTGCAGTTCCTGCATGCTCGGTGACACGCGGCCGTTACTTCCACCGATGCCGATTTGATCTACCGGATGATCGACTGCATATCATAATCAGTTATCCCTGAGTCCATCTGCCAGCCTTCCAGTCTCTGGATTTTGACATTCATCTACTTTCCTTCTTGGGGTATGTGTCTTCTTGGGGTATGTGTCTTCTTGGGGTATGTGTATCTATCTGCTGGGCTGTTCTCTACCAAACTACAACTAGAAATTTTGAAAATTTTAGTCCGCTTCCCCACGGTGAGTCATACTCAGTAGGCACTTTAAATGTTGAATTTGAGGCTACGGGTGTCATACAGCTAATAGACCTGATGCGGAGACCAGATCGGTACATGAACTCCTCGGGCGTATCCCCTGCCATTAGGTACATTTCTGCACTTCAGGTTTGTATCATGGAAGGATCGATTCCCCACATGTCATCGAGGTTTATTTCCCATATCTATTAATTAATAATAGCTTGATTCAGGAATACATTGCAGATATATTGCTTGATGACTAGTAGTGACTGTTGGTCTTTTTTTAACTTTTGATAGATTGACGAGTGACCAAATTTGGCTCACATGGGCACCTCTGAATGGGCAACCTGAATATATTAGAGACGTGAGATATTGCTACTAGCTTGGTTCCGACGCCTATTTTGATTCAAATATTGGTTACTGTTTTAATTTAAGTTCACAGGGAAGTTCCCAGGTTTATCAAAGGCCTGCCATTAAACGTGAGTCCCGGGGTCTGCTACCTCTTAATGTATTTATATCCAACCCTTCTGTAGACCGGCCTCAGGAAGTTAGTATGTGAATGACCGAGAACTTGAAAACTAGTACACATATATCAGATCTTTGAACTCGTCACGCATATTATTGTAGGATTTGAAACATGGGCATCTACGTGGTTTTAAGATAACAGGATGAAGCTTCATGAGCCCAGTTAGCATTGATGACTGCCGACAGTGTTCATTCAGGCTAACTCGGAGCCTTTGTTAAAACAATTCATCTATCTCTTCTAAACCTGAAAAAGGACCTAAAAAAACTTGAAGGTTATCATCTCTCGTAATCAGAATTTGAAATCATTGTTTATTCCGATGTTCCATATATCTAGCAATTTTCCCGTCCATCGTAACCTTCTTGGGCTCTCGGTTATTGTATTCATATCTCCCCACCACAGTCAATTTTCCAACGACAATGCCGATTCAGGCGGAGCTAGTTATGCACGGCTGTGTATTTTCTTACTCTCATTCATTCCATCCTCGGTCTTTGCCGTGTTTGTTCCCCCAACTTGCTATAGACCAACCCCGATGTCCGTTGGCAGCCCCGCCACCCTTCCCAGCTCGTTCACTCGCTCTGAGGTCGCCTGATAACTTTCAATTCCCTTTCCTGAGCCCATCGACGAGGTCATGTCTTTATTCCACCTATCCAGAATGATCTGCCCCACTTTTCTTTCCCACAGTCTCACCATATCCCATCTCCACGCCTCATTCTTTTACCACCATGATCGACGACGAAGAAGAAAGACACTGGCTGCTCCTGGGAATTCGCCGCGGCTCTGTCCGTGGCTCCATAACTCTCACTCTTTTCAAAGTGCTGGAGGAAACAAAGTTGTTGACTATGCCTATCAACCAGTACGAGAATCAAGAAATCCTGCAGCCGGGCATATTCCACTGCATACGACAAATGCCTAGTCAAGTTCAAGCCCTCATGCTACAAGATCCTGAGGAATGCCTTGATTCTCTTTCCAAGATTGCCCAGCTTTGCAAGCAAAGCACCTACCGAGTCTGGAAGTACTACAAGGATACGGCGACCCACATGCTTCACCAAGAAAAGGTCATCTTCGTCGCCCCGGATGGCAAAAAGTCAAAAGCCATCTCTCTCTCCCGCTTTTTGACCACTAAACGTGCCCTTTACCATGACGGTATCGTTGACGAGAGACATTTGAGCTACGAGTTATTTGTGGACAAATTGAAGCATTTCTGCGGCTATGATCCCTCCATCCACGATATCAGTCTCTGGCACGTGGAGCCAGGATCCCCGTCACGACCAGAGGAGGCTAATGCTGTCATCGACCATGAGAGTTGGATATCGGCTATGATTGAAGAGCAGAATATGCTGCAGAGCTCTAAAACGCCGCTGGTTTTCCATGTTGTCGAGCTGAATAGTACGTCTACATTAACCCTTCTACAAGAGCTCTTGAACTAACAGGGCATCTAGCATTCTACCTTGGCCACAGCTTCGCGTCCTAGATCCATATTCGTTTATGAACTACAGGTGGGTGGGGATCCTCCAGAGGTGTCGCTTTCTTATCTCTGTCGCCTTGGTAACCGACACCTTGAACAACAGGCCGGGATATATTTGGAATAGGGGATGTGAAGATACCCAGGGCTTGGAATACAGCGAGAGGATATCGAAGAAGGGACGATACCGATGAAGCTGCGAATGCGAGCTGCCAGCAGAGTCTATCAATGACATTATCTGCATTCCAAGAAATCTAAACTCAGTCCCTTTCTATCAACCTATTGATCTAATCATTCACTGAAATCTAGTCATGGTCAGAGGATCCGTAACCTCACCACCCCGACCACGAACCCAGATATCAACCACTCTAGAAGCCTCATCCAAGGACGAGTCTATAACAAAATAGAACCCGTAGAACGCACCCGTCACGCAAGAGTGGTTAGGATAGATCTTAACAATCTGTCCAACCTGCAAAGGAAGGCTCTCCTGCGCAGCCTTTTCCCAGGAAATAATCGAATGCTCCTGGCTAATCCGCTCAACCATCAACCGCGACGCGCCAGACTCTGCATCACCAGTCTGTCTCCAGTTCGAGAGGATGCCCCATCCAGGATAAGCGGCGCAAGGCTCACGACCCAACGCCAGTGTTCCCGCCGCAACCAACGCCTCGGGTTTCTCACGTTCGCCGTCATTATACACGCTGCAGACTTCGGCGACAACAGATATCGCAATCTCTTCCTCAAGTCCACCGGCACCATTACGTGCATGCGTGGAAACTTGCTGCATATCCAAGACGGGGTAGTTACCCGCGTGCAATTCGATCTTCACCTGCGCCTCGCTCTGCTCTGCACTTGGTTGTCGCAGTAGAGCGCGGAGTTCCTCCGCCTTTGCAGACGCGTCACCTTGTACCAAGTTATGCGAAGAAATAGCCTGAGGTGTCGCGCCAACGCTGATAATCAGTCCCCGGTTCTTTGGGAAGGAGATGCAGCCACTTGTTCAGAGCGGCCTTGCAACCCTGGATCTCGTCGATGAGATATTCCATCGCCTCATCGGCGTTTGTCGCACCATAGCTGAGACTGGAGTGGGAGTAGAGACCGAGTAACTTTGCATGGCCTGCTTTTTCGGCTTCGGCGAGCTTTTCCAGCAGTCCGTTTTTGTTCAGGGAGATCGGCGGTAGACCTGCACGGTGATATCCGGTATCTACCTTGACAAAGACGCAGACTGGGAAATTAGTTTTGGCGGAGAATTCCTTCAGGTACTGGACCTGGTCTGGGTGGTCGATCATCACGGTGACGCTGTCCTCGCCGATTTCCGCGGCCAATTCCGCCAGCCGGGTAATGTGGGATGGCACGAGGGGAATGCCATACAGGATGTTAGGGCTCCGGCCAGCCTGCTTCAGGCCAGCGAGAAACCGGGTCAGGATTTCAATCTCCAACAGCGTTGAAGCGATGAATTTGGGAGCCTTGCTCTCCTTATCCAGTTGCAATTTGGCGATTTCGAGAGTCTAGGTGGGGGTTAGTTTTTCCACTTCCCAGCTTTCTCTGCATTGATACAGAGCTGCTTCGTCTGGGTAAAGGACACAGACCTTATGGGTTTTGACATGGGCTCTAAATTCCACTCCCAGGGTCCGGATGGTATTGTTCATTCTTTCGCAATGCCTGCGGACGATTGCTCTGTCAATCACAGCAGCGGGTTTGGGCAAGTCCGCAATGTCTTCGCCGCCCCATCGCTGGAGCAAGTCGACCTGTGTCGGTAGAGCAGGTGTAGTAGCCATAGTTCGTTCGCGGAATGATGTGTAAGAGGTGTGAAGGAATCCAATGGAGAGTGCTAGGTTGTGGGTTGGGGAAGTATGACTGTTAATATGGCTCTGGTGGGAGTAAGTCGCACCGTGATTCGTCCGGGAAACTGTGGGACTCGTCCGGCAAAATGTGGGGGCTTTGCGAGATATCAAGGGTAAAAGTTCATCCTGAACGTTACGAGTATACCTACTGTTGCCTTAAGTTTATACTCGTAGTCAATATGTAATTACTTGTAAACAATGATTGGTCAATATGCAGAAATGAAATTGGTCAATTATGAAACAGACACTTGGCATTATCGGCCTGAATACGCCAAAATTCGCCGAGAGCGACAGTGAAACTATCCTATCCAGCCCCGGCAATGCAAATATGACAGGCAAAAAAGAGAGGAGCATGTCAAGTCTATGGATATTTTTTGTTAAACGCACCGCGCCACAATATTTTCGTGGAGCGAAACAAGAAAAAGCAATGGACCAGGACACAATCAAGAAGTATTACAAAAAGGAGAATTGTACCCGACAGGTTGGGGAATAAACGAACAAAAGAAGAGAGACTCAAGTAGCGTGGCTATGGGATATAAGAGAGAAAAAGAGGGGAAACACAAACGCCTTTCGTGAAAATGCTTTCTGTTTTAATGCATTGAAATGCCACCGAGCTGATTTGTGCGTAGGTGGTAGGTATGTAGTCTGAGATCAGACTCGTGACTGACTCTGACTTGATCGAGAACGTTGAGACATAGAGCGACGGCCTCGACTAGACGGAGCTCGATCAGAGATTGAAGGAGGCGCGTGTTCAAAGAAAGGAATCAGATCCGGATTCTGGCTGGGCGGGTGTCTTGGGTCGTGGGAGTATTCGCCTACGATGCGGTCATCGGCCGAGGTGTCAGGGTGGATTTCAATGCCAGGCTGACGATCCGTTCCACCAGAAGTACCCATGGGCGGGAAAGTGATAGAATCGGCTTCGTCTTGACCGTGATCAATAGGGGACCACCCGGCGATACTACCGGCGATCACACCGGCCATTGCGGCTGCAGGCCCGAAAGTTGAGTTGGAACGAGATCGGGTACCGCGACGTGAGCGCGACTCGGGAGTCGGAGGCTGAGGCTGAGGGGGTGGGCTGCCGGACTCGCCGTTGGGGGTTGCCGGGGCAGATGATTCCCGGGATCGTGAACCACTGCGAGATCTAGGCAAGAATTCCTGGGGGTGTTGCAGCTTATGGCGAATGTGGCGAATACGACCACCTCGGACAGACTTAATGAAAGCCAACTGGTCACGGATCTCCTCCAACGCGGGGTTCCATTCGTAGCGACGGTCTTCATCGGACACAACAAGTTCCGGCCCTTCTTGCTTGCGGTGATGCCAGAAATGTGGGACAAATTTGCTGGCGAATTCATCGGGAATGAGGCGGATGACCACTGCGATGGGTAGCGAAATCGCACCGAGAACCAAGCTAACAGCCCATTGCGAGCCCTGATCAAGGCGCTTCACAGAGAAGGCCTGGCCTCCCACGAAGATAATCAAAATCTGGCCACCAATAATGATGAGCTGAATACCGATGAACCACTTGTTGCGCCACACTCCCTCCATAATGTTGAGCTTGTTATCAATTCGACGAGAGCTGCGAGAGTTAGTATTTGGAAAGACCGTATCAAAATTAAGGTCGAACTTACTTGTACTGGTTGAAGATCTGCATGAAGACGAAAGTGTTGAACACCACTGTCTCCATATGACCTTCATCCCAGGGGAAGATATCCTTGCCGGCAAAATTCAACACGAATGTTACGACTAGTTGATAGATTGACTGGCCAACAATCATCTTCCACATCGTCAGAGTGATCAAGGGATCCGCTTTAGATTCAGGCCTGCGATCGAGAACATATGGCGATGGGGGGGGTCGGTTGCCAATGCAAGGGCAGCGAAGGTATCCATAATGAGGTTGACCCACAACAGCTGGACAGCACTGAGCACGGAATCTCTTGTGGGACTGGCAACTGCGGAGACAAAGGTGAGGACCACAGCAGTAATGTTGACAGTGATTTGAAACTGGAGAAACTTTTTCACGGCATCACTAACAGTGCGACCCCACGCCATAGCCTTGACAATGGACGCAAAGTTGTCATCCATCAAAATGATGTCCGACGCTTCCTTGGCTACTTCAGTACCAGTAACACCCATAGCGAAGCCAACATCGGCATTCTTGAGCGCCTGGGCATCGTTGGTGCCGTCACCAGTAACAGCAACAGTCTCTCCAAGTTTCTTGAGCTGGTTCACGAGGATCTTCTTGTCGTCAGGGCTGGATCGAGCGATGACTTGAAGCCTAGGAATGATTTGGTTCATTTGTCGTGTACTCAGCTTCCGGAACTCGGGGCCTTCGATGGCGATGCCACCGGGAGTATAGATACCACATTCCTCGGCGATAGCCTTTGCAGTCATGATATTATCGCCAGTCACCATGCGCACAAAGACACCGGCGCGCTGGCAAGTTTTTACAGCCTCTGCGACTCCTTTTCGGACAGGATCCTGGATACCAAAGATACCAAAGATCGACATGTCTTTGAAGATGGCTTCAAAGTCAGCACCGTCCCGAGACCCCGAGTTTGATACTCCATGGGGTGGCCATTGATCGAAGTCTCGGTAGAGAAGACCGATACATCGCAAAGAGCGCGACGCATAGGTGACGATGATGTTATCCAAAGTAGAGCGGTTTTCTTCTGACAATGGTGATTCCTCGAGAGTAGCAGTGGGATCACGGACAATCTTTGTGGACTTCGCCATCAAGATTTCCGCGGCACCCTTAACCAGCATGCGGTACTTCCCATTTTCAAGCTGGAAAACAACGGCCATACATTTGCGGCTTGAGTCGAAAGGATACATCTGTACAATTTTCGCACTTGCTCTCTCTTCGCTGGGAGGACCCATTCCAAGGTGCTCGCGGGCGAATGAAAGCAGCGCAGTTTCTGTCTTGGAGCCGATAAAAGTCTTTACTCCATCCTGCTCACCCTCGAAGGCGGTAGAGTTGAGGGTGATTGATTTGAGTAGAAGATCCTTGACGGATGGCGAAAGAGCAGACACAAACTCCGATGCAGAAACATCTCCTGATTGAGCAGCAGCAGGTCCCTTGTCTCCAAATCGCGATGAAGTTCCCAATGTGGCTGCAACAGCAGTCATCCTATTTTCTGTGAGAGTACCTGTCTTGTCGGAGCAAATCGTTGTTGCATTTCCCATAGTTTCACAGGCCTTGAGGAAGCGAACGAGGTTATTGTCTTTAATCATTCTTGTCGTAGCAAAGGCTAGAGCGAGTGTGACTGCCAGTGGTAGACCTTCAGGCACCGCCACTACGACGATGGTGACAGCCACAATAAAGATCTGCAGGAAAGCTTGGCCCTTGGCATCCGCGCCACCATCAATATTGCTCAGTCCTGCTAGGAACTTGATAAAAAGAACCACAAACAGAAGTAGACCAGAGGCGAGGCCTAATTTAGCGATGTACTCGGCAAGTTTATTAAGCTTGGTTTGCAGTGGGGTTGTCTCGCCCTCTTCTTGAAGGGACATCATAGTTCGGCCGTGAGTAGAGTGCACACCGCTGGCAGTGACCAGGAAGGTTCCGACACCTTCTGAGACCTTAGCGCCAGAGACGATGAAGGGGTCCATCTTCTTGAGATCCTGGTGCTGTTCAATAGCTCGATAAACGTCATCGCCAGGGGTCTTTCGAAGAAGGTCAGATTCACCGGTAGCGGAAGATTCATCGCACTTGATACCGTGACCATCGATCAGGATACCATCAACGGGGATTAAATCGCCAGCTTCCATGTACATCACATCGCCGACTAGAATGTCATGAATGGATATCTCCACAGTCTTGCCAGATCTCATCACCTTGATAAGTCGATTTTCTTTCTTCTTGTTAAGCTTTGCGAATTGCCGTTCCTTTTGCCAATCATTCGAGGCGCCAACAGTCACGACAATGATGATGGCGATTAGAATAGCGAGACCTTCCACCCACTCCACACCCGGCTCGTCTGGATCAGCTGGGTGAACAGACTGGGGGATACCAACAGCGAGAGAGACAATGGCGGCAATTGTCAGCAGGATTAGCACCTTGTCGTTGAAAGCTATCCAGGCCAATTCCCAGATGGTCTTCAACTTTCTCTCTGGGAGTTGGTTATCGCCGTAAATCCGTTTCCGATCTGAGAACTCTTGACTTGCATCACTGTCGGTCTTTGTATCTGCAGGCGTTACAGGTGGCGGTCTAACTGGGGAAGCTGTTTTGGATAAAGAGGGCGAGCCCGAGCCAACGGCATCTTCAAATTCCACGGTCCCATCCAATGCAGCCTCGTCGGTGCTGAGACCACTTTGGACATTCGTCCGCAGCCCCTTTTCGAGACCTCGCAGTCCCCCCAATGCACGGAAAGCAGAGAAGCTCTTCGGATTCAGGAGCTTATTCAGTTGGCCCGGGGAAAACGCGAACCGATTGTTTTCGACTTCAAATTCGGCTTCCCGGCCGGGGTCTGGGGTCAGGGCGTCCTCTTCATCGATATTGGTATGTTTGGTGAGGTCGGATTGGGAATGCGAGTGGTGAGACTGGCTCGGGACATAGGTATCGCCCCCATAGATGCTGGAAGTCTGGCTGGCGGCATCTTCCGATTCGAGGGAGTTACCCCGTGAGCGCGTGCCTGGGACAGACAAGAAATTGGAGTGTGATTCCGACTGCTTGGCCTTTGGGGATGAGATATTGTGAGGCGAAGTAGGTCGATTTTCGTGGTCTCGGTCTCGAGCTTCCGAAGAGGCATTTGAACGGATTGATGCGGTGGACCTTCGATCTGTGGGGGACACAGCATCGTCATGGCCTGTGGACCTGGCGCTGGGCGATTCTCCGTTATTATTATTAAGATTAAGATGATCTGTCGAGGCTTGCTCGGGACCGGAAAGAACTTGGACGGGCGGTTGACCGTTATTAGGCGAGTTCATGGCGGAGGTGTCAATGGTGATGGTGGGAGCCCGCTCTCTCCTCAAGGGTGTAGTAGGAGTCTGGACAGGCTCGTCGTCCTCTCGTGGATTTGACATTGTGAATGGTCAAAATGAAGCCGAACGCGATTTCACGCGGGCGGGAGTTCCACAGCCACTGGTGTTTGCATGGGGAGGAGGAGAGGAAGGAGTCGACTCTCGTAGATTGTAGATCGGGGCGGTCGAATCAGGATCGTAGATGCAGCTGTTTCGTGCCCGACGGGTGTCCTTTTGGGGGGAAGGGTGACTTTTCGACAGAGGAGGGATATGGGAAGGAGTCAAGAAGGTCGTTCAAGGAGGGAATCAAATCGCATGCAACCGTACAGACGCGCCACTAAGATCGCAAGATTGACAGCAGCAAGACCAGACCCCCTTTGCAGATGTAGATCCACTCCGGTCTCGATTGTTTTTCCTTTTCGTCTATGGAGCCCGCTCGGGGTAGGGTTCCACACTTGCACAGCCCCAGTGGGTAGTGCGGTGTTGCGCTCGACTTGTCACTCACGGACGTGGCTTTGGATCGGAGGACATTGGGCCTCTTGGGGGGATTTCTTGCAGCTAGGAGAACTGATTGAAAGAAAACAAGGGGCAATTCGTGGCACCTCTCTCGATCACTCGCTCACCACCAGTGAAGTGGCAAACGGTCAGTAACGTAGGCTGGTGCGGCTTCGAATTCCTGTGTTTTGCACTGCCTCGCGTGCCAAGCCGCAGCCGGGACCTCGGAGGGCAAAGGGAGGCGAATAAGGGGCAACAGAAGACAAATTATTTGGCGCGCGCTGGACCGTTGAGTGGAGATGACGTCTCCAATACTTTATGTGCGGCGGTTGGGACCATCGAATATTGCTCGTAGCTCGTGTACAGTACTCGTAGCTTTGGAGGTGGTGATGACAGTAGGGCACCAGCACTGCAATTTGGGCGTCAATACCGGGGAAAATCCAGGATATTCCCTGTCCTCGTACTAGAACAGTACAAGATTGAGGATCGTAAGGTTTGTCTTGGAATGTCTGAAAGAAGAGAGGATTTCAAGGGGAAAATTCAGTTGGTATTCCGTAGTTGCCGAGTCGATGACATGTTGACTCCATACTAACTAGTTAGTAGAGTCATTACTACTACATTCAAGTTCAAGTTTACTAACTAGTATACTAGTACTACACTATGCACTGCCAGTGTGCACTGCACCACTAACAACAGGAATAAAGTACTGTACATACATTCAATCAGGCTGAGCAAGCCCCTATCACATTCGACGCGTTTGCCTGCGGGCGCTTTATTTCATTCCGGTTGGCTTCCAATCAGGAAGGTGTGTCTTTGCACTCACTGCTCGGAGAGTATATGCATATTAGCCCATGTCTGGCCACTCAAGCGAGTGCATAGAGACAACACTACCTAGTAGTATGTACTAGTTGTCTCACCGTGGTCGGCTTGATTTTCCAAGGTTCTTCCAAGAAAGCTTCCAATGTTAACTTGAAGTCGTGCTAGTTAGTACTCTGTATATTATTTAGTACCTTGTAGCTACTAGTATACAACTTGAAGTTGCCCACTGGCAAGTCACCTGGGCATTGGTACTACAAGGACTACTAGTAGTTTACATCAACCCACTACTCATACATCACGCAACCCTCCCACTCCAACACAATGACTGACTCCATCAAAGAATTCGGCTTCACAGCCGTGCCAGCTTCAGCATCCACTCTACTAACCTCCACACCGGCCTATCCCAAGCCAAACACAGCCCCCATCGCCATCCCCGTCTCCGAGACACCCATCCCAACCACTCCCCTCGCCCACCGCATCAACACCTACGCCCGCACTCACCTCCCTGAGCCAACATACAACCACTCCCTCCGTGTCTACCATTTCGGCCTAGCAATCAAAAATTACCGCTTCGCCTCCTTCGCAGATTGGGACTTTTCTGACGAGACCTACTTCCTCGCCTGCGTGCTCCACGACATCGGCACCACAGACGAGAATCTCGCCCAGACCCGCTTAAGCTTCGAGTTCTACGGCGGGTTCCTGGCACTTGATGTTCTACAACGGGGTGGGTCCGGCTCTGAGTCTGCTTCGACGCGAGAACAAGCGGAGAGTGTGGCGGAGGCGATCATCCGACATCAGGACCTGTGCGCTGTTGGCAAAATTACTGCGGTGGGACAATTGTTGCAGCTCGCGACGATCTTCGGTACGTGTCGGATATGCAGAACCTCTCCTCTCTCCCTCAATGCAAATCTTCTTTTATTTTGGCCGTTTTTCAATTATGGGTTTGCCCTCCCGCCTCCTTTGCTTTTACCTGAAACCTACAAGAGGGTGGAAAGTTCACGCCACATACGGAGTACGATGCATCAATTCGGACAGATAATCGACGGGAAAGCGGTCTTCTGACCGACTTTCCCGCGATCAGCATCAATCTGATCTGCTTCGAACTTTAGACTTTTTCCCTTGTTCTTTTTTCCCCGTTGCCCTTTACGGAGTAGACGGGTGGAGCTACTATGGAGTATCCCATACTCCGTACCCTTCACTGACTTCGGATTTGCGTCACAGATAATACCGGTGCGTACGCCGATCTCGTCCACCCGGCCACCATCGAGGATGTGTCCGCTCATTTCCCGCGACACCACTGGAGCCAGTGCTTTGTCGCTACGATTCATCGCGAAAATGGACTGAAACCTTGGGCACATACGACGGCCCTGGACGAGGAGGATTTCCCGGCCAAGGTTATGGGAAATAAGCTCATGGAGCCGTACGAGTAAGGGTGCTGTGTGCGGTTTCCGGGGTGTCAATAAACAAGGGGCTTGTTTCAATTCGTCCGGGGACATGTGTTACTACGAATCTTACATGCGACATATGTACACGGCGTGGGGAACCGATGAGTACGAGTATCAGGCCGTTTCCCTGTTTGGTCGTGGTTGTGGTTGTGGTTGTTATCCTTCAAATTGAAAATTGATGCGAAACGAGGGGGTGAGCTAATAATTGAGAACTGCAGAATGATTGAGATTGATTGAGAAAAAAAAGTTGCGTGCAAGGATCCGGTATAGGGTCTCCGTGCATTGTAGATCCTCGTCACTGCCATCATTCAAACCTTGAATAAGCAAATCTTCGCCCCCATGTTCCATGTTCCATATTCCATGTGGTTTGTATTGTATCCCTTTGTCCTCCCCCGCATGCTAATTTACACAATCGATCCCATTACCCAGACTCCCACGCCCCGTATCACTTGATCTGCTGCAACATGGCAGTGTCGTCGCCCTCTGGAACACTAACCCTCCACACCCCGAGAGTTTGGCCACTTTCCTGAACAGCATCATGTTTTGGATCCGTGAGAATCATGGCTTTACCCGCCAATGCCAAGACATCCATTAGTTCAGCCATGCGCTGCGCCTCAGTGAAGCTACGCGTCAAATGCGGGATTTTTGCAACCAGTGTGGCCACAACCATGCACTGGGTAAGCAGCTCCGACTGTTCAAGGGTGTTGCTGGCGTAGTACAAGGCGTTGTGGTAGTCCAGAATCAATTCAGGGAGATAGGTGCGACGGATGTATGCATAATCCTTTTCTTCCTCGGCTGCTTGATACCAATTAGTAAACAATCTTTCTTGATCTCTGTTGTTTGCCCTGTACGGGCGTAAAGGTGCACTCACCATTCTCGGCCGTACCAGGCCAGTCAGCTACCTCCACCATCTGACCGACACTTTGCTCAATGAAACCAAGATGGTCGCCTAGTTCGGTGAACAGATCCTTCACCGTACCGGAGTCTCGTCGACGTTTGGTCCTAATTTCCAAGTTAGCTTGAATGTCGCACGTACACTAGCAGAAAGCGCTCTTACCTCGAAATCTGATCATAGAGAATGGCAAAGTTCTCCAGACTATCAAATCCAAGAGCAAGACTCTCAAAGTTCAACATGAGAGCACATTGTTGGTTGGCATTGGCGGGGTTGTTGGCCGCCAGACCGTTGTTACTAGACAGGCTGCGTCGATGGGCACTGTTCTTCCTCGACTTGGTCGGGCTAGAAGGCGCACTCTTCTCTGCAATGAATTGATCCACATCCAGAGCAGGGAATTCAAGGATGTCAAATCCAAATGTTTCCTGAGAGATCTCAGACAACGACATGCGATGACTGAGCTCCCTAGCAGCTGCTAGCTTGCCCGCAACGAAGAATTTGCGGTAGAGCCACGCTCCAAGCTTGCAGATCTTGACCCATTGGCCACCCACGTAGCGAAGCCATTCGAGACTCCGGATCATATTCTCGTCCTCGTCTGCGATGGATGTTCCGATCAAGTCCTTCTTAGGCGGTACGAGCAGTCGCGAACCATCTTGTCTGCGCACCACCCTCGAGTAGCCAGTGAGGCCAGGCAAATGCTCGATTGAAGAGACACCAGTGCTTAACCAAGACCATTGCACGTCTAGGACGGCATTGATGTCGATACCATGCTTTTGATTGAGGCGAACCTGATCCTTCCTCTGCTTCGGGTTCACGATGTCAATCAAGATCTTCGAGAAGACGCTGTGACACATATCTGTCGGCAGAAGAGAGGCGTATAGGGGAATGAGGTCGAAAAGGCCTCTCGCTTCTAAATTGGCGATATACCCAGCTACAACAACAGACGCGGTCTTGGTATTATCGGCGCGAGAGTAGCCGATAGATCGGGCGACAAGATAAACGTGAGTCGCGATCTTAACAGCCTCTTCATCCTCTGCAGCGATGAGGTACGCATCATCCACCTGCGAGCGCGGGATATCCGGGATGACAGATGCTGTCCCATGTATGTTGACGCTGACTTGAGAGACCGCTTGGGCCAAAAGGGAGAAGAAAGAATCGTATCCCTTGCTGAGAATGGCTGCTTGTAGATTGCGGAATGGGTTGCGTGCTTCGCTGCCAACTCGCTCGTTGCCTCGCAAGTACTGGAAGAACTTTTGTAGATCAGCGTGTCCAGCTGGCTCAGGCGTGAATACAACCGTGCTGTTAGGGGAATGGCTCAGCTTTCGTTGAAACTGCTTGCAGAATCCCTGGTAGCGTGAGAGGACGATGCGGTTGAAATACACGTAAAGGTAGTCATCCCAGCTGCTGCAGACCTTGACAACTGAGTCACTTTCGCCGCACAGCAAGCCGTAGACTGCACGCTCGAAATCACCTGCGCTGGTATTGCGCGCCAAAGCAGAGCAGGCAGCGCGCCAAGAGTCTTGTGCGCGAGCATTCATTAGGCGCGTCAATCCATCGTTGACTGGAGTGCGAGTCTTAGTGCTGTTTGAATCAACACTCGAGCCGCAAAGGCTAACAGCTCTCCAGTTTTCGAGGCGGCTTTGGGCCCATTCGCGGATTTTGGTCCAATTCTCACCCTGTCGAAGCATCTTCCAACAGGTCATCCATGTAGCCCGTTCGTAGAACTCGTCCTGTGCCTGCAGGCTGTGTTTTTGTCGAAGAAGCGCATCAGGGTCCAGCTGTGTAACGAGCGGCTTTTGATCGTCGGTTTTCAACATCGCGTGTGCTGTATCATTGGGTTCTAACGGCTGGGGCCAAGCTCGCAATCGCTTGTGTCCTTTAATAGCTTCTTTAGTGAAGAGCCACCCATGAGACCACAGGCCTTGGCCACGTTCCGCCTGAGCCTCCATATCGGTGATCAGAAACTCAAGCTCGCTGTCGCCCGTCTTCGAAGTCTCCTCGAGCCATTTCATAGCCACAACGCACTCAAGAGCGTACTGATCAGAGTTCAAAAATTGTTCCCAAATTTCACGATCGGATGAGTAGCGGTGCAAATTTTGGAAAGCGGCTTGGCGTCCTTCTTGGTAGCTGGCTCGACTCGCCGGGTCGTCGATACTGATCAGATTCAGAAGAAGACGCCAAGTATCGAGTTCCAGCTGCAGACGTCGCAATTCTTCCTCCGCCTTGGGGTCTTCGCTGCCGCTTGACCGGAAATTCTTCGCGCGTTTGAGCTTTTGTTGCTTTTCGGTCTCTTGGATGGCATTTTTCGTGAGCTTTTGGTACTTGTCGACGAGTTCGTATGCGGCTTGGATGTTTTGGAAGTCATCGATAGAGTTCTTCTGCTTGAACTGGTCGAGTTCCTTGGCGAATGCCTCGATTTGCTTTGTGACGCGGTCGGCGGTGCGGCGAAGGGGGTCGAATGCTTCTTGCGCGCCGGCGGCGGTAAACAGCTGAGGCGAACCTAGGAAACCGATGAGCTATGGCAAGGCATAATTAATGAAAGCTCTACAAACCTTGAGACCTGTTGGACACCCCCATGACAGATTTGAGACTGGGTTCCAATACAGGGAAGGCGGATCCAGAATCCGCCGCACCGTCACCATAGAAGCGGCCGGCCTCGTCCATTTCATCATCCTCATTGTCACCGTCTTGGTCCTCATCTTCCTCTAGCTCTTCCTCATCTTCGTAGACCTCTTCATCCTCCATGGGTTCATCCTCTTCGTCCTCGTCAATGCTGATAATTTCTGGTTCCTTGCGGAGTGGTTGAGCGGCCTTGAGAGAGCAATGCTTGTCAGTCGGGTGAAAGAAGATAATAAGAAAGGTACCGTATACGAACCTCTGATCGCAGAGTCGGGCCACCTGAAGCCGCTGTTCTTGCGGATCTAGTAAGTGGCGCCATGGCGAACAATAGCCCGAGTGGAAAGTTGATGCAAGAGCGAGAGGGAAATGATGTTTGTCTCTTTTGATTTTGGGCGCGTTGGTCACTCGGGCCCAAAGCGGTTAGTGTGGTCGGCACGGGATCAGGTATTTAAAGAACTTCCGCCCTCCCAAATTTTTTTCTTTTCCACAAATGTCATTAGGCTTTCATTAGAGTCTCGGAACGGAAGTTTTCAATATTCGTTCAGGCCCATGAGGTCTCCTTGCGTGCTCAAGATTGTCTTAGAGCGATCGCAGTCCTTCAATTAGTCTCGTTCTCTTCTATGTGGGAGCTTAGTCTGCAAAGGGGCTGCGACATGCCATCTGAGGAATTCTCTATTTTATCTGCTATCTACAACCTCTAGCTCTAGCCCTCCGCCCAACCCTCCCAGATTAATTCGAGGATTGGCTGTCGGCTGCTTGAGAACGCTGTTTCATCTTAAGCCGCAACAATTGGGCCTTAGGACAGCTCACGACCGACGCCTGGTCCCCATTCTTTTGGTAGAAGGCGTTACAACACTCGTAGAGAGCGTCGATCTGCGTCTGGCATTTCTCCTCTTTGTAAGAATTTTTGGTCAAGCAGTCTGCCCTGGGTTAGTCCAACTTCATGGCAAAATCGGGGGTGGCTTTCAGCCACATGGACAAGATACCTTGAATTGCACACTAAGAAGAAGGGTCAGCCACAAGCTCTAACCTTGGAAAGCTGCTCAGGTCAACTCAGTGAATGGGCATAACGTACGGCACGCGGGTGACAGGGCGTTTCGTGGGACAAGTCTTGCTTGAGGTTCCCCTGCACGGTTTAAAATCAACTTGGTGAACTTTTGGGGCTTTGCCAGATCTTTCATACCATGTTGTATTATGTTTGATACTAGTATATCTCTCTCTTTCATGTAGGGGCAAAGCGGGCAACACAAAAAGACAGAACTGCATAGAACTTGAGGTGACGCAAAATGTATTCTCCGCCTTCCCATTTCGGACCCAAATTTGCCGCCATTCTGCCGCCGCCGATAGTCTCTCCCTCACCTCTCACCTTCCCTCACCTGCTGCCTTCCCACCTCCATCGCTTTTCCAAATCTCTCTCCCGCGTCTGCTTAGTGAGCTTGATGACCCATTCCTATTCGCTACGACATATGACGCGACTGCTAACCCTGTCTTTCAAAATTAGCATCCTCAAACCCACATTTCTCCCCCACCACCTTTGACAATCGTGTAAGCGCTCCACGATCGCCTTGCAGCTTCCCTCTTTCTGACAACTGTCTCGCCAGCGTTTTCTACAATCATAATGTCCGCCGAACAGGAAGGAAGCGCTGCTCCCACCGAGCACCTGAACATCAAGGTCACGGACAACAATAACGAGGTCTTTTTCAAGATCAAGCGTTCGACCCAGCTCAAGAAACTCATGGATGCATTCTGCGAGCGTCAAGGGAAGCAAATGTCCACCGTGCGATTTCTTTTCGACGGCACTCGTGTGCGACCCGAGGACACACCAGACACCGTACGTGACCGCCACAGCGAAGGCCGAAAGAGTCCATTTAACTGACATCTCACAGCTTGACATGGCCGATGGCGATACCCTCGAGGTCCACCAAGAGCAGATCGGAGGCGGAAACTGAGAAATATTCTGCCGAAGCGAAGCATATGTGACAGCAGACCGCATATGGATTTGCTGTGTTGCAAAATGACGGGCGATGCGGCTGTACATCGCATTGACATTTGATCTTGCTCTGGTTTCTTTCACGATTAAACGAATTTTACAGGAATGGAAGGGATGGTTGTGGGAATCTACATATTTCCTGGATGGTAACGAATTCCAAAAAGGATAGAAATCTCTACCTTTGAAAGTTTTCCCGCCGCGAGGCGATCGTCGCTGCAGCCTGCAGCGACTAATAGATAATCCAGCTATCTCCACATTATTAAACATAAACATATAATAGACATCTGTTGTATGGGAAACACATATGTACAATTGAAAGATAAGATGGATGAGCAGCAACTAAAGAGCAGACCAGAGAGTTAGTCCGTCCACACTGAAGATCTCACGCGCTCCTCGTCTTCTTTGGCCTTGGCCTGTTCTTCACGCTCTCTGTTTCGCCGTTTAATCTCCTGCTCCTTGACAGAGCGATCGTAGGCACGCTGCTCCTCAGTACGCTTCGGTGCCCTCATACCCAGCGCGCCCGCGATCAGCCGACCAGCGACTGCGGTTTGCTTCTCTGGCCGGCGATTCGGATCACGACGCCCCGCAGCAGGAGAGCCTGACCGTCCCTCGGCCCAGGGATTGGATGTCTGCGGTGAGATGGGCGTGGGCGGAGGATCTCAGGGGACCCTCTGCACTGAGGGTGGGAGAGAGAATGGACGGAGACGGTGCGGAATCTCCTTGTGAAGCAGGCTCGTCGTCAGACGTGGCTTCGTCTTCCCAAGAGTCTGCAACGGGCTTCTTTATGGGCTTCCGAGGTTTCGGGGCAGAGGTTGGGGCGGTGGCAGAGGCTACTTTCACCGTAGGACGCACAACATCCTGCACTGGACCTGTCTCGCCAATGGATAGGTTGCGTAGAGTGGATTGAAGCTCGGCTCCCGGATCAGACATTGCACGCGGGGACTGTTGGGCAGCTGAGGGGCGTATAAAGATACCAACGAGCGGATTGTATTTGGATGGGAACGCCGGAGGAATAGAAGAAGTACAAGAAGAGGGAGAGGGTCTTGAAAAGGGTAGATCACAGGTAATGGCGTCAGAGCACTAACGCAACCCTGGTCGATCGTGGGGTAGCGGGCGGGCTAGACCGGATCAGGTGCCACCCGAGGTGTGTACAACAGAGACTTGTGTCACACATGTCAACATTCTACGAACTTTACCGAATTCGATCGACAATATCATAGTGTGTGTGGCCGCTTCTTTGTTAGTTTGAGAGATTTACCTACTGTTGAATGGTCGGATTCATAAATCAACGCTTGCCTTGGTTGCCTGGGCAAAATGAAGACTCGGGCTCATCACAGTAGCGTGGTAATTCAATATTGAAACTATAATTACTCAATATCTTATCTAATGACTGTTTCACAGAGAGTACTTGTTCTGCTCCAAGAAGGCTTTCCAGGTAGTAGGACGGTAACTGGCCTTTTCAAGCAGATCATGACTTTCTTTCAAGCTTTGGCCTTTGAAATAACCAGGACTCTCGATGAAGAGGTGGTTCTCAAGCATCTCTTGGCCTATCGGCCCCGGTATGAAGCTCTTGTAAGTTTCAGAATCCACCTGCACAAACCGAGTCTTCTTTCCAGTGATTTCCTCAAACTCGGCAAGGATGCGTGTTGGAGTGTAGTAGTCTGCAGCAGCGAAAAATTGGACTCCGAGAACTGCTGATCGATTCTTCAGGGCAGCTGCGACGTATTTACCTAACAGATCTCATGTTAGCATTTGCCTTGGTACAATTTCAACTTTGATTAATACTTACCCATATCGCTTGCGATATCGATGAGCGGGAATTGAGCATCCTTGCCAACCGGGTACGCCAATGTGTAAACGTCGTCGTCCCCCTTGCGTAGCAATCCAAGCTGAGTGTAATTACTCATGAAATATCCAGGAAGCACGAAGGTAGCGGGCACATCAATCGACCGGATATACTGCTCGACTTGGGCCTTGTGGTCAAAGTGGGGGACGTGCTTGAGTCGGCCACCTGTTTCATTGGTGACGTTCAACAAGGAAGAAAAGATGAGGTGCTTGACGCCTGTCTCCTTTGAAACATCGGCGACGTTTTTGCCATGCACTAGCTCCGCGTCGGACCCCTCGACTCCCCAAGCTGGAGTGGTAACAAGGAATACTGAATGACTCCCTTCAATGGCCTTCAGCAGTGACTCCTTGGAGTTCATGTCGGCCTTCAATGCTGTTAGTATTGAATTTACTATATTGTCTGGCTGGCTGTTTGTAATCTTACCGAGACGAGCTCCACGCCCTGGCTTGCAAGAGCCTGAGATTGCGGCTTCGATATATCGCGACTGACTCCTCTAATCCTGAATTCTTTGGATAGGGTTTCGTCCTGCAGAATGGTAAGGATAACAGAGCTACCTTGTTGTCCGGTAGCACCGAAAACAGTGATGATTTTGGACATGATTGATTTTGCCGAGGTGGTCGAGGTAGATAAGCTTCGAAAATTGAGATGGATTTTGATGTGCTGTACTTGAATTTTGTTGGTATGAAGTGACCTTTAAATACTTTTAACGGATTAAATCATTTAATTGACGACCCGTCACCCTATGTACGATTATTAACTTTTAACTCCGATCGGGCACCGATTGACGGCATTCAGTCAGCGCCTTCTTCTCGGCCTTGATCTCAATGCCGACAATTCAAATCAAGAAGTAGTTTGTCAAAATTGAGCGGGGAAAATGTGAGCGAACGCCGAACTTGCAAAATTCATTGGAAGAGTCATAGCATGACTATCCTTAGCATCAAAACGATGCCACTCACATCAATAATTTAGCGTGCTCTCCTTTTCCTTTATCTTTTTCATGTCCCAGTTCTGCGGCTCTGCCAAACTTACCCGTATTGGATCAACTCCTTGTTAATCATGAATCATAATCAAAGTTTGCTACAATTTACAGCTATTTTCAAAATCTGCTTGACCAATGCACGTAGAGACATATAGAGACACTCTTTCCTGGACGCCAAGGATGACCGCCGCCAACTAGCGAATCTAACGGCCATCGGCCCTAGTTCGGCCCGACAGATCCTTACAAATCTTATTCATCAAGGCCTTGAAATCAACTCCGAGAAGGTCATGTTCGCCAATAAATAGGATGAAACAAAGATGATTGGATCCGGGTCCGTCCGTATACATTAAATTGTTTGTTGTCTGGTTCAAATCGTGTGTCGAATTTTTTTTTTTTAGTTCTAGTCTAATCATTCCATTTTTCATAATCCTATGTTACTAGTATAAGTCATGACAACACTATCTTAGAGGTGGCTCTAGACTTTTTTATTATTATTTTGATTTTGATTTGGGTATCTGTCAATGCATATAAAATAGAAGAAAAAAGATAAAGGATGTCATCCAAAATGCTGAAAGTTGAAGAAGACAACAAGGGAAAGAGGGAAAGGATGGAGATAAATATAAACCACCGAAAAGAAATTATTAAAGATTTGATAAAGGTTCGTCAGGGAACCAAGGATATTAGACCTTAGTTTCAATAGCGTGTTCGCCAGTTGGAGTAACGGTGCGCTTGGAGCCAGTCTCGCTGCTCTCAATACCACTGATAACATCACGTCTGATCTCGACGTAGTCGTAGGCAAACTCGCCAATTTCAGCGTCATCGATACCCATGATCTCGTCCTCCTCAGGAGCACGCAGGCTCATACCGGGAATAAGGTTCAGGATAAACAGGATGATGCAGGTTCCAAAGAAGGAGTAGGCCATTCCAGAGACGGAGTCCGCAAGCTGGTATCCCAATTGGATGTAGTTGTGGTTGATCCAGCCTCCATCAATCTCGGTGGCACCGTCTAGATGCGCTATGTAGTCGGCAGCGAAGAGACCAGTGAGGAGGTTACCAACAATACCTCCGATACCGTGGACAGCGAAGATGTCCAGCGCGTCGTCTACACGGAGCAGGAACTTCAACTTGGTTGCATAGTTGCAGGCAATAGCGCCCACCACACCGAAAATGACAGCAGCCCACGGGGTGACGAATCCAGATCCGGGAGTGATAGCAACCAGACCGGCGATCACACCAGAGCAGAATCCAACAGTAGACCACTTGCGCTCCAGGCGATAGTCCATCAGACACCAGGTGACACCGCCAACTGAAGCAGCCAGGTTGGTGACAACAGCTGCCATAGCAGCACGAAGATTGGCAGACAGTGCAGAGCCAGCGTTGAAGCCGAACCAGCCCACCCAAAGGAAGACAGTGCCGATAACGACGTGCGTGACGTTGTGAGGGCGGTAGTTGAGCTCATGAGTGCCATGGCCACGGCGCTTACCCAGCATCAGGGAATATGCCAAAGCAGCAGAACCCGACGCGATGTGAACCGGAGTACCACCGGCGAAGTCCAATCCACCGAGTTGGTAAACCCAGCCGGAGGGGTTCCATGTCCAGCACGCAATGGGGTCGTAGATGATAGTCGACCAAATGAACATGAAGACAATGCAAGGGAGCATACGACCACGCTCAGCGACGGCACCGACGGCGAGAGCAACCCTAAAGATCCTTGATGTTAGTCTTCTGGATGGAATCATATCTTGATTGGTGTACTCACGTAATACAAGCGAACATGCCCTGGAAGATAGCGAATAGAATATCTGGAACGGCGGTACCTCCGACAGATGGTTGGGCCAGAACATCCTTCATGCCAAAGTTTGAGAGATCACCGATAAACTTTCCGGCAGTGTGGGAGAAAGCTAGCGAATAGCCCCAGAAGAACCATTGGAACGACACGACACCGACGGACATGATCGAAAGCCATATGAGAGAGAGAGCGGACTTCCGGCGGGCTAGACCCGAGTAGAAGAAACTAAACAGCAAGAGTCAGTGATGTATCAAGGAATTAGACGCGTCGCGATGTAATACATACCCAACACCTGGAATCATGAGCAGCACAAGAGCTGATGATGTGATTATCCAAGAGATATCGCCGGCCTGGAATTTCAGTCAGTTCTGATCACCTGCCGGGAGAGATACAATGATCCATCTCTGTGTCACTTACATTGTAGTAGATGTTAAGGTTATCGTGGAGGGAGTCACCGCCGGTGGCGATGGTCCCGTTGTACTCAACAGACATGACGGGAACCAGTCAGATGGCTCAATGTCACGGCCAGGCGTACTGAAAGTGAAATCAGACGGATAAATGAGGGGGATAGTCCTCAAAGATACTCCTAGAGTAGATGTATGGTTGATGTAGAAGGTTAACAAGGAGGAGAAGAGATCAATCGATTTCAACCCGGTATTTAGGGCAATTAAAAGGAGAAGAATGAGCTGATCTATCAAGTGCTGCAGGGACAGGGCCTGATAATTAAATAGCGACGCAATACATATGGAACATCAAACGGGGGTGTCTCCACCGGGGACACGCTAGAAGAGCGTCGGAACCATCAATCTTAGCCCCAGATAGTGGAAACTAAGACGGTGGTCATGGTGATTTCTATTATGATTCCTCCGATCTGACTGATAGCTGGAGCCAAGCCCGCCCATTTCAGCCATTTTCATGGATAAGGACAGTTTGGGGGCGTTTCCAAAGAGAATGGGACCCATGCGCCGGGGAATTACGGGTCTACCTTATGGCGGTTTAATGGTTTACGGTAAAGAGGCTCAACATCGAGGGGACATTTTTTCTACGGGGATTTAGAAAGCGTGAAATAGATGCAGATATCTGCTGTGTATCCTTTAGATCTCTATATTATTATGTGTTACTTTGCACTGTGGTGGTGCAGGTGCATCTGAAGCTCGGGAGGCCCAGGTCGTCAGCGAGTGCGTGATAAGCAGGGGAGATAGCTCCTCGGGAAGCGCGGACGATAGCAAAACACGGACAAAGTTACTTACAGAGGTCAATAATGGAAATTAAACAGCAAATGATTTCGATACCGTGCTGTGAATGGAAGATGTGCTGGTGGCCGCAAATCCATTGTCCCATTGTCAGTGGCTGTAGATATCAGGTTGGTCGCTGACCAATCAACGGGCGCCTCTTATCTGGAGGTGAGCACAGGCCCAAACGGGAATTACGCTTACCTCTTTGGGAACAATAACAAAATCAAGAGTTTTTTCGACATCTCTTGTTCAAAGAGGTGCAGGAGTAAAGGTTAGAGTGCTTTGGTGGGTAGTTCTTCATTCAAACCCATTGCAAATGCAAGTATAAGACGAAGGCTAGCATAAATGCGCTGTAGGTAGATATTTTGGTCAGTGTCAACTCGGACAAACTCTTATCTGTCGCAGGATGAGTGGCCAATCAGGATTGCCCTATTCAACCATTGTGAACTCTACATTCCCAGCTTATCATCCTGGCACTCCAGTCAGGGGCCACGGATATTATTCGTCTCGTTCGTTGGCTTTCCTGTCTTTGTTCTATTCGTAATTAACTCGCGACTCTTGGCCAAACAGTGCACATGGTTTTAGCAGGCGCCTCTGACGACAAGACCTCCAGTATGAATGAGAAGACGACAGCGATTCTGCCCCATCACTCAGGCAAAAGTGCATGCAGTGTGAAGAACACCATTGAGGCAGTGGCACGACACATTGGTGCTCAATTATTGCTGCCCCCTCGCATCTAATGTCCGTTGATATGTTGGAAACGGGCATGGTTCTCCGGGGCAGTGGACCCCACCACGCAGGTACCGTACAATCACGGATGACCATGAAGAACGCATGGGGTGACAACCTGCGAAAGATGACCATATGTCCATCCGTACTGACCACGCGGTCCGGGGATTGCCAAGTCCAGATAAGCACTGTGGCCCTCATTGGCCGGGAATTTTCGAGAGGGCTGCTTCGGCATCCCGAGGAGGGACTTGGCATCTGCCCTACGCATGATGGTGCTCGGATGGTTTTTTGTTGTGACTTGCTCTGAACAATTGACGTCAATATGCAGCAGTTTCCAGTTTATTAAATTCCCTTCACTAATGAATTTATCTCCTAGCTTGCTATCTCATGAGATATTTCTTCACGCCGAGAAAACATCCAAGATATACCGTAGCGTGGAGGAAACATTGCTTTTGCGAAGAAAATTATTTCAATTTTCGAATCTAATTCAAGTTGGCACTCAGAAAGCCTCTATCCCGACATCGTCTCCCATAAGTTTCCAGCTAGAATCAAACTCTTGGCAAAAACTCGAAGTGCGCTGTCAACCCTACTTCGTAGTGTATTATGTACCTAGACTTGGAAGGTACGGAGTAATTACTCCTCACTACTCCGTATTGTGATTCCAATTGACTCCGCCGATCGACATGATCCAGGATCCGCGAATCTCGATTTTAGCTTTTGGCTAGAGATTGACTGCATGATTGGCGAACTAGTCTTATTTTCCTGCAGGGCTGTGGCTATGTATTGGAGATCAATTTCGGATGCGTAGTAGTTCTTTCTTTGGGTTACCAGATACCTGAAAGCCCCTTTGACCTTCAGAAGTTCAAACATTCTCTCAGTGGCAAAATTTACAGAAGTTGATCATATAATTCTTCAGATATGAACCGCCGCCTTGAAGTGTCCAACGGCGATCCGGCACATGGAGAAAATACAAACCAAGATGTGCCTTGTTCATAAGCCAGAGAGACTACAAAGCATCTAACCAAACATGTGCTTTTGATGACAAGAAGATGATCAAAAGACCTGTTACTTTGCTGCTTTCCAAGGTTGTCATATTCTGTTGGGGACTTAGATAGGCTTGGAACAAATATACTTGGCACTTCAAGTTTATATGAAACTGACTGCTATGCCTGCAGCGTTCGAGTTGGCCATCTGGTCGAAACCTTGGAAGATATGGGAAAAGCAGGAAGAGCCTTTATCGGAAACTGCCCTGGAATAATCCATGGAAATGCACAAGAGTAGTACTATTTCTCTGCATAATGTTATGGACAGCCAGTCGTACTTTTGCGGTTCCAACTCGAACCTTGGAATATACTTGGTTTCAGGGTAGTCAACATCTCGACACGCTGATATTATCCAACTTGACTAGGTATATCCCGGTCCTGCGCACGGCTGTTCATCAATCACATTGTTCAAGTCTAGACTGTGTATGTATATACCGCTAGCAAGCATGATCAGCACCTGTGACTAGGGGCAGGGGTGTAAATTAATATCGAGGACGACGCAGATTTGGTGCCACGTACGTGACCAAGACTCGTGCCCTGCTCGAATCGGGCTCGAAAAGGTAGGGTTGGCAGACGATCCCGCAAGGGCCAACCAAGAGCAGCTGAAGCTGCCTGAAAGTGCCATCGACGGACCGGTTGGCCCCCGCCGGCAACAAATCCCATTGGTTGCGCCACCAAACACCGCCACACTCCCCTATCACTCCAATTACCTCCAATGTTGGTCTCCATCCTCGATGCATTCCCCCCCCCATCTTGACCGTTTGAAAGCGCGAGAGCTTCCCCAGCATTCGTCCATCATGGAGCACCCCGACATTGCCAACCATGACTCGGATGGCTCGGGCTCATCGGACGAGTATCCTCCCCAGTATCCCCTCATGACCAACACATCCTTCGGGGAACCCTTCGACCCTCAAGTTCAGACACCGGCCACGACCATCAACTCCTCCTCCCCTCCCTCCCATCCATCGAGCCTGTCCTCATGGTCCAGTACGCCCACAGTCCGTCCACGTGGAGCTAGCCTTGGAGCTTCATCCGTGCTCGAGGCCTCCGACCCTCTTGCGATGGCCGGCGATCTGCGGCTACAACGCCCGTCTGCTCCTGCAAGAACCCCCTCCAATACATACGCCCCTCAACGGCGCCCACCACAGTACATCAGCCTCCAGAGCGATCGTCAGCGCTCTTCCTCCTCCAAGAGAGGGCCCCGACGCGATCCCAACGCGCAATATCGCGCTCAAGAAAAAGCCTATGTGCAACGGATCCGCGCCAATCCACAGGCCTGGTATCACCATACTAACGACGCACAATCTCCTAACATTATGGTCGCCGACGCCGACTTGGAGGATCCTTCCCCATCCTCCGAGGCTCCCTATGAAGATGACCCTTACGACCCCGACACCCAGCTTTTCCTCCCCGATGATAACCTCCCCAGCATAGAGGAACTCAAGAACCCGAAGAATCAAGAACGACTCGAATGGCATTCCATGTTGGCGTCAGTGTTGAAGGGCGACGTTGTAAGGCAAGAGAAACAACGACTCATTGGCTCCACAGAGTCCCAGAGATCGGCGGCTCTTAGCCATGCCCTATGGCTTGGGGTCCGATCGCGGACATGCGGCCGAAGCATTCCTCTCCAAAGAAAACTGATCGAGGATGCTCGCTCTCGCCTTGCACCGCTGATTGAAGATATCATTAACTTCCAAATCAAAGGCGAAGCTGAGATCGGTAAACCACCCCGACAGCAAGTTGAGGATGTTGTGGAAAAGATCGAGAAGGTTGAGATACTTTACTCGACATCCAAAGAAATGGAAACCGCAAACCCTCGTGCTGCCTCGGAAGAGTTTTACTCTAGCCGCGCGGCGATTTTTGCCTGGCACAACATCACCGCTCTGATAAACACCCAACTAGCTGTCTTACAAAGTTGGGTGGGCAACGATGCTCTCGATTTCGCTGCTTCTAGACTCAAATCCGACAAGAGCGACCTGTCGGACGACTCATCATTTCTGGATCGTATAATGAAGGAGGACGGGCTGAAGACCCTCCAGGGTGAGCACAGCATGCTCGAAGGGATTGGGTCTGTCATCCAAAAAGCCAAAAGTACATTGATCGAAAACTCTGAAGCCTTTGCAGCTCGCCACCTACCGCCTTATATTGAGGAGCTTCTAACGTTAATCAACTTTCCATCCCGTTTGATTCAAGAGATCATCCGCATGCGTCTGTCTTATGCAAAGAATATGAGAGATCCGGCCCAGCAGTCACCTATTCTGGTGGACCAGATGATCTCGCAGTTCCAAATCCTAATGAAGGTGGCTGTTCAGATTAAGCAAACTTACTTGGCTATCTCACGGCCTGAGCCTGGCTGGGACTTACCGCCCTGTGTTGACGAGAATTTTGATTCCGTTGTGTTGGATGCCATGAAGTACTATTTCCGACTTTTGAATTGGAAGTTAAACGCCAATAAAAATACTTTCAAGGAGGCTGAGATTCTGGAGCAAGAATGGGGCTATTCTTATCAAATCGGCCGCCATTTAGACGGTGGCGATATCGAAGTTGCCGAGCAATTCAGGTATGAAATGTCAACGCTTTAAATTCTAATAGGTTTGCTTTGTTAACAGAAAGGAATAGTGCTTTAACTGCCAAATCTCTTCAGCGACTCATGATTCATTTCGAACGTGAGCTGGTTCCAAGGTCTAAAGAGACAGTCGCAGACATGGACAAGCGTTATAAGAGCATACTAGATTCAACACGTATCCGACAGCGCAAGTTGTACCGATTTTCGAGATTTCTTTGCCAATTGTTTGAAAATGCGACGGAATACAATCTCCCCGCAGACATCGCATACGACTTTTTCGAGGCCCTGCTGATATCTGATCATTTTCTGATCACCTCACCCGGTTCAGTGGGCCAGAAGGGTGTCTACTTGATTGCCCATTATTCCCTGTGGAATCGTCCTGCCGATATCCAAGCCATTCTCGCTACCTCCTTCCGGGAAGACAATACGACAATTGACTCGCCTCACATTCCATATGTACTTGTCATCCGCCCAGAGCGGCCTCTGGGATGGGGCGGCAAAGAAATGCACGTGGATATGCTGGAGCAGCCAACCGATGTCCGCCTTGGTAAACTTCGACTTGTCGTTGAAGGAATGCAAGAAAGACTACAAAACGCAAGGCTGGAGTTGACACAACTCACTGGCATCCAGCTAGACATGTCGATCGAGCAGCGTGCCAACCTTAGCCGTGTCAACGTCGAATTGAATAAGATCAAGAAGATTTCTTTCAAGCTTTCCATGGCCATCATGGATAGTGTGGCTGTGATCAAGAGCCAATTGCGTGAAAAGACATGGGATAATAATGACTTGGTGCAAGCCTGCTATGCGTTTGCAACTGAATTTGGTAAACGTTCTTCCAATTATGTTGATGCCAATAGACGCGCTATGAATAGTGCTCGACTGATCGACCTATCTCTTGACTGGGTTTCGTTTATCTGCGATGAGTGTGATGCTGCTGATCGAAAAACTTTCAAGTGGGCAGTGGCCGCGCTTGAATTTGCCATGGCAATCACCTCCAGTCAACACTTGTTATCTTTAGATGAGGAGCAATTCAATCGTCTGAGGTCGAAGGTAGCGGGTTGCATGTCCCTCCTTATCTCTCATTTCGATATTATGGGCGCTCGATCATCCCTTGCGGCCCAGGCTGAAAAGCAACGCATGGAAGAACGCGCTGGCGCCCGAAAAATCGGCCAAGGCCGTATTCTGAGCGATGAAGAAGCATCCAGGAATGTTCGTGATCAGTGGCATTCCCGAGTCACGGAAATTGAAGACAAGAGAGTGGAGGAAGATGCAAAACGACAAGCTCTTGGTAGAGTCCTTGAAGGTTCTGATGAGGCTGACCGTTCCCTCACTGTTCTATCATCATCTGCTACCAACGTCACTCTTCGCTGGCAGCAAGGCCAATTCATCGGAGGTGGTACCTTCGGCTCTGTATACGTTGCTATCAATTTGGACAGCAATTACTTGATGGCAGTCAAGGAAATCCGTCTGCAGGACCCTCAACTGATTCCTAAGATCGCTCAGCAAATTCGCGATGAGATGGGTGTGCTCGAAGTGTTGGACCATCCGAACATCGTTTCATACCACGGTATCGAGGTGCATCGTGATAAGGTCTACATTTTCATGGAATACTGCTCTGGTGGCTCACTTGCCAGTTTGCTGGAGCATGGCCGTATTGAAGATGAGACTGTCATCATGGTCTATGCTCTCCAACTTCTCGAGGGTCTGGCTTATCTCCATCAAGCGGGTATTGTCCATCGCGATATCAAACCCGAGAATGTCTTGCTTGACCACAACGGAATCATCAAGTACGTCGATTTCGGCGCTGCCAAGATCATCGCTGGATCAGGTCGAACTGTAGCCCCGATGGACGGCGGCAAGGACTCTTTACTACCCGGTAAGAATGATCAAATGCAAAATCGGGGCAAGAACCAAAAGACGACAACGGGAACTCCAATGTACATGTCTCCTGAGGTTATCCGCGGCGACACACCCGACCTCGCGAACCACCAGGGCGCGGTGGATATCTGGTCCCTTGGCTGCGTCATTCTCGAGATGGCCACCGGCCGTCGACCATGGTCCACTCTGGATAATGAGTGGGCGATCATGTACAACATTGCGCAAGGGAACCAACCCGTCCTGCCGACTCGTGACCAGCTCAGCGAACAGGGTATCAACTTCCTAAGCCGCTGCTTCGAGTGTGACCCCCCTCAAGCGACCCACTGCTGCCGAGCTCCTTCAAACCGAGTGGATAGTCTCCATTCGCCAGCAAGTGGTGGTGGAAACCCCCACACCTGGAAGTGAAGCTAGCGGCTATAGCAGCGGCTCCGCCTCTGCCAGTCGTCAAAACTCATACGTGGTTTGAGGTCGTATGCTTTCTATCTTCTCCTGCCCCCCCCTCCATTCTCGCCATTCTTTATGCACTGTTTTATGACATCTGGCTTTTTGAAAAAGATATCTTTTTTTCATGTCATCTTCTTTCTCCACACTCGCTCGATCTCGACTTGACTTATACACCCTCAGACGAATCGCATGTGATACCCCCTCTGTGCTACTTTCTCATTACGTAACGTCTTCTATCATCTGTCATCTTCTGATTCTTTCACATACGGGAGTCAGGGGCCCCCGCCCAGTTGGGGGTTTTGCTCGGCGTTGGTATTGCATTGGCTACTCGCATTTTGGTGCTCTTGAAATGGCAACTTTATGCTCTATCATCTTGTTCTTTTTTTCTATTGGCGATTAGGATTATTGCAATTGATTGCTATGTTCATCGAATTTGATCCATTGTCCATTGAAATAATGTTTTTGTAAAGAGCCCATCTACTAGTTCGTGGCGTGTTCAGAGCTCCCGCCTGGCGTTGAAAATTACTGCCCAAGTGCTGGGTAGACCCATTAGGCTTGCTCGGGGTGTCACTGGGTTTGCTACGAGTAAAAATACCACTGATATGTATGTAAAAAGCCGATAAAATAGATACCTTGGAAATTCATGTGTCCAAGAAAGCTGCAGCTCGAATCAGCTGCCTGGAAGATACATATCACAAACAGAAAGCTCAGGAGAAATATCAGTCCGGAGAATAAAATAATGTATGAAAAAGATAAAGAGAAACCAAGAGGAATAAGAGAAGAGAAATAAGAATAAGAACAACAGCTCTCTGAAACAAGGAGACCGTATCACTAGATAAGAGGAACGCCGTTTCCTAGATCCGAGTTCGTGAGGCATGAGGTACAATTTGAAAACATCAGGTGGCGAGCGTATGCGGGGCTTTAGCCATGGGGTATATGTAGTATCGGAAGCTTCAAACCCCAGATGCTTGGGGGTTCGCTAAGCAGAGGAGAGTCGGAGAGTAGATGGCTGAGGTGAGATAGAGGTAAAGGGGATTCTCGGAGAGATGGAGCCAGGAAGTACCAGTCAACCTGGAACATTGGATGTTGAAGATGTGGGATGATAGGATAGTATACGGGTTGGGAGGTTGGCAAGGCGAATGGGTCGCCGCAGGTTAGATGGTTATAGAAGCGCCAGGAACCGAGCTCCAGCTTAACGGAACTCGACTACTGGCGCACATCCACGATCCTCGACATGCTTAAGCTCAAGCTGTTGGAATCTGATATACCGTTAGTCAAAGCAGGAATTGGAATCAACGAAACAAAGTAACTCACCTCTCGCTCTTCGCATGGAAATATACACCGCTCACGGATCCTTGTATCTGGTTGAAGCAGATATAGTAAAATCCTTCGAAGCTGGCGCCTGAGATTGTTCGAACTCGGTGGTCCGGAACGAGGAAGTATTCCTTCCACCGCATGAATACGTGCTCATGCTGGGCAAAGTTGCGTAGTGTGAAGTCAGTCTTCTTGGCTTGTTTAGCAAGTGGTTTCCACGCCGGAAACCGAGACCAGTGGTGTATGTCGGTCTTCTCGTTGGCACCCCATTCCTCGTTGCGAGTGATGAAACTGTGTTTGGTGCCAATCATTTCGCCCTCAAAGAAAGTTGTCAAAGTAGGATGATCCTCAGTCAAACCTTTTAAGAGAAGGAAACAACAACGGTCAGAAAAGCTAGACAGCGCTATGGCCCATTGCCGCGGGAAATTGACTTACCTTGAATGCGCAGGTAGCCGCAAAGGTAAGATTCTGCTATGTCCACATGTTTGATCTCCACATCAACATTGTAAACTTGTTTGTCGGACATTTGAGTACCAGCAAATCTGCTTCCGGAGCGAAGAAACGACGAGGTATGGTTTGGCAAAAGCTGTAGCGATGGTCAATTGAGTGGCGCGTCGCCGATGGGGTAGAGGCGGTACATACCCGAACATTAGAAAATTCATAGCGCATCAGCGCCGGAGTCGGCATCACCGGCGATGAGCGACCACGATCGCATGGATCCGTTGGAGATACGGATCTCTCACGGCCCATGTCCAAGTCCGTGCTGGGAGCCAACTTCTGCTCCACTTTGAGCGCCTCGGGCGCTAAAAGCGCACCTCCATCATCGGACCGATTCAACATGAAGGGCGTAGTGCCACTTGAGGGCGACAGAATCTCATCCAGGGGGTCACTGGCCTCATCAGTCGAGTCCGGCGAGTCTCTCCAGGCCGAGATTCGATCAAGGTCTGGTGGACAGGTGCGAGCGGAGATCACGTCGGCGATCGAAGTCGGCTGGTTGTCACTCGGGGTCGGCATTGGGGATGAAATCAAGGGAGGAGAATGGCGGACATCGGTTCCAAGCAAACGCGCCCAAGCGAGAGCAAAAAAAGGAAAGGAAGGAGGAATGGGTAAGAGTGAGAAGAGTGAGAAGGTCTGTACTCTCGGAGAGGGGGGATGTGGCCCATTTGACTGTGACTGGGGTCATGCGAGCGCGGGGGAGGCGTTTTGGCCTGAGGCAGCCAAAATTGTACGTCAGGAACGATTTGCAGATGGGTTTACCGTACATACTAGTGGTCCATACGGAGTATAGTGGTCTAGATTTCCTTAATTTACTTAATTTACCAATCTAAATCTATAAATATGATCACTATTCACCCCCCCTGATTATTTTAACCAGTCTCTTACAGGTCTAATTAGATCTTACCCAGTCTACGTGGCGAGGACCGCCCAATTGTGGCAAATCAAAAAGCCAATTTTTGGATTATAATCATTTTGTATCTGCATTGGGTTCAGCTAAAGTACTGAAGTGACGAACCCACTTCCTTCAGAAGGATCTCTCGATGAACGCCCGGTATCGTTAAAAAAATAATAGTTTCGCATACACAAACACACAAACACCAACGAATTTTGTCTTAGATGGGCTTGATCTGTAAAGCACGTCCGTTAGCATCGCATCGCATTGCGCAACCAAGCTGCATCGTATGAGCCTTACCTTGAAGTGGAGAGAAATAAGCGAGAAAATAAGGGCTTTCAAGTCCTGTACGAGGTAATAAAACACTCGTAGACCTTCAGGATCCGACGATTCAGTGACATCCACAAGGGAGCCAATTTTCGCGGTCTGCGCGGTAAGCGCGGTTAGTATTTAAAAAAGAATCTTGACCGTCTTTTCAAGGTGGATATCATACCTCAAACGAGATGTGCTCACTTCCAAGGCGGATCTCCAGCTCCTGGCGTCCGTCCTTGTTCTTCTGGGGCCACTTGGAGTCGTCCTCCCTGGTACCTAGTCAGCTCGTCTGGTCTACACCCCCAAGATGGGGAGTTCCTATAAACATTGAAGGGCGTACTTCATGATTTCACTATCCTTGATGATGCGCTTGATCTCCTGGATCATGGCCGGGCTCACACACACTGTATATTCTTGTCAGATTGCCTGTCGCGCTTGTTCCTGGCCAAGTCCCGGGGACTCACTTTCTTTGCGGATGAGGGAGTCATTGCGGTAGTTGGAGTTATTCGCGTAACGCACGGCGGCACTGCTGCCATCGGCTAGGGTACGGAAATCGAATTCTGCAATTGTCTGGTCAGCAACATCATCCTCATCTTCCTCTCTCTCATTCTCTCATGGAGGTAGACCAACCTAGGAACTCATGCCCGAACCGCCCAGAGTGACCTGAGCTGCGGCGGGGTGTTAGCAGCCGGGGCGACCTGGGCTTATGGGACCCATCATTCTTACTAGTATCGGAGGTAAAACACCTCGTTAGTCGACATTGTGTTGAAGAATTGGCATGCAGTCGAGAATCGAGGAATGACGCTGAATGGTGAAGGCGGGAAATGTTGGAGGAAAGGGCTTAGTCATACACACAGAACGGGGCGGCGCCCGCAAAGGGACAGGTTGATGCTTCCCACCCCCCTCTCCATTTGCGCATCTTAAACCAGCACGCCCATGATTCTTAGGCTGGCGAGGGGTGTTGGATTACTTTAATTGCGCGTTCCTGATTTCGGTCCTACAATCTTCTTGTCTACCCTCTCCCAAGGGAGAAATCCTACTGGTACGTGCTTGCGGCTGCGCTGAGGTGTCCAAAACATCCCCCCGAACTGACAACATGCAAGCTCCCCTTCGATTCCCCCGGCCGTCGCTTTCAATCCCACAACCATGGCGTCCTTCCTCGAAAACACATACAGTCTGGTCCACCAGGACAACACGGCGGACCAGCCAACTGTGCAAGAGCTGAAACTTCAGCTGGAGAAAGGAACGGATGAGTCCAAGTTGGAAACAATGCGCACCATTATCACGATCATGCTCAATGGTGACCCCATGCCCGCGATCCTGATGCATATCATTCGCTTTGTCATGCCATCGAAGAGCAAGGCCCTCAAGAAATTGCTGTATTTCTACTATGAGATCTGCCCTAAACTCGACTCGAATGGCAAGCTGAAGCAGGAAATGATCTTGGTCTGGTAAGGAGGATACCCGTGGCCACTTTCTCACGGAATTGGACGATCAGTTAACCCGCCTTTCTTTCACAGTAACGGTATTCGGAACGACCTGCAACACTCCAACGAATATGTTCGGGGTAACACTCTTCGCTTCCTAAGCAAGCTGCGTGAGCCCGAGCTGATCGAGCCCCTCCTTTCCTCGGCTCGCCAGTGCCTCGAGCACCGTCATGCTTATGTGCGCAAGAACTCCGTGTGGGCCGTTGCCTCTATCTTCCAACACTCCGAATCCCTCATTCCCGACGCCCCCGAGCTTCTACAAACATTCCTCGAGTCGGAGACCGATGGCACCTGCAAGCGCAATGCTTTTGCAGCGCTCATGTCAATTAGCCACCAGAAGGCCCTCGAATACCTCCGCACTACCTTCGATACCATCCCCAACACCGATGAGCTGCTCCAGCTGGCTGAGTTGGAATTCTTGCGTAAAGATGCTGTGCAAAACCCCCAAAACAAAGTATGTTGAGCAACTAGATCGGCTACGTCTCACTGCTAATTGGAAACAGTCTCGGTATCTCAAACTCATGCTCGAGCTCCTTGATGCCCCTACCAGCACCGTTGTCTACGAAGCCGCTACGTCCCTCACTGCCCTAACCAGCAACCCCGTCGCCGTGAAGGCATCTGCCAGCAAATTGATCGAACTCGCCATCCGGGAGGCCGACAACAACGTCAAGCTTATTGTGCTGGACCGTGTCGACCAGTTGAGAATCCGCAACGAGGGTGTTTTGGATGACTTGACTATGGAGATTCTGCGTGTTCTTTCCAGCCCGGACATTGATATTCGGAGGAAGGCTCTCGGTATTGCTCTGGAGATGGTTTCCAGCAAGAACGTCGAGGAAATTGTCATGCTACTCAAGAAGGAACTCGCCAAGACCGTGGATGAGCAGTATGAGCAGGTAAATATCTCGTTTTGATCTCGCGGTATCCTGATACTAATAATATGTCTAGAACAATGAATACCGTCAACTCCTGGTTCAGTCAATACACACCTGCGCCATCAAGTTCTCCGAAATTGCTGCCAGTGTTGTCGATCTCTTGATGGACTTTATTGCCGACTTCAGCAACACCTCAGCTGTGGATGTTTTGACTTTCGTGAAGGAAGTTGTGGAAAAGTTCCCCGATTTGCGTGGATCAATCGTGAACCGTCTGGTGTCAACTCTGAGCGAGGTTCGAGCAGGAAAGGTCTACCGGGGCGTCCTCTGGGTTGTTGGAGAGTACTCTTTGGAGGAGAAGGACATTCGAGAGGCATGGAAGAAGATTCGGGCCAGTCTTGGCGAAATCCCTATTTTGGCCTCTGAGCAGCGGCTTCTCGAAGAGGTTCCGGAAGACACTGTGCTCCTCATGGAACAGGCGAATGGCGCCAAGGCTGCTCCTACCGGATCCAGGAAGGTGTTGGCTGATGGCACATATGCCACCGAGAGTGCTCTTACCAGCCAATCCGCCGCCGCCGCTCGTCTTGAGGCTGTCAAGGCCGCTCAAAAGCCGCCACTGCGTCAACTCATTCTGGACGGCGACTATTACCTGTCCACTGTTCTCTCCTCGACTCTCACCAAGCTTGTCATGCGCCACTCTGAGGTTTCCAAGGATACCGCCCGCACTAACGCTCTCCGCGCCGAGGCCATGCTCATCATGATCTCCATCATGCGTGTTGGCCAATCGCAATTTGTCAAGGCTCCCATCGACGAGGACTCTGTTGACCGCGTTATGACCTGTGTTCGATCCTTGGCTGAGTTCTCGGAGAAGAAGGATCTCGAGGCTACCTTCCTGGAGGACACTCGTAAGGCATTCCGCGCTATGGTTCAAGTCGAGGACAAGAAGCGGGCTGCCCAGGAGGCTGTGGAGAAGGCCAAGACTGCTGTGCAGATCGATGATGCTATTCCCATCCGGCAATTCACCAAGAAGAACACCGTCGAGGGCGCCGAGGAGATCGAATTGGATCTTGTCAAGGCCACGGGTGGAGACGCCACGGTGGAGAGTGCCGCTTCTAAATTGAGCCGGGTTGTGCAACTCACCGGTTTCTCCGATTCAGTCTATGCTGAAGCCTACGTGACTGTCCACCAGTTTGACATTGTTCTTGACGTGCTGCTCGTCAACCAGACCACAGAAACCCTGCAGAACTTGTCCGTGGAGTTTGCCACCCTGGGAGACCTCAAGGTTGTCGAGCGTCCTTCCACCCACAACTTGGGCCCGCGTGACTTCTTGAACGTCTCAGCTACGGTCAAGGTATCATCCACCGACACTGGAGTGATCTTCGGCAACATTGTCTACGATGGCCCCAGCTCCACCGAGACCCACGTGGTCATTCTTAACGACATCCACGCCGATATCATGGACTATATTCAACCTGCCCACTGCACTGAAACCCAGTTCCGTTCTATGTGGACCGAGTTTGAGTGGGAGAACAAGGTTAACATCAACTCCAAGGCCAAGACTCTGCGTGAATTCCTGAAGCAACTGATGGAAAGCACCAACATGGCCTGCTTGACCCCCGAGGCGTCGCTGAAGGGTGATTGCCGGTTCCTGAGCGCCAATCTTTACGCCCGGAGTGTATTCGGTAAGTGGCCATGGACTTTTCCTTAACTTTATGTTCAATTTCTGTTTCACACATGCTAACAATTTTGGTTTTCTAGGCGAGGATGCTCTGGCGAACTTGAGCATCGAAAAGGAGGGCGATGATGGTCCGGTCACCGGTTTCGTTAGGATTAGAAGTCGCTCTCAAGGCCTGGCGCTAAGCCTGGGCTCTTTGAAGGGTCTCAAGGCGGCAGCAGCATAAGTTAGAGCGATTGTGATGTTTATTTCCAGCGGGCTGCAGTCTATATGATGTTTTCTATTATTTTCCCCCGGTCTTATCTCTCCCCCCCCCTCTCCCCCTCCTGGTCTTTTTTCCCACCTTTTTTTGTGCTCCCCTTTTTTTTCTCAAGACAAATTTGTGTATGACTCTGTGTTATCAAGGCCAAGGAGTAGTGGAATAGAAATAATGCTTTTCGACGGTTGTCAGCACGCGCCACATGTAGTGCTAGTAGTAGTACTAGTCACTAGATCCCGAGGCTCGCAAGGGTCCGCACTTGTGGCAGCCGCAGCGCCCCAGTAACCGGAACCTACGGCTGTTGATTGACCCTCGATCTTTCCTGGGGGTCCCAGCTTTGTCTCCTGCGCTATCTTTAGACCTTACTCCCCCCCCCCTTAATCTTCTTACTTGCTGCGCTGATAATGCCCTTTCCTACGATGCGCTGAACTCCGACCATTCATATCACTATTTACTCAGAATGTCATCTCTTGACGCGGCTGCGGATCAGCCGGACGCGCATGACCAGACCCTGATCGTCGACAACGCGGTCGCCTTGACACTCAGCACCGATTCTCTCCAGGTCGTCGGTCAGCTTCCCCAAAAAGCTTGTCGGATGAGTATCGCTGACGATGATAACAGATGATCGAACCTCTAGCAAACCGGGCCGGCGCTGCTGCGGGTTATACAAGAGTAAGCTGGGGCCCTCCGCCCCTCCGGCGATCGCGATAAAGTCAATCGTGATGGCATATCTTTTTTTTCTGTGGGGCTAATTGATTTTTGTGATTCTTTTAGAGGAGAAGACGAAAACAACCTACGCAATTTCCCTATACAACGTCCTTGACGCCGAAGTGACTGCCTCGTCCCTGGCCATCACCTACGCCCAACATTCGACAAAGAATGATGTCTCCGTGACCTCCCTCCACTACCCTATAACCGAGAAAGAAAAGCCTGCGGTCGAGGCATGGACTGAAAGACTTGTTGAGCTCTCCTACGGTACTTCTCAGCGTAAAAGGCGCCTAAAGGTCTTGATCAACCCTTTTGGTGGAAAAGGAACCGCTGCGAATCTCTACAAGACATATGCAGCACCGATTTTTGCCGCGGCGCGATGCCAGGTTGACGTGCAGACCACCCAACACCGCGGACACGCCATTGAAATCGCGGAACAGCTTGACCTCGATGCGTATGACGCGATCATATGTTGCTCGGGTGATGGTCTACCCTATGAAGTCTTTAACGGCCTAGGTAAACGGCCCAATGGTCGAGAAGCGTTGGCTAAGATGCCAGTTGCGCTGCTTCCTTGTGGCTCCGGTAATGGCATGACATGGAACTGTCTTGGCACAGAAAGCGTCTCCGTGGCATCATTGGCACTCGTCAAGGCATTTCGAACACCCCTAGACTTGGTCTCTGTCACTCAGAAAAACACTCGCACGCTGTCCTTTCTTTCACAGTCCTTTGGCATTGTTGCCGACTCAGACCTGGGCACTGATAACATTCGGTGGATGGGCGCTCAGCGGTTCACGTACGGTTTCCTGGTTCGCCTGATGCAACGCATGATCTACCCTTGTGATCTGGCAATCAAGGTCGAAATGAGTGACAAGAGGGTCATTAAGGACCATTACAGATCCTATGTATCCCAAGAATATGACCCTCTGGCGGATCCCATCCGAGTCGAGGCTGCAAGCCAGTCACCGGCACTACCTGAACTTGAATATGGCACTGTTGAAGATCAAGTCCCCAAGGACTGGGAAGTTGTGCCAGGCGAACACATGGGCAACTTCTATGCGGGTAACATGGCTATCATGTCCAAGGATACTAGCTTTTTCCCTGCCTCCCTCCCAGGCGATGGGTTGATGGACATCGTCACAATCGATGGAACTGTTAGCCGCACTACCTCGATCAAAATGATGAATGAGATTCCTACGGGTGGATTTTTCGACATGGCAGATGTGAACATTCGCAAAGCCAAGGCATTTCGCTTGGTGCCGCACGAAAACGACGGCTATATAAGCATTGATGGTGAGAAGGTGCCATTCGAGGCGTTCCAGTGCGAAATCCACCAAGGACTTGGCACAACGCTCACCAAGTCGGGCCATATGTATGAAGCCGAAGGGCCGAAGTGATTCTTGTCTCTTACGTGAGCACTTCGTGCTAGCTCATCGTCGCGCTCATCTGTCCCAATGTCTTCCCCAGTCTTTTGCTATCCCTTCATGATACCCTTATGCAAGAGAGATCTGGTCCTTTGATGTATATTTTTCGGCCTCTGGGAGACGGTCAGTACTTTCCTTTATTGCGGAACCTTATTTTTTGCAAGACCACTTGGTCATCGAGCTGCGCACCGTCTATATTCCGTGCTACAACTGTACAGTTCCGGATTATCGTAATAGATGATATCAATATATTTTTATGTCATGCGGCACTTATCATGGTAACCGAAATCCCTTCCAGGCTGGTAGCATCATAAACTGCCAATGGAGAAAGACAGTCATCTGCATGTAAATGCCCAGGTGAAAGATTGGAATAACTTTACATTTTGCCAATACCATCCAGTTATCGCTATAAAAATGCTGTACAAAAGAGGTTCTCAGACCCAGATCGATCGATTATTCGTCAAAACCACCCCACTCGCCATCGCTATCCACCTCGTCGTCCTCATTGACCTTGGGAGCACGAATTCCCCACTCAACCAGGCGATCATCCTCCAACGCCTCGGTAGCCCGTGTCCGAACAGGCTTGTAGGGACTCTCAGTCCGAAGCTTCTCCAGCGGTCTCAAAATGAGCTCCATGGGAATATCGCCCTTAATCTTCCGATTCGCAACTCCATCTTCGGCAATCTCACCATCTTCGAATTCAAGAACCTTCTCCAACTCGTCAACCCAAATGTCGACAATATGGTAGCGTAGACCATCCGGTCCATGCGGCATTGCCACAAAGTCCGACTCCTCATCATCGGAATCCTGATCGGGGTCAAAGTTCACAGGGTGAAGGGGACCTTCCTCAATAAGAGAGATATAGGCGGAAAGATCAGCCCACTTCCCATCTTCATCTGTAGCCTCTTCCTCCTCCTGGGCTGGCTCGCTCTCCTCCTGCTTCTTTTGCTTCTTGCCACGGCCCTTCTTGCCAGCGTCTTCACGCTTGCGCTTCTTGTCGTCACCCTTTTTCGAGCTCTTCTTCTCCTTCACGAAAATTTGGAATGCGACTCCGACATAGCAACGGATCAGGAAGAGGTACTTGTCCAGGCGCAGTCGGTCGATGGAGTGATAATCCCGGCCGATGGTGATCCAGAATGCGCGCAAGAATCTGTGGAGGGTGGCATGGGGAAGAGATGTGACGAGGTGGTAGGAGAGTGCGCGGGCGAGAGCTTGTTGCGTGAGAGGTCGGTCGGAGTGATAAAAGCCTGCGGTCAACCATTATAAGTCAATCATATTTTATGTGCTCGGTCTGCCGACACTTACAGAAGAATAGACCCTTCCAGAGCTTCAGAAGATCAAGAACACTCAAATCCGTGCGCGAGCCCAGGAATAGAGTGAGAGATTCAACAGCCTTGTCGCGAACCTTACGGTCTAGACAAACCAATTCGTTAGCATACGTTTTGATGTGTTACACCAACATGAGAATAGAAATGATCATACCGCTAGAGGCAAGGTCCTTCACGAAGGGAGTCTTTTGAATTTCCGCCATTGTCTGGTGTGTTGTCTGGGTAGAGCGGCGTCAAATTGATCTCCGCGATAAATTATTTTTTTTTGGCTGATAGCAGTTTGCACTGTTTGCACATTACTTGGGCGTTTCTGCCTCAGGTGTCGACTTCTTGTATCTACAACTCCGACAACCTCATCCCAATTTCGCATCATTCCAGAACAATTACAAGTTTCAGACCCATCTGCCGCTGATAGATTTTGTTTCTAAGGACCATTTTCAGAAACCCAATGTGCCATTAGGCCCACCGCGAAAATGACCGCATTCGGAAATCGTCCAGTATGGAATGTCTCCTGGCATCCGATAGATCGTGACATCATGACTAGAAATCGCATCGAATGAGATCCCAGGATACCCTGGCCCCAGAGTGGTCAATTACGGTTCAGGGCAATTTTGGGACTGCTTTGGAAAGGCTAACCATTGAAATGTGCATATTTTCGGGTCCCGATGTACTTCTTCACCTGCTGCACTACCTTCACACCTGAGACTCTTCAGGTCAAAGTTGCTCTGGCGGTGTCGAGCCTGTATATCGACGCTCGAGATCATGGCTGAGCAAAATGAGGACTACGGGATCGCCGAGGCGAATGTTTCCTCCAATGGAACAGAGCACGTTTCGCGATCGAGTTCTGAAGCCCTGCCCGAGGAGCAGCGAGTATTCGAGCACATCCCACCTGAAGATCGCGAAGAGCTTTCCCGAATTGCCTCCAACTTTCCTCGACATCGAGCTACCGATTCCGGAGTTGGGAGTATGGGCGAAATCGAGCGCAAGGACACACTGGAAGATGTTGAGCTAGGTGATCCTGTCCTTGACCCAACCAGCGATCAATTCGATCACTACAAATGGGCCCGCATGGTGCTTAAAATGATGGACAATCAAGGAGTATCTATGCGCAAGTCTACAGGAGTCGTCTTTCAAAACCTCAACATCTCCGGCTCCGGTGCTGCCCTCCAGTACCAGAATAACGTGGGCTCTATCCCCCCTAGCCCTGTTCCGACCCCAGGAATACATCTCCTTAGGGAAATGTGTTCCTCAGAAGCAGATTCTGCGAAATTTCGATGGTGTTCTTCAAAGCGGCGAGCTTCTGATCGTCCTTGGGCGCCCCGGTAGCGGATGCTCGACCTTTCTCAAGTCTTTGTCCGGGCAATTGCACGGATTAAAAGTTGGAGAAAGCTCCGACGTTCAGTACAATGGCATTCCTATGGAGACGATGCATAAGGAATTCAAAGTATGTTTACTTTATTGCAGCCTTTGGGCCTTTTTGCTAAACATTTCCTCTCCATCTAGGGTGAAGTTCTTTACAACCAAGAGGTCGATCGCCATTTTCCTCATCTCACTGTCGGACAAACTCTCGAATTTGCTGCCGCTGCCAGGACACCTGAGCATCGGCTTCAAGGAATCAGCCGGTCAGCCTACGCCAAACATATCACTCAGGTAGCCATGGCCGTGTTGGGGCTGAGCCATACTTACAACACCAAGGGTGAGACGAAATGCCCACTCTCTACAATAATTTCGCTCATAATTCTTCCAGTTGGCGATGACTACATTCGAGGTGTTTCGGGAGGCGAACGAAAGCGAGTCAGGTAGGTCAAAATCTTATAGGCTCCCATTATACCAAGCGCTAACAATTCAAAATAGTATTGCCGAAATGGCTTGTAGGTTCCTTCTATTATCATTTTCCAGAGCAAGGCAAATTTTAACGAACTTTCCTAGTGGCCGGAGCTCCTGTTGGTGCGTGGGATAATAGTACAAGAGGGTTGGATTCAGCCAGCGCATTGGAATTCGCCAAATCTTTACGGGTTTCTGCCAACCTCACTGGTAGTAGCCACGCTGTTGCCATTTACCAGGCATCCCAAGCGATCTATGATGTTTTCAACAAGGTCATTGTGCTTTATGAAGGTCGAGAGATCTTTTTCGGGCCATGCAATAAGGCCAAAGAATACTTCGTCGAGATGGGATGGGACTGCCCGCCTCGTCAAACGGTCGGAGATTTCTTAACGTCGGTGACAAATCCACAAGAACGAAAAGCTCGCGAAGGGATGGCTAATGAAGTTCCACGCACCCCCGACGATTTCGAACAATATTGGAAGAAAAGCCCTCACTATGAACGGCTCAAGAAAGAGATCCTAGAGTACTGTGAGGAGTATCCTGTTGGTGGGGAAGCCGAAAAGGACTTTGGTGCCACAAAAAGATTACGACAGGCAAAGCATGTTCGACCGAAGAGCCCATATGTTATTTCTATACCCATGCAGGTCAAACTCTGTGTGAAACGAGCTTATCAGCGCATCTGGAATGACAAGCCGTCTACATTGACCACCGTCATTGGGCGGATCTTCATGTCTCTCATTATCGGTTCGATTTACTTCGGAACCCCAAATGCATCTGCAGGATTTCAAAGCAAAGGAGCTGCACTTTTCTTCGCCGTCCTAATGAACGCCTTGATCAGTATCACAGAGATCAACTCACTCTATGATCAACGCCCTATCATAGAGAAGCAAGCTTCTTATGCTTTTGTTCATCCTTTCACTGAGGCTCTCGGAGGAATTGTCGCAGACATGCCCGTCAAGTTTGTGTCTGCCATTGTGTTCAACATCATCTTTTATTTCCTGGCCAGCTTGGTAAGCTGCGAAAACCTCCGAATGGAATTCTAATATACTAACTATGGCATAGCGATATGAGCCCTCCCAGTTCTTCATCTTCTTTTTGTTCACCTTTCTCAGCACCCTTGCAATGTCCGGTATTTTCCGCACCCTCGCTGCCTCAACAAAAACCCTGGCCCAGGCAATGTCTATGGCAGGTGTAATCGTTCTTGCAATCGTGATTTACACAGGTTTTGTTATCACTGCGCCCGAGATGGCGAAAGTTCCTTGGTTTAGCTGGATCCGTTGGATAAATCCGGTCTTTTACACCTTCGAAGCCCTGGTGGCAAATGAATTTCACGGTCGTCGATTCGAGTGCTCCCAGTTCATCCCTGGATATCCGAGCTTGTCCGGGGATTCCTTCATCTGTGCTGTTCGTGGTGCTGTTGCTGGAGAAAGAACCGTCTCTGGGGACGCTTATATTGAAACCCAGTATTCCTACTCATACGCGCATGAGTGGAGAAATCTCGGTATTCTTATCGGTTTTTGGATATTCTTTATTTCATTGTATCTTATCGCCTCCGAACTTAATTCCTCGACATCTTCGACCGCCGAATTCCTTGTGTTCCGTCGTGGCCATGTACCGGCCCATCTACGCAAATTGAAAAAGGGCCAGGGTGATACCGGTGCAGGGGAGGCAGCTCCAAAGCCTAAGGAGAACGAGAGGGATACTTCCGTTATTCCATCACAGCATGACATCTTCACGTGGAGAAACGTGTGCTATGATATACCGGTGAAAGGTGGTGAACGTCGACTTCTTGATCATGTCTCGGGCTGGGTAAAGCCAGGAACACTCACAGCATTGATGGGAGTTTCGGGTGCTGGAAAGACCACACTTCTTGACGTTTTAGCTAAACGTGTCTCCATTGGAGTTGTTACTGGCGATATGCTTGTGAACGGTAAACCTCTGGACTCCAGTTTCCAGAGAAAGACAGGTTACGTCCAGCAACAAGACCTCCATCTACACACCACAACAGTACGAGAGGCTTTGAGATTCAGCGCAGTTCTGCGCCAGCCCAAGGCAGTATCGAAGAAAGAAAAGTATCACTATGTCGAGGATGTTATTGAGATGCTTGGCATGCAGGACTTTTCTGATGCGATCGTGGGTACTCCTGGAGAGGGATTGAACGTGGAACAGAGGAAACTCCTCACCATCGGTGTTGAATTGGCTGCGAAACCTGCGCTGTTGATATTTCTAGATGAACCTACCAGTGGCCTTGATTCTCAAAGTTCCTGGGCAATCTGCTCCTTCCTGCGAAAGCTCGCAGAGCACGGTCAAGCTGTTCTTTCAACAATCCACCAGCCTAGCGCTCTTCTATTCCAACAGTTCGACCGACTACTGTTTCTGGCAAAGGGAGGAAGGACCGTTTATTTTGGCGAGATTGGTGACCAATCTCGAACTCTTTTGGATTACTTTGAGAGTAACGGGGCACGATCTTGTGACTCGTCAGAGAATGTAAGGACCTTACAGTTGCCTAACCCTATTCCTGCTCTATGCTAATATGAATTCAGCCTGCTGAATACATGCTTGAAATTATTGGTGCCGGTGCTTCGGGAAAGGCCACCAAGGATTGGGCTCTAGTTTGGAATGAAAGCCAGCAAGCCAAGGGAATCCAAACTGAGATAGATCGCATTCATGATGAGCGTGCATCTGCCGCGGGAAGCACATCAGACGAGGCCCAGGTTGGTGAGTATGCGATGCCATTCGCAACCCAACTCTGGTATGTGACGTATCGGTCGTTCCAGGGATTCTGGCGCGAGCCATCCTACGTATGGGCGAAAATTATGCTGGCCACTATGTCCTCACTCTTCATTGGATTTACCTTCTTCAAGCCGGATAGCTCGCTACAAGGCTTTCAAGATGTGATTTTCAGTGCATTCATGCTAACTTCGATATTTTCAACATTGGTTCAACAGTAAGTAGAACACTCATATCATTCCCGCACAGAGACTTACTGAAACGCGTTCACTAGAATCATGCCCAAATTCGTTGTCCAGCGATCACTTTACGAAGTCCGCGAAAGGCCTTCAAAAGCATATTCTTGGGCCGCCTTTCTCATCGCCAATGTCATTGTTGAGATTCCATACCAGATTTTCATTGGTGTGATTGCCTGGGCCTGCTACTACTTTCCCATCTATGGAGCAAACCAAGCCCCACATCGACAAGGTCTCATGCTCCTCTTCGTGGTACAATTTTACATGTTCACCTCGACTTTTGCTTCATTCGTGATCTCAGCACTACCAGATGCCGAGACGGGTGGAACAATTGCCACACTTATGTTCATCATGACCCTCACATTCAACGGTGTCCTGCAACCACCAAGCGCGCTGCCTGGTTTCTGGATTTTCATGTACCGAGTTTCCCCTCTAACCTATCTAATTGCGGGTCTCACTTCGACTGGTTTGCACGGCCGACAGATCCATTGCTCGGATGCAGAGCTGAGCGTCTTCAATCCCCCCCACTGGTTTGAATTGTGGTGAATACTTGAACCAGTACGTCACTGCTGCCGGCGGGCAGCTTTACAACCCGGAAGCCACGAGTAGTTGTCAGTATTGTCAGCTATCGAATGCCGATCAGTATTTGGCAGCTAGCAATATTTGTGAGTATTGAGAATATTCTTTGATTGCTTCTCGACTCGACTAACTGAATCTTGTAGTCTACAGCGAACGCTGGCGCAATTTCGGAATTGGCTGGGCTTATATCGGCTTCAATATCTTTGGTACCGTCATGATGTACTATATGTTTCGCGTCAAGCACTACAATCCCACGTCTTTGGTTCGTGGGGTTCGCCAGGGTGCTTCCCTCCTATGTCGTGTGTTCAAGCGGCGGTCGGGAGAGACGCCTAAAGGGAAGGAGGCGGACAACGGCCGACTGGTTTAAACGTTGTCTTTGAGATGAAGAATTGTCAGGACTGTGCTTATTAACATCTGTCTTTATTGCTCTCAATTTTTAAACCAAGAATTGATAAATAAATAAAATTGTCTCTCCTTATCAGCATCCGATGTCAGCTGTATACCAGTAGAAAGAAGCTTCACATGGCCTCTAAACCTCCTGGTCCCAGAACTTCTTTGACGGCACCTTGAATGTAGGGGTGCCACCTTTTGTCCAATATCCGGGCAATTGATGCAATCAGTATAGCGGGTCTTGCCCCAATGTACCAGCAGTCCCCGATTTGATTTAAGATCACGCAGTAATGTGCAAGTAGAATGAGTGCCCCGGGGTGCTTTTCCGATGTCAAGGTGAAAAACCTCTGCTCAATGTGCATCGGCCAGGTTCCAAGTATATTCCACGCAGTTAAACCAATGGTTTTCTTGGCGCGATCGACATACGCGAATGACTCGGCCAAAAGGTTCGCTGCATGGCGATACACCCTTGTGCTTTCTTCTGACCAATCATCCTCCTTGGGGATGATAGACAGGAAAACATCCAAATGAGATTGTTTCTCTTTATCGCTAACATCCAAGTTCCTCTCCCAGGCAGCTGCCAAGATGCTGGCGCGGCCACTTTCAATTCGGTGCCAGACATCTTTAAGCATATAACAGCCAGTGCGAATGAAATGTAACCAGGAAGGGAGGATCTGTTGAGTGTTGGATGGGCTGGCATCAATTATAAGGAGGGGATTGCTGGACTGTTCAAGGTCGGTTGCTAAGGAGTATACCACGAGGAGATAGGCAAATGCGATGATTGCGTCGCAATTATCCTCCGTTGGGTTCTCAATGGCTTTGCGGAACTCAGGTATAGCGGCCTCTTGGTGGCAGCATCCTCGAAGTGTGTATTTCTGGCGCTTGGCTGGATTTGAATGTGCCACGTGCAAAGCCGTGCAGGCTAGCATTCCTTGTAAAAGAAATTTGTTATCACAAGCAAGTCCTGGTACGACTTCAATCCAGACATTCTCGGTTTTCTTGTTGGTCACAAAGGTTTTGTATGAAGAGTCGAAATAATGTCTCAGCAATTGAGAATCAAGCGCATCTAGGTGGTACTTTTCTTGTAGACGTTTTACCAACGATTTTTCCAGTCGTTGATCTTGGCTGACTGCAACCTCTTGGGGTTTTGCTATTTGACCTGATTTATCCCGTGTGTTCTGGAGTTGTCGTTGATTCTGTCCGGTAAAGTAGCGTAGCATTCTACCGCGAAAAAATGTCTGCAGTAATGTGAAATGCCAGTCAGTCTCCGGATTGCCCTTCTTGGCATGAACTGCGGGCCAGTGATTTTCCATTCGTTTATTTGAAGCGCACAGATAATTGCAGCCCGGCGCCAAACATCGCCATCCCTTCTCGACTGACAACTGCGGTACAGGGAAATCGTCTGGAGGAGGCGACTGCACTTCCTCCGGTCTCTTAAGCTTAAGTTCCTTGGTATATGTAATATAAGGGCGTCTTTTCTCGTGATGAAGATGATGGATATCTTTCAGATGACGCCGGATCGCTCCAGGTTGGATCGCATAGTGACAAGTGGTGCAGATCAACACGCCGTAATCGGGCCGATGGTGGAACAGCTCCGATGGGGCCAACCCCTTCTCCTTTTGGGCTTGAAATCTCTTGGTATTTCCGGTCCCTTCCAAGCTCTTCTGTCGGAGCATGATGAATCTGAGCTTCTGTGCAGGAACCAAATCGAGGCTGATGATGATGGGGGGGGGTAAGGCCAACAGGGCTCTGACGCTAACCCGAACCGGAGCGTCGATTACTTCTTTGAGAGAGAAATGACGGTCCCGTTCGGGTTAGCGTTCTCCGAGTCTCATTGATTCGTCATTTACTTTCTTTGCTTTACTAGTTTTACTAGTATCTTCGGCTTTTATTTTGGCATCTCCGTACAGGGGGGAGGGAAATCTGTGGATATAAGTATCCAGGGAATGTCGCCGGAGTCCTCTATTTTATTCTTCTCAGACTACATCCGAGCATTCATACTTCTCAATTGTGATCTCATTCATACCTTCAATTTATTCTTCCAAGGTTACTACTCCCCTCAATTATCCGTTATGTCGCTCAAGTTTGAACGCTCTGTACTTGTTACTGGCGGCACTTCTGGCCTGGGCTACGAATGTGCATTGGACATCGCCCGCAAACACCCAGAGTATCAGATCATCATTGCCTCGAGATCAGATGCAAACTCCGCAGCCAATACAATCAACAAGACTCTCAACCAGAACAATGTTCAATATCTTCCCCTCGATTTGCTCCAACTGGCCAAGGTCCGTTCATTTGCCTCAGATTGGAAGTCCCATAACTTCCCACCGATACAATCAATGGTTCTGAACGCAGCCTTGCAATTCCCGGGAGCTGTCGAATACTCCGATGACGGATTTGAAAAGACGTTTGCCGTCAGCCACATTGGCCATGCTCTCCTCCTATCCCTTTTGCAACCTTGCCTCGCCGATACCTCCCGCATCGTCATCGTATCGAGTGGAACGCATGATCCTCTGCAAAATTCAGGCATGCCCGACGCCATCTACAACTCTGCTGAAGAGCTTGCTCATCCTACCCCGGAATCGGCAAAGGCAAATGGTCGCCAGCACTATAGTAGCACCAAGTTGGCCAACGTCCTTTACACCTACGCTCTAGATCGCCGTTTCGAGGCCATCAACAAGAAATATGGAAAGAAGTGGACAGTCACTGCATTTGATCCTGGTCTGATGCCCGGCACGGGACTGGCGAGGAAAGCAAGCGCCGTTGAGAAATTCCTTTGGTCGCGGGTTTTACCTCACATTCTGCCGCTTTTGCGCCTCTTGATCTCTCCTAATGTTCATACCGTGCAGGAATCTGGGCAAGCACTGGCGAGACTGGCGGTTGGTTTGGACGTTGAGGGATCTAGCGCTGTCTACTATGAGGGCATAAAGGTTATCGAGTCTAGCAAAGTGAGCCATGATCAGACGAAACAAGAGGATTTGTGGGAATGGACAGTCGGTACTTTGGCTTCTGGGGCTAAGGAGAAGGCCTCGTTCGAGTTCATTGATCTTGTGTAAGTTCAAGTCTGGAATGCGGTGGTACCAAGTAGTGGTATTTATCTACTAGACTGAAGACCTACATATATATACCTGTTTAATACTACGTTTAATCATGAGAAACCTTAGAAACATTCTGATATTTTGCTGGCGAACCTGACAAATAGAAATTTTAGGGTTAATAAGAGCTGAAATATACTATATATGGATAATCTGAGACTGTTTATAAACTAGAACGTAGCGTTCAAAAAAATTAAACATGATTTGCTCAATTCTACTGATTGAGATTTGTTTTAGAAGAAGTGGTGATTCATAGATCCAACTGTGGAGCTAGATTACATCAACTAGCATCATTGGTCTAGTGGTAGAATTCGTCGTTGCCATCGACGAGGCCCGTGTTCGATTCACGGATGATGCATTTCTTTTTGTAATTCTTCTTTTTTTTTGTTGTCTATTAGGGCTGGATTCTCAGTGGCAGATATTTTTTTATTTTGTTGCCGAGATTCAACAAATAACAAAGATATATTGGTTCTGCTACCGCGAAAACTCCATGGCAGCCTTGCATCAGGTGGCTGAACTTCCCAGCTTATGTGCCATCTGGGCCATACTAGTATGAACTGTTATCGAGTGAGCGAGCTACAATCGCAAAACCCGATTATTGGAAATGAGTAGACAATTCATTTTGCAGATTGACAAAAAAGATCTCGTCCTAGGTTCAACTTCAAAGTTGAGATAACCCAATGTAGATAGACAGGAGTTGAGAGACATTAGATATAACAGCGGGAGATTTCCAAGAAACGGATGAAAGGGAAGACTGGGGTATTGTGCAAAAAATCGAGGAAAATGAAGACGTGCGCCGAACGCTGGAGATGGGAGACCAAAAGAAGGACGAGAGCGGGCAAAATGAAGACAAGCCGGGAATCAAGACCAGCTGGCCATGAGGGTGTAAGGTACCTTATTCCAGGCCCTTTTGCGGTTCCGTTTCCGAGAAAATGACGCCCGATTAAATAGGGAGTTAGAACGAAGGGCGGACCACAACAAAGGCGTTAACAAGATGGCTGCTTTGCCATCCTTGATCAGGTAGTGATTGATGCTCCTTGAGCATGTGGCCAAGATATGCAATTCGAACCCGTTGGAGATTGGATAGCTGCGAACGATTAGAATGAGATAAACAGCCAAAGACAAATTCTTTTTGTACACACCTCTCCTTCTTGATGTATTTTGCGAGCCAGGAAGCCCACACTCTGGCTCTTGCCTATCAACAGTACAAGGTCTGGCCCGCCGCGATCACTCAGTCGGACCTGGACACTAATCAAGTCTCGCTCACTCGTCTTGCCTTTCTCATCGCGGCGCCGTTCCAGGTCCTCGGATATCAACTCGTCACCCGACGCATCGTCTGTCGCAAGCTTGCCATCCGAGAGTGCCTCGGTATCATCATCCTGCCCGATATCATCCCGTGACCGGTCTCCCGTTGATGTAGCGTTCTGGACCATATTTTCCGGGTCACTAACGATACACTGTGGCAGGCGATACAGTGCTCCTTGTTCATCGTAGCATCCCTCGCAGAAATCACCCGTGGGGACAGTGACGCCCGCAGCATCGACAATACTCTGCGCCGTGGAGAGGTCACCCGCGCGCATCAGCGTGATAGCCGTTGAAAGCGCAGCCCATACCTCTTGGCGACCGGTCACTCTCGTCTCGAAGAACTCGCGACGCTCGCGATCCAAGTCGGCCCGGGTCCAGGCGCGCCGCTTGCTGTACCAGACATGTGGGCGGACGGGCTCGTTGTAGTGTTCGTTTAGGGCGACGTTTGGAGGTCTTACCCGGCGGCGACCAGTCTGTGAATGCGCTGGGGGATCGCTGGCCGTATTCCGTGTAACCTGCGATCGACTGTCCTGGATTTCCCGGTCGTCCTGGGATTCATCATCACGCGACGGCACGGACGCGCAGCAACCCTATCGGGAAGCGGGTGGAGATGTTAGCTGAGGCTCTGCGACATGATTTTCCGCAGTGGATATGCGCCCAGATTGTCCGCCGAGGATGAGACGTGAGTCGTGTGGCAGGGTGGTGGTCTGGGCGATAGCTTCGAGGTGGGGGATTATTGCCCGAAGGCAAGACTTGAAAGGGACGTACCATTTTGATTGCGATATAGACACTCCATAAGCCGGGGAGAAGGGCGAAGAGAATGGACAGGAGGGGTTGAAGGTGGGACGATGATCCAAGCTCCAAGCCTTACGAGTCGCAAAATGCGGAGTCAACCAGAGGGGGAAAAGAAGGTCAAAATGGGCGAGGGCGAGGAGAGGGGGGACTTGGAACTTCAACTTGAAGGAAATGCGCCCCGGCCCCCTCCAGGCACATTCCACGGGCTGCACCGCTGCTTAACTTTGGAAATCAAGCATTGATGATGTCAAGCCGATTTGCGGTGTTTTTGGCCTTTTGGCCTTTTGGCCTTTTTTCTTTTTCGCTCAGATACACAGTCGTCGTACAGCGTACTTTGCTTACCAGAGGTACGACAGTATTGATCGGACATAGGTATTTTCATGGAATATTGAGATCGCACTTCTGTACTACTCTCTTTGAAGTCATTCATTTTAGTCCTTATCTTCGTCCTCACTGCCAAAAATGGCCTTGAAGACATCATCACGCGGTCGCTCGGAGGTGAACACATCATTACGTGTCAGATCTATTGCGTGCCAGACAGTGCAAAAGACAACTTGAGCAGTACTTGAAGAACCATAGCATATTGCTTATAGCCTGGAGTACTACTCAATAGCTAGGTCTCTCTATCTTTAATAGCTTTGTAAGAATGCCGATTAGGTACTTGAGTAGGTAGGTACTCCAGAATCTGGCCATATAATTCTACCGTGGGAGCTTGCGAGTCAAAGTTATGTCTGTTGCTACCCTAGTTTTCTATGAGACTTTGGAAATAAGTGTTACCAGTAGACATTATTTCCCTCTTTACTAAGACTGGCGCTGCTGCTGCTGGTCATAGCCAGAACCATGGAGACCGGGATTGTGTTGGTCTTCCCCTTGGGTGTTTGCCTCACCAATCATCCGGTTCATTTTTCAGGTTGGAAGCAGTGTGTTCTTCCCGCTGGGCCTTTGTCTGATCCTCCTCGGCTAGAGCATTAGGTAGCTCTCCCCCAGCGTTGGCCTCGGAAGTGTGATCCTCACGCTCTTGGGCCCAGGTCTCAAGGTGCTTGCGAATGAAGGAAGGTCGTAGAAGAAGATTGAGTGACAACCAGCTTTGGAACAAGGTGTCCATAAAGGCATATCGTCCCTTGTGGTCCAGTTCAGCCATGGCGATCCTGTGCAGTTCCTCCTGGGCTGAGTAGAAGGTCAGGATGGAGATATCGCCGGCGTTGAAAATGCGCTTGAATTTCTTGTTCACTTGGAATTGATTCAAAAGCTTGTCCACCAGAGCCATAGTCGCTTGCACATTTGCCTCGTTGAGGCTTGAGCTGTTAGAGTCCTGGGTCTGCACGCCTTCTGGAACGTTGATGAAAACCGTGGAGTTTTCAACATTGAACAAGCTCTTGTTGTAGCGACGCATCACTATTGTCCTGGTACTATGCTCCTGGACTAAATCGCTGTAGCCGTTGAGGAAATGACCATCATTCGTGATGAGGACACCAGGAGTTAAGGTGCGGTTGTCGTCGAGCGCCATGGTGTCAAGACATCAAAAAGACGACAGAAGAGGATAAAGGCGTTGAGAGAGCGGACGGTGATGGGGGGTAATGAGGGAGTGAGGAGAGTAGAAAGAGAAAGACCAGAAGACTCAGCGGTTTGGTGATTAAGGTTGGTGAGTGGTGAATGGTGGATGGTGAATTGGAGTGCTGGAATAGAGCAAGGCAGTCACCCGATCAGGCAGGAATAAACAATAGTGACAAGACTGGGGAATGAGTATGGGGTCATTGACCTGATCAAAGTGTGTAGCAAAGCTACGACACTAAGAAAAAGGGACCGTCTCGCAACTGTTGCGGTCAAGCCACAAGAAACCCCAGGAGAGCTGAGGCCTGAACTCCTGAGGGGCGAAGTTTTGAAGGGGAGAGCTTCGAAGTTGAGATGTGAGAGGAAAGATGGAAACCCCCATCAAAGCGAGTGATGGATGGAATTAGAGAAGAGTAATAAGGCCAGCCATCTCAGAAGTTGTTGGTAATAGGGAAGGTGGAAGGTGGAAGACAGAATACTAGGCCCCAGGTAGTAGTCACTCGACCAGGCAGTAACGTGCGAGGCATGGCGGTTGGAGTACCATTTTGGCAGTAACTGTACTGCTCCGAGTCTACTTACGGCGCTCTACTAGTTGAGTAGCTTGATCCCAACTTGAACCTTGGAACAATCCAGTTTGCTGAATATAGTTACCAGGTAGGATGCTGGGTAGGATACCTGACTGTATAATGTTTGAATCTCCAATGCTGCCATCTGTTGAACACTGACCCAACGGCGGCTATGAACCGCCGTACTCTATTTGTTAAAAAGGTGGTATAAATACAGGATATAATTGTCGTCATCGATTTTAGTCCTCATCCTCATCTTCGTCGTCACTGCCGAAAATGGCCTTGAAGACATCATCGCCCGGTCGCTCGGCTTCGAGTGCATCATTGCGTTCGGGTTCTACAACCGGAGGAGGGACAGGGGAACTCGCTTGATTTTGCCCTGTGGTCCCAGAGTTGGTAGAAGCAGGCCCACGGCCTGTTTCCGCCATGATCATATCCATCACGTCTTGTGAGATCAGTTCTCTGGCCTTGGTGTCGGGTTGAGAGCCACCAGGCTGGAAGCGTGATCCAGAACCTGACTCGGAGGCTGTTGGTGGTTCCCCGGGATCTAATTGAACATGTGACGGGGGCTTAACATTGAATCGCTTGCAAAGAAGACGCGATGGATAGAAGGATGTAGTGCTTCGGGTCATTGGTCCAAACATTCCGATCTTAGCAGCTGCCACGGCCGGGTCGTCCGGTTTCTCATTGGGCCGACTCAGTGGGTCGTCATCGGAGTCGGGTGCATCTGAAGCAACCTTGGGCCCCGAGGAAGCTGACGTGAATCGGGACGCCATAATATTAGACATGGGTTTGAAGACCTCCGCAGCACGCGCAAACTCATGCATCTCGTTGACCCAATCATCGGTGCTGGACCCCTGCAACCGGTCCGGAAGGGTGTCGCGTATCTCTGCCCGAACCTCGAGGAAGTTGCGATAGCGTGCTCGTTTCTCCTCATCCTCCGAGTAGGGCATCCACCCGCTGACAGCCCGAGTTAAAGCCTGGACAGCTGTTTGTTTGTCTAATTTTGGAACTAGATCCCACAGGTCTTTTCGTCTTTGCGAATCCGACATTTCATAGCCCTTTGGAGCACCCTCGCCGAGGGCGGGAGGTAGATTGGCATTGCCAGTGAGCTTCGCAATTCGCTCGCGAGCCTCGGGAGTCATCCAATCGAAAACGGATTTTCCAGGTAGTTGGGTCTCGCCTAGGACTGCAGCTCGGGATGTAGGATCGAGTATTGATGATTTGGCGGCATCCGCCGTGGAGACATACCCTGAAGTATTTTGGTCATTAGAAGTTGGTTGCTTAGCAGGCTTCCAGCCCTCAGGGATCGTGGGAGGGTCGTATTTCTTGTCAGAAATGGCGAGGCCGGAAAGACCATCGGCAAGGACGAAACCGTCCAGCGGTAAGCGTCCATCGCGGCATTTTCTAAATCCTCCAGCTCCTCGAGCAGCAACCACCTTTTTGGAAATGAAAACAGGCTTTTCGCCGAGCAGGGGGTTCGAGGAGGCGATTGTAGGTTTCCCTTCGTCTGCTCTGCTTTTCTTCTTCTTCTTTTTATCACCACCAATGGTTATATTATAAGAGATTTGAGGCCCTAGGGAGTAAGGGTCTTCGTCGTCGGATCCAGTGTCATTGAGGATGCCGACTCCAAGGCCCCCTCGACGCGGTTGTTTGGCCTTGGGTAATTTAGCGGATTTTGTTTGGTCGGCAAGACGGCCACCAAAAAACGAATCTACCTCTTCGGGTTCCTCTTGTGAAGTCTCCTGAGGTGCCAGTCGTGACTCTCCTGCAAATCCCAGGCCCTTGTTATCGGATTTTCGGACGAATGAGACCATCGGTGGATTCTCAGGTGCGAAGAGATATGTCTTGTCGGCTCCCCCGCCACCTGGAGCCGAGGTATCGCCCAGATCTGCCTTGCGTCGTACTTTGGGCCCAATTCCCTGGCCTTCACGCCATCCCATTTTCTTCAGAAGTTTAACACCCATTGTCTCGCCACCGGTTTTGAGCAAGTCCATGAGTCCCGTCCGTCGGGTGGGATCTGTGTCTGTGGAACCGAATCCAGCGAACCCCTCCGCGGTTTCTAAATTGCGCGACTCCTCCTGCTCCCTCAAATCCTCTTCGTCCATAAAATCCTCGGGTCGTTGTTGGGATTGTTGTTTCGCATCTTTCGCATCGCGGGCGCGGTTTTGGCGAGAGGAGACGAAAGTGGCCGGGGTCCAGCCTTCTTTTGAGCCAACGCTGTTGAAGTAGCTGGCGAGACAGATAAGTGTAAGCATATGGACGTCAAGATGAGGTGGCCTTGGAACATACCCTGCACTGAAGCCACCAGTAAAGGCGCCATGGAGGCGCTTCCTCCCCGCTCGTCGGTCACCTCTTGCTTCCAAACTGGCATGTACGAGCCATCATCACGCGCGGCTGAGTCCAAGGGGGGGTAGTGGTGTACCGTATACTGCGTATGGAGGTCGCAAGTCAGCCTGATCGGCCTCAAAGGTCGCGCGGGGACGCTTTGCGGCCATCCTTGAAGCTTTGGGAGCTTGCAAGGGAATGTTGAACGTTTGAATGCGGCGGAGCGGAGCAGTGCGGTCATTTCCTTGGCGTGGAAGACCCACTCAGTCCATACTTACCACTGTAGCCCTACGGAGTGTACGTATACCTCTACCTCTACCCAACTATAATAGCTCACAGTAACTATCTAAGTATATCTTATCCTATTTCAACCGCAACGCTTGGGTTACTGGGAATTGGAGCTGGACGGGTTTTCCGAGTCCACCAAAGCTTATCACTCTTCGGCCCCCACATCAGCTGCATGTGTAGACGAGAATGCTTCTTCTCATATTCCTCTCCTCCTTCACTCCACACAAATGGAATCATCCACATACTCTGAGTTCTCTCTGCCTAGTCCGATGTCTAATAGCAACGACGTAATGAGTGGTGATGCGACGAGACCGTCGCCAGATCTCTCTAGCTCGGAATTATCTGGCCCCCGATCTCGCAGCTGTGCCCAATGTCGATCACGGAAAATCAAATGTGACCGCCAAATTCCTTGCGCTGGTTGTGTCAGATCTGGATTCCAATGTGCTTATCCTGCCGGGCCCGGCAGGGCACAGAAAAGGCCACGGAGGGCGATTGATTCCCGCGTACTCGATAGGCTATCCCGCCTTGAAGTAATAATGAAACAAATGGGTAGTGACAGGGGCCAGGATACTACTGAGAGGACTACTTCCACACAACCAAAGGAATCAATTTCCCGAGTTGGACTGGCATCGAAGGATGAATCGAGCACAGTTGATAAACAGCTTGGCCGACTGGTCATCGACGATACGCGAAGTTACTATGTGAGCAATAAGTTGTGGGCAAACTTGACAAATGAGGTTAGTAATACTTGGGTTGATATGGTACCTATTCATGGTCAGCTAATCGCTGTTGAGGTAGATCGAAGAGCTACGAGACTTGCTTTATGATCCAACATCTGACCATGAGGGGGGGTCCCTACGACGATCTCAATCAACACGTACAGGACTCCATATTAAATATGGGCTCCAACGCAGCAATACTAGGATTCCAGACAATTGCTCCATCGACGCATCCTTACCACCCGCCACTGTCGCAGGCGGTGGCCTTGGTGGAAATTTTCAAAGAGAGAGTTCTACCCCTGGTGCACATATTTCATGCCCCGACACTGATGCGTGATTATTGGGATGCCGTAGCTTCTCTCAATACGTTGGATCGAAATAGCGAGGCCTTGCTATTTGCTATCTACTACTCCGCTGTCATCAGCATGGAATCTGAGGAATGCGAGAACGTTATAGGTGTTTCACGGGAGGTAGCTCTCAGGCATTATCAGTTTGCGGTGCAGCAAGCCATGGCACGAGCCGACTTTCTCAACACCCAAAGCGTGACATTGCTTCAAGCCGTGGTCCTGTTCTTATCTGCATTGCGAAATGTAGATGCCACTCGTCGAACATGGTCCCTAACTGCACTTGTTTTCCACATTGCTAGAGCCATGGGGCTGCATCGCGATGGAACAGCTTTCGGACTACCGCCTCTTGAGACAGAACTGAGACGCCGTTTATGGTGGCATATCTGCCTCCTTGATATACGATCCTCGGAACATCATGGATGCCAACCAATAGTGCAAGACTCGGCATTTGACACTAAAACGCCACTCAATATCAATGATAGTGACTTGGTACATGGAATGAACGAGCCGCCCATAGAACGCGAAGAGGCTACCGAAATGACATTTTGTCTTGTTCGCTGCGAAGTACTCCGCGTGGCATGGAAAAGTAGCTACTTTTCCCCGAGCGAGATGTCTTCCGATGAACGCCAAGAAGAGAAACTACCTACAAACCCCGAGGAAATGGCAAAGAGCCTGACAGAGAAATTAGAGGAGCGATATATCAAGCATTGCGACCCGAGTATCCCATTTTTCAAGATGTGCATGACTGTGGCGCGACTGATGATTAATCGTATCTGGCTGGCCATTTATTACCCACCAAGGCAGAAGCCTAGTTCGAGCCTACCTGCAGCTAGCAGAGACAAGATGTTTCTCACAGCGATCAGTATACTTGAATTCTCCACGATTCTCATTACCAGCCCCGAAGTTGCTCAATGGACATGGCATTCAAAGACTCATATCCAATGGCATGCAGTCGTGATTGTTTTGGTTGAAATTTGTTCACGCCCATCATCCCCTGAGTGTGATCGTGCTTGGGAGTATGCAAATACAGTATACAACAGGTGGAACTTGCGAAATGACAAGGCTAATAACCTCTGGAGACCAATAAATCGCTTAATGGCTAAAGCAAATTCTGTTCGGGGCACTCAAAAGAATGACGAGCGTGAAGCACGCCTGAGGACGCCTGGCATGGCGTCAGTGACATTCAACGACTTGGCGGTGGATATACCCCCGGACTTCCTACTTGAACCACCTGAGCTATTTCTTAACCCGGACTTCTTGAATGAGGCCCACAGGGACCTTGAGTCGATGTATAATGATTACACGATGGGCGATTGGATTGCAGAAGGCGGAAATTTTGGATTCGGTGTGGATTAACTCCCAATACTGTGGATATTACGGAGCCTGGGTCTAAAGGAAATGTGCCAAAAACAATATTCTATTCTTGAGTTTGGTGAAATATGCAATAAAAAAATCTAAATGGATATCACGGATCCATAACCTCATCCCATAATAATTTCCCAGGCAATGTACAAGCACTACCAAGCCACAAAACCGACTTCAGCTCAGTTTCAAAATCCTCCCATTTTGAAAGACCATGGCAGGCTGTGTGAAGCTGAAGCCTGTCCACGAACCATTCTCTTTCTAAAGAACCTGTCGCGGCGATACCCCCGAGAGTCAGTATCCACAAATATAGACTGCGAGCTGACGGTGGAACGTCCTTGGTTTCCTGGTAATATGCATGGAGCTCTGTTTTCAACATTCGGCTGAGTGTCACCAATGGAGCGCTTTGCGGAGGAAGGGGAAATGTCACGCCGACTCCGAAAATGGTTAATGCAAGTCGGCATGCTTCATAGAGAGGATAAGTACTGGCGTGTGAGGAACCAAGTCGGGTGGATGGAAGCAGAGACATGATATGCCATTGTATGATGTTTCGGTGGTCACAGAGCATATCAGTCCCGACTGGCATACCATCTTCATACATCTCAACTTCAGACACATATGTCCGATGACATTGAAAGATGGCTTGCATCTCGGGTGGCATATGAGTAGACTCGAAAGGATCGATATTGGGGTCAATGACGTCTTGTAAATCGAAAAAGCCTCCAGTCTGGAGAGAGATATATGGAAAACTTGGGCGCGAGAGAGATCGACTGGCCCCCAAAACACTGGAACTGAAGTAAAAAGAAAGTTTTAGCAACTTGGATCAATTTCAGAGGATAGAAGAAGAAAGGCCAACATACTAGGAAATGATGGCAGCCAGCCCTGGGAGTTCTATCTTGTCCAAGCCTCCTCTGAAGCGCACCAATTGGACTAGGCCAGCTTGATGAACTGGGTGTGGAGACAGACGACCATAGATATCTAGCCATTGAAGAGATGTCAATGGAGCTGGAAACGCCCGCTCTTTGCTGTCATTCCACATAGGCCCTTCCACCTTGTTTGTTGCCATGCATAGGACACAAAGGATAATGCAATCGGTAGCAGCCCCTGAAGTGTTCTGAATTGCCTGGTTTACTCTCTTAATGGCATCTGCTTCACAGATTGCTAATCTCTTTGCATCCTCGTCATTGAAATACCCTCTTTGCTTTACTAGCCATAGAGTACGTCTGTGAGAGTATGACCCGAATAATAAAGTACTGTGAAGTGCAGCGTGTGTGGCAGAATTTATGAGCCATGCATTGACTCCCGGGTGGTTGGTGCCATGTGATGATGCGGGCAAAAGTCCTGGCCAAAGCATGCTCAATGCTAGAGAGGATGAAAAAAGGTCAGTTGAAGAGTCAGTAAGCAAAAAAAGACAATAGGATAGAGGGATCTTACAATATTTATTGGCATTGCTAACCAGTTGTGAAGGTAATGGTGAGGTGTGAGGGTATTGTTGGAAGGGATCCAAAATATTGGGTGTTATGCCATGTAAATTCATCGCTCCAGCATTGCAATAAGCTGACCACTCCGACTCCTGTATTTGGGTAGAGGATATGGAATGCAATTGTTCAAGTGTGCCTAGTGGAAAAGCTTCAGGACACTCCGAGTCTTCTCCAGAGACTCCTTCTTCCAGTGTGCTGAATAAATGATCCAAATCATCGTCGGGCGTGCTGGCTTTAGAAGAGGAAGGCTTGAATGCGGAGGAGCCGTCCGAAGCACCCCACTCTTCAGAACTTGAGTGTCTGTCCCTGCATGGGAGCCCGACAGCGACTTCATCTCGCAGGCCCGATTTTTCTTGATTCACGCGTGTTTTCTTCTTTCGGACTTCTGACCATCGCCATTTCCCAGCATGAGACCTGACAATGTGGAGATTGTTTGTTTTTCCCTCAATTGAAGATGGATCTGAAGTGATAAAGCACAGGTTCACTTTCTCCCGGCGTGACTTTTGAGTTGACCGGCTCATGTTGTATAAAGCAAAAATGGAAGAAGAGGGAGGCTTGTTCAGCACACAAATATACACTGAGATGATGGCTCGTAGATAACAAGGTGAGACAACTAATGCCGGGAGAAGGGTCCAACGGTTCCTTTTAATACTTAGTAGGGGTCTCGATCGCAGAAATGTGGGAATCTTTTGGAGAGCCCTTCCTCAGTGGCGGAGCTGTCATTAGGGTTGATCTTCAGCCTGGGAACAGCAGGCTCTTGCTGTATACTAGTCTCCGCCAATGCGGCTGACGTGGACCCCGAGACGAAACCACGCCAAGAGAACAAAACAGCCCATAAAGAGGAACCCACTGAAAACACCGTTCCTTTTCTTGTTGGACTTGAGATTTTGAAGAATTGGACTAGTAAAAGAAAGACACGAAGGTGCGGGAGTCCTCGTGAGAAAAAGAAGAAGTTATTCAATTCTATTTTAAGAGTCAAAAGGGACATCACGCGTAAATTCAGAACTAACGCGGGCCGTTATGCCAGGTGGTGTAAATCATGCTAGTAAATAAGCCTAGTTCGTGGGAAACGTGAGAAACGTGAGAAATAACATTATAGAGATGTTCTTCTTTAAGCAGTAATTGTACTAAGCCGAATCCGGCCTGAGTTTTCTCAGAGGCGCCGACTAGCCACCAATAGGCCGTAATCTCGATTCTGCACCCAAGGCTCTGGGTCGAAAGGCATTTAAGCGAGCTGAAGTTTCGCCGATTCATAGCTTCATCGGAGTGGTGGCTGCCCCGGTTCTGTGTATGACCTTCCCGGAAGGTCCCCGAATGGCCTTAGTGGTCTCGACAATCCAAACGCTCTGAAACCTGAGCTCTCTCTGTCTCTCTCTCTGCACGCTGGAGTGGATACTCAAGATTTGGGGTAGCAAGTCCCGCTCGATTTAAGCATGCCATTTAACTTTTCTGTGTGCTAGATCTGCGCCTGACAAATAGTCACCGTTTCTACCTTTTGCCATTTCTGGTAAGGTCAAGCGGTTTCTCACCGTTCGAAGGCCGGAGTTACGCAACAGATAATGGCGGCAAGGCTCTGCTTTGACCCTATTTTCCGTTTCATGCCTAGCTTCCCCCACCGTGGAATTGGCAAGAAGAGCTTTTCCGCGGCTTGATTAGCCAGTCAGCAACCTGGCGAATGCAGGTGAGGGAAAATGTGAACTTGAATCATGTAGTGACTAAAAGAGTTCAATTAATGAGAAGTCAGTGTGGGCTCTCTCAAATATTGCCGGACGGATGTAGACGTCGTGGATTGGGGCCCCAGAGCGGACGGTTCCAAGATCTAGACGCCCATTTTCGACAGAAGGTGATGTCTCAAATAAGGACCCTTGGTGGCATGCACAAGGCTGGTGGCTGATAAGCTTGGACCTTGAATTTAAGGGAGCCTCCTCCCCCTCTATACCTAATAGACCAGATGTCTAACTTGGTACCCCGGCAGTTCATTCTATACTTGATCATATCGAATCCTCAAATCTCAATTGAATATTCGTTAAGATGTCAATTTGAAGCAATTGCTAAAAAGAGATTTACCTCATACTAGGTATATTTATTCATGCCGTCGTACAGCAAGAGCCCCTGTTACGACAGGACATGACCATAAATACTCGGAAACTTCTCGGAAATTCCGACCTCAGGTGGTTGCTGAAACAGGCAACACACAAAATGAATGCTATTAAAGACCCATAACAGGCAAAGTACTATTTAATAGTTAATTCCTAAAGTTCAAGCCTAAAATTTGATATTTATTGTTATCGAGTAAAGTTAAAATAGATTCTGGATGTCGAAATACCCTGAAGCCTCAGGCAGATATTGGAGCCTCAGACATAAAAAAGCAAATGTAGATCCCAGCTTTAACCTGCTCAGGTGAGCACCTCCACGAGGCACCCATCTATTGTGTCATCTCCGAAATTTACAATTTTTTCTCACATTTCCTCTCGTGCGTTGTGAGACATGGCAGATGGCCATGGTGTGCGTCAAGGTGTGCGGCAAGGTATGCGGCAGCCGGAGAGGCCAATTCGGTGAAGAGAGCTGCGGAGTCGAAGTGATGGTGCAAGCCGTGGAGGTTTCGAGCAAGTGGCGCAGAGCACCTCTCGTTTACGACATCCTTTTTCCTTCTTTGTGTGGGGGTTTCTTGGTTTCAGAAATTAAGTTGCGTTCTCTTTGGAGTAAAGAGAGTATTGTATTCAGAAGTTATGCGAGCAAGTATAAGAATAAAGAACACAGCAATCGTGGTTTACCTAGCTAACAGTATCCGAAGAACCCTAGCGACATGTAAGACTGGACTGTAGCTAATAAACTGAATCGGTACTTCGCAATGAGCAATATCTCGAATAATCAAGTCGTAATAATAGAGGAACCGCATTTCAATCCATTGACACAACAGAACTGCTTGGGTTGATTACCTGCGGGAAGGTGTGTAAGCATTTCATGGAAATTTCAAGTCGATTGAATGTGTAAAAAACACACCTCAAGCCTCGGCAAAAGAATAAGAAAACGCCCGCAACGTATCTTCAGTCGCTCTATGCGGTCCAAAAAGCCAGTCGTTGGTCCAGTCATAGTCATCCACTGGCGGGTATGGATATCCTAAGCTACTGCTTGCGATGTCTGCGGGTCCGTCCTTTTGTCGCTTTGATGGACTGGGGTTATCTTCCATGTCGTTGTCACCGGGATCAACTGCGATGCGTCGCTTGGGAGCGCCACCCTGTGAATCACTGCAGTCCATACGGCCATCGCTTCGGTTATCGCTGGACGGTTTGGGAGACTCGTTGGTCGATTCCGCGGTGCTTGCAGGTTCCCAATAATGACAATTCTGTGGGTCATCGATGAAGTAAAGTTCGAAAAGTTCGAGGAGACGCTGGCGGATCTTTGTAGGGAGTAGGTTGACCCGAGGAGTGCCCAACAGGTGAAAAGCACGTCGTATCGCGTACATTGGTTCTCCATGCCAAGTCTTATATCTGATGAATCTCGGGTAGTTCTCTGGGGCTGTTGCCGTCAAGAAAGTTCTGAAATACAGCCCGCCCTTCTGACCAAGGGGGAGATCTCCTCGATCCTCTTGGTATTGCCGATACTCTACCGCGGTTGGGACGCGACGTGGTCCGCCATAGCCCTCTGTATGCCGCTCCTTCGCGTTGCGCTTCTCGTAGTCGATGAAGTACTGCAAGTCCGTCGGAAAGAAGACGAACATGGGGTCATAGGCATCGTCGAAGAGAGCGTGACAGTTTGGACACAGCATTACTCCGTTGGAGGAATTCTTCTTGATGAAGTTGCAAGGGAATGCATTGGCGTCCACCCATATTTTGGGCTAAACAAGCCAATATTAGTATAGGACCAGCTGAACAACGTTTGCAGAGAGGCTGCCAGACCTGTCGATCGCAAATTGCGATAACATGGCAATGGTGAGGTGGGGGACAGTCGAAATCGCATGCCCAACACTGATCTGCAGGATAATCTCCGGCCATTTGGCCTTTGGCTACTGATGTGAAGTCGTGACTTGCGCGACCTGGGGAGGACTGTGGTGTGGTACTCTGGGGCCTGAGGGGGGTGGTCGGCTGTTGAGCATCTGCTAGAGACCCTTGCGATAGAGGACTTGATGGAGGTCGAGTAGCAGGTCGGGTAACAAGAGTTGTCTGTATTCCACTCTGGGAAGAAACCACCTGTCGATGAAGCGAAGACATGTCTTCAGTATTCTCAAGCGTGCCGAGATGGGAAATGGAATAAGAATCAAGGGAGCCCTCAGTCAAGTCGCAGCGCTCTTGTAACCACCCGCTGAGGCGGTCTTGGGCGAAATTTCCCTTGGAAGGCGCCATTCTGATGAAGGTGCAACCGTCGAGGGGATGAGAGATGATTCTTAAGGTCGACGAGGAAGGTGTTGAGCTGTGAAATGGAAGTTAGAGAAGGAAGATTCGGAGGACTGGCAGAAAAGCTCACTTAGTGTTTTGCCTGAAAAGGTCTGGTAGAATGGTACTGCCACCATTTTTGGGTTCGGCGGCTGTTGTATGACGACGATTGTTGATGCGGTGATGTTCCAAATTTTGAACCGTGGATAGGAAACTGGCCCTGATTTTGAATTATAAGATTGTTCAATATTGTGAATATGGGGGTCATTGACCCGATCAAAGTGTGTAGCAGAGCTACGACACTAAGAAAAAGGGACCGTCTCGCAACTTTTGCGGTCAAGCCACAAGAAACCCCAGGAGAGCTGTGACCTGAGCTCCTGGGGGGCGAAGTTTAGAAAGGGGGGAGGGGAAGGGGCTTCGAATTCGAGATTCATGGTGTGACAGGAGGAGAGAGAAGAGTGAAGAGGCCAGCTCTGAAGCCTGTTGGCAATGGCATCAGTGTTGTCTTACAAGTTACAAGCTCCCACTAACTATTCTTTCCTCAAGATCCTCCTGGGTTGAATCACAGCATTTGATCCCCGATCAATTCTTGCCAGCTTTATCAATACCATTCCACGTCCCTTGCACAGCCTCACCATCTACCACATCTTCCTCAGTCTTCAGTTGACTGGTTCCCATATCGGCGAAGGGTATCGCTCGCGCTGTATACTTTGGTGGGTCAAGCAGGTAAATCATAGGCACCGAGAGATTTTTCAACACCAAAAAACACATGTGCGCGAGCTGGGGCCACGCAATGGTGGTGATTGTATGCATAAAAAAGTCTTCAGCTTTTCCTGTTGCTGATATAGACGAATATATTATCGAGGAAAGTATAACGGTGAGTAGAATGACGCTGTAAAAAATGCCATTTCCCCACAAGTCCCGATACAGTCTCATGCACAGAGATAATTCTGTCTTGTGATTAAATGAGTTTTCGCTACTGCCAGTAATGAATGAACCTTTCGGCTTTTTTGAGACAAAGTAGAATCTTAGTATAGCGTGAACATTCGCTATTTCAAGTTTGTTAGTTTTATCATTAACAGGGAAAAGGGCGTTCAACTCACATCCTGCTAGCCACTTGTTCTCTAGGAACGCAAATGGTGTGCTTTGATGGCCGGTGTAAGCGGCCTGCAAGAACTAATAGGCCCAAGTCAAAAGGACTTGGCCCAGAGAAAGAATAAATTGCAGTGCTACCATATTTGGCGATGAGGTAGGAACGAGTTTCTTTCCGCAAAATAATAGAAGGGGTACGGCAGCAAACCCCAAGAGGCATCCAATCTCTTCAAATACGATACCGAATCCGTTTCGAGCGATCGAAAATCTCAGTTGGGAAGATAGAGACATGCCTCTGGGAGAAATCATTGCAACAATCTGCTGAGCGTGGCCGATGTTCCATCGTTTTCTTTGAGCAATATGGCCGGCAAGAGAAGCCGGAACTTGACCAAATTGCAAGGCCTCATCTACCTGGAAGGTTTTGTAGCCCATACCGCGTAGCAGCAAAGACAGCTGCCAATCCTCCGAAAATGAATATGTCGGGTAAAGGCCCGCATCCACAATCGATTGTCGTCTAAAGACTGCGCCTGACCCCGAATCAATGGCGATTCCAAGGGTGTCCAATTTAGCATTTTGGCAGGTATAAAAATGCCCCCGCGATTGGGATAGTGGATCTCCATTCGGAAGATTGTAGAAATATTGCCGAGTAGACACAAGAGCCGCCTCTGGGTCCATGAGTAGATGAGGCAGCGTGGCCCTCAGAAATTCCCTCGTTGGTATAGAATCGGCATCTAAAATCGCGCAGAATTCGGGTTGGAAATCCCGTTGTAGAGATGTTAAAGCATAGTTTAGATTCCCAGATTTGGCAAAAACTTGCCCAGATTGTCTTCCGCGAGAGTTATAGGAAAGATGTGGCCATTGTGTCTGCAGCTCCAATACTGTCTTTTCCAACAATTGCGATTGGCCATCATCAAGCACGAGAACTCTGAAATGAGACTTTGGATAGTCTAGAGTACAAGCCGCTTGTACTGTCTGTAGAATCACATCAACATCTTCGCCGCAGCATGGCAGAAGAACATCTACATGGGGCAGATCTTTATTTCCGTGGAGGCGTAGTCGTTTTCTGGGAAGACTCTCTGGATTCTTGGTGGCCAACACAGTCAATGACTGTTCCTTTCGAGCCAAATCTTTACCCACAATTCGAATTAGAAATAAAGCCAGAATCCAGTTTTGATTCTTTTCTACTTACGAATGAAGAAGGTTTCGAGGAGAAAGAGTGTCCACATTTGCCAAGTCTTCTCCGAAGTTGACAATAACGAAACCAAGCGTATGATGATGTAGACATAACCGATAGTCTCTGCTGATCGAGCTACATTGTAAAGGAAATTGCGATGTCTTTGGCCCGATACGATCTGCCTATCTTGAGGGAGCTCGACTATAGATCCAGCAGTACCGCCGATCATGGCGCCTGATAGGAAAATGATCAAGAGGCACCGGTGCAAGCTAGAGGAGAATAAAGGGAATTATTGTGACATTTATCAATTCTCCCCATCAGACTAAAATCGATTCATTCCCAAAGGAAAGGGGCATAATAGCGGTGTGTTTGTGCGTTTAGGCGCTATTTGGAGTGCTCTGGCCAAGCCACTGTGGATTATGGACCGGAACGAACCCAATGCTCAAATCCGCCGTTTGCCGGTTGGCGAGAGAACCAGTTCTTCATCGCTTGAATCCCAAACATGCCTTCCAGGGCTGGGCTGCTTATTGGTTAGATCAAATACGCTAGTTGAATTTTATTTAGGCACAACTTCACCCTAATATCGATCCCCAACTGTCACAAAATAGTCATTTCTTCTCTTTTAGTCTGATCATAGATCGCTTATTGATGTGGAATAATTCATGCCAAGGCGATTGAAAAAGAATACAATTAGGAAGAGTGTTTGATCACCCTGGCAGTCTCACTGTATCTTGTTTTCACAAATACTCGACATGAACCATCCACTACTCCCGATGCTCTCCCGGGACTTTTTGGCATCCCAGTCGGCTCCAACAAGCGCTTTTCCCCTCTTGAATAAGGAGGGGTGTTTGCTGTGACCAAGGTTCCTGTTCTAAGCTAGCCCCCAGTCAAGTCATAAAAAGGCTAGCGGTTCCGGGTTGGCGGGATAGACGGGATGGAGAATCAGACTAGCCAAAAAGACTGAAACATTTAAACGTGTTCCAAGTACTAGTACTGTGGTAGGCTTCTGATCGCCATTCGCAAAGAGCTTCTACCTGTAGACAGTACTTTTGTGACCCGCTGAGGGATCCAGGTTGGAGTGGAAATAACTACTAGTAGTTTCTTGAAGCCCTGGAGGCTAATAACTACCCCGAGCACCACTGTAGCATCCATGGATGTAGGTTCAGAGTTGGGTGGAATTTTCGGGGGAAGGCCTACGTATATAAATCGAATATTGAGATTCAAAGCGTTTAATTGAGACAATATAAGATCACGGTGGACAAAAGAAATATCTTGGTCTGAGTCACCCTGGACTACAGACTATATAGTCTACCAAGGGCAATTAAATTGCTATTTTCACACGCAAACAGGGCAATGATTGATAGTACATTCAAACAACAACACCCATCCAGACTCGGAAATACCCCAGTCTCAGATAGCTGTCTTTAATTCGCAATTGGAAGGGGGAATTTAGGACAAGTTGCGAGACATGTCGTTACGGATACGCTGGTAGTCAAGGATACCCTCGATGCTGCCAACGGCGCTCATGGCAACGTCCTGGTCCCACAGCTTGCGGGTGGCAAAGTCCATGATATCCTTCTCGGAAATCTGACCAACGGTGCGCTCAATATCTTCGGCGCTGAGGCGGCGGCCAGTGGTGATGATCTGGCGACCAATGTCCTCGGCGACAGCGGTAGTGCCGTCCAGGGACAGGAGGATGGAGGCCTTCAGCTGGGCCTTGGCACGCTCAACCTCGGCGGAGGTGACGTTGTTGCACAGACGAGACCACTCGCGGAGGGTGAAGTGGATCAGGTCATCGAGGTTGGTCAGGTTCTCGGAAACCAGGTAGATACCCCAAAGACTGGATAATGTTAGTACAACAGAGAACGACATCTACAAGGTTGCGAAGAAACTTACCCAGTGTCGCTGTAGCTGGTGGAGAAGCTCATGAAGCTGTTAGCAAGGTGGTGGTGGCTGACTTGGGAGCTGAGCTTGCTTCCGAGGAAGGGAGACTGGCCCATGGCGCGGTCCCAGTTACCGACGATGGCCTGGGCGACCAGAGCAGTGAAGTAGTCGTCATCCTTCCAGCTGACACCCTCAACAGCGAGAGCGATGTGGGCAGAGGGAATGGTGTCATCACGGAGACGGACCTCAGAGCCAATGAACTCGGGGGTGCGCTTCATCTCAGCGGTGAGAGCGGCGGCGGCGGAGGTAGGGGGCTTGCTGGGAAGGCCACCGAAGTGCTCCTCGGCGAGGCGGACGAGCTGCTCGTGGGGGATACCACCAGCACCAACCAGGACCATACGGTCAGCGGTGTAGTTGGTCTGGATGTAGTCGGTCAGGTTCTCCCGGGTGATGGTCTGGATGTTCTCCTTGGGGCCGAGGATGGTGCGACCAAGGGGCTGGCCCTGGTAAGCGGTGGCGTGAAGGTGGTCAAAGACGACCTCCTCAAGCTGCTTGTCAACCTCCTCCTGCTCGCGCAGGATGACGTCGCGCTCACGCTCAATGGCGGAAGACTCGAGCTTGGAGTTCTGGAGGATATCGGAGAGAATGTCGACGGCCTTGGGAACATCGGCGTTGAAGGACTTGGCGTAGTAGACGGTGTTCTCGCGCTGGACAGATTATTAGCGTGTTTCTGAGATATAGGGTGATGCGTTGGGTTTTCCGGCCGTACCGAGGTGTAGGCGTTCAGGTGAGCACCCATGTTCTCGATCTCAAGCTCCAGCTGGTGCTGGGAGCGCTTGTTGGTACCCTATAGATTCGATTCCGGTTAGATGCCATATCGATTTGATCGGGGTTTTCTGTAGGGTCGAACCTTGAAGGCAAGGTGCTCAAGGAAGTGAGCGGTTCCGTTGGTCTTGTCAGTCTCTGACCGGCTACCGGAATCAATCCACACGCCGACGGTGGAAGTCTGAGCCCACGGGGAGTGGTCGGTGGCGATCTATAAGAGATTAGCAAGAGTGCGACGCAATTGAACGGGTTGGCGAGGCGTACGGTGAAGCCATTGGAGAGGGTGGTGGACTGAGTGGTGGACGGCAGAGCAACCGGCGAGGCGAAGCCGCGCTTCACAGGCTGGATGGACTTGAGAGCCGCACGGCTCTTAAGAGCCTGGTTCAGGTTAAATGCCAAACGGCGGGAAGCCATTGCGGACGTGGTAGAGTGGGTAGGAGGGGGTAGGGGGATGGAGAAAAGAGCTGGCGTCGCCCTGAGGTTGGACTTTCGGAAGGCTCAGATTATTCACCCAACTCACCAGCCAATCACATCACCCACATTTCAAGCAGGTCACTTCCATCCCGACAACTTCCTTGGGCCCATTCCCCTTCCCACGAGACAACACTACATAGTGGCACGCACATTACATTTGGTGGACTTGGCTTGGATTCAAACTGACTTATCATTTCTAGCCTCGTCGCTCACAAAGAGTATCGACCGATTATATACTTCGTTGGCATACCCGCCGCTGTCCTCATTCACAACCGATCCATCCCGAAACCCCAAGACCTTCACGAAACGTGTCTCCATCATACAAATTTACTCGCAAACTGCTGGATATTTTCTAACATGGAAACATCTGCAGAAAATCCAAGCTTATAAGCCCGCTCATTCGAAAATTGAGGTGTCCAAGACTGCACGATTTTATCCGTGGCAGCATCGTATTTCTCCTCGACCAACGCCCGTCGCTCCTTACCACCGACCTGCTCCAATGCATCCAACATATCCTGCACACTGACCTTCAAACCGGGCAGATTCACGGAACGCGACTCGCCAAAGGCATCCTTGGGAACGGTGCGCGCATGCATCAAGTTCTTGATAATGGTATGTGGCGAGCAAATCCACATCTCGGTCTCTTTACCCACGGGTAGGATGGCCTTCTTGCCGTGGAAGGGCTCGCGAATAATGTCACTGGCGAAACTGCTTGCAGCCTGAGTAGGCTTGCCGGCTCGGACAGTTACTGTGGGTAGCCGCACGCTACGTCCGTCGATGAACCCACGTCGCGAGTAGTCGGTCACGAGGGTCTCGATAATGAGCTTCTGCGATCCGTAGGAAGAGGAAGGCACCGGTGGGAAGTTATTCTCGTTGATCAGGAAACCGGGCGGTGCTGGGCCGTAGACTGCCAGTGAGGAGGTAAAGACTACCTTCACTCCAGGCTGGGTTATGCGTAGTCGGTCTAGGATGTATCGTGAAGAGTCGAGATTGACTTTGATGCCGAGCTCGAAGTTGGCCTCAGCGCCACTGGACATGATACCGTGCAAGAGGTATACAGTCTCGTATTTGCGAGAGGCGCTGATCAACTCATCGACCTCCTTCGGCGAGGTTAAATCGGCACGAACACAAGTCAGTCGGCTGGCATGCTCCTTAGCTGCCTCTGGAACCTCGGGCTCAACGACATCAGTGATGGTCACCGTCGTGGAAGATGGAGTGCTAGCAAGAAGGCTTGCTGCCAATTCCTGGCCAACGTAGCCGCCTGCGCCAGTGATGAGAATCGACATATTGGGTGAGGCAATGGTTGAGTATTGGGCTTATGAGGATGGAAGCAGTGGATAGTGAGATAGAAGCAATTGGTTCAGAAATCTATTGAGATATTTCGATCGTGCAACACGGGGACGTTCCGATGTCCTTATATACTCACCCCGCGGGGTTGCGGCGAAGTCTCCCCTTCCCCCCCACGCAATCTATTAATTCGACAAATGATGGAACCTAACAATTACTTTGCCCCCGGAGCCCAAAATAGGTTTGAGCCCATTGGTATTTAAATGGATCTCCAATTCGGTTTAATAGTACATGATGAGGTTAAGATCACCTACACAAGTACCTAATAAATGGGCACCTCAATCAGTAACATATACCCCTCGGTTTTCGCGATTTCAAAATCTAGTCACAAACTTATTACTAGGCACTGTAGAATCTAGATACAGACGGTATGGAGTCCCCCACGCACATATTCCGAGTCTTTTTTACAATGCAGGAGTGGCTATTGAAACTCGGTGAGAAATCCGACAGCCGAACCACCGGCCTGGGCAGCTCGGAACGCGGGGAAAGTCCGATGAGAACTGAGAACCCCGGAAAACAGATAACATGTGAGTGGCAAAGAACTTTTAGGTCGAATATAACAGTACCACTACACTCCTGCTCAGGTGTTAGTCTGCTATTGTTCAAAGGCCCTGCTGGACATGGTCTGAATTTGGGCAAAGCACCCTAATCGTAGGCGTGAGGTACTCTGATATACCAACCAGTCGGCTTTTGAAAAATCGCAAGGAGAATGGCAACCTTGCATGATGGAAGAGTATGGGCAACGGTTGGAACAGCTGACCTCCTAAGACTTATAGGCATCAACAGATATACCTTACGAAGACACTTCATCATTTCAAAGTGTGCATTTTTCCCAAAGCGAGACCTAAATTTTGTGACACAAGCAATCGTACATGGACAGAGAAAACCAGTCACAAGAGAAAAGAACAGTGGATACATCGCGGAACACGAGACGCCTGAGGGAAAAGTGAAATGGAACAAATAAAGAAAAGACATGACAAAAGATTAAAACCCCATTTATGAAGAGCGAGTGTAGACACCACCGACGATACAGTGATCACGCTCGAAGGGCTCAAGAGTCAGCTGCTCCTTGGGCTTAACCTTCTCCTCACGCATCTTCTGGACCTCGCGGGAGAAGACAACATCAGCGGCAGCGGTACTGTCGATACAGCTGGCCTTGATGGAGATCAGAACACCACCCTGGTCCTTGAGGAACATGTGGGCGTTGAGGCCAACAATACGGGCTTGATCCGGTTGGGCAACATCAGCGAAGATAACATCAACCATAGGGACCAACATGCGGTAGCGGAGGGGATGACGGGCATCCTCAACAATAGGAATCACATTTGTGCGGTGCTAGAAGGGATTGTTAGCATTCCTCAACGCTGACGTCTAGATTTAACATCAAAAACTTACTGTGGCCATGCCGATCAAGTCACGACCGGAACGGTGAGAGAACTCAACGGCGTAAACGTTACCGGTAGGGCCGACAATATCGGCAACGTGAGAGACGGAGGTACCACTGGCACCACCAATGTAAAGGACCTTCATTCCAGGCTTCATGTAGATGTTGTCCAGACCACCGAGGATACCGGCAGCCAACTTGGAACGGAAGGGGTTCCACACACGGTACTCGATCTTGGTGACAGCACCATCCTCACCAGCAGGGCCCTCGACGGAGATGCGCTTCTCGCCGTAAACAGCCTCGCCGGGAGTCAGGTTCTTGGTGACGAGCAGATCCTCCTTACCACCACGGGCAACGAAGACACCAGCGTGACGGTGGGGCTCCTGTGAAGAGAAAAAAAGTTGGTCAGCAACTGCTTCTCTCTCCCTTAAGTCCATCGTTCCTCATGTACTTACAATGACGACCTTAGCACCACCACGGGCGCCAGCGGCACCACCACGGCCACCACGAGGCGCACCTCTGCCACCGCGGCCACCGCGGCCACGATCACCACCACGACCGCCGCCACGGCCACCGAAGCCACCACGGCCACCGCCACGGTCACCACCACCACGGGCGCCGAATCCACCTTTAAAAAATGAAACAACGATCAGCAAACTGTATATTTTTTCCAATTGAACACCGGTGAGATCTGCAGTGGTCATTGAGCTGGTATGGCGGCCAGCTTTGTACCCTCATACAGATTACCTGTATAGTCGGATGGATTGATGAAACAAACCTCGTCCACCGCGGCCACCGCCACGGTCACCACCGAATCCTCCACGTCCACCGCGGCCTCCACGGTCACCACCACCGAAGCCACCACGGCCACCTCCTCGGGGAGCGAAACCCATGATGTGAAGTTGGGGGGAGTTGAAGTTGGTTGAAAAGTTCGAAAAGATTGGGAATTGAGCTACTGAATGCTCAATCCGAGTGCGATGGAAATCTTTGAGAGAACGGTATCGAAAAGAGTGTTAATTCAAAGGGCGATAGGTGACAATATAATTGAAGTCACTAAATGAAGCAGCTTGTGCAGAGTTGACCGATGGTTCTCTGTCGCGTGCGGGTCAAGGCCGTTGCTGCTCGTTGCTACGGTCGAGATTTTTTTGCGCCTGCTGGATCTTTCAGAAAATCAGAACGGCGCTAGTCGAAACACGGTTAGTGCGCTTTGAGTGGGACTCTTTCGTGGTCACGTGTGTAGTCACGTGCCTCGGAAGAGCCCTGGAAAAGAAAAGTATGTGAAAGCGGAGGGAAAACAATGATGCATAGGGTATTTTGTTCGATTCGATATTATACTCCATTACTAACGCCATGCTCCGCCTTTGAGCAAGTAAAAATATAAAAACAGAAGAAAGCAAATGGACCAGCCTGATGTTTCCCCAAAGGTCGTATCCACCCATCCACCGGTGATCTATGTACAGAAGAGCAAAGCCCAGCAAGGTCCATAACTAATTTCCAAAGAAGTAATAATTCGCAGAGTATTTCATCTGAAATTGTGCAGGTTGTCCCAAGCAAGTGTCCGGGGGAGAGCCGGAAGCAGTGTCGACACGGTATACTGCCTTATACTTGCCCACAGTGCCTGTGGTAGTCGTGAGATACAGCCAAGCGACAGCGCCATATGTGCCCTTTGTAGCAGTGCTCGGGGCGTCAATCGACCCACCCTTCTTGGTCATCGCAATCCCAAATTGCCCGCCTCCAGCAATGTTGAGGTTGAACTCCGGGGTTGTCGAGTCGTAGAAGAAGTGGTGACCCATCAAGTCGACATTGGCCGGAAGTTGGATTTTGGCCCGAGGGAATGCAGAGACGTCCAATGGAACGGAGCTGTTCCAGATGAGGTTTGGGATCAACTCCAACAGGTCGGGGAAGTTTGCTGCCATGCAGGTGGCATTGTAGAGATTCGCAACTGCACCTGCTGCGGCAGGAGTACTCTTGGACGTGCTATCCGCACAGGTGTAGTTCTATTCAAGAGTCAGTGGATCAACTCTTTGATGTAGTATAATATCAAGATCTACATACCTGTGTGCCCCGTCCAATAGCGACATACATTGGGCTCAACCCATCAGGCGCCTTGAGGCCTGAAGCATAGGATGGCAATGTAATCTTGGACGCATCGCAGCCCACCGGGGTCTTACTGTGCCTCAGGCGGTTGATGTGCTGACTAACTTTGGAGTAGTAGTCCAGAAGCCCCTCAGAGAAGTCGTATGCATCATCGAAGAAGTTTGTTGGGGCGGCGGTTGAGACAGCCACCAGGGAGAGGAAGGTTGGTAGAAAGCGCATGGTGGTTGTGATCTTCGGTGACGGGGTTGTAGAGTGGGGAGTGGTGGTAGATCGACCCGGAGGTTTGTTTATTTGGAATCTTCAAGAGCAAGGAAAAGAAGAATGATAAGAAGAATGAAGAAACAGAAGTACAAACAAGCCTGTCAGCAGCACCTGGCTGTTGACAAGACCAAGCAAGAGGGAGGGAGGTTGGGATTAGAGGAAAGGAGTGACGGGAAAGGATTTGGCATGAGGATGATCAACCGGGCCAGGGAGGCTGGATACATATAGAGCTGGCGTTGATTGTAATATTTGTCCGTATTTGCAACACATCGTCAAAATAGCAACACCCTAGTCTAACTCGAAACAAGGTACGACAAAAATAAAAAGCGATCGATGCACAACTGCAGGTACTAACAGGGATAGGTGCTTAATCGGGTACCCTCATTGGTGGCAGATCGCGCCCAAGGCTGACGCCCCCATCCTCTACGACTTGCGATTCGTTGCATCCCACAAACAACTTTGGCTAAATTGAGAGAGCAACGCGCTAAGTCAAACAGAGGGCTTGTGACTGGGCGGCAAGGTGAAGGAGCTCACCCGGTGAGCCGGGAGACCAATGTGAAGTCCATCTGGGAATTCTCCGTATGGGCTATTAATAAACATGCCTCCTTGGAGCAGCTTACCATGTGTGATGGGCGGTTAGATGTGCATTGTGATTGCCCTAGCAGGTTAGCGTGCAGAGTCCATTTCAGGGTATCTCCTTGTCCGACCGAAGGCGGTTGGAGAGACCCGGCTTGGCCTTCAATAGACATATAATTGGAGGGGGCTGGAGCAGTATTCGTCGCAGATTTCGATCCTAGCGTGTTCTTTATTTGGGCAGCCATCTTGCACAGCTGTTCAAGTTAGTATCAGAGAGGCGGGTAGTCATTGTGGGGGAGGGGGGCTGGTTGTGAAGTGGCAGCCCCCTCCGCACTTTGTGGCTTGACCCCCTCTTCCCCATCTGGTTCACGTTACAGTGTGGGCGCGTAGTAGTTGAACGCCATCTTCCCTGTCTAACCTCTCTTATTAAGGCTACCATGATACCTATCTTCGTCGATTTTAATATGACCCACTCTTGGCCACTCGACCCATCACGGCTTCTTTAACCGACCAAGATATGAATCCGCGGAGTTATCCATTGGCATCAAGAAAGCAGGAAACCATTTTCAGTTCCATATTACCGCCAGAATGGATCATTCATTGTGTGGATCTACTCATAGACATTGAGTATTCCAAGATTTCTTCATATTACTACCCGCCAGGGTGGTCCAATCATCTAGATGGTGTTGTGCAGAAACGGCAGCATCCTCCAGGGCTGTCTATACTTCTCCCTCTTTCCAATGGTTATGATGTCAGGTACTAATACCATGTCTAATCCTGTGGAGCTCTAGTGCGATTCCAGTTATCTCCAGGGCTCTCATGAATAGCTTCGAAGCCCTGGAGGTTGATAGCATCTAGCCGTTCGGGACTACTACCTACAAATAGGTATATGCCCGGTGGGGGTTACCTCATTGCAGAAGCTTACCGAGTACAGAACCCATGTCTTCAGATATCTCATGCGTGCAAGGATGATAGTTATTCTTGAGACCCTAATTGAATATTCACACTAGCCCACAAAAGAAACCCCCGAAATAGAACATGCAGAGCTAGTAAGTGGGCCTATCACTGCCGAGGGGGCTCGCTCATTCCCAAAAGAAACGCCGAAGGTTGATGATCAGCCATTGTAGAAACACAGGAGGAAAAAAGAAACAAATTCAAAATTGATAACTCCGGAGCGCTCGCTATTCAAGATCAAACATGGGCGGGGTGTGTCACTCGGACCCCAAGGAAGGTAGGATCCTCAACATCAATTATAACCAAAGCAGTCACTGAGACCCCCTTGAGGGGTATCTTGCCTGCTTAGGTGAAACCCTCTTGCTGCCAATCGTCACCATGCAGCTGACCACTGCTTCCAGAGCCGGTTCCACCCCCACTGTTGCTGTATGCTGCTGCTGCGGCACCGCCGAGGGTGCTCATGGCGCTATGCTTTTCAATCTCGGTAGTGCTCATTTTGTAGAGCACCACGAAAAGCAGAAAGTGAAGAGCAAAGCAATAGCCCGCGAACAAATTTCGACTGGTTCGGTTGGCCAATATTATGCGGGTGAGTGAGAACACTATTCTTTCGGGAAGATTCATACGCTTGTATGCACGCGTTGACTCGCGGCCGCGGAATGCAGCGAAGGGGGAGATCCGTGCCTCATAGGCAGATTGATACCTATCTAGTGATAGTCCCGACGGTGTGTCGGAAGAGGTATACACGGATGTCGAACTGGGTGCATTTGCATATGATGACGCAGAGGTAGCTGCCCCCTGACCGCGGCTGTATGTCGAGACATAACGAGTCTTTTCGTAAAGGCCGAGATTGTCCTTTTGAAGTGATGCAATCTCCTGCCGAAGAGATTTCACAGTGGAATATGTCTTGGACAGCTCTTCTTCAAGCTCAGAATTCTTCTTCTTGAATCGGTCACGTTGCGCCTGAATCATGGGCAAAAGACCCGAACCACCTCCCACAGCCTCACCTGCACGAATAGCATCCATGGTGTTCGCGGACGCCGCGCTCTGATCAAACCCGGATATAATAGATGAAGTGGGAGAAGTAGCACCACGTCTAGAGGAGTGCGGGTATCTGGAAGCATAGGTACCGGCAACGGACATTGCGCCAGAAGGGAAGGTGTTGGCTGCCTCCTGCTGCACCTGAAGAAGATCGTTCTCCAGTGTACTAGATAGACCCCGGGACTTCTCCAATTCTGCTTTCGTGGTCGAAAGCTCGCCGCGGAGGGACTCCAGTTGGCCTTGCAAGTCACGACTCGACACACGTAGTACAGCCAGGTCATCAGTCAACTTCTTGTTACGAGCAAGCAAGAGCTGCTCCAACGAATTCTTCTCTTTTGATTTCGCTGCGTTACCGTTGGTGCTTTCAACGCCCTCCACCGGCACGTCACCAGTCTCCTCATCCTCGCCGGTCGTAAACTCTATTGATTTGATCATCTCCAGCTCGCGACGAATATCATCGTAGTCTGAAACCCTCTCGAGGCGTGAGCGCAGCTCATCTCTCTCGGTAGTAGACTTTGTGGCATTTCTCTCAGCTTGGAGAACCTTGGCCTCCCACGAGTGCCGTGTCGAATCCTTATCATAGCGTGCAGCATCCAATTTGCGAAGTAAAGAAGAATTCTCTGACTGCAGGCGCTGGTATTCGGGATCGTCTTGCAAAGTCGTTTGGCCGGCATTCGAGTGTGATACAGACTGGGCTAGCTCGAGTCGCAATTGCTCATTCCGAGCCTCCACATCGGCTAGACGCAAGCTTGTTTTCTCCAGATCAGAAGAAACGAGTTCTAGCTCCGCGGCAGTAGCACCGCTTCGAGCCTCCTCACTTTCCTCATTGCCACCCAGACGTTGAGAAACTTCGTAGCTTGCTTTGAGCTCCTTGATCAATCGCTCTTGGTTGTCCACCTTCTCTTCCAAGCTTTTCTCCTTTGCGGCCCAATTGTTTGTCTTTTCTACTAAGACAGCTTCCCAGGATGATTCAATCTCCTTAGCTCTTGCCTCTTGGTTCTGTTCGAGCTTCTTTCTGGCGGTTCGCTCTTCCTGGAGACGTTTCTCGGTCTCCTCCTGCTGCCTCGTGAGACGTTCAACCGAAGATTGCAATTGATCGCGCTCCGAGGTCAGCTTGGGCACGGTGTCTTCCGACAAGACCAGGGAATCAACGGAGGCTTCGAGGAGTGGGTACGGATCCGGGGCCTCCGATAAGGATGAGTATAGTTGGAGGAACGAGGAGGAAGACGTTTTGCCCTGGTTGGTCAGGAGATCGATAAATGATTGATAGGCTTTCAATAGTGCTTTGTGCTCTGCGATTTTGGCTTCATCGTCCAGTTTCTTAAAGTCCTTGGTCTTCTGAGCCAGGTCCTTTCTCTGTACGAGAGCATCTCGCTGGTGCTCGACGATATCTGAGGCGGTGGAATCAAGTTTCGCAATCGTACTGGCCAAGTCAATTCCTAAATATGGCCAGTCAGTGGTGTGGCCTTATTAAGGAAGTTGCAGAGCGTATTCGGGGGTCAGAGGGTGGCTTTACCTCGCCATGCTGCAATAGCGCGTTGGAACTTGTTTGTCTCCTCGGACAGTTTGCTGTTGACTGGTTCCGGCTGGGTTTGGTCCTGGGCTGCAAGACCCTCTGTGATGGCGAAGGAGTCCATAGTCCGTCAACTCACAAGTCAGCGCGGTTCACCCCACACCTGATCGCAACTAGAGGATGTTCCTTTCCAGGCGGAGGCCGATCTGGACACGCGGCGTGCGGGCCGAGTATTCTTCCGTGAGTATGAGGCTCGAGATCAAGCAGAGTATTTAAAGCAGAAACCAAATAGAATATAAAACCAATTTAACTAAATAATCACAGTCTTACAAGTAGAAATTCAAATTGAATCACCATCAAATATCAGTTGATGTACTGCAGATTATTGTTATCTTTGTTGCCTTTCAGGCCAGGTGTTCTGACAGCCCGTTTTTGTTTGTTCCGAGGCTGCCCCTGAAGCTTTGGCCCCCATCGGGCTGACCGCCTTCAGCTATCATGGGCCCAGCCTCCATTAGCACTTGCGGGGAGAACTCCAAGCCTAGCTAGCCATCATGGCTTCTGATGATGGACTTGGTCCTCGCAAGAGGCGTAGGGTCGGTCCCTCGGGGACTCAGCCTTATGTCTTACGGTCTCTCTTCGATAATGTGCCTCTGACGACTGAGGGCAGCTCCGACGTTTACATCACTTGCGTCGAGTATTGGGGTAAGCTATGGCCGCGAGTCTATTCCGCTCTCATCGCAAGAATCTGTTGGCTAATTTGATAACTGCAGATGAGAACTTGTACATCGGAACCTCCGCGGCAGAAATATTGCATTTCGTTAGCCTTCCACCAGCTTCCGACGATTCCAACGAACCTACATTCATTTTGGCTTCGAGGTTGCCTATACCATTCCAAACTACCCCCTCCGACCCAGATCAACAAGGTGTCAGACAAATCCTTATACTCTCTTCGGTCAACAAAGCCTGTGTTCTCTGCAATGGATCGGTTACATTCTACATGTTGCCCGAGCTCAGCCCGGCGTTCGGGAACACCAAGGTCCATCATTGCAGCTGGATCGGTGGGCTAGACCTAAACAGAGATGAAGATTCAGAGGATAATCCCGTGGTTGTGATTGCGGTACAAGATCGGATCATGCTGGTTCAGATCGGGGATGAGGCACGGCGCATCAAGAGCATCAAATTCCCTGGTTGTCTGGTAGCTGCGCGCAGAGGTACAATTGCCTGCGCCGCTGATCTCCACTCATATTCCCTTCTCGAGGTAGAGTACCAGCAGAAGATCCCTCTCTTTCCAATCTCTTCTTCAAATGAAGTATTTGAATCTGGGCGGGTGGAGGAGATTCAGCAGACACCAACTCCTTTGAAACGATCCCCTTCCTCATCCTACCCCAACTCACCTCCCGCAGACTCACAATCGCATGGAAGGAGCAGCAGTTTGAATACGTTTGTGGGAATGCTGCAACCACATGCACAGACCCCCCCGTCACGAGAGATCGCCTTCCGGAACACCAGACCCATTCACATCTACAGGGACACCGCGACGGTCGAGCTCCGAGGAACGTCAGGAGGAAGGCCCCAAGCAGACCGACCCAGAAAACTCTGGGAGCGATCACCAATCAACATCCCCGGATAGTGTGAAGCCACTGCCGCCTCTACCAAAACAGCCTGTCTCAAAACAACTTCAGCCTCATGTAGTGTCGCCGACCCCTTCTGAGTTCCTTCTGGTGACCGGAACCGAAGAATCCGAGCCGGGGGTGGGCATATTTGTTGACATGGATGGCGAAGTTGTGCGAGGTACCATCAACTTCCACCGGTATCCGAAGTCCGTTGTCATCGATGCTGGCGAGGATGATCAGGCTCTTCAGCCAAGCGAAGATGCCAGAGAAGAATTTGTGCTTGCTCTCATCGATATCAAGGATGACGGAGGGAACCGTACTCAGTTAGAAATCCAGCGCTGGGACGATGATCCCGTGGAGCTTGAACGGCAAAAGAGATGGATGGAGATTCCTTCGTCTACAGAGACCGAATCATCTCCTGTTGGATTTCAACACACTCTCAGTGCCAGCCGCTTAGAGCTAGATGAAGTCGGGAAGCTCCTACGCATGAGCCGATTTAAGAACCCTGCACTTCCACCACATGTGTCCATGGCGGACTCCAGAACACAGGCCTCAATTGAACAGCTACAAAGGGAGAAAGAGCTTTTTGAATCACAAGAAATGACAGATTCGGATGCTTCTAAAAAGGGGGAAACCGGGGCAACCCGGGACTGGGAAACCCAACGAAACGAAGATGAAGCAAAATTCGCCCATCGGCTTGGAAAGCTTCAAAGCAGTCTGATTTTATGGTCTGGTTCTCAAATCTGGCGACTCATTAAGAACCCTTTGGTCATTCAACTTGAGGATATTCTGCAGGAGGCGCAGCAAACCGATGCTAGTGGGCACACGCTCTTGCAAAGAGGTGCTGTTACTGATTTAATATTCTCTATAAAAGACGCAGAGCCCAAAAATGAGTCCGAGTTCATTGGTCTCGGGTATGTTAAACAGAAAGCCAGCTTGATGCTATACGGGGATCTTCTTTCCATGCACCCTGATCACCGCGGAGATGCAGTGATACAGAACACCGAACACGCAATTTTGGCTGGCAACCTGGACCCGCGTCTAGCGTTGCTGTTTATTCCACTTCTTAGGTGTGAAGTTCTTCAAGGCCCACAGGGTATTTGGATCCACTCTGGCCTCGCAACAGTCACAGAACAATATTTGGAGCAGGTTGCAAATACCAGCGACCAATCACTTGGGCCCGCAGCCGTGCACAGTTCCGTTTTTAATATGGTCAAGCGGTTTCTGTTCTCGTGGCAACAGAAGAGAGGCTATGGTAGTATCACAGACGAGACTTACGTTCTCGATAGCACAGATGCTGCTCTCTTGCACCTGCTTCTCGAGCAAGATGCACACTTTGATATAGATCAACGAGCATCATCCCGAATCCGTTCGGAACTAAACAAAATGGTCGACGGCTGGAAGGGCAACTTTGATCGTGCAGTGGCGCTTCTAGAGCAATACCAGCGACTTTATATACTGAGTCGTTTATACCAGAGCCAGAAGAAATCGCGCAATGTTCTTAAGACATGGCGCAGAATCATCGATGGCGAAAAAGACGCTGGCGGCGAACTCACTGCTGCTAGCAGTGAGAAGCAGATGCGGAAATACTTGGTGAAAATCAAAGACGTACAGCTGGTGGAGGAGTATGGATCCTGGCTTGCAGGGCGGAACCCCAGTCTGGGCATTCAGGTCTTTGCAGACAACTCCAGTCGGGTGCAGCTCGAACCAACCGACGTGATTGCGCTACTAAAGGAACGGGCTCCCAACGCCGTTCAATTCTATCTGGAGTATCTCGTCTTTACCAAACATGTGAGTTGCCCCGCGAACGCTTCTATCACGGTATTCAACTGACCCAGAACAACAGCAAACCCAATACGCCAATGACCTCATCTCTTATTATCTCGACGAGGTGCTCTCAGTCCTGAAGTCCGACCCTACTGCGCGAGCATCTCTCTCTGACTCCTACTCTACGTATCGAGCACTGCGCCCTCCTAAGCCCACCTATCTGAACTTCATCACGGCGAACACCCCCAAAGAGTCGTGGTGGCAGTCCCGACTGCGCCTGCTGCAAATACTCAGCGGCACCTCGGGCACACAGTTTTCATCTACTGCCCTTCCATCCGGAATCACTTACTCAATTCCCGCCGTCCTGGAACGCATCGAGCCCTTCCAAAATGAGCTTGTCTCAGAAAGCATCATTCTGGATGGCTTGCAGGGCCACCATCGCGCGGCCCTGCGGCTCCTCACCCACGGGCTAGGCGACTACGACTCTGCAGTCCGATACTGTCTTTTCGGCGGTCCTCGCAGCTCCACATCGTCTAGCGGCGCCCAGCCCGAACTTGCAGACCATGCCCAACAATCGACCTTATTCCGTCACCTCCTTGATGAGTTCCTTCAAATCCAAGACCTGACAGACCGCATCGAACGGACGAGCGATCTCCTCGCCCGCTTCGCCGGCTGGTTCGACGTTCGCGAAGTCCTTGAGCTCGTTCCCGAGGACTGGAGCGTGGACATCCTGGGCGGCTTCTTCGTCCACGTCTTCCGCATGCTCGTCTCCGAGACCCGAGAGGTTCGCATTGAGCGCGCACTCAGTGCCGGACTCAATCTGCGGACTGGCGTCGAATATACGGATAGTATGGAGAAGGCCGGGGCGTGGATCGAAGATGGTGATGGACTGCGGCGTATCAAGGACCGCGGACCCCAAGCACAGCCTGATGATGCAACCGCCGGTGATGATGGTGACTTTGGTGAAGTAGTGGGTCCGCTCGCCTCTGGGGAAATCGACCAGGCGATCGTGCGAGATTAAGGGGTGGCTTCTGTACAGGCTTTTGTTTTTGTTTTTTTTTTTTCGTATTCGCGTGGCGGCGTTGGATCTTCTATGATACCTCTCTACAAATTCACGATATGCACTTGGGCCCTTTTTTGGTTCTTGTTCTGCATTTTTTATTGAGTATATTTGCCCTCTGATCTTGTAGCGGCATTTCCATCACATAATTGGGAACTGCAGATCTTGTCTATCACTTTAGCATGGGTTGTTTTTTGTTCTTATGAGAAACAATGATCATCCTATTGGGGGGGGGGTGGCAGAATAAACCCATCTGCCGCCTGACGCAATGTGTCAGGCTGGGAGAGAAAATAATATGAAAAGAAAAAGAGAGCAAAAACAGAGGCATCGCATAGCATTCATTCCCTTCGTAGCCCCCAAGGAGCAGGAGTATCGCCGGTCAGTGTCGAAAAATAGAAAACCGGGTTTATCAGAACTGGCTGTGGCCCTTTGGGGGCGGGCCGAAAACTCCTCCGGGGCGATTCGCACTTCTTTCTCTATGGCAAGCAGACCACCCGCGAGACATTCCAGAGGAGAGAAGGACAGAAAACCCGGGCTGAAACAGCTGAAAGAGGAGAGAGAGGATTACTCTTCAGGCTGCACGAACGGGTTGGGGATCTCCTCGCTTCCATCGGCGGGGGAGATCAAAACGATGAGAGTGCCACGGGCAACAATGAGACCCAGCGAGCGGGTAGTCTGGTTACCCTCATCATCTAGGGAGAGTTAGCAGTGGACAAAATGAGAGGTTAAGAGAGGGAAGAAATACCGCGCATGGATTCCTTGACATCATCGAGGACAAGGTTCATCAGCTGGTCGTAGCCCTTAAGGGTTCCGGTGACTGTGGGGCGCAGTTAGTATATGTGATATAAACAGTTTAGATGAATTCAAGATAGAATAAATGTATAGAGAAAAACAAAACCAGATAATAAAAACACAAAAACAAAGATTGAATTACTCACCCTCACGGCCGCCATTGAACTTGACCTGAACCTCCTTGTCCATATACTTGCCCAGGTCGAGGATGTTTTCCTTCTTGGGCTTTTCTTGGGCACCGCCACCACCGCCACGTTTCTGCTGGGGTCGACCACCACGGCCACCGCCGCGGCCACCTCGGAATGAACCTCGCTCGGACATTTGGGGGAATCTGAATAAGCGGGAAAAAAGGGGGGGGAAGAGGAGACAGTAGGTTAAACCCAGATGGGTGGGGATGACGAGAGATAGGCAATTCACAAATGCAAGCAGTAACCCTAGACTCTCAGGCGCACGGCAGATTGAAGGGGGACGCGTATGAGGGATTTTTGGGCGGTGAGAAGCAGCAGAGTGGAACGGTGGAAGTGGAGTGGGAGAGGTGGGAGAGTGGAGGGAAGAGGTCCGCCCGGCGGAGAGCGGGAGTACTCCTGTATACTGTACGGAGTACAATACTCATACATCGTCCGTACCGAAGTACTTCAGGCACCCGCCAAAAAAGGGTCATGTCCAATCCCCACTGGTGAGGCTTGTTTCTGAGCTAATTCAGCCGGTTGGTAGATAGGGACGCGTCATACCTATTCCAATCTTAGTTTTACGTTAGCCTTGGGATAATGGGAGAAAAAGAGAACCGAAAAAAGAGTAGCCTAGTCAGTACCCAAGGTAGTTGATCCCTCCCAGCGGAGTAGCGGAGTTCCGCCAGTCCCAGTGTCTTCCGCCCTACCCTGTGCCTGTGCCCACCTCGGTCACCTCTGCCTCTGCCTCGCTTTTGCCCCCAACCTAATCACGTTTTCCACTCCCTCTCCTCTCCTAACATCTGTCATCCCAATCTTTATGGCCCGTCGCCCTCTTTCGCCTTTCTAGCGGTCTTTGCCGTCCCGCGCATTTGCTACTCTCGGCCATTCGGTTCCAAAGCCCACATACCACACCATACCACACCACACGCACAAGTCTCCCTCTACTCCCTCGACCCCCCAAACTCCCATAATGGAGCCCCAACCCCCGTCCGAGTCGTCTAAAAAACGACCGCGGTCTCCGACCGCCGACCAGTCGCAACAATCCAAGATCCAAAAGACTCAGGCGAACCACTTGCAGATCAATTATCTTGCGCGCCAATATCCCGATAACCTCCCGCTCGTCTCCGTCGATGATAATATGCCCGCCATTGTCCACCTACTCGGCGAGTATGACGGCGTCTTGCACCGGCACGAGAGCATCGCGGGCAATCTCGGCGCATGCCCGCTGGGCCCGATCCTGATCAAGCGTTTTGAGCGCTTGTTCGATGGTCCTCCGCGCGTCAGCAAGTCGCCTGGTGGTAAAGATAGCCCTACAGTGACTTGGTTAGATGTCGTCGAGTTCGCCAAGAACAAGCCGGAACAATTTCTCCTGGAAAACCGTAATGGCGTGCGTGTCTGCCAATTCCATACAAAGCAGTGTCGTGTGGAGATCAGCGAGGAGGACTATGTGTTGGTTGCCTCTGGTATGCCCCAGAAGATGATCCCCCCACAGCCGATCATCGAGGATGAAGAGAAGGAGCTGGGTGCGCTGGAGATTCTGGAGAAGAACTTGCAGTCTATCATTCAAGCCGCTGATCAAGGTATGAAAGCCCATCTGCAGATCTCAATTTATGCAGGGATTCTAACTGAAGCACAGTGTCGGCTCGAGCCCGTCAGCTTAGCTACCGCTTGAAGAACCGCCGCACTGCCATCATGAGCCGTCGCAAAAACGATGCCTCGCTGCAATCGCATTCGCAGTCGCAGTCGCAACCCCAATCCCAACCCCAATCCCAACCCCAATCCCAACCCCGCGTGCCCACCGAGACTTGGCGCGACTCCAACGGCCACAACTCAGCTAATGGTAAAGCTCACGTCTCGCCGTCCGGCTTCGTAGCCGTCAATACGACCCGTCACGAAGCTGAACCGGCTGAGGACAACCCTTCCCCTTCCCAGTTTATCTTTTCCCATGGAACAACCGACAACGTGACGATCATCAATGGCACTTCGATCAAAGGCGCATCGCCTACCACACGAACTGAACTGATGAAGAAATTCTTCACGACGGCAGACCGACAGGCTCGCGGCTTCGACGATGCCTCCACTCCAGTCAATTCTCAGACGCCTCGACCGCAAGCACAATCATCAGATCCGGCCGATTACAGTTTATTCAATAATGCTTCCACTACTCCGGTGGCCATTCCAAGCACTCCATCTTCGTTGCTTCCGCCACCCAAAACAACACCTCAAGAGAAAGACGACGGAGGTCCATACAAACTGGAAATGGTAGCTCGTATGGAGGAGCTGCAGCGTGGAGAGCGAGTCTCGCCACCCTGTGACCGATGTCGCCGGCTTCACATGGACTGCTTGAAGAATTTGACTGCCTGCGTGGGCTGTACCAAGAAACATGCCAAGTGTTCGTGGAGAGATGTTCAAGATGGCGAAATACGAGCCGCCAACTGGACTTTAACCACGCCCCGCGAACCTCGCGAGCCCCATGAAGAAATCGAGGAAGGTCGTTTGTCGTCCATGCCTCCTCACGGCCTGACATCTCCCCCGAAATACCCGGTCTCTGCCGAGCGTGAACACGAGCGCCACACCGAGTCCCCCACTAGTCAGAGCTATTCTCATAACCGCCGAGAGTCTGCGCCAGGTGCTCCTCATATTAGACCCGGCTCGGGGGCATCAATGGGATTACCCCCCTCCGATAAATCCCCTCGCAGAGCTGTTAGCGAGACCGAGAACAGTGGCCGTACACAGCAGCAATCTAGCAACTCCCGACATGCCGATGATGAAGACCCAGATGCCAATCAACGACTGATGCAGGCTATCCTTGACACGGTTGATCATCATGCTCGGGTTGCAGCCGCAGTTCAGGAGAAAGAGCGTGGTGCGGGGACGGAACGAGGAGGTGAGCCGGTTAGTGAGCGTGTTGAACGGACTGCCGAGCGCCCGGCGGAGAATTCGAGCTTCATCCGTCATGATCGCGATGCAGATCGAAGCCGAGACCGCGACCGCGATCGTGAACGGGAGCGGGAGCGGGAGCGATGGATGTTGCAGACCTAGAATGGGCGGACTGCATTGACTCCATCGACTCTCTTGAAGTGTACATATTGGAGGGCTTTTTTTCTTTCTTTTTTCTCGTTTTCTTATTAGCTGTATAGCTGCGAGCGATTGGCGAAAGGGTCGGTTGGAGGGTCTTGTTTGAGCGTACATATTATATCCATGATTTGAGGTCTTTCTTTGCAAATGAACTTGGCGCTTCCATTCCACTTCATACCCCAGTTTACGAATTACTCCGCAATTGGCTCGGATATAACCTTGAAATCCCATCGGATATACATCAACCGTACCCCACCGTGCCAATGCTTATAAGATGCTGACCAATGTAAGGAATTCATTCCGTGTGGGTCGCGGGGGAAAGCGGTTATATTCTCATCCATTGTAGTGTACGGGTAGTATATCAGATCAAATACTATCAGCTATAGGCAGTGCGACTATGAGGAATGGGAGATTCCCGAGTGCAAGTGTCAATATAGGGAGTAGTCGTATACTCGTACTATAGTTACTAGCAACGGCAACGTAGTAATTCCGCTGCGCTGAGTGGGCGGGGGGAACTGCGGGGTCCCGCCTTAAATTTGGAGCTCCAACTTGGACTCACCCCACCACCCACCACCCATCGGCAATGCCGGGCATACGCAAATCCCGGAGCTGCTGGGAATATTAAAAAAGACCAGACAGCTCTTCCGGGAGCCCATCTTCACATTTCTGATCTGATCTGCTCTCATCTGAACAGTACACCTCCCCCACACCATCCGCCATCTCAATCGCAACCACAACCACAACCGCAACCATGGACCCCTCCCTCGTCAAGATCCCACCAATGAAAGACCTAACAGCAGACAACATCACCGAGAATGTAATCACAATCAACTCGCTCTGCGAAGACGCGCGCATGAAATACGTCCTAGAACGCCTGGTCACACACCTGCACGACTTCGCCCGCGAAACCCGACTCAGCAGCGACGAATGGATGACCGGCCTCCGCTTCCTGACAGAGGTAGGCCAGATCTGCACCGACGTCCGGCAAGAATTCATCCTGCTGTCCGACGTGCTGGGCCTCTCCCTCCTCGTCGACAGCATCGACCACCCCAAACCCCCCCGGTTCAACTGAGGGTACCGTGCTAGGACCCTTCCACACGCATGATGCGGAGGAAATGCCCTCCGGCGACTCCATGTCGCACGATCCGAAGGGTGAGCCGCTACTGGTTGTCTGTACGCTGCGCGATACGGAGGGCCGACCTATTGAGGGCGTCAAGATTGATATTTGGGAGACGGATTCGTCGGGGCACTATGATGTGCAGTATGCCGGGCGTGAGGAGCCGGATGGGAGGTGCGTCATGCGCTCGGGTAAGGATGGTCTGTTCTGGTTTAAAGCTATTACGCCCGTGCCTTATCCTATTCCGCATGATGGGCCTGTTGGGAGGTTGTTGAAGAAGTTGCATCGCCATCCGTATCGCCCTTCGCATATGCATTTCATGTTTGAGAAGGAGGGTTACGACCATTTGATTACGTATGTTCTCTCGATCTCCGAGTCTTCTTTCATTATACTCGGGAAATTTGACTAACAAGTAATATAGTGCTCTTTATCTCCGCAATGACCCTTATGAGACCTCTGACGCTGTATTCGGCGTGAAGGATTCTCTAACCGTTGACATTGGCAAGGTTGGCTCTGAGATTGCGGAGAAATACGGTGTTCCCGAGGGTCAGGCCCTCTTGACCTACGACTTTGTTCTTGTTTCCGACGCGGAGACGAGTGAATTGCGCGCGCAGAATTCCAAGGTGGCGCTGGATAAGCTCGGCCGGAAGGTCAAGATCGTTAATGGTCTGCCAATTCCCGATCTGGACTAAATGTAAATATCTTCAACGGGGAAAAGTTAAATATCCACGAACAAAGAAAAGAGACTTAACTATAACTATTGGGTGGATCGGATTTTGGAAATGTATTGGATTAACTAGCCAGGAAATGGACATGAACATGAATGACATGAATACTTGATTTCTCTCTTACAAACAGCTTGCATACAGTGGTGTTGCAAAAGGTTGAACCCCCCTTGTCGACCGCCCTGATCTCTGCTTTCCCAAGGGAAACAAGTAGCTACCTGAGTGGGAATAGATTGGCCAATCTATTCCCTCTCAGGTAGCTACTAGTCTGCCATTAGAAGGCGGTCGATAATTGTGGGCAATAGGAGGTTTCAAACCTTTGCAACGCCACTATACTAGTTAGTACACACTAGGTGCAATACAAGCTGAGATTATCTCAAAAGGGAAAATGGGAATATTGAAGTAGTTAGAGCTTCGATATTTCCAATTCGTATCATCATACAGTACGGCATATGAGCCACGCAAAGTATGCACATCACAAGACTGATCCGATGATTCCCTCCAATTCCGTGTCCCCCAATTCCTTCACTCTACTCGGAATATAAGTTCCCCCAACTGACATTGATTGGAGCACGTATCGTGATTGCCTCTCGTATATCAAAGGTCGTGCTCCGTGCAACTATACACAAGCGCCAGCATGGTCCGAAATACATCCTCAGGGTCTACGCGTTAGCCATTTAGGGTGATTTATTAGCTTATGCGACCGTTGGACAGGATTTAGTGCAACCTTGTTTGAAACATGGGGAAAGTGGAACTCATGTCCAGACTCTATAGAATCTCGTGGCCGCCATTCTATTTCTCGTGGTCTCGGCCTGCTCTTTTTGAAAAAAAGAAATCTTGGTTACTCCCAATGGTTATTTCAAAACGATAAGTCATCATGCGGCTTATCCTTTTACCTGTCGCAGCATCGTTGTGTGCTGCCCTGATTATTCCTGAACAAGAAGTTCTAGCCGAACTTTCTGGATTACTTCACGTCGATCAATCCAGTCGAGATGAGGAAACACAAGTTGATTCCTGGTGGTCAAAGATGGCTGAATTATCGCAAAGCGGTCAGCAATCGGCCGCGGAGCTTGCCTTGAGCGTCCTGGGGCTTGATGTCAGCTTGGATGGAGGTTTCGAAGCTCCCAGTGGTGAAAATGAGTATTACGGCGATTTTGATCGTGATCGTGAAGGTTATCTCGGTCGACGTCGACGCCGGCCTCACCATCCCCATCATCCTCATCACCCCCATCACGGCAAACATGAATGTGGTCCAGGGTATGGCGAAGGACCTGGCTATGGCGATGGACCTGGCTTTGGCGATGGACCTGGCTTTGGCGATGGACCTGGCTTTGGCGAGGGTCCCGGTTATGGGGACAGACCAGGATACGGTGATGACCCGGGAAATGGATGTGGGGATACTGGCCGTGGTCCTGGCTACGGTGATGGTCCTGGTGGTGGTCCTCGCGGCGGAAGGCCAGGTAGAGGATGCGGTGGTGGTTGGCCTGGCGGAGGTGGTGGTAGTAACCCTGGTGGCGAAAATCCTGGGGGTGGTGGTGGAGGAAGCCCTGGTGGTGGAGGAGGAGGCTCTGGAGGTGGAGGATATCCCGGAGGAGGAGGGGTGGGGAGTGGGAAAGGCCCTGGATACGGCAATGATCCAGGATACGGCCGTGGTCGTGGCAGACCAGGATATGGAAGATGGCCAGACGACAGAGGGTGTCATGGACGAGGTGGTCAATATCACCTATTCAATCTTTCACCGAGATTCTGCACAGAGAATCACACGATCTGGGAGTTGATCAATGAGAGCAAGAAAACCTCGCAGCTTGCAGAGCTTATCAAGGGCCACGACGACCTGGTCACCCTACTGAACAGCAGCGGAAGCAACTATACTCTCTTGGCCCCGACGAACAGGGCTTTGGACTGGTTCCTGCAGCATGAACATGAGCCTTCATACACGAAGGAATTCCTGCAATATCACATCTTGCCACGGCAACTTAATCACCATGATGCGAGGTATCAGCAAACGCTGCCCACGCTGCTGACTCAGTCAGACTTGGGCAAGGATATGCCGCAGCGACTGGTGGTGAATAAAGACGAACATCGAGTGTTACTCAATGGGGTCAGTGAGATTATAGCGGGCAATATAGTAAGTACTAACCCTAAAAAGTGTGTTAGAAATGAGTAAATCACTGACAATGCACCAGGTTGGAAGCAACGGCATTCTTCATCAAATTAACAAACCACTCATTCCACCTCCAAATACTAGCACAATCATCAAACTCCTGCCGAGACACTTCAGCGCTTTCACTCTCGGCCTTGAAAAGACCGGTCTGATCCACCAGCTAACCGACGAGACAAGAGCCGGCGGCACAACATTCGCCCCGACAAACGCAGCCTTTGACCGTTTGGGACAACGCGCAAATGAGTATCTCTTCTCTTCTGATGGCGAAAAATGCTTGCAGGCCTTGCTGGAGTACCACCTTGTTCCGAACCGCACCTTGTACTCGGACGTGCTGTATGATCAGCATGGACATGTTCATGAGTTTAGATCTGGGGAGCAGGATTCCGCGGTACATGTTAAGCTGCCGACGCTTCTGAAGAAGCAGAACTTGAGGATTGATGTTGCCTGGCCTGGATACTCGCTTATCATGAGGGTGAACGGGGTTGGCCGGGTCATCGTTCATGATGTTTTGGCGCGAGATGGTGTCGTGCATATTGTGGATCAGGTGCTGATGCCGTCTCGGAAAATCAAAGGGAAAGGTAATGAGGGAGTGATTGCGATGTCGATGTTGCAGGAAAGTCTCGACGAGTGCAAGGGAATGCCACGAGAGGAACTGTGATAAATGAGCAAGTAGTGACCAGAAAATCCGTTGCCAGGTGGTCCGTTCTGGGTGGGGGGGTTCTATCAGTCTATCATTTATCAGTTTGCACCAGGATGAGATTGATGTTTCTTCATTCTTTATCTGTCTGTATTTCCATAAAATATGCTGGCTGCGCGGTCGGCTGCCATCGTTTTCAAGCAAAACCCGATGGAGCGAGATCATGTGCAAGCTTCCAAAGTACCATGTTGATCAATCAAAAGGGGCCATTCCCTCTAATCCGTTCAGACTCGAGCTGTTCACAGAAGGGACGGATGTGGTAACGTCGATACCAACCAAAAGAACCGTAATAATCATAATTGCATGTCCGAAGCAGGCTGAAAGAAGGCAAACTATCGCTCAGTGCATTCTTCTCGCGGGCTTCATCAATGCCTGGAATGAGGACTCCAGAGCCTTCTTGACCTCTTTATAACTCACGATGAAACAGCTTTGTTCATCGCGACTGACCAAAGTGACCTTTTCATCGGACCCTGCATCCAGCTTGTTCAAACAAGTCAACACATGTCCAAGGTCAACCACAGGATCGCCTTGCGCGTCCACTTGATGGAAGACGTAGTCACGGAAAATCTTCAAGAAATAACGCTCCCCACTTTCCGACCACTGTCTGTCATGTTCATATTCAGGTCGCTCATTGACGAGGTTCAATTTTGTCATCAAACGCACGAGCCGTCCATTTTCAAGCTCGCGGCCGAGATCAGTCGTGAGCTGGTCATCAAGATGGAGGGCCGAGTCAAATGTCGACATCAGCTGGGACGAAATTCCGGTGATGAACAGGTCGATGTTCCGCTCCTGGTCGATCTGCAGAGAGTTCAGCAGCCAGAAAACGGAGTTCTTCATTTGCGGGCTATATGCGCGGGTGAAATGTTCCATTGCCTTGGCAGGGTTGTGCATGACATTGGGCGAGTTAGCACCCAGAGTAACCATCATTTGGCCAAAGTTAACCAAGTCCTGTCGCTGTAGGTCGGCCACGGTCCTCTGAGTATCAAATTGAACCACGTCCAGGATTGCACAAGCATTCAAACGGATACGGTTCTTGCCGGTAAGTAGAACTTTACTCGGCTCAAGAACCCTTGCAGCGATACCGTTGGAGTGGATCGCTTTCAATGCATTTGCGATTTGAGTCATGTATCCCCACAGAATCTGCTCGGTAATATGTGGGTTGTGGCGGTTCTGGAAACGGTTTCCAGCGCCCAGATGTTGCTCGGCTAGGGTCTTAGATAACGGATGGTAATCAGTGACGAAGATCAGTGAGCTATCCTGGAAGCTTCGGCTGGTAAACGCATCATGGACGGTGACAACGCTTCCACTGCACACTCGTTTCCAGGCTTGGACGGATCGGATGGCCTTCTCGTTGGTTAAGCGAAACCCTTGATTGATCAGCAGTCGTCAAAAATGCGGTTGGTTTCAAGGGTCCCTTACCTTCCAGTCTGCGCAAAGCATAGAAATTTCCGTCTTTGCTTGACTGTGCCTTGTACACCCAGCTTGGATAGCCGAAAGTGGCGGCATTCTTCTGATGGCTCAAATCCAAGGGAACCAAAGAGTGGAAATAGTCGACCTGTGCAGGTAACTGAGTGTCTAGAAAGGTCAGCTTGGTCCGGTTTGTTGTGTTTTTGGAAAGTCAACTTACTAGGTAGAGTCTGCAAGGTAGCTGCAGCTTTCTTTTGCAATTCTTCTCGGAAGTCATTGGGGAGAAATAGGTCGTGGACATTCCGTTGATAGCCAAGCGTACTCTGGCTGTGGGGGCCGATCGGAGCGTAGAGATGATATTGGACCTATAAATCATGTCAGATGTCAAGTAATACGAGAAGGTAGAGAGCTTCTGTATGCTCAACATACCGGCTGCTGGAAACCAGTCTGGTTGGTAAAGAAAGTAGCCCCACCAAGTGTAGCCGCCGCGTCGTGCGAATATGGGTTGGTAGAGACAGGGCCCACCGCACCAGCAGACAACGCACCGGAAGCTGTGACAAATGGATCAAAGGCACCTGAAGGAGTTATGGCACCATTTCCATTACCTTGGATGGATGACTGCAAAGAGATGGGGGTTAGATCAGAGCAACGTCTTGAACTGCAGGAATCGAGGTTTCGCTCCAGCGGATCAAAATCATCGGCAAGTGCACTGAGGCTTCGAGTAGAGCGATTATGGTAAGATAGCATCGCCATCGTGTGACCTCCGGCAGCCTTTTAAGGACCGCCGTTGTAATTGTTGAGATGATTGAAGGTTACCAAGGGGGCACCAGGGAGCTTGAAGTGTAAAGAGCCCGGGAGTTTTGATCCGCAGAAAGCAACCACGAACCACGAACAGCTGGGAAGGAGCAATCTAGACTTGAGACTTACCATGTGAGCACCTTCAAAGCCCTGCGGAACAAATTCCTGCACCTCAGCCATGGACCAGTCCGGGGTCCCGACTTCTTGTCGCGGGGTACTCGTATTCGAGCCTTTTCCAGTCAGCGGGGTCTTTGGGGCCGGCACGGGGGACGCCATACGTGAGGCGGTTCTTGGTTGGAAGGGAGCGGCATTTGCAGCTTTGGGAGAGATGGGATTCGATTTCTTGGGGGCTGATACGCCATTGCCGGACAAGAGGGATGGGGTGAAGCTAGGTGAGTCGACATTGAAGCGTTTCTTATTGCTAAAGGAGGTGGATTAGTATACCGACATCCAGTTGCGCAAGAACGAGAAGATCGATTCAACATACCTATCTGATTGGTACGCCGAGTTTACTTTCTGGGGGTCATGGTTGAAAGCGCAGCCTAGATAGGGAAGACAAACTTCAGTCAACATCAACCCGCGAATATCGTGGGGGGGGAAGGGGGCATCCACTCACCTTTGTCTTCATATCGACAACGGCCATAAATGGTGACATTGCGGCATAGGGTGTCCTTCGCATTCTCTGTGGTCGAAGTCGAGTAAGCACAATCCATCCTACGGTCGGCATGCTAGTCCGGCAGATCCATCTCAACATTTCCATCGGGATCTACCGAGTGCTAGCTACCTTGGAGAGACCGTCATTCATCTCTACTCACCTCGGGTCTTCATCTTGGGCGATCCCGTCGTGCGACGGGTGTCATCCAAAGGAGGTTTGCCAGAGGATGCCATCAGGGACTGTTGGGAGGACCGAGGAACGATAAGGAATCAGCGCAGCTGGATCTCCATTGAAACGGGGACTGAAATGAGGTGAATAGGTCGACTGGAAGGGAGTCGCATTCCCTGATATCTGATGCGTCTCCGTGGCCGGCGCGTGTTTGGGGGATCGTCGTGAGCGGGTCAATTGCGGGAGGAGGGAGACGAGAAGGGTCGCGGAGAACTTGAAAGAGAGCAGGCGATGCACCAGATCGTTAAGAATAGGAGGCCCAATACGGATCCGCCCTCCAAAGACGAGATCGGAAGCGATAAAGCCGATGACCAGGAAGGACCAAGTTGACGCGGGGCCTTGAGCGAAGGGGGAGGTGCACAGACCAGGCGGTCAGCGGGCGATCGAATCAGCTTGAGGTGAGTTGAGGTGAAGTGAGGTGGATGTGAGATGAGCAGGGAGAAGAGATAGGTACGATATGGTGAAAGGTGAAAGAGAGAGATATGCAGGTATATAGAGATAAAGAGATAAACCTAGAGAAATGAGAGTGTGAATGATGACAGGATGAGAGGATGGCAGAGGATAACCCATGGACCGGGAATAATACTAGCACAGTAGGGTTATATCGACATATATCTTCCACGGTCGGTGTACCTACTATTCCCATTATGGGCAGTGGCGATTCCAACACTGGCCTGTCCAATGTGATACTAGTACAATTTGATAACCCAACTACTACTATGCCCTCCTAGTGATTTAATCGATTTTGATGCTTATCTGCCCTGGATTGCCTGGACCACCTGGGAGTACCTGATGATGCAATCACCCCCTCTCCCCAGGACTAGTACATAGTACAAATATCTTCTACTAGTGCCTCAGGCTCCTAGGGAGTAATTACTGAAATCAGTCAGAATACTTAGAATACCAGATGGAATGTACTAGTTTACAGTCTGACCACAAACATTCCCATTTGTTTGGTGAATTCCTGCAGCATCGTGTTCACGCTCTACTTCTCCGCATTCATACTACCTCCGCACTGGGCGGTATGGCGGGCGGTGTATATTCTACCCAAAGCCATCTCGGCCTTGACACATGGCTGCCACCTATCAGCCACCATGTCCGAAGAGCTCGACCTCGACCTTGACCGGCTCTCCTCTACCGAGAGGTCGGCTTTAGAAACATACTCATCTGTGACAGGTCAAGAGCCTGCCGAGGCTATTGCCTTACTCCGGCGATCACAATGGAATGTACAGGTTCGAGAATCCTCTCCGCCCCCAGCTCTACCCGGAAGCCGTCAACGTGGAAGCTTGTCACTGACCATCTCCTCCCCGAACTATATAGATCGCGATCGCCAAATTCTTTGATGGCGAAGGCCCCGACCCTGTCGAAGAGGCTCGTGAGGCACTCCAGTCGCCCCCTCCAAGGCCAGACCGTCGAGCCCAGAACTTAATGACGGATGACCTCACCGAGCAACTCGCGCCAGCTGCCCGATCAGCAGCAGACCCAGCTCCCCGTGTCAATACCCAACCCGAAAGCCAACCCGCTTTCCGCCCGCCATTCATCCTTGCTCTACTGTTTACTCCCTTCAACCTCGTGTACCGCCTCCTGTACAATTCGTTCCGTCTATTTGGCACATTATTCCCTTTCCTCCCACGCCTATTCAACACCACCGCCAATCCAGCCTTACAGGCGGCACGAAGAAATACCACCGGCCGTCGACCCTTGGGCCCCAAAGATACCGCCGCCCGGTTCATCCGTGAATTCGACGAGGAGTACGGATCGCACTCGATCCCATTCCTGGAAAATGGATACAACATGGCCTTAGAGAAGTCCCACCGGGACTTGAAGTATCTTCTGATCGTGCTTCTTGCACCAGAACACGATGACACGAGCGGCTGGGTACGCGATACGCTGCTAGCACCCGAGGTCGTGGAGTTCATCAACGACCCGCAAAACAACCTTCTGGTGTGGGGCGGGAGTGTCCAGGACTCCGAGGCATATCAAGTGGCCAATTCGCTGAAATGCACCAAGTTCCCCTTTGCCGCGGTCGTCGTCCACACTCCCAATGTGTCGTCGACGGCGATGTCCGTGGTCGGCCGCATCGCGGGAACCACTTCACCATCGGAGTTCACGACTAAACTCCGTGCTATCACCTCCACGAATCAGGAGCCGCTCGAGCGGATTCGCGCTACCCGGGCTGAACAGCAGGCGTCTCGCAGCTTGCGTGAAGAGCAGGACTCTGCCTACGAACGATCACTGGCAATTGACCGCGAGCGGGCGCGTCAGCGTCGGGAGGCCGAGGCTGCACGAGAGCGTGAAGAGCAGGAGGCGGCTGACCGACAGGCGGCTGAAGAGAAGAAGCAGCGCGATTTAGGACAGTGGAAGCAATGGCGCGCACAGTCTCTTGGCACCGAGCCTGGGACCGATGTGAAGGAAGCGGTGCGCGTGAGCGTGCGACTACCCTCTGGGGAGCGAATTATGCGCCGATTTGCGCCTGAGGCCGATATTGAAGAGCTCTATGCTGTAGTGGAATGCTACGAGGTGTTACAGGATGAGTCAAGACCCACTAATGTAAGGAAGCCCGAAGGATTCACACATGAGTACGGATTTCGATTAGTGTCCCCCATGCCCCGAGCAGTTTATGCAGTTCAGGAGGGCGGGACGATCCGAGAGAAGATCGGGCGGGGTGGCAATCTTTTAGTGGAGCCAATTGAGGAGGAAGAGGAGGAAGAGGGAGACGGCGAAGCAGAGGAAGTTAGAGAAGGGGGGACGGAGGTTTCGTCATGATAGAATTTGATTGCTGGGGATACCCTGTATGAAGTGACCCGAATTTTGATGTACAAGCGGTGCAGGAGATCAACATTGTACACCGTATGTTGATATGTCGTAGCTCAGAATGGCTTCCATCCAGTGATGAGTATGAAGTTTAAATTTGCATCATCAGGTATGCACATTGTAGTATGCGCACGTATGTCTGTGCTGGCATCCACCTGGGCAGTTCGCAGAGCTAGTCGAAAGCGGCTAGAGGGATCTGATAATGAATCCTGCGGTGGCTGGGCCAAAGTAGACAGGGAGAAAAGCGCGAATACGTACGGACCAGGATGGGGTAGATAGACTACTAGTAATACTAACAATACCTACTCTGTACATACTTGTACTCTGTAGATAATTCTAATTAAGAGTAAGGATACAACCGGCATGGCTAAAGGCATGGCTTTAGGCACCAAGATGGCGGAATCTGACCTGCATGGGGTTGTGCAGAATACACCATACCCCTGTGATTGATAATGAGTCGAACTAAGTCATTCTGACTACAGTCCACGGACCAGCTGTGAAAGCGGACGAAACTGGGGAGAACGGACGAAACATGCCTGAGTCAGGGAATCAGGAGTCGGATGCTAGGGGGGCCGACCCGGGAACGTCGTGCCCAGACTCCGCCGCGTGGGTCACGCAGGTCGGATGGCGGATCGCGGCTTCCCGGTCCACTTTTTTTGTTCTTCCACTTTTCCATTTCATATTACCCTACGGAGTACATTACCATGCATGACACTGCATTACCATGTCCTGTATAATTCCCCCATCCAATCATACCCCTGAAATATACTCCGATGCACCACATGCTGTACATAATTCTCCTAATTCTCCTTCCATCTGGACTCCCGTTTTCAACACTAAACCTAATCCCGTAAAAGCACGACCACTAGGCGATGCCCGATTTTTCCTACCATCAACAGCCTTGGTACCATCTCGCGTATTGATTTCTGATCTCGCCATGCTGATTCGCTCCAATCAATACCGGTTAGGCCTCCAATACACACGGTCGCTCTCATCTCCGGACCCTTATCGCCGGATGTCTGGCCTTCCCTTTCGGAGGCAAACTTGGCATCAGTCCCGGGCCCGATTTTTTCGCATCGACCTTTTTTTTTCTCTCCGCATCTTTAGCTTACTTCTATTTATTGTTTCCATGTCTTTGGCCCCCTTCGCCCCTTTCCCTTTACTATCTTAATACTCCATTCTTTATTTCTTCATACGCCTAATATCCTAATTACACAACTATCACAACATTCTCTTCCTACCCCCCCTCACCTCTATACTCTGCACCACACCATCGTCACTGCATGGTGATTTCCTAATTGACTCCTATCTGGGCCCCACACCTCCCCTCCCCCAACTCCATATCAAACATCCATTGAGGAGCAGCCGACCATGTCGCTCCTGGGGACGATCAACCCCAATGTCGTCGAATCGACCAACGAATCCGTGACCATCTCGCGCGAGATCCACCGTCACGATCCCGCTGCTAGCTTCAGCACCGAAGATACCGCCATGGAAAAGTCCGAGGAGGTCGGTGACGAAGAGATCGTCGAGGCCGAGGTCACTCGCCTTGCTCAGCAGCTCACCCGTGAATCCACTCGCTTTGTTGACGCCGAGAACACCTTCATCGATGTTAAGGAGGATTCCGCCCTCAACCCGCACAGCCCTAACTTCAGGGCCCGCAACTGGATGAAGAACCTCCTGGCTATCACTGCTCGTGACCCCGAACGTTACCCTCAGCGCCAGGCTGGTATCTCTTTCCGCAACCTTAGTGTCCACGGTTATGGTAGTCCCACAGATTACCAAAAGGATGTGTTTAACTCGGTCCTCCAAATTGGCGGTTTGTTCCGTTCCATGATGGGCTCTGGTAAGCAAAAGATCCAAATTCTGCGCGATTTCGACGGTCTCGTCAGGAGTGGCGAGATGCTCGTCGTTCTGGGCCGTCCCGGTTCCGGTTGCTCGACTTTCTTGAAGACTTTGGCCGGTGAGATGAACGGTATTCACAAGGATGAAAAGACCCAAATGAATTACCAGGGTATCTCCGACAAGAAGATGCGCGACCAGTTCCGCGGTGAGGCTATTTATACCGCCGAGACCGATGTGCATTTCCCTCAATTGACGGTTGGCGATACCCTCAAGTTCGCTGCACTGGCCCGTACACCCCGCAATCGTCTACCAGATGTCACTCGCGAGCAGCACGCCCAGCACATGCGTGACGTTGTCATGGCTATGTTGGGTCTCACACACACCATTAACACCCGTGTTGGAAACGATTTCGTTCGTGGTGTTTCTGGTGGTGAGCGCAAGCGTGTCAGTATTGCCGAGGCCACCCTCTGCGGTAGCCCTCTTCAGTGCTGGGATAACAGTACTCGTGGTCTCGATAGCGCCAACGCTTTGGAGTTCTGCAAGACCCTGAACCTGATGGCTAAGTATTCCGGCACTACCTGTGCTGTTGCTATCTACCAGGCCTCCCAGAGTGCCTATGATGTCTTCGACAAAGTGACTGTCTTGTACGAAGGTCGACAGATCTATTTCGGCCGCACCGACGAGGCCAAGGAATTCTTCACCACTATGGGCTTCGACTGCCCCGAGCGTCAGACCACCGCCGATTTCTTGACTTCCCTGACTAGCCCTGCTGAGCGTATCGTGAAGCCTGGCTATGAGAACCGTGTTCCTCGCACCCCTGATGAGTTTGCTGAGGCTTGGAAGACCAGCGCTGCTTACAAGAGTCTGATGAAGGAAATTGACGAGTACGACCAGTCCTACCCAATTGGTGGCGAGGCGCTGCAAAAGTTCGTCGACTCCCGTCGGGCGATGCAGGCTAAGAACCAGCGTGTTCGCTCTCCCTATACCCTTTCCGTCGTGCAGCAGATCAACCTCTGCATGATCCGTGGCTTCCAGCGCCTTAAGGGCGATGCAAGCTTGACGTTGTCCCAGCTTATTGGTAACTTCATCATGGCTTTGATTATTGGTTCTGTCTTCTACAACCTTGACGACACTACCGAGAGCTTCTACTCTCGTGGTGCCCTTCTTTTCTTTGCTGTCCTTCTTAACGCCTTCTCCAGTGCACTCGAGGTAAGCTATATATGTATTGCTGCCTTTTTGCTAGAGTATATCACTGACAATCAAACAGATTCTGACTCTTTACGCGCAACGACCTATTGTTGAAAAGCAAGCTCGCTATGCCATGTACCACCCTTTCACCGAGGCTGTGGCTTCAATGCTGTGCGATATGCCCTACAAGTTGCTCAACATGGTGACTTTTAATGTGACACTCTATTTCATGACGAATCTTCGCCGCACACCGGGAGCATTCTTCACCTTCCTCATCTTCTCCCTGATAACGACTTTGACCATGTCTATGATCTTCCGTACCATTGCCGCCACCTCACGAACCCTCAGTCAGGCTTTGGTGCCCGCCGCGATTCTGATACTTGGGCTGGTGATATATACCGGGTTCACGATCCCCCCTACCAACATGCTTGGCTGGTCTCGATGGATGAACTACATTGATCCCATTGGATACGGCTTTGAATCGCTCATGGTTAATGAATTCCATAACCGCACCTTCAGATGTCTTCCTAGGTCGTTCGTCCCTACCTACGGTCCTACTCTGCAAAACATGGTTTGCAACACTGGAGGCGCCCGTGCTGGCCAGGACATGGTCGAAGGTGATAACTATCTCTCGGATAACTTCCAGTATTCCAACACCCACAAGTGGCGCAATTTGGGTATCATGTTTGGTTTCATGATTTTCTTCATGGCTACCTACCTGATCGGCACCGAGTACATCTCTGAGTCCAAGTCTAAGGGGGAGGTTCTGCTCTTCCGTCGTGGACACGCGCCCAAGCGTGGCAACTCCGACGAGGACATTGAAGGCACCCAGAGTGTTAGCCATGCCGAGAAGACCGACGAGACAAGCAGCGAGCAGGGTGCTGGTGGAATCCAGCGCCAAACTGCTATCTTCCACTGGCAAGATGTGTGTTACGACATCAAGATCAAGAGCGAAGAGCGCCGTATTCTGGACCACGTCGATGGTTGGGTTAAGCCTGGTACCTGTACTGCCCTTATGGGTGTCTCCGGTGCTGGAAAGACCACTTTGCTTGATGTGCTTGCTACTCGTGTTACTATGGGTGTTGTCTCTGGTGAGATGTTGGTTGACGGCCGTCTTCGCGACCAGTCTTTCCAGCGTAAGACCGGTTACGTCCAGCAACAGGATCTCCACCTTTATACTACAACTGTTCGTGAAGCTCTTCGCTTCAGTGCTATGCTCCGTCAACCTGCTGCCACCCCCCGCCAAGAGAAGCTTGACTACGTTGAGGAGGTTATTAAGCTCCTTGGAATGGAATCCTACGCTGACGCCATTGTCGGTGTCCCCGGTGAAGGTCTCAATGTCGAGCAGCGTAAGCGTCTCACTATTGGTGTCGAGCTTGCTGCCAAGCCCCAACTGCTTCTGTTCCTCGACGAGCCGACTTCTGGTCTTGACAGTCAGACCTCTTGGTCCATTCTTGATCTAATTGACACCCTGACCAAGCATGGCCAGGCTATTCTCTGCACTATCCACCAGCCTTCTGCCATGCTTTTCCAGCGTTTCGACCGCCTTCTGTTCCTTGCCCGTGGTGGTAAAACCGTCTACTTTGGAGATATCGGCGAGAAGTCCTCCACTCTTGCTAGCTACTTTGAGCGCAATGGTGCCCCTAAGCTTCCCCTCGAGGCCAACCCGGCTGAATGGATGCTTGAGGTTATTGGTGCTGCCCCTGGTTCTCACAGTGATGTTGACTGGCCCGCTGTCTGGCGTGAAAGTCCTGAGCGCAAGGAAGTGCACAACCACTTGGCTCAACTCAAGTCGACCCTGTCCTCGAAGTCTGTTGATGAGTCTGCCTCTGACCCTGCCAACTACAAAGAATTTGCTGCTCCATTCAGCGTCCAGCTCTGGGAGTGCTTGATCCGTGTTTTCAGTCAGTATTGGCGCACCCCGATCTACATCTACTCCAAGGCGGCTCTTTGCATCCTCACAGCTCTCTACATTGGTTTCTCCTTCTTCCACTCTTCCAACACCGCCCAGGGTCTTCAGAACCAGATGTTTAGTATCTTCATGCTGATGACCATCTTTGGCAACTTGGTACAACAAATCATGCCTCACTTCTGTACCCAGCGTTCCCTGTACGAAGTTCGTGAGCGCCCATCCAAGACCTATTCCTGGAAGGCGTTCATGGCCTCCAACATCCTTGTCGAACTCCCCTGGAACACCCTCATGGCCGTTTTCATCTACGTTTGCTGGTACTACCCCATCGGCCTCTACCGCAACGCTCCCGAGGGCCACCTTCACGAACGCGGAGCTCTGATGTTCTTGCTCATCTGGACCTTTATGCTTTTTACGTCGACCTTCGCCCACATGGTGATCGCCGGTATCGAGCTCGCCGAGACAGGTGGTAACCTGGCCAATTTGATTTTCTCCCTCTGCCTGATCTTCTGTGGTGTCCTCGCCTCACCGGATAAGATGCCTCGCTTCTGGATCTTCATGTACCGTGTATCGCCCTTTACGTATCTGGTCTCGGCGATGCTGTCTACCGGCGTCTCTGGCGCTGAAGCCACCTGCTCTCCCGTCGAGTACCTCAGCATCACGGCCCCGGATGGCATCACATGCGAGAAGTACATGGCGAAATGGATCAACGAATTTGGTGGAAGTCTTCTGGACAAAGATGCCATCTCCAACTGTCAATTCTGCTCTTTGTCTAATACCGATACCTATCTTAGCCAGATTGGTGCTCACTTCTCTGAGGCCTGGCGCAACTTTGGCATCATGTGGGCCTTCATCATCTTCAATATCTTCGGTGCTGTCTTCATCTACTGGCTCGCTCGCGTGCCTAAGGGTAGCCGCAGCAAGAACTGAGCTCAGCATGTCATGATGCGGTTGGCCTAAGACTTGCAGCTGCATGTTTGCTCTTTTCTTTTTCTTTTTCTTGATCTTCTCTCTCTTTTTCTTGTGGCATATTTTAACTCTTGAGAGTCAAGTTGGCTATTTGACCAATCTTCTCTCATATATAGACCCTTTTCTTTTTTTGTTACTCGCCTTTTTGCATATATCCGAATGCATAGAGCATCGTGAAGCAATTTACAATACACTGCTAGACTACAGTCTAGATACAATGAATATAATAAACAAAAGTTTACTCAATATTTCAATTCTTTTCATATAAACTACAGTACTAGTAGGTATAGAACCTTGAAATTTTAGATAAAGAATTCGGGATAGATAAAGATACAGATCCATCGTAGTTAGTTCCTTGAGTGTTAAAAATAGTATAGACATTACAGGACCCCAGCGCCAATGCAGACAAGTCGACAAGATCAGAATCGAAGATGATGGGGAAGAAGAAAGAAAAGAAAAGAGAAAAAGTAAAAAGAAAGACAAATAGAGAAAAAGAAAGCGAAAAAAAAGAAAAAAAAAGACAGAGACAAAGGAATCTATCTACCAAGTAAAAGCCTCCTCGACAAAATCCACCACAGCCCCCTGTCCAATCCTCTTCCTCGCCGCACCCCTAACCTCATCGGCAAAGGCACCAGGCCCACAAACCGAGACAAGCGTCGCACCAACCCTAACCGGCAAAATCTCATCAAGAACGACATCAGGCCGACAGCGACCCGAATGCATCTGCACTGTCGCAGAAGGGGAAACGATATCCGCCGCACGACGCGGTTTCGAAACGAACAGTTTAACAACGAGGATCTCACGACGATTCGGGAGACGCAGAATTTGATCCATCCACGCACTTATCCAGGCAAGGTGATCTGTTGAGCGGACGGACCAGATGAGATAAACGCGACGTGTTGCGGCGCGGCCCGTTGAAGCGCGGAGAACGAGGTCCCGTGTATACTGGAGATGGTGTGTGATTCCCGCGCCGGCGGAGAATAGGACGGCTGTGCCATAACTTGCTACGTTTGTGGGGTGGGAGCCGTAGGGTCCTTCGATGTAGCCTGGTATTGTGAGGGTTTTGAGCGGGCTGGTGTTGGCGAGGTTGTAGAGGCGGCGGGTCATGCCTTTTTGGGCGCCGATGATGAGGGAGACTTGGGTTGGGTTGTGGGCTGGTTCAAGGTAGGCGTCTAGGTCGAAGGATTGTTTTTCTAGGGATGAGGGCGTGAGTGGCGAGGAGGATTTTAAGTCGGTGATGTGTTGGGTCATGGCTGTTGAGGGGCTGCTTTTGTTGCTGTTTTCTGTCCAGGCGATTGAGAATGGGTGCGACATCCACCATGATATGCTGGGGATGTAGGCGAATACGTGGCATCCTGGTTTGATGTCGACCTGTTTGGGGAGGTGGAAAGTCACTCGGCATGCTTCTCCTGGTAGGGCTTGGACGGTCATGTTTGTGGAGCCGTGTCGGGGTGAGAAGTTGAGATGGACGAGGCGAAAGAGTCGTATACTGCGCTCTAGGAGCCAGATTACGGCGATTACATGAGCCCAGCTTCTTTGGGGAAGACTGTCGATGTTCAAGTGGGCGTATATACCGAGGAAAGCGAGTAGGGCAGCGAGTTGATGTAGGTGCAGGAAGGTCTCGTAGAAGGCGTGGCGGATTGGAGATGGCGAGTGCAGACTGAGAAAGAGCATCGCAACTGTTCCCAACAGACCCCAGGCGAAGAAAGGTTCATTTCTTAGACGCGCAAGCATGTCTGCCACATCTTGCTCCGCAACTGCATTGACGGCCCAAGCAACAGTGTGAACGATGGACTCGATCACAACGATACGGCCAAGCCATCGATGAAGAAGATTATACGTATCAAAGCTGATGTGTAGAATCGAAATGAGTGGATTATTGCGGGCCGCCAGAAGAAATAATGGCACCATGTTGAGAACGGCCAGCGTTCCAGAGCGACCCCGAATCTCCGCAACAAGAGCCGCTTTCTCATTGACCCGGTAGTCCAGGAATAGACAGTACGCAACTTGACTTGCAAAGTACAGAGCGACCAGGATGGTTTGGAACCGGGAAGGTAGTGTACCGATACCAACAGCAGAAGAAAGCTGGATCTCTCGATTGTGCCTCTTCCGCCCGAGGGGAGCATAAAGAAGATGCTTCTTCATGTTGGCCCACCAGGCCGACCGTTCCTGGCTCCAGAATGTTTGCTGCCTCCTATCGGCTGTCACTGAAGTAATTTGACGGAGGAAGGCATGGCTGATCTGTGCTATCCTGCCACAGAAGATGCTGAATGCCAGGATAACGACCGATGAATAGATAATTCGGGTGATAATCACGTCACGGGGAACATCGACACCACCGAGCCCCCTCGAGTATTCGTAGATATAAGTTGAATTTGTTCCATAACCTCGTGCCGCGATATGCGGTTGGGATGCAGCCATTGATTACCCCAGAACCGGCTGAGGGATGGGCGTTGGAAGACGGCACCGTGAGCGGATCCGAGGCTTCAGTGCGTATAATGGCAGTCGATTTTTCGTAGTGAGAGTTGTTCCAGTGATATGTGTAGTTTGATTGCGTATTTTGTGAAAATTGGTGTGACGTCGACTGTTTTGGTTGCGGGGAGTCGAGGGGAATGCGATGATCAGAACAGGGAACAACAGGGTTGATGTTAGGGCGGTTCGGATGAGATCACTGTAGGCCAAATTCCAACAGGGGCAGTGTTGATTGACGATCAATAGTGATTGAAGAAACAAAAAGGAGGCAGCCGCTAATAAAGGTGCATTGTGCCTGAGTCAATGTCGGAGATGGTCTGAGAAAGAGTGAATCAAGCCTGAAGCAAGACAATGCCAGTTGTCTCCAAGTTTGGAGAGGCAAAAACCGGAAATCTCTAAACAATGGATTCTTGTGGAATCTGGAAAGGATCGCAGATCTTTAGGACACAGATCTCTTGTTGGACTTTGCTTATACAGGCATCGTCCAGGTGATCAGGAATGCTGGTAGCAAGGGAGGCGAAGATCCGGGCCGGGCACGTTTTTTTCTCACACAGAGAGAGGTTGACCAGTGGAAGGAGGTAAAGATAGACAAGAAAGAGGAAGATGAGGTGAAAGTCTCAGGCCAAAAAAAAGAGACAATAAGAATCAATCCTTGCGATCAACGCAGGCACGGGCTCTAAAAGATCTATTGAGGAACCAGCCGATGGACACGAAACGAACGGAGATGACTTGCGACGAACACCCAAGAGAAAATCATTTCTTGCAGGGGCAAGGTGAAGGTACAGAAGTAATAAAAAGAAATTGGGTGGTCGAGTCAGTCCATCTGTCAATCCACTTCAAACCAGGTCCCGAGGTAGCCGTGACGAACAGCCACTGCTAGCCACTACTGGGTCAGGAGCTCCTTTCTCCATGGTATGAGCGAGCTGGTCTAAGCTGGTCCAAGTAGGTCCAAGCCTATCGGAAAGTCTCCCTCTGTCACCAAGAAGCGCCGGTGTTTCCAGGGGGGGTCGGACAGCAGAAAGATCGAAACGATGATTGGCCGCTTGGGACTGGATGTCAGGGCAGCTGAGGATCCTTACAGATCTGCGACCGGGCGTAACGCCCAGGGACAGGCAACTCTGGCAGGAGAGGGAGACGCTAGGCAGCGGTGAGTTGGGCCTAAGTGGGCCTATCATATATCGCATGGATGGGTTTGCGGTTTCAGAATGCTCTATCAGAAACCAACCAACTCGCGCCGCGGGGTTTGGCGATGTTTAGGGTCACCCCTAAACCCCCTAATGGCGCAAGTTGAAATTGAAAAGCAACCGACCGGTCCCATCGTACGATTTGTTCCGGGATTTTTTGCATATCTTGAATAATGAATCATCGAAGCTTCGGGAAAAGAAGGTCTTTGCACATTTACCAGTGTGTTTTTGTGAAAAGCAGAATCTTTTTGATCTATTTCTGCCTGGGGTATCAGGCGACTAATATGTCCATAACTAACTCACACTAATTTATTTGAAGCTGTTTCAATATCTCACACTCGTCTCTTCCATTTATGTACTTCCAAGGTTTGCCAACTTGAACTCTGTTATATGCAAGTGGCATGATTCATCCAATTCGTTTATACATCATCTCGTCGCTCCAATTTACCGACCCATCCAGCCACCATCAACGGTGACTATCTCGCCAGAGACATAACTACTGGCGTCGCTAGCCAAGAAGACCACCGGTCCCTTGAAATCCTCGGGCTTGCCCCACCGACCGGCTGGAATACGCGCCATGATACCGGCGTTGCGGTCCGCATCGTTGATAAGTGCGACGTTCATGTCGGTGTTGATGTATCCAGGGGCAATAGCGTTGACATTAATTCCTTTGGAGATCCACTCGTTGGAGAGCGCCTTGGTCAGCTGTCCAATACCGCCCTTGGAGGCAGCGTAGGCGGGGACGGTGATACCACCCTGGAAGGTAAGAAGCGAAGCGACATTGATAATTGACCCACGGCGACCGGAGGGGAATTCAGATGCGTCACGAGATAGCAGGTAGGCGCCGAATTCCCGACACAGGACGAACACCGCGGAGAGGTTCACTTCGAGAACCTAGATCGGGACACCTCCGAGTTAACGTTGAACATGGCAAGATGCGAATTGCAAAGGGGGAGGGGAGGGAGAAGAGAGGGGGCGACTGACCTCGTCCCAATCCTCATCAGGGAATTGGTGGCTTGGGTGCCTCCGCTGGATACCAGCGCAGGTAACGAGGATATCGGGCTTGAGCCCTTGGCTAGTCACCGTGGGAATAATTTCCTTGACCGATTTGCGATCGGACAGCTCGGCCACATGGATGTAGGCCTTGCGACCCAAGCGGTTGATGATCTCGTCTCTGGTGGACGTGTTCGACTCGTCGCGTTGGACGAGAATGACATCGGCGCCGGCCTCGGCCAGAGCAAAAGCCATGGCCTGGCCGATGCCACGAGTGCCGCCGGTGATGAGGGCAGTACGCCCGCTAAGGGAGAATAGGGAAGCGACTGATGCCATGATGCCGATATTAATTGATTCGAATTCAAGGAGAAGAAGACGAAAACAAGAATCAGAATAAGAAGAAGTAGAAGTAGAAGGAGGGGGAAATCAATAGCCCCTCCAAATAACCAAAAAGTTCCGGCATGACGACAAGTTCCCCCCACGCGATGCGCGCGGAGGCGGAGTTGGCCCGGATATCTCAAGGTCGGTTATCGCTTCAAATGCCGTCGGCTATTGAGAGGAGGAGAGGAGAAGCAGGAGAGGAGGATGGTATTGGAAAAAGAAAAGATGAAGCAGTCAGAGTGATCACAGTAATTCATCATCTGCTACACAATTTATTGTAGTACAGATATGCAAGTAGTTGTAGGGGTGTACTGGTATACTGGTCGTGATAGTGTACATACCATAGGGTAAGGTAAGCTCGTAGTCACTAGAGGATAACCTCACCTCTTCTTTCCCCACAATCCACCCGGACAACCCAACACGATGAGTAAGGCTTCTCCTCCTTCTCCTCCTCCGCACTTGTTTTTCCCCGGTGGGTCATCACTCGGCTTTTGTTTTCTATCACTTCCTTGTCCGGCAATAATGTCGCTGTAAACCCATCCGTGTCGCAAGGCCCGAATCGATATCATGTCTCCATCACAGGCCGAGACTGAGACTGACCCTCGGCGGTCCGACCACGTCGTCAAACGTGTCTCACGAGCCTGTCTTCACTGCAGGCAGCGCAAATCACGCTGTGATCTGTAAGCTGGCCCTGGCTGCTACTGCAGCTGCTGCTCCCCCCGGAGATCTGCAATTCTAGGAGCTCCCCACTAACCTCGTGGCGCTTAGCGACACCAACGGCAACGGCAACCCGGGCAAGCCACCCTGTCAACGCTGCGTGCGCGAGCATCGTGAATGCATTCTTGGTGGTTCCAACCGTGGAGGCCGGCGCATTCGCAAGAACAAAATCAAGAACTTCACCCCGGCCACCAATCCCTCCCCGAGCAAGGACTCGGAAGAAATCACGAGCCCGAATAGCTCTGAGGCGCGCCAACCTCCATCAGCTTCTTACCCCGGCCCGGTGGTTTTTCTGCCCCCAAATCCAGCTACCTCCGGAGCCGTCGAAGAAGAAGAAGCTTCCATCGACTCAGTTCCGCGTAACCCCTCCGATGCCTGGCAATGTCTGACCGGGATCGCCACCCAGGATAATGGCACCGCCCCAGAGGGCCAGGATGAACGCGTCCGATCAGACTCGGGTACTTTCTCAACATATAATAATGGTCTGCGGAATGGTGTTGTCGCAGACTTTAATACCCCGAATGCTGGCATCAGGGCATATAGGCTAGTCCAGTTACGATCTCTGGATCCCGGAACTGTCTGGCAGCTCGTTACTCGCTATGCAGATAACTTCCACCCATATCTCCCATTGGTTCCGCGCAAATACTTTGAGCGCTCGGCTTTGGATGATTTCGCAACTAACGAGAAATATTTGCTGACTGCGGTCCTAACCATTGCGTCGAAGGATTTGGTTGACAGGCCCGAGATCCACGAATACTGTTCAAAATACATGCACGAGCTGATCTCGGGTATCGCTGCGGGAGCAGACTGTGACGTCGAGGCCGTAGAGGCTCTACTTCTCCTAGCCGAGTGGGAGCCGCAAGGTCTACGGCCTCGCGTAGAGCGTGTTGGACGCGGAGAGGAGGACCGAGCTGCATGGATGCATGTTGGGCTCGCCCTGCGCTCGGGCTACTTCATCGGACTAGACCGGACATCCTTTCGTGGAGACCCATATGGCGATCAAGCAACTGAAGCTCGCCGACGGCTAGCCTGGGCTAGCTGCTATGTCTCTGATCGTCTCATCTCCGTGCGTATTGGGAGAGCTTTCTGGTCTCGAGGACCGGGCCCAATGACCGGTCTTGTGAGTCAGGATTTCCCATCGCTGCAGCCAGCCAAGGAAGGTGATGAGGACTACTCAAAGATTTTTCAAGCAATGCTGGATCTTACACAGCTCTATGGAAATGTCCACGAGGTGTTGTATTCTGGAATGCGAACCAGCAACCAGATGATGCTCATGGGCGATTACGTCAAATATGTCGACGACTTTCGACTAGCGATCCTACGGTGGAAGTCTTTGTGGGGACCTTTAGACTGTACGTCTCTCCAAACCTATCTTGAGATACGTATAAGCTAATCCTTGTGTGTAATAGGCTCTCCACCAATGCGGGCTACTTTAGATCTGTCATACGAGTACCTGCGCCTATACACGACTGCATTTGCCTTCCAGGCCGCAATTTCCCAGTCGTTAGTGAAGCCGAAGACCGATGGAAGCTCCCATCGTGAACAGCTGAGGAGTACTTTCAAAAATGTCGCCTCGATGCAAGATTCCCGATTCATTTACGAGTCTGTCGATGCGGCGAAAGCCTATCTGACGATTCTCGTTGACTCCGTGGATCCAGAGCGGCATCTGCATTTCATGCCGCTGCGATTCTACTTGTAAGACAGCATTCCCTCCAGCCTGCTTGCTTCGCTTACTTACTCTACTCCAGATATGGCATTTACTCGGCCGTCTTCCTCTACAAGGCTCGCTCTTTCGGCATGATGGTCCCTTCAGAAGAAGCCAAGGTACAAGGCCTAGTCGCACGTACCACTGAAGTTTTGAGACAATCTAGCGCCGGTAAAGACGACATTGGATCGCGTTACTCTCGATTGCTGGAGTTACTATGGAAAACCAAATCATCCGTCGGTAATACATCGACGGAGACACCTCACAGCAATGACTTTGCGATGCAAACCGCACTGTCTAACCCGGTTACCGACCACACATATATGGACTTTAGTCCAGCGAATGATTTTTCATGGCTTGACTTGGAAGCTGTGGGTGACTATGTCTCCGGGGATGCAATTTCGGGTGGTCTGCTAGGGTTGGATGCGTTTCAAAATCCTTCCGATCCTTACCAGCCAGGTCAAGACCGGTCGCAGAGTTGGCAACCATCGACCTGGCTCGGTGATATGAGCAGCAACCTTCTCTTCTAGTCATTTATTTGTTCGTCCCATTTGGGAAATTCTCAAAGGCCGATCCATTTCGCGGAAAATGGTGCGGGGCTGCGGAGCTCCTCCCGGAGATCGCCCCGACCATCGAGGGGTAGCCGAGGCCAGCTGTACGACCTTAGCAGCTCCAAAATCCTATTCAATCTTGGATCGCGGAGCGACTTCTCTTTTCACACTCTCGCCTACTCCTCTTCGAAACCACCTACACAATGTCACTTAACGAGATCCAGGGCAAACTTGCCCTTATCACCGGCGCATCGGGCGGGTAAGCATTACTCCATTGACTAAGCTACGATGAGCGTTGTACAATGCAACCAATGCATGGCTTAGAATTATAATGACAAGCATTACTAATGCGACCGGCTTGCAAATAGTATCGGAAGCGCATGCGCCCACCAACTCGCGCAAAGAGGGGTCCATCTGGCCCTGACTTACTCCAAGAGCCTGGAACCGCTCAATGCGCTGGTCATTGATCTCCGCACCAAGTATGCCGAGAACAAGATTCGCATCTCGATTCACCAAGTCGACGTAGGAGATGCCGATCAGATCGAGGCCATGTTCCAGCAAATTGACACACAACACGGCCACCGACCGGATATCCTCATCTCGAATGCCGGGTACGGGAAACGGATGACCAACGTGTGGGAGATTCCGCTCGAGGAGTTCGATTACATGTTGACTGTGAATCTTCGCGCTTCATTCATCCTGGTTAAGGGCGTGGTTGAGCACATGAAGGATCAGCGGTGGGGACGTATCATTTTCATGTCTTCCATTGCTGGTCAAGGAGGAGGTATCAACGGATGTCGTAAGTTGACGATCTCTTATTCTGTCTTTCGCTTTGTCTAATTCTTTATCTTTGTTTAGACTATGCCGCTTCTAAGGGTGGCCTCACCGGAATGATGAAGAACCTCTCCAGCCGCCTGGCCGAGTTTAACATAAGTGTGAACGATGTCGCCCCTGCCATGATCGGTGAAACGGGTATGATCCCGAATGCTGCGGCTATTCCAGAGGTCGCAGCTGGTATTCCTTTGCAGCGCCTTGGAACACCAGAGGAGACGGCTAATGTCGTGACTATGTTGGCTACTACAGGATACATGACGGGCCAGAGCCTGTTGCTGGCAGGAGGGCTGAAATAGATTGTTGTATAGAGCTAGTACATCGTAAGAAGAGAAATAAGCAAATTCAAATTGTACAATACAAAAAAAGTTGTCTTCCAAGGTTTCACTACGTGTGTTTTTGCTACACTTCTAAAACCCTCTCAAAGATTATGAAGAAAAAAGTCCTTGGCAAAAAGTAAATTCAATGCAAATCATGATTCATTCTAACATTTAATATATGCACTCTGAACATCCACACAACCAACCAACTATTTCCCATGGGTATTTTCAAGATCATCAACGTCATCACATCACACACAACTCCTTTTTAATACACAGTACACTCTACAGAGAAGACTGTAGCTTACTCTCAATAATAACCTTCACAACAGGACGACCACTCTCATCAATACCCTTACCAGCAAGAGCAAAAGCGCGCGCACCATCCTCCAGACTCACCCGGTGAGTCACAACCTTATCCTCAGTAGCAGCCAGCTTACCACTCGCAAGCAACGCAATAGCAGCCGGGTAAGCATGTCCATCATAACGGAAGGTACCAATAACATCGACCTCACGCAGCGCAGCCGCACCAACAGGGACAGTCTGGATGGGATTACCCATACCAACCTGAACAAGCAGACCACCAGGCGAGGAGGCGTAAATACCCGCCTGCACGCAGGCAGGCACACCAGTGCAATCATACACACGGCTGAAACCAGTGATTTCCGAGCTATCAGCTGAATTGGCAGCCTCGGTTAAAGTCGCCGCGACGCTTTGCGCATTGGCCAGGGCCCAGGCAGTCTGGTCTGCGTGAGGAGCATCCTTAGGAGGAGGGGGGTTGGCAGGATCACCGCGCGGGATCAGAGCAGTCTTGAGACCGAGCGAGGCGGCAATTTCCAATCGGGCCGCGTCAATGTCCGCGACGAGGATTGACGAGAAGTTCTCTGCGGCTGCGAGCGAGGAAGCCAGGAGGAGGCCGATGGCGCCAGCACCAAAGACCAATGCGGCTGTGCCTTCGCCTGTGGTCTTTGCAGAGGCAACTTCTTCCTTGGATGGGGGGCGAGAGCGGCGGATGGCGTGCAGGCAGACGGCCAGTGGTTCGACGAGGGCACCACCAGCGTCGGAGACGTTGGAGGGTAGGGCGTGGCACATATCGGCCGGGTGGTTGGTGCGTTCCATGAGGGTACCGTCGAGGTGGGGGAACATCTTTGCGCTGGAGCGGAATTGCATGGCTTTGCAGATGTTGTAGCGGCCTGATTTGCAGAGGGCGCATTTACGGCAGGGGAGGCCGACTTCTAGGGCGACGCGGTCGCCGACTTTGAGGGTTGTCACGTTTGGTCCAATGGCTGTGACGGTGCCGGCGGATTCGTGGCCTAGACACATTGGTTCGCGCACGACGAAGTCGCCGTTTCGGCCGTGGGAGTAGTAGTGCAGGTCGGAGCCGCAGAGACCGGTTGCTTGGACGGCGACTTGGACGTCGGCGCCGGAGGGAGCACTGACTGCTCGCTTCTCCTGGGTGGTTGTTAGTTTATTGACTTGTCAGGGAGTATATAGTGGAAGGGAATTGAGACGTACCACACGAAGATCCTTAGCGCCGTGGAGGACGAGCGCGGTTGCTGATGACTCTGCCATGATGAATGTGAAGTGTGGAATAGATTGAGAGTCGGGGGAGGAGTTAGGATTGCAAGATGCAGATGCAAAGATGTAAAAGTAAAAGTACAAGCAAGATAAATGAAGGCGGCAGTTGGATGTTCCCCTCAGCGGAGTTGGTCCGGAAACCGTCCATTTGGGGCAATCTTCAATTGCCGACGAGGTTGACGTGGGGGAAATGACGGAGTGGGGGTGCAATGGGGGGAATCCGCGGGGGCTCCTGGATTCTTTTCCATTTCGTTTTAGTTTACATTGTATTAATCACCATAGAGGTAGAATCAGAGGGTAAGAATAGATCTGAAGGACTGGGGATATAATCATAAAATATAACTATAACTCCTGGCAGCACTAGTCCATCTAATCTACTTTGAATGCCCGGAATTTGTCTTCCATTGCCGACCACCAAGTTGCGTCTCCCGCGGGGGCGTCATTCCAGTGGAGCTCCGCCGGCTGATCGGACTGTCGGACTGTTACCATTCATTCCATTTTTGGAGTAATAACTCTCTGACCCCTCCATCTTTTTCTCCTTGACACTTTTCCCCTTTTCTACCTTTGCTCTACTCTCCTATACCCTACTCTCCTCTGTTAGAAGACTCTATCCCCAGCTGTATCCAGGTAGGTAATGCGCTTCCCCACTGACATCATGCGCGCAAGCTCACCACCCCGCAGATTCCAAATCTCCAACATGCCTTCCCAAGCCGCTCTCCTCATTGGAGAAATTACTCACGCGCGCAAGGAGTGGGAGAGCCTCTCCTCGCTCTTGACCCTCAAGGTATGCATCAATTCTGGTTCTGGAAGAACTGCGCAGAGCTCCTAACTAACCGCGTATAGGAATTCCCCAACGGAAATCGCGAGGAGTTCATCCAGAACTGCAAGGCTGGTCAGTACGACGATGTGGTTGCCATCTACCGCTCTAATACCTCCAATAAAGTGTGTTCAACTCAATTGATCTTTCAATGGAATCGCCCGTCCGCTAACTGCGCCTTCTCTAGTACACCGGGCCCTTTGATGCCGAATTGCTAGCAGTGCTGCCCCAGTCTCTCCGGTACATCTGCCACAATGGAGCTGGATACGATAACATTGATGTCTCCGCTTGCACGCAGAAGAACATTGCCGTTTCTAGCACCCCTGTTGCTGTAAACAATGCCACCGCTGATGTGGGCATCTTCTTGATGATTGGTGCGCTGCGCCAGGCCTACGTTCCCCAGGCTGCTCTTCGGGCAGGTGAGTAATATACATGCGATGACTATAGCTCAAGGCGCGCAGTACACTAACGGGTCATTGTCATAGGCCAATGGCACGGAAAGGCTACCCTGGGTCGTGACCCTCAGAACAAGGTCCTGGGTATCCTCGGCATGGGCGGTATTGGACGGGTGAGTGCACCAATTCTCCCCATCAACTACATCCGCTAATCCAAACCCGATAGGAAATGGCAACCCGCGCAAAGGCTTTCGGCATGAAGATCCAATACCACAACCGCTCGCGCCTGTCCCCGGAATTAGAGAACGGCGCAACCTATGTCTCGTTCGATGAGTTGCTGGCCAACTCCGACGTCTTTAGCTTGAACCTCGCTCTGAATGCTTCAACCCGGCATATCATTGGTGCGCCCGAGCTCAGCAAGATGAAGGATGGTGTGGTCATCGTCAACACGGCGCGTGGGGCTTTGATTGACGAGAAGGCGCTGGTCGCGGCGATTGACTCCGGCAAGGTATGTTTTTCTTCCACTCTAGTATCTACAATCAAAGTATGAATTGGAATTGTGCTAACTGGTGATAATAGGTCGGCTCCGCTGGTCTGGATGTGTATGAGAAGGAGCCGCAAATCGAGCCGGGTCTGGTGAACAACCCTCGGATCATGCTGCTGCCGCACATCGGTACGATGACTTACGAGACACAGAAGGAGATGGAAGTTTTGGTGTTGGATAATCTGAAATTGGCAGTGGAGAAGGGGGAGCTGATCACTCAGGTTCCGGAGCAGAAGCGATAAGTGTAATACAAGATATCATAGAATAGAATGCAATGCATTTCAAGTTTCAAGTTTTAAGCGATTTTCAGGAAGTCTAAGCTGTAGCTTGCTTTTCTAGAGGCCAATTGTGGTTGGTAAGGCTGGTTAGCATTACTTTCAACTTGTCCATCTCTCAGTCAATTACTAGAGTTGTCTAGAACCCGGTTAATTTAAAACGGGTGTGGTGGAAGAGTGGATCATATAAAGTTAGTAAGCATCCGCCGGGGCGGAACAAAAATATTCCAGCTAAGGTGAACGGCCCACTGACTCAGCACGAGACCACATTAGCTAAGCACCTACCATATGTGGCTAGCGTTAGGGCTTTAAGCGAAAAAAACCGCACCACCAACCCTGGTGTTCCAACGTTAGCGGACGGCCTTCGAAAAGCGACAACATCAACCCGACACCGAGGACCATCATTTTCCCCTCGCCAACTCCTTCAAGATGGTGAGTCCTGCTCCCCTACATTGTTACGGCCTTCGAAATATGCACTCGCGCGTCTCTATCCTTGTCCAATTCATCTCAAATGTTCGAAATGTTGGGCAAGCGATCAATCGCCTTCGCACGAACTCGGCCATCACCACCACCGCCTCCAACCGACTATCATGATTGCTGACGACCTTTTCTCTACAAATTATAGGTCCGTTACGCCGCTCAGGAGATCGAAAACGCCAAGAGCGCTCGCGCTCGCGGCTCTTACCTTCGTGTCAGCTTCAAGAACACCCGCGAGACCGCTCAGGCCGTCAACGGTATGAAGCTGGACAAGGCCCTTACCTACCTCGAGAACGTCACCAAGAAGTCCATGGCCATCCCCATGCGCCGCTACGCTGGCTCCACTGGTCGCACCGCTCAGGGTGAGTTCCCTCGAAAAATTTCTCTACATGTTGGAATTGGACGGCCGCGATGGTGTCAAGGGATCTCGGATTGAGAAGGCAGAAGAATATCATCGGAGAACATACAACAGTTTCGGGAAATATTGCTGGGCTGATTATGTGGAATCCGGAATGACACCGTTGCGGCTCGAAATTTTCAACATGACATACATCATGACACATCGGCACACATCATGGCATATATTATGGCATATATGTTATTGAATAATCGACTGACAGCATTCGTCTCTAGGCAAGCAGTTCGGTGTCTCCAAGGCCCGCTGGCCCGTCAAGTCCGCCGAGTTCCTCATCGACCTTCTCAAGAACGCCGAGTCCAACGCCGACACTAAGGGTCTTGACACCTCCAACCTGGTCATCCAGCGCATCGCAGTTCAACAGGCCCCCGCAAACCGCCGCCGTACATACCGCGCCCATGGTCGTGTACGTTGAAATTCTAACCCAAAAATGGGGTGTGGCGTTGATAGACATTTTCTGACAACTTTTCCAGATCAACCCCTACATGAGCCAACCCTGCCACATCGAGCTTATCCTCACTGAGGCCAACGAGCAGGTCGCCAAGGCCGCTCCTAAGGACGTCACTCACCTGTCTTCCCGCCAGCGTGGTGCTCAGCTCCGCCGTGCTCTGATTGAGGCATAAACGGATCGCTGAGGGGAAAAGGGGACGATGGTGCGTCAGGAAAGAAAAGGATTGCGGTGGAATGGGTTGACCGGAGTTCTCGCGCATCTGTATGTTGGAACGGAAATGATACCGGATCATACAAGATTTTTTAGGTCATGGCACCAACAACTTTCGGAGGAGAACCAAATAAAAAGTTCAAACAGCGCGGCTCCGGAATGATGGGCATAGGTTTTCTGTACTTCCCGGTCCGATCATGATACAAACATGGCTTCTTCTCCATTATTATCTTCTCTCTCGCCAGTCTGGTAAATCTAAGAATGGTCTGGGAGGTCTTGTATCTCTGATTCTGTTTTCCTCAACCAGGCCCGGATGCTTGTACGAGCGCCTGAACGACGGCCATCTTATTCACTGAAGTAATTACATATGTTTTATGATTCAAGAGGTCCTCTTTTTTCTGTAGTACTACTGTGACTCTAAATACCCATGTTCATCTATAGACTAGAATATGTCTGTTTCTGTTTTCTGCAGAAACCAAAGTACCATAACTCGGAGCGGGGAGACCAGAACGTGCGGGGCACAACCTGTAGCTCGAATCCGACCCCAACTACAACCGTCAAAGGTCCTGATCGTACTACTATACTACTCATATCCAAAGATATACAACAATGGCCCAGCTCTCCGACTACCGTCTCCTCTGCTTCGACGTCTACGGGACCCTAATCGACTGGGAGGGTGGCATCCTCGCCGCTTTACAACCACTCCTTGCCAACCAAAACCAATTCACCCGCAAGCAGCTTCTGACCGAGTTCCACAAGCTGGAAGCCGAGCAGCAACAGCTCACACCCGATATGCCGTACTCGCAGCTCCTTGCCACCGTCCACCCCCAGCTCGCTATACGCCTGGGTCTCCCCACGCCTAGCAAGGAAGCCAGCACGACATTCGGGGAATCCGTCGGAAGCTGGCCCTCGTTTCCAGATACCGTCGAGGCCCTCCGTAAACTATCAAAGCACTACAAGCTCGTCGTTCTCTCGAACGTGGACAGGGCTTCGTTCGCCAAGTCCAATGCCGGCAGTTTGCAAGGTTTCCCCTTTGACAAGATCATCACGGCGCAGGATATCAGCTCGTATAAGCCTGATGCGCGGAACTTTGAATTTATGAAAACGGCGGTGCAGGCCGAGTTTGGCGTGGCGCCGGATCAGATCTTGCAGACGGCGCAGAGTCAGTTTCATGATCATCAGCCAGCGCGGAGGGCAGGGATTAAGTCTGTGTGGATCGAGAGGCCCGGGGCTACGATGGGGAATCAGGATGATCCTATTTTTGATTGGCACTTTGCGACGCTGGGTGAGATGGCGGATGTATTATAGGTGCCTGAGACGGCTGTTGTGAAAGGAGAAGAGCCATTGCTAAGTCGGAAAGCTATGGCTAGATTTCTTCAAGTTACTACTAGTACTACTCCAGTACCGGGGGGGGTTAATTAGCACCGGACCTTCCAGAAGTGGGTATCGTGATATATAGAACTTGAACGGTACTAGTAATGACAGATTATGTTAAGTTATTTATCCCTACTATTATATAAATCAGGCATAAATCACTAATATAGTATAGCTGAAATTTTTTTTTTTTTTATTAGAGGATAGATTAATAAAGCAGAGTAATTACTTCTAATCTAAAGCTTACCATATTTAATATAAATCCTGTGATAATTAACTAACTGCTAGAAAAAATAGTAGATATATTTATCATAGGATCTGCGTCAAATAGGGTAAGCTTCAAATCAGAAGCAATTACCTCTACTATAAAGATCTCTATCAAAGAGGGTAAGCTTTAGATTAGAAATAATTATCCTGCTTTATCAATCTATCCTTTAATAATTCAATCTTATTTCAGCTACACCACGTCTGTGATTTATGCCTGATTCACATGATGGTAGGGATAAAGAACTTAATATCGTTTCATTTGTTCTTAAAGTTTCTTCAAAAATTAGTCTCTGTTACCTTTTATATTATTGATTGAGTCTATCCTTATTCCCCGGGTTCCACCCGAGCCTAGTCATAGGTTTCTAGCCAGTCCCTTAGTACTCGCCTTTACACTGTCATAAGAAGAAAAGCATTCCTTGGGTTTCCGGACCTTGGTAAAGCGATCAATGGTAAATTGAAAGTCTAAATGGTCTTAGTCATTGATCCATTAACTAAATAATTAACTCTTGACTTATGACTTTACGGAACCCATGGATATAAATACCGATGCAGCTGATACCGTGACGTCATGTCAGCAATCACAATATATAACTACTCGACATGAGGTCAGATAACAAACTTAGCCGAACATATGGAATTTTATGGGGAGACACTGCATTCAACACAACCTTATCGAGACCTTATATACTTATACCAAGCATGAATGCTCATTCCACCACGCATACGGCAAGATTTGTCAATGACAATATCACCGTATCAGCAGAAGCCGATGTGAGGTTGACACTCAGCGATGAAAAAGATACGGATGAATCTTCAACTATACTTTGCCCTGGAGAGACCAAAAGAAATTTCACTGGAAAAATTCTCTGTGTTGGACCTCATGAGGTCTATTGTGAAAGGCCCTGGCAACTATCAGAGGATGTGCAATTCGATGCTAATAAGGATGTTACCGTGAGTGACGAGAGTGAGTAATCTATACAAAGTGATTGATGAGTAACTACTGACTAGCCAACTAAGAGATCGAACAAGAACAAGGAAATAAGGTTGTTTGGTTCGTTTAAGGAACAGAAGCTCGTCTGTGTTTTCGTGTATGCACACAATCCAGCAATGAGGAGAGACAAAGATACAGACAGGTTGTCTAAGCGTTTGCGGAATATGGTCTTATGGATGGATACACTTCTGGATTCAGTGGCTGCAGCACCATAGCACCACGGTAGGGGCCAGATGCTTCGGCGTCTCAATGACCAACTCGTCTCTTTACAAGAACACTAGATCTAGCAAATATGGGCGCAGTGAGATTAGCTTTTTCACGATGGCCGTGAGACAGCGGCGAATAAGGTATAATCCACTACATTTCATCACAGAAAGAATCTCTACGTCTAACTCCCACCAACTCACTAACTAAACATCGAAATGTCGGGGAATGCGCTAGCAACGTCTTCACAAATACCCAAGGACTATGAGTCGATGAGCCGCATTTGAACTTGGAACGCGGCCGTTAAATCTTGTATGGCTGTCAATATGTCTTGCTCGTCTAGTTTTCTGTATGCATCTACTTCAAGAAGGGGCAAATGATAAAAGAAAGCTTCACCAAGGATACAGAGTAGGATCACATATTTAGTGTCAAGTATCTTGTGAAGGGTCGGGCCGCGAACACAAAGAGCAGACAGCGGAAAGTCATCCCCCTTATATGGCCATATTTGTCGAAATAGGATCCTCGGGTTTCTGCGTCTCCAGATGTATCATGTAACAAGATAAAAATGCTCCTCCAGTCGAAAGCTACAACATCTGAAGTTTCCCACGGTGTCCCAAAAATGTGATGTAGAAGTTGCTAGCATAACGGCAGCGTATATCATACCGTCGTTACCCGCATTATGAGGGACTGCATCAAGTGGCTTACATGGGAGATTCCTGGTAAACCCGACGAAACTCAGGATGCTAATAGGACGGTGAGATCCTACTAGCAGTGAACCGCCGGGCTCGCATCCTCATAGAAAGGAAAGAAGGGGTCAAGATGATGCATTCTAGAGTTACTAGATGGATGCTGAGAATACAGCTAAAGAGGAAGAAGAGTGCATCATAAGGTCTTGCAACACAAAGAAATAAAGGAGGGACAAAGGACTAAACTTGCCCTCTTGATACCAACTTTTAAAAACACGGGTTCATCAGAAATTCAAGTGGGCTTCCCAGTCCCGTGGCACCCTTCCTCTGGGCCCGGGTACTGGCTGACTAACTGGATGGTGTAATGGCGGCTGCAAGGGCGGCCCCAGAAATGTTTCCTCCGTGCGGTAATCAAAGAACCAATCCTCGCCAGGCTCAAAGCTGCGAACGACAGGATGTTCCGTCGACATGACATGTTTGGAGGCATGCTGTGATGGAGACGAGTCACAGCAGCCAATATGTCCACACTTGGCACAACGACGTAGATGGAACCACCATTTATTGGCAGCTTCGCATTCCACGCAACCGGGGCCAGTCGGTGGGACGTTCAGATCAATCACTTCAATTTGCGAGGTGCCTTGTGTAATAGCACCAGGATCATCGTACATACCGGGGCGATGGGAATGCTGCGGCTGAATCGTAGCAGGATCACCTTCCATCAGCAGTATTGCTGGATCGGTTGGCAAGATGCGAGGAGCACGAATCATGGCGTATAAATTTGCTTAATTTGCTCTGAGTCTGTTGTGAAAAAGTTGATATCTGCTCTGCAGATGATGTATGGCAGATTAACTCAATATTGAAGGGTTGTAGGAGTAGTTGTTCGATATGAGAGAGATGGGATAATGCCGAAATGGGTACTGTTGGGGGCTGAATATATGTGCAGTATTCATATACTTGATGTCATATCAAGTCATACAAAGAAGGTAATACACAACGCAGCAGCGTCACCGACGCTCTAGATTAGGGTCTAAATCCCCTTGGAGGTATTTTTCTTAGATCCACAAATTCTGTCCTTGGGTCGCATAGAACTAAGCATAAAGCTCTATGTTGCTCTAGGTGGCGGTGGCAAATGCGGTTAGCCTTTCTCTCAGACCGATAAGTCGGATGGACAAAGGCTGTTTTGTCGAAGAAGGTTGATTTCCATGGATATTTAAACAATCACCAGCGGTATGACCATTGTGATTTTGGATTGTTACCAGCTCATGTCAGTCGTCTTCAACACAAAAACATCAAGGCTGCCCTAGAGGCGGCGTGTATGTAGCTATATATTGATGCTATTGTCAGTGCTACTGCTGATAATAAAGAGAGGCGAAGGTAAACAAAGTAATATAATTATTTCATGATAAAGAAACATTTAGTGATGCTAGGAGCAGGCGATCATCTTATTCTTCTGTATAGTATGTAAATTTGTTATATAGCCTCCACACCAGCAACTATCAGAGCATCATAAGTATCCTAAGATGATTACTATTGTTGATAAAGCACTGAGATATAGTATATGGAGTTCTTAAAGCTTTGGGAGTTCTTTGACAATCGTTGATCTTTAGATTGATTAGCCATCGAATGTGGACTTCTAAAAATTGTATACAAAGCCTCAATCTACTGTCCTAAAGAATTAAAATAAATAAAAATTCTTAATCTTCCTCTGATTTGCACCAGAAGAATGACGGTGTACTATAGCAGTCTAGAATGTTTCCGTGTGCGGTGATACTGGGCTACCTGAAAAATAATTCGTCCATTAATGCCTCAATTCAACCGTGGGGTACTTATTACGCCAGAAAACGAGGATGACGCTCTCGACTTTTTTTTAGTCAGCCTTGTTCTAAACTGACAAAAGGTTTTAAAACACACTCGCAAACTAAACCTGAAGATATGCGGCTCGTCAAAAAGAAACTTCTGAGTTTGCGCATGTAACCATGAGCGAACATTTCACAACCAGCGCGCCCGGGCCAGCTGTAAGCGCCATAAATGTGGACAATGACATGCTTCCCGAGGAGGCAGCCGAAACACTTGACAACTACGACTACGTCGTAGTTGGTTCAGGCGCCGGCGGTGGACCGTTGGCCGCGAATCTCGCCCGGAACGGCCATAAAGTTCTCCTGGTCGAAGCAGGGGATGATCAGGGATCCAACATCCACCAGCAGGTTCCAGGCTTTCATTTCCTGTCTACAGAGGACGAGAAGATGCGCTGGGACTATTTCGTCAAGCATTATGCGGATGAGACCGTTGCACGGCAAGACTCGAAAATGACTTGGGAGACAACCGCGGGAACACTCTATGTCGGACTGAATCCACCAAGCGGATCGAAGCCGAAAGGCATCCTCTACCCGCGCGCAGGAACGCTAGGTGGCTGTTCGGCACATAATGCTCTGATCACCATCTATCCGCACGAGAGTGATTGGTCAAACATCGCCAATCTCACCGGCGACGCTTCGTGGGACCCGAAGAATATGCGCCAGTATTTCAGGCGCCTGGAACATTGCGAGTATCTTCCAAGTGGCAGCTCTGGTCACGGCTTCACCGGTTGGCTGCATACGAGCCGCGCTGATCTGGAATTGACCCTGCAAGATTCTAAGTTTCTTTCTATCCTCACTTCTGCTGCTACTGCTATGGGGAATACTATTCTCGGACTAATCCCCGAGAAAGTTTCCCAACTCGTTGGACTCCTGCAGCGGGACGTGAATTCCAGTGATCCTTCTCGGGATGTGACTGAAGCCATCTATCATATACCCCTGTCCAAGGATCAGGCAAAGAGAAGCGGCACTCGAGACTTTCTCGTAAATACGGCTAAGGAGTATCCGCTGCATATCAGGACAAACTGCCTCGCTACACGCGTTCTTTTCGAGGAAGATACTGTCATGCCCAAAGCAATTGGTGTCGAGTTCCTCGAAGGCAGCAGTATGTACAAGGCTGATCCACGGTCAAGTTTATCCGCCGCCGGCACAAAGCACCGCGTCCTCGTCTCTCGAGAGGTCATCCTTGCGGCGGGAGCTTTTAACACCCCACAGCTCCTCAAGCTGAGCGGTGTCGGCCCGACAGACGAGTTAAAGAGGGTTGGAATTCCTGTTGTTAAAGATTTGCAGGGCGTTGGCACCAATCTCCAGGATCGCTACGAGGTCCCCGTCATCAGCAAAGTACAGGATGATTTCCAAACCATAGCAAAATGCACATTCGGGAAACCAGGGGACCCGGCCCTTAATGATTGGACGCGCCAGTGTGGACCCTATCTATCAAATGGACTCAATTTTGGCATGACGAAGAAGTCCAGATATGCTGATGGGGACCCTGATCTCTTTATCTTCGGTGGACCTACCCTCTTCAAAGGCTACTATCCTGGGCATTCTGAACGCGCCACATTTGACAAGAAACATTTCACGTGGGCCGTACTTAAGGCTCACACACGTAACCGTGAGGGAACTGTTAAGCTCGAGTCAGCCGATCCTCGGGACATGCCTGATATCAATTTCAATTACTTTGGTATGAGTGCAGTCGCGACAGAGGCATCCGAGCGGGACCTTAACGCCATTGCCGAAGGTGTCAGCTTCGCGCGCCGCATCATGGACAAGACCCCACTGTCCGATAATAAGCCTCCTGAAGAGCAGATACCGGGCTATGAAGTATCTTCTGCAGAGCAGGTGAGGCAGTTTATCAGGAATGAGTCGTGGGGTCATCATGCTTCATGCACCTGCCCTATAGGGCCAGACGATGACCCAAACGCCGTTCTTGATTCTCGCTTTCGTGTCCGCGGCGTGAGAAACCTGCGAGTAGTTGATGCATCTGTCTTTCCGCGTATTCCTGGATTCTTTATTGTCGTTCCCATCTTTATGATCAGTGAAAAAGCGACTGATGTTATTCTTGAAGACATTAGCGAGACCCGCCATGTCTGAAGCGCCTCAGTGCCAGAAATAGGTGGAAGCCATAGTCTGGCAGATCTCATCGGAGAGTACGTGCGACTTATCATATTCCAACGCAAATTTCAGAGAGGAATGATATCCATTTTCATATACACAAGTATATAGCTCGTCTTGATACATAAGCATGATCCGTCATGTCACTTCGTAGATAAAAACCGTGCTGACCAGCAAGACCATTCATTGTACAACAATCACCTGGGCATGGACAGTTTGGCTTGCGACCAGCCATCTCCCATCTCCCCGATCAGACCTTTACTACAAACTCCTCGCATCTCTTCTCGTCGCCCGTATATCCACCGTCCTCAGTCTCCATCTTTCGAATTTGAGCATTGAACTGAGCCTTGCGCCTGGCAAACTCCTCCTTATCCCACACGAAGAGGCTCTTGCTAGCAAACAGGAAGTCAATCTGCTCGAGCGTGCGGCCCGCAGTCTCGGGGAAGAAACAGTAGATTATGGGGATATAGATGAACATAGCGGCACCGAAGACGTAGTAGGTTTGAGAAAAGAAGTCAGAAATGAAAACATGAGACAGGGAGGATAGAAGTAACCTTCTCGTGGATACCGGCAAACATGACCGGGACGAGCAGCGATCCAGCGTCGTAGCCGATTGCCTAACCCGCGACGCCGAAAGCGTTACCCTTAGCGCGTAGCTATGCCGGGAAAATCTCGGTCAGATAAACAAAAGGAATCGTCAACCAGGAGGAACTTAAGATAACAATATAAAAGACCATGGCAGCGGCTCCGGTTCCGTACGATGATCTGTGAGTATCTGAGCATCCTCACACACGGAGTATACTATACTGCTGTGAGAGTTCTCGCTGATACAGGAATAAATAGTACTAGATAGATATCCACAGATCGTACCAATTCAATGACTTGAGCTTCAAAGTCATACCATAATTTTCTACGGTGCTAGACTTGGCGGTGACCTAGCTCTGCATTGATTGTTCTATCGAATACAGGGCTTCTACATTCTCAAAAGCGACTGTAAGAGAAAAATGACAATATAGATCACAAGAAAAGGAAACGCTTATGCTAATTAATATATACAAGGCATATGATCCAAGGCTACCCATGAAGTATACTAGTTAGTCACCTCTAGGTTGATCTAAGGACATCAAAGTTATTCACAACCGCATCGTTCTTCACAATGTCCCACAAGCCCGAGATCTGCGCTGCCACCTCATTAGGCAGAGGTCCAGCTTTAAGTGCAGCAACAGTCTGTTTTACCTGGGTTAGACTGCTAGCTCCAATGACCAGTACGTCCCCAAGTCGTGCATCAAGAGCCGAATGGAACGCCACCCATCGATATGCAAGCGCGGCCTTGGAGATCCCGGCCGCCTCGGAAATGGCATTCCACTTGTCCAATGCTTCAAAGAAAGCGGGTTTTCCGTATATAGCGTGATAGAATGAGCCCAGCGGTGACTTCGGGTCCCAACGGCCCTCTCCCTTGGTACCGGAAGTCAACTGGGCCGTGGTTTTGGTGAGAAATCCGCCTGCTATGGGACTATAGGCGTAGAAAGCAATCCCATTATCGCGCAGAGTGGGCAGGATATCATTATCCAGCTGGCGGGCAATCGCGCTGTAGTTTCCCTGGTAGACCTTAGGAAGAATGTAACTATGCTTAGTTGCCACACGCAGAACATCTTTGATTTCGTCGGCGTTGAAGTTGGACAGCCCAAAGTTGTTAAATTTTCCTGCTTCGTAGAGATCGTTGATCCCGGCAAGAGTTTCCTCAAGAGGCACCTTTGGATCGGGGGCATGGATATAGAAGTTGTTCACCTGTGGTCGTCAGTATGTGAACAGGTCTCGTATCTTAGGGTGGATCTCACTTTCTCAACTCCCAGTCTTTCCAGGCTGGCGATCGCTCGCTCAAAAATCTCTTTTCGAGATGAGCTTCCTGGAGCAAATCCTCCGACATGCTTGGTATCAACAAGGAAGTCTGATAATCCCTCGCCCTGGCCAATGAGTTGCTCACTGGTACCACCACCGTAGGACTGCGCAGTGTCAAGTTGAGTGATTCCTTCAGTTTTGAGGGTCTCAAATAGACTTGAAACTTCTGCGGCGTTCGAAAAGCTTCCATCCTCGGCAGTGATGGTCGCTCCACCGAATACAAGGTTAGGGATAGAGGCCATAGTATGAAGGATTGATTGAAATTGAGGACACTTGGAAGTGTTTGCTGTTGAATTGTAGTTATTAAAATTAGCCTAACCACCCAGAAAATTATAGTTACTTAAATAGTCGCAAAATTTGTCGCGCTTTGAAATCAATTCGTGGCTTGTATGCGTTCCTGTACGGCTATACTGAGGGACGGAGAGCCGGGAGATTGATAATCAGTGATGCCATTTTTTCAGCGCCCAGGCTGCTGACGTCCAAGCCGTAGCTTATTCCGATTCAGGTTTAGTCTGTGCAGCATAAAGTACCATCAGACCTTGGTTTTCGCTGTTTCTTCTCGAATTGGCAAGTGTACTAAGTCAACAAGATCTTCAATACTGTGCTTCGGATTCGTTCGCCTTCTAGGGCCCTCAAATTGCAGAAATACTAATATCCATGTCTTTTTGTTATACGAGTCAGGCAGCTTTTAGCATGCTGGGTCTATTTAATCCTGCTTTCCGTTTGCAGTTCTAGATCCTCCCTCAGGCCATGAAAAAGCTGATCGGGTCTCTGTTATACATTCACTATTGCTTCCAAGGTTCTAACAAGTTGTATACAGAGCGGGGTTGTCAGGGCACCCAAGAAGAGCCCACCCCAATACCCTGAATCAATTTACTATCAAAAAATCTACCCCGGACACCTACTTCGGCGATTTGCTCGGTGATGAGAGGTAAATGGACCCGTACTTTCCAAATCCCCCAGGTTAGTACAAGCTGGTCGTGCCCTTGCTGACTTCGAGTGCTGTCAAGTAACCCCCCCGTTCGACTCGGGGGCCCGGCATTTCTTTTTTTCGTTTTTTTCTTCTCTTTGGGTTCTCCCACTTACTTCTCAACATTTATATGATATTATTCATAGAGAAACCCTGTTTTTTCTATTCTCTCTTTTGTTCTCACTGCCATGCTTTTCCAACAAACATATTTTCAGGATGGTAGGCATGGCCTGTGCGGGTCAGTCATGATGGGCGCCACAACCCTTACTAGTAGCACCTCTCTAGCATTTCTGCGCGCTCCTTGTCTCCAATACTTCAAAATGGAGAGAAAAAGACTACATCTTCTCGACAGCGCCCTTTGATGATTTTTGGTCGCGTGGACCAAAAAAAATGGTTGCCTGTACCAGCCGATGCAGAGACCATAGCATAACCAGACTTGGCATTGCCTCAGCCACAATGCGTTGACGCGCATTGACTTGGCAAAGTTCCCAAATCTTGTAGAGATACTCTACATCGTGAGTATTCAACTCGTTGAAATTGGAAATCTTTCTATTGACTGGGCTTGTTGTTGAGAATAGACGAGAGAAATAGTTGAACAGTACTGCCTAACTGCCATATCTAAAAGTGCTAAAAATATCTCCCACGGGACGAAAGAGCCTCAAAAAATTGCGGCAAGAAATCCGCTGACTCAGGATTCTCGACGATCTTGACGTACTATGTAGTAGTACTTATTTACCCCAAGATTAGGTTGTGGAAGGTGCTGTGCCTCACATTGTCCACGTAGTCCAACAACGTGAGGCAACAGTCCAAAATTGACTCCCTTTGCCACTGTGTCGGCTAGAGAGACTGGATGTGCTTAGGCGAAGCAACTGGCAACTGGCTAGTACTAAAATTGATAATAAACCACTAAACCCCCCCGGGGGCGCTTTTTTGGACCCCATCGCTTGTTTTGGTTGCGCTTCTTTTTCCCCTCCCTTCCTCTTCCCCTTTTCTAAAGAAAAAAAAAATCATTGGAAAATCGAAACCATGAAGCGCATCCTGCCAAAGGGCCTGATTCGGCGCTCGAGTGAGTCGTTCTTCATCCCATTCACAAACCCCCCCCTTTTGCTCCCCGCAATTTTTGCTGACCGCCGCAGCGACGGGTTCCGGCGCGAGCAGCCCCGACCAAAACGATCAGTCGCCGGAGGGCATTTTGCTCCGAGAATTGGTGTGTTACATGGCTATCGACGATCTTGCTCTTCACTAATAACCTGCCATTCAGACCACTTTCTGCGAAGTGAGCAACAGCCCACAGAATACGGTATGTGTCCTGCCTAGCGATGCCTACCCACCCATCTGGTGCCTACTGTGATCTGGTCGCTAACCGGAAACCTCCTCTCTCTAGCAAGGAAATGAGTTCGTTCATCTCCCTCTCATCGTTGAGAGCGCCGAGTCGAGCCCCGCCGCCGCCAAAGAGGCTGCCGTGCGCATTCGCAAATACCTCTCAACCCCAATCCAGACCCCGAGCCATGTCCAGTACAATGCGATCATGTTGATGCGCATCCTCACCGACAACCCTGGTCACAGCTTCACCAAGTACTTTGACAGCAAGTTCGTCTCAACAATCAAGGAGCTCTTGCGGAACGGGCGCGATTGGCATGTGCAGCATTACCTGCGCCAGTTTCTGCATGGCCTCGAAACTAGCAAGGCAATGGACGAGGATTTGCAACCGCTACTGGCGATGTGGGCAAAGGAGAAAGCCAAGAGCCAACCCCAATTTGTAAGGAATCCGGCGTGTTGACTCCATCTCGGGAACATCAGACTAACTTCATGTGTAGCAGACCACCCCATACCCTCCCAACTCCATGGCACCAATGCCGCCGCAACGACCCCAAGCTCGCCCACCACGACACCAGCTTCCAGACCCTGGTGAACTGGCTGCACGCATTGAGGAAGCGAGAAACTCGGCGAAACTTCTCACCCAATTTGTCCAGACCACCCCGCCAGTGGAGATGGAAGGAAATGAATTGATCAAGGAGTTTGTGGACCGTTGCCAGACCTCGTCCCGCCTCCTCCAGAGTTATATTCACTGCAACAACCCGCCGCCAGATGAAGCTACCCTCCTCACTTTAATTGAGGCCAACGACGAGATTTCCGTCGCCATCTCTGGACAGCAACGCGGCTTGTTAAAAGCGCGCAAAGCTCGCGGCTCGGCAACCACATCTCCTGTTTCCCCTGCCTCTTCCAACGACGCGACTTCGGCCACGCTCAACCGTCCTTTTTCGTCGGAAATCCCTCAAGAGCCTCAGGGCCCAGAGTACACAACCGCCCGACTAAGTGAACTCCCGGCTCCGGCTGCAACCATGTCGGGTGGTGCTCGCTCGGAAACGAACACAAACCAAAACACTACTATACCGAGATCCAACACCGAGCGGTCCGAATACAATTCGGCTGATTTCGAAGTGCAGAATCCCTTCGCCGACGACTTTGCCACGCACGATTCTGATAACGAGCGAAACCACGCTCCGGGTGCGGCGGCGCAGGGCAGCCGTGTGCACGTCTCAACTGCAGAGCAAGGGCGTTGATTGTACAGGCGGTTTTGCATAGCCTTGTGCCATGGTTGAAGTGATACCCCCATACCAGCGTAAAATTCGATTCCCGACAGCATCTCTTTGTGTTATGTCTTGCTTTTTTGGACTTTTATTGGCTTCAGCACGCATATTCCTTGATACCTCAAGCGTTCGTTATAAATCCTTACAGAATTGGTTAAGAACTATACTTGGCTGCTTTCAAGTTATCTCATTGAATTCTCATTAGCGGACCAACAATCAATCGCCTTTGGCCATACTATTTACGCTATAGTAACTATTCCTCAAAACAAAGGGTGCTGGCTGAACTAAACCATTGTCTCACTTTCCAGGTACCCAGCACTGAATGGGTAATCCGAATAACCAACCGCCGACCCAGAGACATAGAAGGTCTCCCTATTGTACGCGCTCAGCTCTAGGCCCTTCCTGGCCCTATATACCAGATCTGGATTTGAGATAAAGTAACGACCAAATATGACCATGATGTCCTTAGAGCTCTTTTTCTCGACCAGTTCGTGTGCCTCTTGGAGCGTGTAGCCACCAGCGACAAGAAAAAGTCCATTCCAGAGATCATACGCGAAATCGAGACTCTCATGACCAATCGACTCATTGGCTCCGGAGATCCGCGACTCTACAAGGTGCAGATAGGCCAAGTCGAACTGGTTGGCCTTATTGATGAGATTGCTGAACTGCGGGATCGGATCGACCATTCTCATGCCCTGGAATGTACTCCAAGGACTCAGACGAAGTCCAACGCGCTTGGGACCGATGGCTTCGATGACAGACTCGATCACTTCCTGTACCAAACGATTTCGATTCTCGACGCTACCGCCATATTGATCAGTTCGATCATTGCTGACATCTTGGATGAATTGATCAAGGAGATAGCCGTTAGCACCATGGATCTCGACCCCATCAAAGCCCGCCCGAATGGCATTCTGCGAAGCGTCGACAAAATCCCGGACTGTCTGTTCGATTTCGTCCAGGGTCATGGCTCTAGGTACTGGGGCGCCCTCCTCAATTGGAATCGCGCTAGGTGCGACAATATCAACACCTTCTCTTCGGGCAATTTCGACATCTGCAGCACGGCCCATTGCGAATAGCTGGCAGAATATGAAACATCCTTTGCGATGGACTTCGTCGGTGATGGGTTTCCAGGCAGCGACTTGCTCTTCGCGCCAGAGTCCTGGGGCATGCGGGAATCCACCGCAGGTTGCTGATATGAATGTTCCCTCGGTGATAATGAGAGTACCGGGTACAGCGGCGCGTTGGCTGTAGTATTCTTTCATCAGGGGTGTTGGGACTCGGTCTTGACTTGCTCGTAAGCGAGTTAGGGGTGCCATTCCGATGCGATGGTTGATTTTCAGGTTGCCTATGTTCAAGGGCTTGAAAAGACGTTGTTCGGACATGGTTCAAAGGGCGTGGATGTTATGATTGTGAATGGTGAAATAAATTTGAATAATTGGTGATTGTACTCCAGGAATCTTCGATTACTTATAGTCATTTCTCTCATGGGGATTTCTTCATCGAAGTCGGACGAATTTTTCGGACTCATCTTATACAATATGGTAGAGAGTTGCATCCTAAAAGGGAAACAAGATACTTCTCTTTAGGGAAAGGTCGAAGCTTATTCGTTCTCAACCAATAGTAGTTATGCCAGCGGGGCACTTTACAGCTTACGCGATCGGTATTTCAATGGTCGATGACAAAGATGAAAATGCAATAAATATTTAATGGCAGGGAGATAATTACTAATGGTTAGAGATGAATTTCTTCAGGTCATGTGTATAGTTTCCAGAAAACTAAATAAATTTCGTCTTGGGCGCATCTTTTAAGGCCTAGTTGGGGAACTTTCCTCCCAAAACGATTCAACCTGAGCCGCGAATGCTTTTTCCGACCAAATAAATCTCTTGAGGATTTCGAGCAGCTCCGACCACGATGTATACAATTTCCTCAACTTGTTGTGGTTTGAATGCACTAGTGCCATATACCCTGCTCGTATAGATCCTACCGGGGCAAAGGCGCCACCGATGTGCAAAAGCCAAGCTAACAAGTCGGGCGAAGTATCCCACAGAGGATGATTATTTGTACTTTGTATCTTGGAAAGTAGTTGTGATGAAAGATAAGACTTATCATATCCGTTAGTATAGTCCGATGAGCCATGGAGAGAAACGAGCCAAGGGGTCACCTTACTGGAAGAGTTGAGCATCGCCAAATTTTGCAGCGCAGCATAGCTGAGCATAGGTATGCTGCTAGGTGGCAGCACTCCGAGATAGATGAGTGACTAGGCAAGCTCACCAATCTTGACTGGATCGATGCTTGGTGATTATCGATATGCGCCATCGAGATTACGTCCTCGTGGCCGAACAAAGCAGAATCTCGGATGCATTGCAATGCGAAAATGTCCCTGAGTATTTCTAAAAAGCCCTCTCCCAATAGAACTGAGTGTTCTTGGAATCCGGGAGGGAGGATGAAGAAGTCTGGAGCAAAAGGATCTCTTCTCCACTGGAGCTCGGCGAAGGTTGTGTGATCAACGATTCGATGACTCCCTGTCATAACAGAGGCATTCAAGTCCGACCTGTTGTATATTATTAGGCGAAGATTTTCAGTTATCAAAGTAGAAACTTAGATTTACCAAAAGATTGCGCGTTTGATACCGTCGCTCAGGTAGACACCTAGTCTTTGGCATACGCCGAGAATTTCCTTTATTGCGCTCATGTGAAGCTGAACATGATTCGGTATCCCCAAGAGAGCCTATAGTACGAAAATTAAAATCAAACGTCGGTGCCATGAGCTATTAGTGTAGTAAATTGAGAGATACATACCTCTATTCGGGCAAGTAGTAGAATGGCTCCTAAGGTAGATTCAGTGGTGGCCTTCTCTGGATAACTCATTCTGTCACGTATATAGCTCATTGATTGACTCTGATAACCAAGGCATTCCGTATTCAGATTGTCTGCACCGAATGAAAATGAAAATGTGAGCAAAACCGCACTCAGCAGTGCGTTGTCATTCGACCCATTCTGAAGAACGGAGTGGAAGTTTCGGAGTACAAGCTCGTCCGAGACACTAAACATTGGCCGAATAGCTTGCCGATCGAATTCTATAACGGAGAAATTTCGGGTAAGAAACTTTCAGGGACTGGCTACTTCGGCAAATCTGCAGATCTTACGTTGATTTAATAATGGCTGTTGTTTCGGTGATTCCGCAGCAAGCATTTGCAGCAGATCGGCCGCACAGGCAAGAGAAGGTCCAGTTTTTCTTGTACACGGCTTGTCCTGATCCTTTGTACTTATTGGTTGCCTATGGCCATTTTTGGGAGAAAATGTGTTAAAATTGAGACCTGCCTTTTGTCGAAGCTTTCGTTTGTTCTGGAGCCCGCGCGCTATAGCATGTGAGCGGGCCAGATGATTTCTTGTGCGATCGGTAGGAGCTTGTATCGTAATGAAATGGAATTGGTCGCCTGCGCGAAAAAGTCAATAAATCTATAGGGTACGAGGCGTGCGTTAGGGTCACTGTACTGGATCTGAGATCGTTCTGTGTAGCCATTGAATTGGGGCTGTCTTCCTGAGAAATTTTGATGACTGCTGAATTGGTATCGGGTCTTCAGACATACAAGTCATCTATGATCGCGGTATGAGACGGGTGGAAGAGTATCAGAGTTCGGCGTAGTTTCGATGAACACGATGGCGGATTACAAATCGAATCGGGAAGATATCCCATCAGTCCCGACTCCCCGCTGATATCCTCGAGCTCCCTTGTCCCATCAATATTGGTCTACGCCTTGACTCATTGAACCATCGATAAAATCCGGTGAACATTTTATCTACCTCCGTTGCAAGACAAAGATGCGGCAATGAGAATTCAACACAACGGACTCTGAGTACAAAGCTGCAGATGACGTATCAATCCACTACACAAACCCGCAGCCCGAAGTTTCAAGGATACACCGACCCGCGAGACTCCGGATCAACCTTCATCAAAAGTAGATTGAGAGGATTGCCCGAGGCTGAAAATGGCGAGGAGTCCGACCATCCAACGTTCGGGACCCACGCGTCCCTTAAGCTGCTCTAGCCATACCACCAACAAGTCCTTGCGCAAGCTTCGATCCTGAACTTACATGGCTCATCCATTCCGCTATATTCTCCAGCAATCATGTTGGACCTGATTCAAGTTCGACTGGTGGTCCCATCAATCTGAAACTGTCAAAACCCCTGCTCGGCGCGTGGAGCGAGCCTTGGCAGGCCCTAAAAACGCCTAAGGGAGAACTTCGGTCTTGTCCCGGCTGCGATTCGTTCATACAACTAGCAGAGCGACCGAGGGATAATGCTCCGAAAATATGAGACCTTGAAGACATTCCCGGTCTCACCACGCGCTTTTCGGTGGAGGAGCCCCGTTCTCTTGGGACATCAATGAGGGGTTCAATTGTTTCAGAGTACCAATTAGCTGCATTTTGCCCTAATGACAGCTCCGAATAAGGAAAATTGCCCTTTCTTGGTACTTTGGACTGTCTGAACTTGATTGAGGATGGGATTTGACGGGCTCGAGATCGACTCTAGGTTCAACCGGAGGGAGAAAGGGGTCGACGTCTATATAACAGACCAAACCCAGCGTCGCTAGCTCTGGAGACATCAAGCCGACCCTTCCTTTTTGTTCCTTCCTTCTTTTCATTACCTCCGGTCTGGAACCGTGAAGCCTTTCACTTTCATTCGCTATATACAATTCAACGGTACCGGTTTACCGATCACTCCATTCTTTCGTTCCGGACAGTCGATACTCGATCCGAACATCCAAAATGAAGCAATTTACTCCCATTGCCGCCCTCGTGGGTCTCATCCCCCTGGTCAATGCCCACGGTTTTGTCACCAGCCCAACTGCCCGTATGCCTGGTGATGCCATGGCCTCCGCCTGTGGTCAACAAGTCAAAAGCAACCAGGAGTCCGACAACTACGGCAACATCCAAGGTGAACTGCAGGTCGCCAATGGCCAGAGCGACTACAGTGCGAGCGAGTGCGATATCTGGCTTTGCAAGGGCTACAAGTTTGCCGACAACAAGGACAACGTCTACTCCTACACAGCCGGTGAGTCCGTGGACTTCACTGTTGACATTCGTGCCCCCCACACCGGTGTTGCCAACGTGTCTGTCGTCGAGACTTCTTCCAACTCCGTCATTGGCAGCCCTTTGATTAGCTGGTCTGTCTATGCCTCGACCGCTACTGGCGTCACCAGCAATGAGACCGACTTCAGTGTGACCTTGCCCGATGATCTTGGTAGCAAGTGCTCTACTGCTGGTGACTGTGTTCTGCAGTGGTACTGGTACGCCGAGTCCATCGACCAGACCTACGAGTCTTGCGTTGATTTCACTCTCGGTGGTTCCGGCTCTAGCTCTGGCTCTGGCTCTTCTGGCTCCTCCGGCTCCTCCAGCTCGGCTGCGGCGGAAACTACTGCGGCCCCTTCTACCCCCGCTGCTGCTGTCGAGACCTCTGCCGCCGTTGAAACCACCGCCGCTCCTGTCGAGACTACCTCTGCTACTCCTGTGCTCTACGCTACCACAACCTTCGCTACTCAGGCCCGTCAATCCGATGAGCCCTCGGTCGAGGTGCAGACTGCCAGCGCTGTGGAAACCACTGCTAGCTCTGTTGGCTCCACCCAGCCCATCCCCACTGATGGTACTGCCCAGGAGCAGCTGAGCTTCGTCGAGTCTATCCTGAAGTACCTGGCCAACAGCGAATAAGTGTGGGAGTTTAGAAACCGTGCATGCCAAGAAATTGACCCCACAATTCAGGGGCCATCTTTTATAGATAGACGGGTGTAAATGTCAATATCATATTCTTTGGTCGGTGAAAATCTTCGTTTCCCTTTGTGGAAATATTCCAATAGGCCTTGACCTTTTTAAGGTAGACCCAAGCGTTACCAAGAAAAGAAGTGCATCTGCATAAAATAGCCGTGTCTGATCGGCTAGCCCCACATGTACAATCTGATCCCTGTTGTCTTGTCCAACGCTTCCTATGTTGAATTGTGAGACTCTACTCAGCCTGCTAGTTTGGGCCTCGGGTCCCTGGAAGCTAAGGGAGCTGGTGATAATGTATACTTTATAGAATGTACTTTATCTACTAATTTCTTCACAATTTCCATGTTTTAGTTCCCATGTCGATCCGAGTGGAGCCCTGCTTTGACTGCCAGTGAGGATTGATAGACGATAAGCACAGCCCCATCACAAAAAAGTCCAAGTGCCACAGCCAGTTTCTTTCACCGGTCCCCCTTGGTTGCTTATTCCTCAACATCCCCCTTGCTCTACCCCCCATTCCGACGCCAGCTCAAGCTTGAAGGTAGCATACCTTTCATCCACCCATCATGGAGGAACATCTACGTCAGAGTCTCTCCAACCACCCAAATGCTTTTCAGCATTTCCATAGCAGCTCGCCCCACTCGTCGCATAGGTCCCACGACAGAATGGCTCCGCGCCCTCAGCAGGAAGGCACCTCCACGGCCATCGAACTCGAGACTGACATGAGCCAGCATCGCCATGGCAGTTCTGACGAGGAGGGAATGCCTCCACCTCGCTATACCAAGGCCACCGACCCGTTCCACCTCGCATCCAAGCTCAAAACCGAGGAGGAAATCCGCCAAATTAAAGCCAACACTAGCCGCAAGCGCGACTCCGCCTCTCCAACCCCCAAAGTCATCGAACTGGTCCGCAGTACTGGTGACCGTGGCAAGGCGGCCCTCACCACCCGGAAACTGCAGGGCTTCTACGAAAACCAGAACGAGAATATCGAGCGCATGCTCAAGCCTGTGGAGGAACATGTGCGGGAAGCGCGCGACCTGAACGAGGAAAATAGCTTGAAGTACAAGATCGCTGTGTACGCTAGTTTTGCCGCCAACGTCATTCTGTGTGTTGTTCAGGTGTACGGTGCCGCCTCGTCCGGTTCCCTGTCCCTGTTCACAACCATGGCCGACGCCATCTTCGACCCCATGTCCAACCTCACCCTCCTTCTCTGCAACAAGGCCGTCAACCGCGTTGACCCTCGTAAATTCCCCGCCGGCAAGGCTCGTATCGAAACGGCCGGGAACATCTGCTTCTGCGCCCTCATGACTGCTGTCTCGATGATCATCATCGCCTTCTCCATCCGCGAGATTGTCGCAGGCTCCGACACCTTGGTCGCAGAATTCCACCTCCCCTCTATCATCGCTGTCTCTGTTGCTTTCTTCACCAAGCTTGGGCTGTTCCTTTACTGCTTCGCTCTGCGCAATCAGGTCTCTCAGATCCGGATTCTGTGGGAAGACCACCGCAACGATCTTCTCATCAACGGTATTGGTGTGATGACCTCTATCCTCGGTAGTAAGATCCGCTGGTGGATTGATCCGATGGGTGCCATCATCCTGTCGTTGATTGTCAGTGGGCTGTGGCTGCACTCTGCTTATGGCGAGTTCCAGCTCTTGATTGGTGTCACCGCGGATACCAAGATGCAACAGCTCATCACTTATATCTGTAAGATCGCCTTCCGTCTCTCATCTCATCTTTTCGTCTTGAACATGAAATGCTAATATTCTCACAGCCATGACTCACTCCCCTCTCATTACGGCCATCGACACAGTCCGAGCTTACACCTCTGGCCCCCGTCTTCTCGTCGAAGTCGACATCGTCATGGAGCCCAATGAGTCTCTTCGTGCGACCCACGACGTGGCGGAGGAACTGCAAATCAAACTCGAGTCCCTTCCAGACGTGGAGCGTGCTTATGTGCACGTTGACTACGAGACTACTCACAAGCCGGAGCACTTTTTGAAGAAGGAGCTCTAAATCATAGCCACACAGTTTTATTTTGGATCTTGATTGTAACATATTATTAATACCGGAGTTAGAAGACAAAGCTAAAATAGGTCAAGCTTGTCATGGAGCATAGCGTCAACTTAAAAAATATTCAGATTTTTATTTTCATTCTATATAAGCCTTGTCTCAAAAGTAAACGTCAAAAAGTGACCACGGTCAAGGAGATTTCCGAGTCTCTGACGCCTAATTTGGCCCTCCCTTTCCCCCGTGCCCCTTTGCACCTTCACCCGTATTAGTCCACCTCTCACACACTTTAATCTTGAAATACGAAGTGACATCCGAACTCATTGAAAAATCTCGCAGGTGGACGGAATCTCGGACTCCCACGAACCCGAGCTAAGCACTCAGGCCTCCAGCTCGGGCGACTCCAAACCCCGAGCAAAAACCAGTGGGGATTGCCCAGCGACTATAAAGCTTAACATGTCCGACGCAGGAAATTTGAAATAATATTTATAGTACATGCCACTTTAATATCCCGATACTGCCCTCCACGCCTCCACTGGCAGTCCAACATGACCAAGTCCAAATCCCAGTTATACGACGTCGTGATCGCCGGCGCCGGACCCGTGGGCCTCTTCCTGGCCTACGAGCTCGGTCTCCGACAAATATCAGTCCTAGTCCTAGAGCGAACAACACAACAAGACTCGCCATGGAAAAGCGGGCCTCTAGGTCTACGAGGCTTAAACATCCAATCCATCGAAGCCTTCTACCGCCGTGGATTACTAGGGAAATTATTCAATCTGGATGAAAGGCCTCAATACCAACCGGGCAAGAAACCAGGTTTTCAATTCGGCGGCCATTTCGCCGGTATCAAGATCAATGCCAACCAGTTTGATTTGCAACGCTGGAAATACCGTCTTCCGGGTCCGGCGCTTGGTCCTGGACCGACGACTATGGACCAGGTGGAAAAGGTTCTAACAGAGCGGGTGGAGAGTCTAGGCGTGAAGATTCTTCGAGGTCGGTCTGTGAGATCGATCTCACAGGATGAGACAGGCGTTACGGTAGAAACGGAGGATGATAATTCCGAATCGTTTCGGGGTAAATGGCTCGTTGGCTGTGATGGTGGTCGGAGCGTTGTTCGAAAAGAGGCTGGCTTCGGATTTGTCGGGACGGATGCTCAATTCACCGGATACGCAACCCATATCGAGATAGAGGGTCGCGAGAAGTTAAAGCCTGGTTTCAACGTTTCCGAGACGGGGATGTATATCAACGTGGTGCAGAATGGTGCTTTTCATCTCCTTGAATTCGACGGTGCGAACTTCGATCGCTCGGGTGATATCACGCAGGATCACCTTCAGCAGGTTCTGGACCGAGCCATTGGTCAGACAGAAGTGAAGATTACAAAGGTTCATCTTGCTTCTTCTTATACCGACCGCTCGATGCAGGCAGCAAGTTACCGGAAGGACCGTGTTCTTCTCGCCGGTGATGCAGCGCATATTCACTCTCCGCTTGGCGCGCAGGGGCTGAATGTCGGACTGGGTGATGCGATGAATCTGGGGTGGAAGCTTGCGTCTATAGTTCAGCGTGACGAGTGCCAAGGACAGAACATGGAGAATACGCAGGACCTTACTCTTCTCGATACCTATGAGAGCGAGAGACACCCTATTGCTGCGTGGGTTCTTGATTGGACTCGTGCACAGGTCACGGCGCTGAAGCCGGATGCCTTTGGTCGGGCTAACCGTGCCCTGATGGAAGATCTGATCAAGACCGATGATGGAGCTAATCTATTTATTGATCGGGTCTGGGGCCTTTCGCAGCGGTATACTCTTGGTGAAGAGCCGAGACATGCACATCCGCTTGTTGGGTCTAGTGCGCCTGATTTCGAGTTTGGGGATGGGTCGAGGCTTGGCTCGAAGCTTGAGGAGGGGCGGGGGCTACTTCTTGATTTTGGGAAGAATAGTGAACTGGAATCGGTTGTTGATGGAAAGTATTATGGGAAGGTAGATTATCTTGCACTGGAGGCGAAGGAGAACTGTGGGCTGAGTGCCTTGTTGATCCGACCGGATGGAATCGTTGCATGGGTGGTGGGAGATAATTCGGAGCACGATATTGATGCTCTGAAAGCTGCATTGGGAGAGTGGTTTACATTGTAATTGAGATTGAATGTACAGACGAATTTCCACGTATTGATGACTTTGCCCACGATTTGCTTGATCCTCAACCTGTATGGCGCGACCTATTGGGCTCGTTGCCGATTGGAGGGCCGTATTCCTCTTTAATCCACGTACCTCCAGAATGCCATTGATTCCTCAAGGCGAAGTCAATACATGGGAAGAACGCCCGATGGGTTAGTCTACGATAGGCACACGGTAATATTTGTTGGCATTTACTCATTGCATTGATCGCACATCTATTATTGATCACATCGTTCCGGTGGTATCAAACGAAACACTCCCAGGTAACTCGTCCAGAGCATCCCGCCAAGAAACCAGGAACAATCTAAGAGAATAAGAAAAAAAAAAGAGTCAAATGACAAGCCAGGTTCCAGAAATACAGGACCATGGAAGCGGTATGATGAACAAGGCGAAAACAGGTGAGAAATGAAAAGATGATTATTGGGAGAGAAGAAGGGTATCTCGGGTGCTGTCAACCAAGACTGACTCTAGACAGTCTGCTCGAAAAGAGCAATTGTCGAGCAGTAGTTGCTCGTGTTCTCGTTCTCGGGCACCATGCTCTTGCCCTGGGAAGAGGTGACCATGTTGACGGAGGCCTTGGTGCTGAGACCGTAAATGTGAACGTCGGAGCAGTCGACCTCGACCATGTTCTCCTGGCAGTCCTCAGAGTTGAGGCAGGACTGGGCGTAGTTCTCGAAGAAGCTGTACAGACCGGCACCATAGATGAAAAGATCCGACGAATCGAGGACACGGAGACCCCAGGACTTGCGGCAGGAGGCAGTCTTGCAGGTAGAGAAGTCAGGGTCATTCCAGGAGCTCTGAGGAGTGTAGGGAACCAGAGCGGTGGGGTTAGACTGGTAGTAAGGGGTTTCAGTCTGAATGAGACCCATAAAGGTATTCTTAGCACTGGAGACCTGGTAGTTGTACAACTGGTGGTGCTCAGAAGAGGTACCCCACAGCCAGACGGGGCTTTGCGACTCAATGAGCACACCACGGCCAGTGTAGATGTTGATCTGGGAGTGGTCGGAAAGGTCAAGCTCGTGATCGGCGGTCCAGTACCAGTTGTTCTCGAGATAGGCGCTGGCCTTCTCAGTAACGTGCAGAAGCATGAACGCGGCCATGCACTCTTCCTTGGGGGTAGTTTTGACGGAGGGAGTCTTCTTGCAGGTATCACTCTGGAGACCAGTACCAGCGGCACCACCAATGCGGAAGTGAACATCCCACATACCAGCGGATCCCTGGGAAGAAGCACCAAGGTTCCATTCCATCAAGATAGCACCAGGAGCGGCGCCCTTGGTGGTGATAATAAGGTCGCTCATCTCAATGGAACCAGACTCGCCCTTCTGGCCAACCTGGAAAAGAGGGACCGGGTTCTTCTGATCTTGGAACTTGGCACCGTGAGCCATGAGCATGGGCCAGATTTCACCGGTGATGCGGACGTTCTTAGGGATCTTAATGGTAGAGGTGATAACATAGGCACCATGGTCGAAGTAGACAACCTGGTCGGAAGTAGCACTATCAAGGACCTTCTGGATGGCCTTGGTATCATCGGTAGAGCCATCACCCTTGGCTCCGGCAGACTTGACGCTGATAAAAGAAGAAGCAGGAACATCCTCGTACAAAGGCTTGGAGCGCTCGAAGACAGCATCACCATCAAGAAGACCATCTGGCATAGTGGAGGACTTGAGGGTACCTTGAGTTCGGCCCTTAGAGACGCTCTGCTCAGAGCTGCAGGTGCCGGATCCACTGCTAGACCCAGATCCAGATGAGCTCGAGCTAGTGCCCTGGGAAAGGTAGGAGCTGGTGGTACCCGAGCCCGAACCCGAGCCCGAACCAGAGCCCGAACCAGAACCAGAGCCAGAGCCAGAAGCGACGACAGCGGGGGTCGATTGGACGACAGGAACCTGGGAAACAGTGGTCTCTTTCTCGGCGGGGACCTGGCTGGAGGCAACGACGGCAGGTGTGGCTTCAGTGGCAACTTCGGGGGTTGAGGCAGGGAGCTCGTAGGTGCCAGTAGATCCAACGAAGACAGACAGGACACTGTTGATAGTGTCTGGAAGGCCACCACCGGTACCCGTAGCGGCAGTGCGCTCACCACTGTCAGTACCAGAGGGCAGAGCAGGAGTATCCTCGCCATTGCTAACAGCGGGGGAAGTCTCAACCGAGGACGGCGCCTCGTTCGTAGCAAGAGTGCTAGCAAGGCCACCGGCAGTAGCGGCACAACCGCCGACAGTATGGATAACAGTCTTGGTGACAGTGATGACTTCCTCTTCGTCAGCCTCGGGCTGAGTAGCACGCTTGCTGGCGGAGGATGGAGAGTAGGTGTTGCCCTGAACCCAGTTCTTGACAACATCGCCGCCTGCGAGGATAGAGTCGCCATCGACGCCGGTGACAGCGACCTTGGAGCCAGAGAAGTCGACATTTTGCAGAACGAGAGTGCCACCGCCAATAGGAACACTCTCCTTGTTCCAAGCAGTGACGATACCAGTGGGAGTGTTAGTGAGTTTGCTATCGAGCATCATGACGGAGCCAACAGTCTGGTTGCTGGGAGAATTGGACATGTTAAGACCAACTTCACAGTTATTGATGTCGAGAGACTTGAAGGTCCAGGCCCAGTTCCAGTTCATGAAGATGGCAGTCTGGCAGCCGTTGAACTTCAGGTTGCGAGTGGTGAACTGCTGGTTGCCGAGGAACATTCCGTAGTTACCGCCGTTGAAGGTAAGGTCGGACATGAAACCACCAGAGCCGTTGTCCATGAAGATACCCTGTTGCTTGTTGGCGGCACCACCACCCTTGACCATCTCGAAACGAATGTTCTGCAAGCTGGTGGCCTGACCAACCTGCCAGTGGATACCA